AATACTAGCCTGGAGCGTCCGATAACATCCCTCCCACTAGGATCCCCCTCCTCCCCAAAATAAGAAACTAAGCAAGGCAAAGACGTAAGCGATAAGCGTTTTCAAATTTCGAAAATTTTCCACGTTTTGCCATCGTTTGCGCATTGGATCGCGTGCGTTTGAAGTCAAGTGCTAAGATCCCAAAACTTTTCGACTTTAAGCCCTTCCGCTGGAATTCAACTTCTTGGATTTGCATTCTTCAAATTTCGAAAATTCTCCACGTTTTGTTGTCGTTTTGGGATTGAATTTTGTGCGTTTGAAGCGCTAAAGCCCTAAAGCTTTTGACTTTCAGCGCTTTCCCTGGCCTGAGGTTCAGCCTCTTGGATTTCCATGATTTTTCAAATTTCGAAAACTTTCCACATTTTGTTGTCGTTTTGGGGTTGAATTCTGTGCGTTTGAAGTGCTAAAATCCCAAAACTTTTGACTTTAAGGCCTTTCCCTGAGATTCAATCTCTTGGCTTCGCGTTTTTCCAATTTCGACAATTTTCCACGTTTTTCGTCGTTTTGGGAGTGAATCCCGTGAGTTTGAAGCGGAAGCGCTAAGACCCCAAAGCTTTTGACTTTAGGTCTTTTCTTTGAAATTTAATGCCTTGCCCTTGGCTTCGCGTTTTTCAAATTTCGAAAATTTTCCACATTTTGTCGCCGTTTTGAGTTTGAGGCTCGGGAGTTTGAAGCGTTGAGATCCCAAAATTTTTGATTTTAAGCCCTTTCCCTGAGGTTCAATCTCTTGGCCATGTGTTTTTCAAATTTCGAAAGTTTTCCACCTTTTTCTTCATTTTGGGAGTGAATCCGTTGACTTTGAAAGGCTAAGATCGGAAAGCTTTTGACTTTAGGCCTTTTCTCTGAAATTTAATCCCTTGGATTCGCGTTCTCAAATTTCGAAAATTTTCCACGTTTTGCCGTCGTTTTGAGGTCGAGTCTCGTGAGTTTGAAGCGTTAAGATCCTAAAATTTTTGATTTTAAGCCCTTTCCCCCGAAATTCAATTCCATTGCTTCATGGTTTTGCGGTTTCGTAAACTCAGAAATTCAGAAACTCAGAAATTCAGAAACTCAGAAATTCAGAAGTTCAGAAATTCAGAAATTCAGAAACTCAGAAATTCAGAAATTCAGAAATTCATAAATTCATCGGTTTCGTAAATTCGTAAACTCAGAAATTCAGAAATTCAGAAACTCAGAAACTCAGAAGTTCAGAAGTTCAGAAATTCAGAAATTCAGAAATTCAGAAACTCATAAATTCATAAATTCATAAATTCCCAAATTCATAAATTCCTAAATTCCTAAATTCCTAAATTCCTAAATTCTTTCCTAAATTCATAAATTCATAAATTCATAAGTACATAAGTTCATAAGTTTGGAGTTTGGGGTTTGGAAGTGGGAGAGTGAGAGTTCGTAAGTTCATGAGTTTGGGGTTTGGAAGTGGGAGAGTGAGAGTTTGGAGGGGTTGTTGTAGAATTTTTTTTTAGCTATATAATATTATAAGAATCACGTATATTTCTGTACTAGGAAAGCTTTTCAATCGGTTTCTGTAAGAGAGCAGGGCTATTCTTGTGTGCTCTATGAATTCATTTATTTTTATTGAACCACTTAAATACTTCTGAATACTTGATGTTACTCATCTATGGGACGATGCTTGATCGTCGAGTGATACTTCTAGTAGTTGAAAGTTAGGTGATACTTGTAGTAGTTGAAGTCATAACTTTAACTTTTCTTACAAAAAAAACGCAGGTGAGTTCTTTAATTCGAAACTAGTGCATACTATAATTTGATAAACTCTACTTGCGATAGCTCATCTTCAGTTGAAGTTCCGAGTAACAAACAAAACAATTGAATTCTAGCACTGATGTATCGTGGCTAAGTGATATCAATTTCCGTCAAACATATTTTTCCCCTCCTCCTTCCTCCTCCTCTTTCAACGTGTCTTTTTGGTCTCCTTCCTCGTACAAATTAAGTCGCTGCAGCGTAGGTTGTACTAACTTCCAACTCCTTCATCCATTCTAACAGCACCAGCGTGCTTCTACGTACTTCTAACGGCGCTGGCTTCTAGGTTCTTCGAAGCACTTCCTTTAAGGTTCTGCTTGACTAGATAGGTATGAGGGAAGAAAAAGATAAACTTGGCTTCGTTTTTTTAAGGCTCTTCTAGTTCTTGCAGCAGCGCCAGCGCCAGAAAAATGACGTCTCTTCCGGGCTGTCACGAGCTGGCCCTTGCGGCCTCGGTTGTGGGCGACTATGCGGCTGGCGATCTGGAGAAGCCCGCGGGCCGCTGCGCTGAGTACCAGGCGGAGAGCGTTTTTGGCTCCTTGGCTTGTTTTTGTGGTGCAAAGCTACAAGAATTGGCGGAGGATGGCAGGGGGGCGGGCGGCGGCGGCCGCGTCTTCGCCTCGTTCTCTTCGTCAGAGTCTGAGGCCAACGCGCGCAGAGAGTGGCGGGCTGCGAAAGAAGTGGGCTCTGCTACGGCGCACGAATGTAGTGAGGAAGAGTCTGTAGCCTGGCTCGCCGAGTCTGATGCAGAAGAAGCAGAGGAGGCCGCGAGAGGGGTGCTTACTTTACATTTAGAGGCGTGGACTGCTATACAACCTATTTGCTTTATAGGCTTATGTGAATACATATTTAAGTATATAAAGCAAGATCTTCGCAGCCGTTTGCTCGGATTAGTGCCCCCCACCTCGGCTTCCCCTTGGACTAATAGCTAGTTAGAGGGAACTGTATGCCCTCGGTTTGGAAGCTACTTGGGCTCCCTGACTCCCATTGCGCTTTCTTATGCGGCTTGCTTGTTTGCCCTTTGTTTGCTGGTGGATATGAGCGTTTTTTGAAACGTCCTATTTATTAAGTAACTCCAACTGAAGGGCCTCTGGGTGCTTTCTGGGACTAATTAGTGGCCTTCTGCTTGTTCGCTGATATGTTCCACCCAGGGAGGCCGACGGAGTAATGTTTGGGCGTTGTCATACCTTTTAGGCCGCTCTTCTATCCATTTCCGGTACTCTGCTACTTTTCATATTTCCTGCATCTCCTTGTTTTATACGAGTAATAAGCTCTGTTAGTCTATTGACTATGACTGCCATCTGTGTTATTTCTTGTTAAGTAATTTTTGATTGTTTTACCAATTCGTTGTTGAAGATGGTGCTAGTTAGTTGTGCTCAATGAATCTGATTTACATGCAAGCAACTCGTATTAATCAATCTCAGCTAGTCATATTTAAAGATCCCAGGAGCAGCTCATCCACAAAGATGCTAATCCTGCGAGAAGTCGTCCACTTTTTATGATGTTGAAAAAGTGAAAGTGGATATCAATCTTCTGTCTTGCAAATCGTTCAATCAGTAACCCTATGATCTTGAATAATTGAAATCTTTTTCAGGCTAAAAACGACGGCTGTGATATTCCTGTGGTGGTCCAACAAGCTACGTGCCAAGAAGATGCGAATCTCTCAACAGCTGAAGTGATGCCACTATCTACGGCAGTGTCTACTTCCAGCAGTGATCTGGCGGTTACTTCCAGCAGCAGTGATCTGGTGTCTGCTTCCAGCAGCAGTGGTCTGGTGGTTACTTCCAGCAGTGATCTGGTGCCTATGCCCAGCAGTGATCTGGTGCCTATGCCCAGCAGTGATCTGGTGGCTACTTCCAGCAGCAGTGATCTGGTGGCTACTTCCAGCAGCAGTGATCTGGTGTCTACTTCCAGCAGCAGTGATCTGGTGGTTACTTCCAGCAGCAGTGATCTGGTGTCTACTTCCAGCAGCAGTGATCTGGTGGTTACTTCCAGCAGCAGTGGTCTGGTGGTTACTTCCAGCAGCAGTGATCTGGTGTCTACTTCCAGCAGCAGCGGTCTTGGGTGCTCCATCAGTTATTTTGGTCAAGGAAGTAGTGCTCCAAAAGAAATACTCAAGGACGCTCCAGCAGTTATTTTGGTCAAGGAACTGCAGCAGGAGGCTCGGGAGGTCCGGGAACGCCTGGCAGGTGTGTCGGAGGAGGCCGCTGTTTGCCAGCGTGAAACTGTCAAAGCGCAGCAGGAGCAACCGGAGGCCCTCTGGGACTTCGAATTCCACTGGACCCGCCACCAACGCGCAGCCGCGTTGCACCAAAGCCAGTACCGAGAGCCGGAGTGCTACTTGCGAGAGAAAGAGATCGAGCGCCTTCGGGCGTTGGTCCCGTCCTTGGAAGAACAAGCTGAAGCACGCGCTGGCGGCCTTGAAGGTGCGACTCTAAAAGAACGTGCTCGCTTGGCGGAGACTGTTGTTATTATGAGGAAGGACACAGTTGATCCGCTGCATCAGATCCAGGACACTTCGTATTTGGCGATGCCAGAAGATCTTTCCAGTTGTCACCAGCATCTTGAAGATGTGGCGACAGCTGCACTAGGAGTTGTCAAAGAAGAAGCTGTGCAAGGTTTCAAAGAAGAAGAACCGTTTGCGACAAAGGTGGACGGTTTCAAAGAAGAGGAACCGTTTGTGACAAAGGTGGACGTTTTCAAAAATGAGTCGCTCTTCATTATGAAGAAGAAGAGTGACATTTATTTCGAAGGCTTTGCCAGAGCTAGTGGAAAGGCCTTATGCGGTGGTGGCTTTCTCCGCCCGCTGCCTGTGTTTCAGGAATTAGCCGTTGCAGGAGAAATCTTAGGCGATGTGTTTGCCGGGACAACCTTCCTTGAAGCTGCTTGTCAACGTGGCCGTCTGTACTTGGAGGATTCAATCCTAGGGAGCTTCGGCTACGTTTTGACGAGGCCAGAAGTGTACAAAGAACTCAGTTCAGTATACCAAGAAGTCTGTAATGCAGTATACCAGCAAGCCACGAGGCCCTCGAGAAATGCGGAACAAGGACAACTGCTCGGAAAGAAAGACTGTTCTTTGATCTACCAAAAGAAAGAGGACATGCATGAAAAACAGGGAGGACCATTGAAGATGGGATCTTGGGTCGGGACATTGCTGTCGGATTATTTGCTCTCGGATTCTTGTAGTTCCAGTACTTCCAGGGAAGGTTCGTCTGTGGAACAAGGCTCGTCTTCGTCTTCCTTTACTACGTCATCCTTAGGCGAAGACGATGCACGTGTCATCTGCCCGGTTGAACACGATGGTTCCTCCAACGATCCTCCACAAGAGGACCACCGTCCAGAGGTTGAAGAAGGTAACGGCCTTCTCGTGGAAGATGCCTCTGAAGAAGATGCCCAAGAGGACCACCTCCCACTTGAGGCTCAGGAAGATGAGTGGAATCCTTGTCCTTGGCAGGTTTTACGGAACGCACAGGGTAATTCGGTCACAGCCCTTGTGTCTGGAGGCACGATAGCCACAACGTTGACCACTGGGGGTTTGGCCGCTCCCCTCGGCATCGGTGCAGCGGTGGTGATCACAGCTTTGGTGGGGGCCTCTGCGAATGTCGCGGAAATGGCGTGCCATCAGAAGGTGGAAGAGTGGAAAGCAGCAGCTCTAGATGACGAGGATGAAGAAGAAGTTCATCTTCAGGAAGTAGATGGTGAAAATACCGAACAAAGAGAAGAGGAAGGTGAGAGAATGCAGTCTACTTCTTTGCATTCCCTCTGTATTCCTAGTCCTATGAAGAGGGTGCAGTCTGCTTCCTGTTTGGATTCGCTCTGTATGATCCCGAGTCCTATTTTTCCTGCAAGAACTTGTTTGTGGTCCTCTTCAAGAAGTTGTAGTTCGGATGAACAAGGGCGCTCGGACGAAGAAGCATCTTCTACCAGGAGTGGCTCGGATGAGCAAGGGTGTCTTGTAGGCGGAGAAGTACTAGAAAATTCGCGTTTGGGCGAAGACGTAGGGTTAGACAATTCGGAGATGATGAATGCAACTGGCGTTTTAAACAACACAGAAGGCCTGGTGAAAGAGGATATCTCGTCTTCGGATGAAAGTGATGGAGATCATCGTATTGTGGGCGGATTGCCGATGCCATCAAGCTCATGTTGTTCAGGCTGCTCTTCTTCAGAGGAAAATGATAGTAGTAGACTACTTGATAGTAGTTCTAGTGCAGAAACGGGACGAGAAATTAGGCTACTCGATAGTAGCACCTCAACTAGCGAGGAAGCGGTGCTGGATAGCGCCACCTCGTCCACTGAAGAGCAACCAGCTTTGGTAAAAGCATCATCTCCTTTGAGCAAAGGTTCTTTGCGACGTCGATCACAAGCAGTCGAATTCTCCCTCAACCTGCTAACTCCACAAACAAAGAAAGGGGGACCAAGATTCTCATCATCGAGCTCATCGACAGCGACCCCATGTACATCTGCCGGGTCGTCGCGATTGCCATCGTCTTCATCTTCACGATTGCCATCGTCTTCATCTTCAGCGGTGGCATCTCCCCGTTGTAGCTCGCACCTTTCAATTGAGTCCTCCTTCGTTTCTTGGAATGAGAGGGACGACTGCAGCTCACGCTGCTCCACCTTGTTCTCTTCGAATGAGAAGGACGACTGCAGCTCGCGCTGCTCCTCCTTGTTCTCTTGGAATGAGAAGGACGAACCACACAGCTCTACTTCAGCGGACGAAAGGGCATCGCCTTGCGCGGCAGAGGAGCAAAACGAGCCAGCTTCTTCTTCACATGAAAGGAAGCAGTCTTTACCTACGTCAGACGAAAGGAAGCAGTCTTTACGACCTACGTCTTCACGTCTAAGCGAATCACCAGACCACGTCGAGCAAGGTCCAGGGTCCTCGACAATTAGTTTTAGCTCTTCACCAGACCACGTCGAGCAAGGTCCAGAGTCCTCGACAATTAGCGCTTCTTTTAGTAGTACCGAAGTACCCACCTCACCAGTGGCGTCGCCAGATGAAAACGGTGAGTCGTTTCTTTCAATAGCATCCGCTGTTTGGGAGTCCTTGCGGACGCGCTTTTTTGAAAACTCGGAATCTGAGCAGAAGACCAGTAACTACAAAGCAAGTAATGAACAAGATGAAGAAGAGAACGTCCTCAAAGTGTCTAATTCTAGCACCTCTAGCACTGATGCTTCCTCCAGTAGACCATCTTCAACCTTTTCCACGAAAAATGGATCGTCTTTCTCGAAGAAACCATCGCCATCTAACGCTAACGCCTTGCCTAAGAAGCACGCGCAGCTGTCTAACTCGGCACTTAAGAAGCACGCCCACCAGTATTCTCTTGGCGACTACATTGGTTGCGCACTGTTGGGCGCTGGCTCTGGCGCCGTGTGTGGCGGAGACCAAGCTAGTATGCGCCTATGCTTTACCGAGGTCGATCCTGCCGTAAAGATCGTAGCCGAAACTGCTGTAGCGGGACCGGATAGAAAAAGAGAAAGTACTACGGTCATCAGGAAAGTTGACAACAGGGACGCGTGCATGTCGACTTCTAGTGCAAGATTTACTGAAGCAGGTGGGAAAAAAGGCAAAGGCAAAGGCAAACGACACGCTAAAGGCAATCGGCGATGAGCAACTTCAGCATCTTCATCAGGCGAAAGAAGTAGGACCGCCCGCAAAGGGACCTATCTCTTCGAGGGATTAGCCAGCAGGCTGACTCCTTGTCCTAAGTGCCGCGCAGTGGCGTGCGACGGTGAATAGACTTCACTCCCTTATTCCTAGTCCAGTAAGTCTAAGTTTAGTAGAAGTGAAAGTCTGAACCCTTAAGTTTAGTAGGTCTGAGTTGTCTGAGTTCGGAGCCGTGTAAAAGAACTAAAAAGCCGACTTCTGAGTATGAGTAAGTAGGCGCAGGCTCTGAGCACTAGAGATTCTGTGTCGGTTTATCTTTTTATGATTCTTGAACTACGATGATCCTGCTGATTACAACATCCATCCATAATGAAACTCGTATCATACTCCTGAGGGGCCATGCAACATATCTGAAATCTAGTGTCCTGTAGACTACTCGAGCCTCGTTATTTTAGCACCTTGCGATGATGATTCATCTTATGGACTGATGTAGATGTTGATGATGAAAATCACTTTGCGCCACTGCTACAGTTAATTTCCAACTGCATTACCACCTTATCAATCATTTACATTTTAACTAGCTATTGCAAGCAACTTACAAATCTAATAAGTATTGTCATCTACTATAAGTAACTGAAACCGAATGAACAGACAGCTCCCACTAACTACAGCAGCGATCATTCAGAATGACGCGATCGAATAGATCAACAGCTACGTAAATTTTCTGACAGAAACTGGTTCTCTAACTCAACAAGATGCAAAAGATGGACTCATTGAATTAGTATAAGTCCTTTGAGTGAGTAAATGAAAATTTAAGTACGAATTTACGAAGCACGAGCACCAATCGACGACTGACCCTTTTTGAACTTTTTTTACTACTTGCTTGTTACTTACGTGCAATAATTTTTTTCTGACTTGCTACTTATTCAGCAAAAAAACATCCAAGTTTGTGTTCCGCATGAATTTCGGCAAAGGCGCACCAAAAGCGGGCTTGTTGAACGGGCATATGACACGACAAGAAAGGACGGCTCTGGCACATGAAGTACGCCAAGATCAAAAACTTCTTTAACATCAAGTACCCAAACCACCATCACCGACGTAGAATGCTGTTGGGTAGCAGGACCGCGAGGCTTTCTGGCGGGCCATGTCGTCGAAGCTTAGGTTTCCCTTCGACTTGGTCTTGCGTTGTTACTCAAAAGAAGAGTAGCAGATGAAAAAGGTAGCTTCCACTACAGTATAAGTGTCAGTTGGACAAGGGTAAAGTTTCTCCCGACAACTTTCTTCCGAAGTATTTCCCCATAAATCCGTTACTGCAACTGCAAGGAAGCAGACAAAATACAACTCAACATCCCATCCAAGAATTTCACTTTTTAGTCCTACCAATTGTCAGCCTGTGTATAGAAGAACCTATATTTATAGTGCGTTTCTCAGATCTTTCGTCAATTTCGACTTCGCAGTAATATCCAATACATAGCGCCTTTTTTTAGATATTACGGGCAGGGACACGAGCCGCACTTCACAGCTGGAGCACAAAGTGGACTACGTATAGAATTGCTTGCCGCACCAGCCACAAATAGCTCCTAAGAGAAAGCAGCTTGTGGTGTACGAAGTACGACTCGTTTTTCGAGACGCGCAGGTGAAAACCCGCTTCGACAAGAAGCTGCGCGAAAAACACATTGTATGCAAAAATATTTGACATGATCACGAGTTAAGTGCTCAAAATTTGGATCTTGATTGTTTTCTATGTATGATGACTGGCTAATTAACTATTGATTATTCTTTACAAGAAGGACATTGATTTCAAACGGTCGTGAAAGTGATAGAGGACTTTTATTCATTCTCGCAGTAACTCTTGCCGATGTGCTAGAAGCCGGCGGACCAGATTTTCTTTCAGTCTAGTACAAGCAGTGCGTCAAGCTCAACACCTCCATCTGGAGGAAGTGGTGGTTCTTCCACCACGAGCGCGACATGTTATTTGGAGGAAAGAGCAGCGGCATTAAGGGCAGACGCATTTCGGATTGCGAAGTCACCGTTAAAAATTGAGGTTTAGATGCGTGATTCGCTTATACGGTGCCACCTGGAGGGATTTCGTTGAGTCTTTAGATCTTGTAAACCTCTAAAAATCTCTGAAGAGTTTACTGCGACACGGCGATTTCTTTTGTTGGATGCTACTGAAGCTGGTGATGGCGGGTGACTAAGAAGGTCGACGCTGACTCACGGTAACGCCAGCAACAGGTGGCTGACTGTGGAGATAAGCGCTAAATACTCGTCCCTGTGATGTAAGGAGAGCAGTGGAAGATTTGAAGAACAATCTGGGGAGCTTTCTCAAGGCACGGCTGTCTCCAGACGAGACTAAGTTGGTCTCCTCCTGCTGCTTCTGAGCTGCTAAGTACATCAACAACAAGTACGTCGTTCGTTCTCGTGACATCTTCCTGTTGCCAGTCTAGTTACCTAGGATGACACACGACCGAACGAAGAGTTCAAGAGTGTTCGGGAACAACAGTTGTTCTTGATAGCCTTTCCTGATGAACACGTCAGACGATGGAGATTTTGAATCACGGTGGTTAGAAGCAAAAAGCTTGTTTGAGATGAAGGAAGTAGATTTCGATGCGGTTCTAGTTGTGGTAGCGACTGCGTGCGGCAGCGACGATAGTTTGATGAGGCGGCCTTGTCCTTTAGCACCTTTTTTTGGTCTTTGATATTGGAATGATTGACAGTTACGCTTTTCTCCAAAGATGATTTTCTTTGACGACTACAGAAATTTTAGCATGTAACGAATGTCTGGCTTAGTCCCATCTTTTCGTCCTAAGATTCAATCATGCTTGCCTTTATTTCTCTAAGTTCTCGCTTACCAGTAAATCATACATGAAAAAATAATGTCTGCTCGTTGGGATCTCTCTCTCGTGACGGGTGAGGCTCTGGTGGGTGTCACAGAGATGCCTGATTACTCAGTCGCTGTCTACGCAAGGCCTGAGCATTTCAGGTACGTTGGGGCGTTGGGTAAAGTTGGACAATATCAGAATACACCAACTACCACATCAACCACGGCGACCACTCATCCACATGGACATGGACATGGGGGTGACTCGTCACAGCAGCACACCTCTTATGTGGATGGCAGGTTTCTCTTGCTGTTCAAGCAGCGCAGCGACACGTGGGATTGGGACTTCAAGACCTGTGTTTTGCGCTACGTTTTCGACTCGGCACGCAGAGCACATGGGACCGACGCTAATGTACTCTATTGCGTATTGCGTGACTTGGAGACAGTGGATGGATATTTCGCGTCTGAACACAAGACAATAGATGACGAGGCGCTTGTACTAGAGGAGACGAAGAATGGCCACCACGTGCTCGCGTCCTCGGTTTCTTCACCTAGCTCTAGGACGTCTACTCCTTACCTTTTCTATTCCACTATACCTGAAGCTGGAGGTCTCCTGCGTATAGCGGATGAGATTGGGGAGTGTGTCGGACTATCCAATGTTCTAGACGTTTTAGTTATGACTCTTGTTCACAAGAAGATTTCAGCTTAGTTATGAACTCTTGTTCACTTGGATGGACAAGGAGTGTCTCCTGGGAAAAAGAAAATCTATATTTATTCCCACTGGAGCTGAATCGTTTTGCGTACCATATTTATTACCTCCTTCTAACTCCCAGCTTGCTTTCGGTCCCGCATACGGACGGAATATGGACGCTGCAATTAGTGCGATGGAACAAGCTAGAGATCTTTTTTTTTTGGATGGTGAAACTGAAAACTTAACACGTCGTAATCTCGATCTAGCGGATGGGAATTTGTTCGCGATATTAATCGCTTTTTTCCGGAACTTGGGGAAACGTGGCGTTGAGTCCAACGACAGCCGCAAAATGCTGTCTATTCGACTAGAGGGAAGCGATCTATTAGCGAGCTGGCCAGGAGGAGCAAGGACAGTGGGTGCTACGAGTCGTGCCACGGCGACAACTTCATCTTGCGCACCAGTTTGCTCTACTGCTCAAGCTGGTGAAATCGCAGCAGCTAATATTGACAGCGCATTACCAGATCGCGATCCGTCCTCGGGAGAAGATGCTGCATCTAAAGCCATGAGAAATCAAAATCGGAGGAGTCTGTATCGCGCTGAGTCAGACTTTCTACCGAGTATACAACCCCTGGCAGTGTCCCCTCTATCTTTTCCAACTACGACGTCAGAGCTTCATCTTCAAAGCAAGAACCACGGTATATCCGCCTCTACGCCCTCACCAAGACAACATCATGAACGTACCTTATCACGTGTATTGAAGAAGCCATTCCGCGTTGCTGCGAATCTGTTCGGTAGTCACGAGGTATCGTCCGCACAGCCTCATGTTTTGAGTGGTTCTTCTAGTGTGTCTGAGAAACTCCTCCTGTTGATAGGACAACATGCTACGAGGAACGAATCTCAAGGGCGTATCGAAGTAGGAAGTGAACAAGCGAAGCCCCGTGAGCAGGTGGCCGGTTCATGTACAACTTGGAACAACTTTCATCTACCACAAAGGGATAGCTGCGCAGGATTAGCAGACCATACGTCTGGAGAACCTCCGCGCACTGTCTCTTCAGATCTGCCTGTTTCTCAACCCCATGGACTCCCTTCTGAAGGTACGACAGTAGAAGCTTGGCGTACGCGTGTGCTCATCAATGATTCGATGCTCATCAGTAACTTTTCTACAATAAACTACCATTCCCAGCAGCATCAACGAGATCCAGCGACGTCACTAGCAGAACTTCTCCAGCTTCTCTATATGGGTCAACGGTTGGAGCTCTGCGCTGAAAATTGGGACCCATGTGAGGTGCCAAACGGTGCTTGTATCCGATCATTCTGCGACACGACAGGGCAATATTCCGCGAGCAGCAGTACGTATTCGATGGAAGGAGGGATAGCTAAGGGACTTCGACTTTGTTAGTATCACACATTTTTTTCAACGTCCCCTTCGCCTTCTTGCACAAAAACTCAGGGTAGTTGTGGTATATAAGCTCTTATAACTCATACTTCTGAACGCTCTGGAATACAATGTTCTACTAACATAAAGAATCTAGTAATCTATCGTAGGGTAGTACACGCCATGAGCAAGTATGTTCAAAGGCACTTGTTTCCGCTAATCCCAAATCCTGTGGTGCTGGGGGAGCCGGATCTTTTTTCAGTCGGGGTAAGGCGGGAACAAGCGAGAGCAGAGAGTGGGATAATTTAATGCAGCAAATTGCTAACAAAACGCTGCCAAAGCAACAATGGACGGAACTAATGAAAGAAAAAGAAGTTCTCCACTCTGGCAGATTGCGTGTTCTTAAGGCTCAATAATTGTCAATTCATTTCCCAGCGCAATACAACTCATTTCCACGACGTGTAATTCTTTACTGTTTCCTTCTTAGGATATTGAAAGAATGAGACTAAGAAATGAGTTGTTTTGAGCTCCAATATTCAGACTTTGAGGCGGCACCGATCTTGGCGGCATCCGATTCATGGAGAAAACCGGGTAGACCGAGTCTTTGTTGTTTTCCGGTTGCCGCTTGTGGTAGCGGGAGGGAAACTTATGAAGGTAGATTTGAGGAGGAGGAAACTTTTTTATTGAAAGACAAAATGGACGAGCACAGTCCGAGTCCCCAGGTGGTGGACCGACTGCATTTAAATCTCAAAGAAAAGACATGCATCCAAGACAAATCTGTCTTGAAACTTCTCTATCTTTAATCTCCGTCGATTCCAGTATTTCCTCGAAGCTGTTTCTGTGAACGCGGCTGAGCGGAGCAAAGGGCTGTGGCCACTATTGCCAGAGAGAACAGAGGTGATGGGGCTGTTACCGAATAGACTCCATTTACGTTCTGGCGATGTTTCCTTGAAATTTTCTACGGGAAACGCAGACGAGCTGCGACACTGGCTGGAGACGTTTCATCGAGTTGTGGAATGGCAGAAAGCTGATTTACTGGTGAAAAGCACTAGACCTACAGATACAGCAGTTTTGAAGAGTGGTGGAAGTAGTGGAGGCGAACAAAATGTTTTTGAGGGTAGTACAACAATAAAGTCTTCAACAATGAAAACTACTATCCAGAGTGCGCTTTGCCATGGTAGTTGTACTACTGAAAGAACGCTTGCTGACAGGAGAGAGAGCCAGAAGATAGCCTATCTTGCACGTACGGTCTTTGCTCTTCTAGAAGCGGATGCGCGTGCTCGCCGTCGGTGGGAACATCGAGCGGCTCTGGCGTTGAAGGAAGTCTGGACCTTCGTGTGGCTTGTAGTCCTGATTTTGAATTTTTATGGTTGTAGTACAATGTACTTACTTAATTTCGACGAGTTGATTCACCATGTTAAGTACTCACAGTAGCCTCAAGACACCCGCCGTAAGGGTAACGCACTGCGACAGCCTATTGTCCACAATCAAACTTAAACTCTAACTCTTTTTACTTTGCGAGTGGTTATGGAAAACGCACTTGGGCCCGCGTTTAGTGTTGCCATTATACGCAAAATGGTCAGCTTTTTTGCAGGGAAAATTTTTCCGTGAGGAAAGTGGGGGTAGTGCAAGCTATAATGGTGGCCATTCTAGTGGATCTGCAACAGTGATGAAGCACTTGCACTCGTCATCAAGAAGAACGCACTCCCGCGCTAAACATAACGAGTCTACAAATGCTAGGAAGGCTACGCATCAACTACACAGCAGAGACAGAGTAGATGATCATGTGGAGTCTACGCCAAGGTTACAACAGGATGAAGCGGAAGAACATCATACGACGAACAGCACTAGCACTACTAGTTTCAACACCTTGTTAGAGGGCCAACATGGTGATCAGGCCACTTCTGATGGGCAGCCTACTCCAGATCGAATAGGAGACAACGCCGGAAAAGAACAAGCAACAGAGGACGCCAACTCAGGCTGTACATGGAAAGAGACCGAGAAAAGGCTTGGGGAATCGCTAGACAGATTACTAGGACTCTATTCGGTTCTGCATGTAGATCACTGTACGTCGGATGCTGAGAAGACCACGCAGAGTGGCGATAAAACGCAGACCTCGGAAGATATGGCGAAAAACGACGGTGATGACAAGCCGGTTAGTACTGCTGCTGTTGCTGGGAAGATGATCCACCCTCAATTTTTGGAAGTAACGCTTACATCGGATAGGAGCTTGCGCCTACGGATCTTTCGCGACGATTTGGAACAAGCATCGAGTGAACACGCTATTGATTAAGAGGGTGTGCCTGTCCTAAATTTCAAAGAAGTCATTACCAGCATGGATGTATTACTTCTTTCACCTGTAGTCCTAAATTTCAAATAAGAAGTCATTACCAGAGTGGATTACTTCTTTCTTAGAAAGGCCTTAGGCTTATCCCATGCAACAACTTCTTTCTTAGAAAGGCCTCTGCCTACTTGCTCCTCTAACACGTATTAGAAATTCCGCTTAGCACACTGGACACTACGGACGACTGCAGAACAAGTTCTGTGGAGCATTCTGCGAACAAGTTTTTTAGAGCTCACGACTTCGTTCATCCAGATGTCGAAGCAGACTGCACGTGTCGTTTGTCGGAAAGCGGAGTTTTGATTTTGCTCCAGCAACCTATTTTATGGAAATTCAGATCATGTTTTTTTGTTCCTTCTATTTTATTGTAGGATGTTGCTGTAGATAGAAGAGTAAACAGATGATGAAATAACGCAAAAGTATCTAAAGCAGATCCTCCGTCTTCTATTTTTACACCTCCCCAGTTGTAGATATTCCTAGTAAGATCGGAAACCGGCGTGTGCTGATGTTTTTTGTCTAACATAACGGGCTGAGGACTCCTGCAGCAACTGCGAGTCACCAGAAGTCCTCTACCGACACGTTTTCCATCGACGTGAAGACGAGCTGTTGGTAGTGGAAACTACTGCCTACAAACCCGAAGACGCATCCACCGGGACGCCGTTGTTTACAGTCTCAAGGATCCTGGAGGAAGTTGTCGGGTTCTAGAAACTCTTGTTCTTGAAGCAAGCCCAGCCATCGGCGAGGCCGTTGTAGTCGAAACACTACTAGCAGACATCACAGGGGATCTTCATAATGAGGATCACAGAGGATCTTCCTAAGGAGGATCCTCGATGGGCGAAAAATTGGAAAATGGCACAATATCTGACGGAAAAAGGCTAGAGACTGGATGGAGGATCATCGAATGCGAAGGGTGCAGGGGGTGTTGCTGGGGACGAGTCAGATGTGGATGTTATGGAACAACCCACTGCCACTACTACTATACAACATCAGCTTTTGCTACTTAACTCCCACATGACTTGTGATCCCGTCTATAATTATGCATTCTCAACATCGTACAACATTCTTTCACCTCTTTTAGATCTTTGAAGTCTAACTTCTACACCATCGAAGCCGGTGATTTCGCACGATTCCGAGATACAGCGACAGGTCGGGACCCTATGCCTCGATGGACAGACTGGTTTGACGACAGACTGAACAGTGTCGTAAAGCTGGTCGGCAAAGACAAGGCAGGACCTAAGAGTCGTGATGCTTTGCATCCGGATTTTCAATTATGGCAGGATAGTTAGGTTGTACGTCAGTATGATCCATCTATTTTCATGTCCTTGCCGTAGTTAATAGGGAGCCTTGTTGATGTAGTAGCTGCATTCATGTAGCGGCGTGCGCATAGGTTTCATTTTCTGAATCGGATAGTGTTGATTCTTTGATATCCAACCCCATCCTTCGGCTCTAATCTGCACAGGACCCAGTGGAAAATGGAAGCATTGGTTGCCAAAACATGGTAAACGATAATCTGAAATTCGCTAAAAAGAGATCAAAAGTGAGAGAACACCGACATCCCTTTACCCTTTAACATCAAGTCTGCCACTGAAGAGTAGGGGTTTCTTGCTGGTCGTTCCATTAGAGGCTTGGAGCAAAGAGAGGCGCTAAAAAATTTGATGAAAAGAACATGAGCTAAAAAGGGAGAAGAACATGAGCGAACCCGAAAAACGGCAGCAAAATAAATAGTCTGGTTGGGAAAATCTTCAAGATTGTGGCAAGCAGGAAAACTTTTGCAGGGTTGGGAAGATCTTCAAGATTGTGGCAAGTATGAAAACGAACTCTTCTTGGTTGATGTTTCAAACCCCTCTCCTCCAATTCGGTTGATGACATGATTCATTTTCATCCAAACATCGATCCTTACTCACGTAAACATAAACTACATAAACATCCTTTTCGAAATCGAACAAAAGAAATATACTCGGCCTGTGTGCCAGCAAAGGCCAAAGAAGTGCCTGAGGTAGTTGTATTTTCAAGTAACGAAAAGATGCTAGGGGCAGGACACGACAGGCGGACCTTGTCTTGTCCGTCTGAGGGCGTGGACAGGGGGATGCTGTGGAGGATATCGGCGGATGATGATAACGAGCATAATGTAACTCATAGTACGGAGATGACTCATCGGAGAAGTACGCGAGATCTTCTTGCAGCTGTAGGGAGCTGCGCAGCGCAAGCAAATAGACCAGGCAGCGAACGACGCCTGGGGGAGCGAAATGGACCGAGTAGAGATGGGACAGAATTGAAGGAGGAGAAAGCTTCATCGTCAACATCACCACAAGGGTCTAGAAACGCATCTACTCCAACTCCTTCCACATCTAGTACAGCAACTCGACGTGTACTATCAGCTTTTCCATTTTCATCCAGTTGTAGCACAGCGTCTTTTCATTTAGGTGGACCACTTAACGAGTCAAACTCTAGTCAAGCATCTACGAGAGCCGCAAGTACCACCACGTCTCCGTCTTCTATGGGGAACACCAACAACTACAAGAGAAAAGGACGACTAGAGAAAAACCCATTTTCATCGTCGTCGCAGCAGCACCCATTTTTACATCCTAGACGTTTCATCCTAGACGCTGCTTTGCTGACATGCTTCGCCTTTTTCGATCTTTTCGGAGGATTACTAGTCGCGCAGGCAGCAACTGTTCCTATCTTAGTGGCTGGACCGGATTATCATCACAAAGCGGACATCTGCACGCTAGCCACAACGGTTTTCGCAGCCGCACCGAAGAAATTTGTTCTTTTGGAGAACAAGCCGAGCAGTCTGCTGAATTTTGTTATGGCGTGGTCAATACATTTAGTTGTATCCTCGTAGGTATAGTTTACGCAACGCCGATGGAGCGGCCGGCTGTAAGCTAAGGTTCTCGCCTTCTAATTTCCTCAACGCCGATGTAGCGGCCGGCTGTTAAAGGTGCTTTTGTTACCGTTTGTTATGGCGCTCCGAATGGGGACGGCCATAACAAACAGGATAAACGAACACCAAAAACCTACCTCTAAAAGTAGGCCGGGATATTATCATTCGTGTTTGTCCATGTTCATCAGTAGATCTTCTCTCTTCACTTTTTACATGTCTAGAAGACTTTACAACGGAACCAGGCAGTTACTTGTAGCTCTTCTCTCTTCAGGTAAATAGAGAGAATATCAAGAGACTTGAGCGGCCGATGGCGTTGGGGTCTCTCTTAAGTTAAATCACCTTCTAATTTCCCCAACGCCGATGTAGCGGCCGGCTGTACACCGACACACGCGCCTAGGCTCAAGCATTTTGAGTCAGTTTTCAAATCCCTCACAGCGGATGATGACGTATTTAGTACTGTGTGTACTACTTGTGTCGCTACTTGTTACCAGTACAACAATCTTAATGTTTTTTCTAAGTGTGTACTACTTGTTTCGTTTGTTTCCCTTGCGGTCTCATGAAGCTCGATGTAAGTAGAAGGAAGTAGTCTGTAGTGGTCTTTTCTACCCCTGGAGTGGGTAGTACACTCATTCATTCACATTTGGCCTTTTTTGTCACAAGCTCCTACCGCAAACCCAAACCCATGATATTGCAGGTAGTCCTTTTTCTGGTCGGCCTTGGTGGATATCGTCTATTCACCTTTCCGACAGCGGACGGAGACGGTGCTAGTTGGAAGAGTTGGGACTTGAGGAAGCAATTGACCAGACAAGACCTCTACGACACTATTCATGAAAGCTCGTTCAAGAGTTTGGTACTTGTTCTAACTTAACGTGGGTTTATGTATTGTAAATGATGCTCTCCTCATCCACTTACAATGAATATAAGTTTAGTTGTACTGATTTTAGATTTGCTTGTAGAGTAAAATTTTATCGACCATCCAAATCCATCCCTCCCTTTGCCTTACGTATTGTCCTTTGTATAAATTGGAATTTCAATACCTTCGAATCTTTCCTTTAGCTCATCTACGCTGACTGGGCTGACGCGGGTACGATGTTCCGAGACAGTTTTTTGCCGTCTAACGCGGTGGCTCTGACAGTCGGAAGCGCGCGTGTGTCCCAGTGTTTCCATGCGAATGCTCCTCTAGTATGCAAAAGCAACGTTTTCACGCAGGCTGTGATGGCGACACATGGTGCTTGATGTTAATGATGTGGAATTTAGTGGGTAGAATGCAGTCATATTTGATGTACTACAGTTCTTGCAATGTAGGATTCATGTGTTCCACAAAAAGATTCTCAACTTTTCCTCCCAGGTGCTACTTTGAAAGCCCAGGCGCGAGCTCTTATTGCCAACTTCGAGGACCTGGAGGTCCATAACACAGCTAGCACGGTAATGAAAAATCCTGTTCTAGCCAAAGTCGTGGATCTGTCAACATCCTCTAGTCTATTTGTCCTTGTAGCAGGTAAATTATATTTCATGGTCAACAAGTACTTCTTTAGGGCACGTAGGTGATTTCAGATCGTTTTTTCTCAAAGTTTTTTCTCAAAGTTTGATTTTTTCTCAAAGTTTTTTCGTTCCTTCCAATTCTTCTCCACCCACCACCGACAAACCTCTCTCCCGTCTCATCTTCAGCTCTACACCGCAGCACTTCCCTATGCAGCCTACACTGCGTATGGCACCGTCCAAACGGAGAAAGAGATGTGCGACGCCAACTCAGTGGACCTCTGTCGATTTTATCATACGAGTCGGAGCACGCTACCGACGCTGCAAGGATCCTTAGTACCAGTCACAGCCTCACGATCACAGGAAGATAATTTGTACTACTTACTTGAGATTAGTACCAGTCACAGCCTCACGATCAAGGGAAGATAATTTGTACTACGACTTACTTGAGATGATTTAGTACCAGTCACAGCCTCACGATCAAGGGAAGATAATTCGTACTACTTACTTGAGATTAGTACCAGTCACAGCCTCACGATCACAGGAAGATAATTTGTACTACTTACTTGAGATGATTTTACTCGTCTGTTTCTATTCTTTGTTAGCTTAGTGAAGTATTTATTTCTTTTCTAAAAGGTTTACGTTTATTTCTTTGTCAACTGCCTGCAAGATGGCAAGTTTTAATACTTGCAACGAACTCTTGGAATTTACCCAGCCACCACATCAATCCATATCCTAAAAGGTTTACGTTTAATATTTCTTTATCAACATCCAGTTTCATCAAAGTGACGAACTGCAACGAATTCCATGTGGAGGATGGAGAGGGAGCGCCATTGAAGACCATGGAGGAAAAGCTGAAATGCTTACGTGGCTTAGTAGAAGCCGACACCGTACCTGTCCACGACGACCTAAAGCCTTGGGACTACGAGTCGTGCGGAAAGGAGGCGCTGAATGTCGTGTACTTGTTAAATTTTTGTTCGATTTTTTCTTTCGAGGACCTCTTCACCAATATTACCGATTACTTGGCACTACCCAGTCTTCTTACAGCTACCTACAATAGGTTCTTCAGAGGGTGGTCCTATTACTTGCTTCTCCCCGAACGAAAAACTGAATCCCCCAACTACATGATTGTCCTTCATAAAATTCTCAGTCTCACGAAACAGCTCTTCTCCTGAGTGCTGTGCAGTCAACCTATGGAGGACTCTTCAATTCTATATCCATACTTGTTCTCCTCAGTGCAATCTGTGGTACATGGGGACACTATACGTCGAGATTTGCCAAAGTGCTATGGAATCTCTGCGGCCGGGAGGATTGGAGCAGTCATCGAGTGGTGTCTGCTTTGGATTATGGCTATAAAACAAGAGGACCATTTTCTTGATAGACCCAGAGACGTGATCAAGTGATGAAGTTGAAGGATAGACCCAGAGACGTGATGAAGTTGAAGATTGTAGTCTGTATCTATGAAGCAATGTAATCACTAGAGACGGTATAAGAATACCTTTGCAGCTCACAACTTATCTTGATACGTTGAGTAACGACCATAACTTTTGTTCTTTTATTGGGTTTTGTTTTTTCTAGTTAGGTCTGCTCCACCAACACTATTACTAGAGACAATTGTGATCAAAAACCTTCCTCCAACGGATGCTAGCCTACGAGGATGATGGAAAGGACTGCAACACGAACGAGTATCCGGATAACGAGCTGCTCACTATTGCTCTAGGCGTCACGGGTTTGATCCTCACGGTCTTGTGCCTGACTGTCGGTACTTTTTTGTGTTCTAGCAGCGCATGTGGATTAATAGAGAAGTTTGGATTAATAGAGAACAGATGTTCTAGTAACACGGATTAGTTGGATTCTCAAAGAACCTTACATGTTCTAGTACCACGGATGGTAGTAGTCAATGACAATGAATTGATCTTGGATTGGTTCTTTTGGAATCGATTTTGCTCTCACAGCCCATTCCTTCTGACACACTCACGATCGAAACTCCAATAATCAATTTGACAGGCAAACCGGTCGATCGAAAAATCCATGGCGAGCCACCTGAGCATGACTTCAACTGAGAAGGATAGCGCATGCTGCGCTAAGGAAACAGAAACCTCTGCTGAGTCTTGTTATGCTGAAAATATACATCATTGATGTAGGTGATACTACTTCCCTATGCTATTGAAACAGAAATATGACTTTCCTGTCATCTCTTTTTTTTTATGTCAGATTTATCAAAAGTGTAGTAGCTAGTTGTGAACTTTTCTATTGTCGCTAAAATCAGAATCAGATACAAACTCTCAGTAGAGATCTTCCTATCTTTGTCAAAAAGTGTAAAACTTCAAACAAAAAGGTGTTGGAATTTTGGGAAAATTATCATGTCTGAAGGACAAGAAACAACGCGAAAATGTTGTTGTTATTTTTGAGAGTACCCCAGACTGCAAGGAGAGTACGCCAAACAAGGAGAGTACCTTGTAACAACGACCTCCTTGTTACCTCTTTCTGACTGCAGTCCTTTGCAGGTTCTAGTTGAAAGGGAGACTTATGACTGAGGAGATGTGCTTGTGCGCAAAAAAAATTATGTTGGTGAAACGTATATCTTGGAAATAATCTAGACCTAGTAGACCTAGTAGACTAGTAGATAATATTAACAATTGTTCTAACTCGTTCTTAGATATAATGTATTGAAAAAACAGCCACGCAATGATATAGCGAGACTATCAATCATTAATCGATAATATCCTTATCCTATAACCATACCTAATTATAAACAGCAGCATTTCATCATTGCAGGGTTAAAATTATAGTGTGTCTATCCCAAAAAGAAAATCACTCTTGTCACATACTCAGGAAAAAATCGCAAGATCAAAGCCCGATGCTTGAACAAAGGAGCATGATTGATTTTATCTGAATCTCCAGGTTGGTGAGCTTGTGATGCTAATCACAAATGAAGTATAATATGAACAAGACCACGTGGTCGTTTCGCGATGGAACAAGCTGTATCCGAGTACGAAGAAGCAGGCTGTCTAGCTTTGTGCAGAATACAACTTAGTGTGCATGAAGAAGACGTGAACATGAGTGGAGTCAAAGTTTTTTTTCTGAAAAAATGAGCATGATTGTCATCTTCACGTAAGCATGATTGTCATCTTCAGTGGCACTATCTGCTCCAAAAAGACGCCCTTTGTCGTACTAAATACTCTGAAGACGTTGTTTAGCACGTCAACGGGCATTGTTGTATTTTTGTTTTTGACTAAACGATATCCATAGCACGGCTGGTGGTGCAGGTCCTCTTCGTTATACCTCATTTTTTTTATGTCTAGGATGGACATAGACGCCAGATATTCATAACGCTTCACTCTCTTGTTTTTCAGCTCTGTATGATTTTCTATCCTTTATTTTATTAATTTTGATTGTCGGTCGCCCCTACTAATTAGGGCATTTGTAGTTGTCAATGAATATAATGTCGTGCTAAATCCTAAACCTTAAAATCACGTAGTGATGACGACCAGCATGTCCTCCCACGCAGCATTACGATCGTGTTGTCCTCCACGTCGTCGAAGGACAACAGATCATGCGGATGTCGCAGCGAACGTGAGTGTTGCAGTACAAGTTGATGAGCGCCCCAAGATGATGACCACGTAGAAGACGTCCATGCGGATGTCCATTTAATGACCATTTTAATGACCATCGCCGCAGCTTACGAGGAAAAGTCCTAGTCGTGGTGACCACCGCCGCCGTCTCGTCCCGAGCAAATTACCGCCATCACGTCGAAATACAGCCGACTACAAGATCATGCAGCCTTCTGACGCGACCCGCGGCGGTCGTGCCAGCAGGCAGCAAAACAGCCACTACAGATTATGGGCACCGTGGTCAATCCGTCTTTTACACGTACATTGTTTAGCCAACTTCTTCTTGGGACAAGCTAAGAGATTAAGAATCTTCTAGCCGATTGCTCCTTCTTGGAACAAGCTAAAAGAATATCAGCATCTTCTAGCCATTTTCTATTTGGAGCAAGGTAAATAGAGATGTTATGAAGAAAGTAAATGTAGATGTTATGAAAGATGGGCTGTCCTAGTCTAAACAGAAGCACTAGTGCAGGTCATCCTAGTCATTTCTTTGGGTGGTCGAGCAATAGTAGGAGCGTTTTCTATGGAGGTCGCAACTTTGAGGCGCCTCCTGGCATGCACCGTTTTGCGCCTGGTCAAGGTGCACAATGGAATTATGGAGCAACTCGAGCTATTATTATTATTTTTCGGAACTCCATCTCCTTCATTGTGAACAATAGGGTTTGGATTAGTGGCTGTTCTGTATTCTTGAAGGTGTAGCGGAAGATAGAGATATGATATTAATGCCCTGCACCAGGAAGGTGTTTGTAGTGGAAGTGGATACTGGTTTTTTCAAGGTGTAGGGAATATCGGTTTTTTCAGGTTTTCTTAGTTTTAGGCGATGCTGGTTTCTAAGACCTCCCTTCCGGATCATCCCGAGGCGCATCCCGAGGCGCCTCCCAGTCTCGAGACGAAGCTTCCGCCAGCTTATCTTCCGCTATGAACCATAGATCCTCGTGGTACGTCTTAGGAGTTGACGGCCCTCACGCCAGTAATTAAGGCGAGGCTCTTAAAGGTGTTTGTATTACCGCTTGTTTTGCCTCTCTCTCTCTCCTGAGGGACGAGAAAAGCAGTAGAACAAATGGGAAGCGGAAACACCAAAAGCCTACCTCTAAAGTAAGCAGGAAGTAGACAAGGCTTTTCGAAGGTTGTCGCTTCTAGTTCACCCAGATCAACACATGAGTGAAGGACAAGAAAAAATCGACGAGTACACATACGAGTTCGCTTTGTTGAATTTATGAAGAAAACGACAGAGAGGTTCCCTGAACTCGCAAGATGCAGTTAGCTCTTACTAGTGCTAGTAGGTGCGAGTGTTTGTGTTACTCTTACGAAGAGGCCTAGAACGTTCTTTATTATGTACAACTGCCGCAAGAGTAGGAAAAAACCCGTCTCCTCTAACCTTCGCAGCCCGAACGAAAATGCTGAATAAGGATCGTGATTGGCAACGGGTGCAAGTGAGGCCTGGTTGGCGCAGGCCTCGAGTCGTAGAGGACTATCTTCGGAGGCAAAGAGGCGAACCCGCTCTAGCGTCCAAGGAGAAGCAACCTGTTGGGAGACAAGTTCTTATGGTGAAACAGGCTGATTTCTCGTGCTCGTTCTCTTTTTAAGTAAGTGTTATTGTCAAAAGGAGGCTCGTTATGTGAAGCAGGGTGTCCTCTACTGGCCACGATCGTTGACCCTTGATAAATATGCCTCCTCTAATATTCCTCCAGCCGCCTTCAACTATTACCTTCCTCTACAAGGAATGTACTACAACAATGTTGTTGTGCCCCAGCCCCCTTTACCTATTACCTTCCTCTACAATAAATGTACTACAATGATGTACTACAATGAATAATTTACTACAATGATGTACTACAATGATGTACTACAATGATGTACGTCCTCTAATCCCACCCTCCACCCCACCGCAAAGAGCGAAGCTGCTGCTGGTCGACGGCCGGGAAAATCTGGTGATGCAGGGCCAACCGACGCCTATGGCAACGTTAATGTGAACAAGGGACCCGCATACGTGGATCCTCAAGGTCCAGCTTCCGTACCACCGAAGGCTTCACAAGCGGCATATCAACACCTGTTCGAACGGAAAACGAGGGGGAAGGTATTTTTTTTTGTCTTATCCACCAGACTTTGCTATGCTTTTCACCGACGTCATGTAAAGACTAAGGTATTTCTTATCCTAACTAACTTGGAAGTTCCGTTTCCACCTACTTAGGAAGTTCCGTCTCCACCTACTTAAGAAGAAGAGCAAGAACAGCCTGAAACTGCTTCTGATGAGCCATAAGCCTTTTTGCAATTCAAGTTTACGTCGACTGCTACGTCGGCTGCTACGTTGATACTACTAACAATAGCTGCTTAGGGTTACTACACTTCCACCGATAGAGTCTATTTCAGGCCCCCTCACCAAAGGACGGCTCTTCCAGTGCATCCTCCTCAAGCGGTTCAATTAAGGCCTCACTTAGTCCATGTTTTAGCTCATCCCTGACCTGCTTGCAAGTAGAAAACGGGACACAGATGAGGGAAAAGATGCATGGGAGTGGGTTCTAATCCAAGCAGCGCTAGTGCTAGTGCTAGTGCTTCCTCGACTGCTGGCGCTGGGAAGAAGAAGGGCTCTTCACTCTACCCCTCTCCAACGGCTCGCGTTCCGACTAATAGACGAACAGTATCGAAGAGTCGCTCAAAGAGTCATTCTCGTGGAGGGGAAGGTGGCAGTAGCTCCTCGAGTCGAGGATCGTCTAATTCTTCCTCCGTGAACAATAATGGAGCAGGCCAAACTAGAAGCCTATTCCCCACAGTAAAAACGCCACGAACAGCAGGAAACAACAGTACTACGAATAAGAAAAAAGGTGCAGGAGCAGGTGCTTTTTCGTCGTTCATGAGCAAGGTTTCTTCGATTAAGGCAACCGAGCAGAGAGCATCCCCCTACAGCATGATCCTTGAAAAATAAGCCCCCGCCAAGGATCATGCCCTGCCGCTGAAAGAGGATGCCAAGAATGCTATGTACAGCTCTAATACTGACGCTTCAGGACAAGGCGCTAGAGGTCCTCGCGATCTTAATATGAAAAATATATCTTCCATCTCAACTACAAAGGCGAACACTAATGCAGCTGCAACATCATCTTCAACTACAACTAAAACCTCGAAAGGACAAGGAGTACAACTAAAACCTCAAATAGGAACACAGGTAGACGAGGTTATTGTTATAGACGGCGACTCCCAACAACAGCAGCAGGCTTCACCTAGTGGAATCATCAAAAAGAATACCGATAATCGGAATCCTTTTCTGCCTAATTCGAGGGTTGCTAGTGGAGAAGTCATCAACCTGGACGTATCTATGGATGATAGTCAAGGTGTCGTGGATCTAGATCCTAGTCCAGTAGTAGAAGGACAACAACAGGAGGATAAGCTTTTTATGGAGGACGATGATGATGACGACGATGATGATGACGGTGTGATTAAGGGTTTCCGAATTGCATTCCTCACGACCATCCCTGACTCTTTTCCTAGTAGAAAAGAGGCCAGGAATTATGTGCTGAAGAGTGTAAAAATTCCGTAGCCTCTAATGTGATTGATTTAGAAGCATCTCCTAGGGTCTCACCTAGGGAAAAAGCCGGCGTGGGTAAAACGCTGCGGGGCACAATATCGGGCTCTTCTTCTTCATCTTCTTCCTCAGCAGCGGGTGCCATGACTTCGCGAAACAAAAGCGCTTCGACAAAAGGTGCTGCCGATCAACCACCCACTATGACTGCAACAACGAACTCCACTGCCTCGTCAGCAGCCACTTACGGCGGCCCACCGGTCATCCCACCTACATCTTCCACTGCAACTGAGACCACATCAAACACACACGAGAACACGACGAAGACAGCGCGGCTTGCTCGTACGCATTCTAGTACAGCTTCCGCGGGTAGCAGTGTTAGCAGCATCGCGAAGAACTTTTTGGGGTCGATGAGTGATACGTTGTTTAGCTCGCGATGGTTTTCGACACCTAGGATGGATAACGACGATAGTTCTAATCCAAGACCTCGAGTTCCGAAAAACAAGGCGCCTGATGAGAACGTTATGACTCATGGCTTCGTCCATAGACTTCTAGTACTTCTATTGTGGTTATGTTGACCAGCACTCATGAACAATGCCCACTTTGGTATTTAGAAGATGCATTGAAGACAAAAATGAGTCCTCGGACCTCCTACTTGAACATCTTTCTCTAATCTACCCAACAACAATGCTGCGAAGAAGCTGTCTACTCCTTTCGAGCCTCTGCGACGTATGGCATCCTCTGGCTCATTCGATCGGGATTTAGACGATGCTAGATTTCAGGCTAACAAGAGGAGTGCTTCAGTTGTACGCACCAGCTCACAAGAGAAAATGCCACCTCCGTCTTTATTGTTAGCGAGAGGAACGCGATCGGTGGTGCCGCCGACTTCGTTTGCTAATATTGATACGAGGTATAATAGTGGGACGAGTCTACAACAGGGAATGCAGCAGCAGCAGGCAGGAACAAATCTTGGAGTTGGACGACCAAGTACGAACAGTACAAACAGCACCACATCAGCGATGAAAATAGATCCAGCACCTCTAACGTCTAGTACAACAACTTCTGCGAGCACCATGTCAAACACGATGAAGATTAATCCACCTAGAACAGCATCTACTTCTAGTAGTAAAGTAGCTGGTGCTGGAAGTAGTCACAATGACAACGCCTCTTCTACCAGTGCGCCATCATCGCTCGCTACCAGTCCAACCGAACCGCCTATGCTGAACAGGATAGACGTGCCTCAGACGACGTCAGGTCTAGGATCTGCAGCTACATCTTCCTCAGCTCCTGGAGGAGCACGTAGATTAGAAGAGACAGGGAGTTTAGATGAGTACATAAGTATGAAGACTTCTAGTTCTACTAGTGGTGCTGGTGGAGGGTTATCGCACGGACTAGCGCAGGCACAGGGACACCCGCAGGCAGAGGTACAAGGACGGCCGCAGGTGTACGGACAGCCGGAGGTGGAAGGATATAATACACAACCTAGTAGTACTGGTGGTCAACAAAAGACAAATAGGTCATCCCGAAACAGTACCTTCCAGGCTGATCGTATAGAAGCGCCTGTGAGTGTATCAGCAGAACGGCCAAGGAAAAGACGAGCGTCGACGCTCGATGGCGCACCCTGTGTCGCTGGAGAAGCAAAGAGGTCTCCTGAGACGAAGAAAAAATCGCCTGAGATGAATTCTTTGTACACTACAACTAGAAGCATGGGTGCAAAAATATCATCTACATCATCTACTACTGAACAAAATATGCCTTTCTTGAGTACAACAACAAGGACTCGACTTGGAAAAGCTTCTTCTACTTTTAGTGGTGCGAGTAATTCTGGTGCTAGTTGTGTCAGAAGTGGCACTGGCCACGAAGAAGCTTCTCAGGTTGTACCCAGCAGCAGTACAATAGGTGCTAGTAGGAGAAGCCGACAGGATGTTGTAAGTGAAGAACAACTAGTACAGTCAGAAGAGGGAGAGGCGAAAACATCAAGAAGTAAGACATTCGGAGTTGCTTCAGCTGCTGCGCTGTTTCCAGATGTGGCTGAAGCTGCTACGCCTGAATCCAAGAGGAGGCGGAAGAGCGTAAAAGCTGTGCTGGGTGGAGAAGGAGACGAGCTTGAACCTGAGGCGCGAGCACGAGGGGAGGGCGAAGTAGGGGTAGAGGAAACTACTGGCTTGCATCGTCCAAAGACGAGTACAACTCGATTAGATCGCAACGGACTAGACCAGAATGATGCTCAACGACCTCAACAAAGCACCAAACTAGAAGATCCTCGTTTTCCTACGACTTCAGCTCCTCCGACGAGCAGTATTGATTATGCTTTTCGTACTACGAGATCGCAGAGCCTAGAGATAGACGGACTGCGCGTGATCGATGTCTCCATAGTACACGAGGAAGAAGATGCCATGTCTCCGGCACAGGCATTAGCGAGGCAGCCACTAAATAGAATTGTAGGGAAAAATACAAGTCGTGGTCTACGTATTGGAAGTTCAGATCCAGTGGGTCCAGCAGGTCTAGCTTCAGGGATCATAGAAGAGCATGATGGAGGAGATGAAGAGCATGCTGGAGGAGATCGAGATGATATCAGAGGGGTTTCTTCTACGCTGGGAGAACAAGAAACTTTAGTGCATGAAGATACGTGTGACTCCATTTTTATCTTAGAAACGCAGGAGGCTGACGTGTCGACTTCGCAACCGATTCGGCATTCGGTTGCCAAGAACTGCGTGAACGCATCTGTAGCTGGATCAGCAGCAGCACGTGGGGAACAACCTCAACAGGGCGCGAGGGGAATGTCCCTTGATGAGCATGTGAGAGTCAACACTGATGTTGATCAAGATCAGACTCAGAATGTTCAGAAGACAGTAGCCTCCGAAGATCCACCACCACAACTACTTCAGAAACCACCAGAAGCACACGCACCAGAAGCACACGCACCAGAAGCACACGCACCAGCAGCACTACGAGAATCAGTACTTCGACAGTCTGCAACAACTCTAACTTCAGCAGTGCAACAGCCGTCGACAGAGCAGGAGCAACCTGTGATCAAGGGGGACGTCGCACTCGTTTCCAGACCTCATCGGAAGACGATCAGTAGTGTCTATGGTGGGCACAGTATCAATCCTTCCTCAAGGAAAGGTCGCTATGACTCAGATAGTGAGGCTGGATCCTGCCGGAAGAATTTTGAACCGGACCTCGTAGGAGAGGTTCTTGATTTTGACGACGAGGGTCGCGATGTAGATGGAAGGACGAAGGTAGGCGTAGATGGAAGGAATGTAGATGGAAGAACTGAGAGGAGGGCGGCGATGAAGGGAAAGGAAAACGAAGATGGAGTAGCAGTAGCTGGTGGTGGAGAAGCAAGAAAAGGTGCGGAGAATCATGACCACAGAACTGGTTCGAGTACTTGTCTGGTAGATGAAGACCAAGACCCAGCAACTACAAAAATGGCAGAAGTAGGAAAGGAAGGAAACAATGCCGGTTCACTTCGTGACTCTAGTACACCTTTAGAAACGCTTCTTGTTCAAGGTGCGAGGGGGCCTGGAGCTCCTATAAAAATCCCAAAATTGATCGTGCCTGGAGGACCCACAGCGACAGCCTCGTCTTCCTCTTCGTTTGCGAGTGCAGTAGAGGCTGGAAGAGGACCACTCCAGGCAGAAACGGGACAGCCATTGCATCAACACCCAGTCCCAGATCAACAACCGCTTCTAGCACGTCCCCAAGCAGTAAATCTTCCACAAGATCATGGACCAGAACGAGAACAACATGAACACGTACAACGACTCGTTTCCGACAATGTTTCTGCCCTTCTGTCTAAAGAACCGGTAAGAGCTTTGTTCCAAAGTGAAGCAGAGTCGTCTCACGTGAAAACCAACAGTCGGTTGCCGAGTAGAAATATAGCCAGCAGTCCTCCAGACGAGCTGACTGCTGGCACAGCGCGTCGCTTAGTGTTGCCAACGCCGAAAGGCGAAAGAGCTGCTGGGGATTTGTTGTTAAGAATCATGGGGACTCAGAAACTTCTCTTGTGGATTGATGTCGCCGCATTAGCGATCGTAGCTTTTGAAATTGCGTAGTAGCGTCGTGGCAGCAGACAAGAACCGTGGCTACTTTTGGTTATACGTACTTGATAGTAGATCACTCGGTCATTTTGCTCTTCTAATTTGAAGGTACAGGATGACTGAACGGTGTGGTCTAAAGCGTTAGATATACAACACGTAAAATTAGGTATCATCTTCTAATACCCGACGTGACAGTCACTATACCCGAAGACGTGGAGATGGAGGACGCAGATGGGCAAGTTGCCATGACGTCATGGAATGTTGGAGGCGTGCAACGTATGAGCATCGATGGCTACGCTTCGTCACCTCCTCCGAGAGCGAACAACGTACACCAGGGGAGGTCTTCAGGACCTATATTTGGATCTAGTAGTAGTATGGCCTTTCCCAGTAGTACTTCGACGGGCGTTGGGGGTGCTGGCGGGCAACAGAGCTTTGGAATTTCAGCCGTTAGAACTACAGGAGCAACTAGTACAACAGCATTGTTAGGGGCCGCGGTTCCTACAAGCGGCTTTACTGGTATCAACATTGGCCCCACAGCTTCTAGTTCTAGACCACCGGGAGTATCGCAGCATCCGGGACGGCATAGCAACAGCTTCCCAAACACAATAAGTGGCCCTCCCCAAATGAATACTATGTCTACCGCCCCTACAACATCTACTTCGAGTTCGATACGACCACCACCACAACCGCAGACATCATCAACATCTTCACGTGGCCCACTGCTGAATGCAGCGCAGGATCTGAGGAGTACACTACTAGCAGACGTAGCGGAGCAATCGGCAAGTAGTGGAGTAGAGGCACGCGCAGGATTAGAGGAGGATGAAGCTATATCAAGCCTCTTCGAACAAAGAATGCACGTGCGAAGAAAACAGTAGTACTTATACAGTTTAGGACTAGGAGGTTCTTTGGGTACAACTAGTATTTTTAAGTGCTGCTCCTGAAACATTTCATTTTTACAAGTCTTCTGTACTTGAGATTGCTACTAATAAATGAATGGTCCTCTCAACCTTGAATAGTACAATTATCTGCATTTCTGAAGAATGGACGATGTGATACGAATGACCTAGTACTACGCACCTGGAAAACCAACCTCCGTTTTGATCCGTGCATGATTTTATGCATCGACAATGACAAGACTCATCAGACTTTTCTACTGTAAAGAAGCCTCGTCCCTTGATGCAACCTCAAAATATGTAAATCACTCAGGTTACGGTTACCTACTACCAACCTCTGGCTACCTCATGACTTGCAACCTCATCATTCAGGTTACCTACTACCAACCTCTGGCTACCCTGCTCGGATGAGAGGCTCCCTCACGTCTTGCGTGTTGAGATGCTCCGCGAGCTCTTCAATGTAGAGGACAAGAAGTTAGCAGAAAGTTTGAAAGAGGTGATTGTGGAGCTTAGGAAGCGGAAAAACAGAGATGCAGCAGTCTATGAGATGCTCCACGGCAAGCCTCCTGCGTTGGAGAAACTTCTACGGAGCCAGTCTGCATACTTTGAATTTTTCTCATTGGGACGGAGGGAAAGGGTGCGGTTATTGCGGTGACATGAGGCTGTTGCGATGCTCGAGGGAATGGGTGAGTGGATTGCGCTTCCGAGGAAGTTGGTTCTCAGGTTATAAGACTACTTACGCGTTAAAAAAAGTCTCTTAATACTTCGGTCCATGAATAGTTTTGGGGTACTACTGTAGTCGCCAGATGAAGATGCTAGGTCATTACCGCCTTATCGTTGAAGAATTCATGGTTAAGTGCACCAGTTTTGAATCCAGCTTCTTTTTTTTTCTGCTTTCCATCATCATACTTTTGCGCAACTTTTCGATTTTCGTTTTTCGATTTCAAATCAACCAGGACACAGACGAAGATGTGCTGGGCATCGTTCTAAGTGCCCTGTCGATTCAGGACGAAATTACTCCTTTTTTTTACAGACTTCGTTGTAACAAACTTCTGAAGTTAATCAAGCGGGGAATAGAAGACCAGAGACCCCCTGCTCGGGTGGAAGAACACATCATGGAAGTGATTTCAATTCTCCGTTCGATTCTCATTCTCGTGATTGGTGTTGCAACCTCTGTATAATAATTGAAGATTGCGACCGTCGGGTTTCTGCTGAGGGTCCTCGTTCCATGAAGATAGTGCCCGTTCCGTGAAGAGATTGAGAGGTTGGTCTATCAGTAATAAAGATGCCTCACTTGCTCGACGTTGGGCTCATTTGAAATGGTTCACGAAGATTAATTGGGAAAAACTATAGGAATCAAGTAGAAGTTGAATGGCGTCCTACTATAGGAATCTGGAAATCGAACAAGATGAACTTTACCCAGGTCGTTATGTTTGATTTATTTTACATGTTCCAGGTTATGTTTGAGTTGAAGATGAACTCTATCCAGGTCGTTTGTTTTGAGTAAATGATACTTACCGAAGTCAGTGGAGAAAACAATGTCTCGTTCTGGCGGTACCAGACAGCGAGTCGAGGAGGATCAGGAGGATGACCTGATGGCCTCCTCTGACGACGAAGACCGCCCTGCCGCCAAGAGACAACGACAGCATTCTACCGCTTCTGATATTAAGGCTTCCCCTAATGGTAATGCTGATCCATTTTTAGAAGCATCGCTCTTGCTCGTCGGAGACTCTATTTTCAAGGGGAAAAGAAGCAGTCCCAAGATGGACTTAGACACGTTTCTTTTCAAAGGGAAAACAAAACACGCTCAGAATGTAGTAACTTCGAGATGCTGTAAATTATCCTTGAGCTGCTGAATTGTGTTAGAAGGTCGTGTAGGAGACTTAGTGGCAGACAAATCTATCACTATCTGCTCTAATAATAGGAGACTTAGTGGCAGAATAAGTGCGTCATCTTCACCTGGGTCAGACGGAGAAATAGAGGATTCCGAAGGCGTGTTTGACGAGGATGGGACAGAAAACACAGCGTCCGACTCTCAAGACGGCATTGTAGAGGAATCAAGTCAGGGAACGCCGAATAGTAGTAGAGGTCGTAGCGTGTCGAATTCGCCTAGTAACGGTAATCTGTCTAGTATTAAGGGTAGGCTAGAGGTGTTCTTGCTATACCGTTCGGCTTGCATTCCTGAAGGGGGAAAGGCATGACGAACGGGGTACTAACAACGAACACCAAGAGCATACCTCTAATAGTAATCTGCCAAACGCAGGCGGAGCAGCAGCTGGAGTAGCAAGGAACAATGCTAGAGGCGTTGGACTTGGAGGTGGCGGGGGATTAGTATCACCGGCTTCGTCTCTATCCTCGAGGAAAGGTGGCGCAAAGGCAGGACCTTCTCCGGCATCTGGAGGGGGATCCAAAGCTTCACCATTCTCATCATCCAATAGCCAAGCAACGCCATCCTCATCATCATCCAATAAGAACAAGGCAACGGCCTCATTTTCTTCTGGTCAAAAAGCCAAAACGCCAGGAGGTGGTGCCAAAGCGATGCTGAATGGAAGTAAGGCGAGGACTCCTGCTGCGGCAGCAAAGGACACTCCTGGAGCAAAAGCAAAGTCATTAAGCATGCTAAAGATAAGGCTCCTCTTCATCTTCAAGATAATACTAAAATTATAGTTCATGATCTAATGCCAAAAGCAGTCGTCGGAGCTTCATCAGGTTCGAGCTCTTCTTCAGCGTCCCTTTTCTCACCGGCAAAAGCGCCATCCTCTGGTAGCGGCGTTAAGCCAACAAGGATAACGAAGTTGAAGGGTGAAGGAGCAACTGTTAGTGGAACGTCAACGTCTGGCGCATCATCTTCAAGTACAAGTGCAACTAGTACAACTACTTTTAAGGCTCAACTTTCAATGGTCATTGGGGTTGGTCACTGAGATCGAAGAGGCGACCCCTTCTTGAGAGAATCAACAGGGGAAATAAAAGAAGGGAAAGGGGAGAGCTTTGAAGGAGGTCTCTTCCGTTCAGAGTCAGTGACCAACGAATGCTGAGCTTTAAGACTTCCAAAAGTGCAACTAGTAAAACTACAACTTCCAAAAATGGCAATCCTGTAGTAAGTCCGAGTGTAGGGAAAAAGGCGGGACGAGGGGGACCCTCACCAAAGGCAGGAGCACAACCCAAAGCACACGGAAAATCTGCTTTGGTGGCGAGAGGAGGTACTTTTTTAAAAGTTTACTAAGTTGCCTCATGTAGAACAAAATTGTTTTTAAAATATGAGTGTTACTGAAAACGCTTAGTTATGCAGCCTATGCGACAAACAATGATCATGTAGACTAGACAAAGTTTTTTAAGTTCTTTCTGTACAAATAGAGCAAAACAGAGTATAAGTATAGTTATCTTTATACTACTACTACTTCTTCCACTGTATTTCTTCATTCTGATATTTAGTAATTGCTGTGCTTTATCTTTCAGATTCTCCTAGCAAGCTAAGGATCGGACACGTGGAACTTGAGGAAAGAATGGTTAGGGCTGATATGGTGCAGTCGCTCGTCGACGAGAACAAAGGACCAGATGGAGGAGGCGGCGTTTATGTACTCCTGAGCTACTCAAAGTTATAAAGTGAGAATGTTTAGTCTCCCAGATAGTACATGTAAGACTATGTGAGACTCATGCTATGCTATGCTTCCTTCGGCTTATTTACTAGTCTCTTCATGAGATTTAAAGTTCATATCGAATCACTATTCATCGTCGTAGAAGTTTAGGAACGCCTGTTGCTGACTTTGTTTGATTAATATCTATATCTTCAGGAGTACTAATTTTGCTCCTCTGTAAATCAGTTTTAATACAACGAACTGAACAAGCTTGAGCTTGCGAAATCATGTTTCTTGATTCCTGAGTACCAAACTTCCAGATCCCTACCTCGGATTTAGCGGACATGGATGAATCGGAGATGCGATCTGTTTTTGATGCTGCTGCGAAGCAAAAGAAGGACTACGACCCGCAAATCGATATAAAACGACTAAAAGACGTCCCAGTGAAGATTTCTGGTGTAACGCGGATCATCCACACTGCGTCTGGTTTATATCAACAGAAAGTGGCGGAGATGGAAATCAAACTTCTCCAAAAAAATCGAGATCGGTATCTGTTGCCGAAACTTACGATTATAAGTTTTCCCTGAACATGTAGACTCTCGTATCGTACTTCATACACTACCTCTTCCTTGGAGTATAATTACGTAAAGTGGTCACAATTACAGCGAAAGAAGCACATCTCACATTCTAATCCCCGTTCCTTCCGCTTGTGCGTTAGAGAAGCTCAGGAACTCGCAGGCTGGAACGGGCGAAAGTGGACCACGCACGCTCTACTTCTATTGCAGAAGGTGATGGAGGAAAGCCTAACGCTGCTTTCGAGTAACAGTCTGCTCTTAGCATCACACGCGAATCGGGTCACGTTGAAAGCTAGAGACTTGTCTCTGATGAAACGGTTGCGTGAGAACGTAAGGAAAGACGTCAAGAGGAGATGCGAACTTCCGTAGGGAGGATGGCAGTGCGTGCCGGGGCATGTTCGGGGTTGTCTAGAATCTCGAGCGTTTGAATGATGCAGAACTCCTTCTGGCTGTCTGAATCTAAATAGATGTTTTTTTGTTCTACTCTCATAGTCTAGATGTTGAATGATGTGTTGTCTGAAAGAAGGGGTCATCATAGTAGGCTGTTTCCTAAAATCCGTATGCTTTTCTTGTTATTTCGTTTGTCTAGGCAGTGTAGATACCATTAGACCATCATTTAAATTTCTATAACTATCTTGTAGTTGTTATCACTGCATTATCTTCGCACAAGATAATCAATGTACATGCTGCAGTACTATGTGATGTATGTAGAACGACCTCCAACTTTATTCTTATAGAAGAAGTACTAATCATGTACTTGGATGATGTGCAACCAAAAGTGTTGTACTAGTTGCTCCTTGAGTCCTTTTTCGGTCAAATAAGAGCAGAGCTATATCCTTATCCTTTCATCTTCCAACATCATCACCGTACGTATGCTATACCAACTACAAATACAATGTTACTCTTATTGCTGCAAGAATGACTTAATGTTAGGGAGGAAGATGGCTTGAGGACGTAATCTTCAACAGTGTTGTGGTGGTTCCACACAAAGTTAATAGTTTGCGCACACGCATCCTAGTTGTCGTATCAAGAAAATGATTTGAAGAGTTCTCTTTGGGTTAGTCAGGACGTAAAAAGAGATATCATCATGGCATGACATATTACAACATCTAGGGAAAGAATCGCCACCGGCTACCTAAATTGATCTTGACGATGGTCTTGGGACGGATTCTTCTTGCACATACTCCATATGGAGAATGCAGGCCAAACTCTGGACGGCGGAGCAATAACTTTCCTATCCTATCCTTCGTGGTTGTGTCTCACTTCCTTCATCAAGTAGTTTAATACCTTTCGTGCGATGAAGTGAAGCGTGAAACAGGTTCGCAACATTCATTCTACGGTTCGCAACCCTGTTTCACACTTGCGAACTTCATTCTACGACGAGAAAGCGCTTGAGACGAGCGACACACCTAGATAGGAGCGCTCCCCGTACTTGGAGGAAGCAAAAAAAGATGTGAAGATCCAAAACGGTCCATTAAAAACGAAGATCCTATAGATGGTAACCTTATGCAGCATTCATAGACCTTTATTGATGATATTACCTTGACTCTGTAAGGGACAAATCTATATGGGACAGCTCTATATGGGACAGCTCTACTTATAATAAGGGACAGCTCTGGAGGAGGTCTTCTTACACATTATGTGACATACTCTATATGACGAATCCATCCCACGACCATCGTCCAGATCCATTTAGGTACTTAAACAGATATTGTTCAACACAACTTGAGTCTGAACGTGACCCATCTTCAAGGAACTAGAACAGAAAAGTAATGATGCACAGCACCACGTCGTCGACGCAGAGGATGCGGAGTGTCGGCTCTCGTGGTAGAGAAGGGAGCCAAAATCGCGCTCATCAGTCCTCTCCTCCTGTGAACCACCAGCCACCAAGTGCACAGCATCAAGAACATGCGAGTAGAAGCACTGGCGGGACATCGACGACTGGCATTGCAGGAGGAGTACACGAGTCGAATCCGTCAGGAGGAGTAGACGAGCCTCTGTGTCATCAGATGGCTATGGCTGACATTCAAGCCGTTGACCAGCACTTGCTTGCTTCGGAACCGAAGAAAAACCGCGCTCAATTTCAGGCATTAATGACGCAACACATCAGACGACTGCATCGAGATCGGAATGCTAGAAATATTAAGAAAATGCATAATTCTCTAAGGTGGAATATAGCACAGCTGGATTAATATCTTAGAAGCTACTCCTCCATTCATTGCTCGTATTTCCCGCCTCTTTTCTCACGCTTACCAGATACTAAGAAAAAGCATGGTGCCTTCATGGTCCGAGCATGATCCCTGGCCTCTTTTTCTTCAAGGGAAGAGCGGGTCTCGGGAGGTCTACTCAGGGATGCTACGAGGTGGCACAACTTCTAGCTCTAATAATACAGGACTTGTTTCCGGAGGATTCGTAACATGTTCTTGTAGTACTTACTAAGTACTACAAGAACATTCGCTAGCTCTAATAATACAGGACTTTCCGGAGGACTCCTTGTTGGAAGTACAACTCGTAATAGTACATCAGCAGACAGGTGGTGGCGGCAACTTTTTTCAGAAGTACAAGAGCGTGGTGCGAGGATCGAAGATGTGGTGCCGGATGTGATGAGCATTCCGATCCGGGATGTGCCAGAGGAGCCCCAGCAAGGCGGAACGGGAGATTTCCCAAGTGGAGCTTCCGGAAGAACTTCTTTCACAGCAGCTGGAGCCCTTCTGTTATGGGTGTAGGGAATTCATCATCTCATTAAATGAGTCATCTGAGAGGGAGAGAAAAAGACGAGAGGAAAAAGGGACCCAGATGATCCCTGAGCTGAATTCCCTATAGTACTTCTAATTCTAGCACCTTGTGGAACGGATGCAGACACGGGTGGGACTAGTGCAGCCAGGACACTGACTGGACGGAGTCCGGCTATTGAAATGTTGGCGAGTGCTGGGACTACGAGGACGACCGAAATTCCACAACTACAACATGCTCCCGCTCCTGTGTCTGAGCAGCAGCAAATACTACATTCAGAGCAGCTGCAAGTACAGCAAAGACCATTACAACCTCCAGGCGGCGTAGACCTTGACACTTCTTGGTCCTCTATTGCATCTTCTGATATTCTTGATGCGCCTGGTCAAGGTTGCAGTTCTCAGGCTCACCAAGTAAATAAAGGTAGAGGAGGTTGTAGGGCAGGAGAAGCCGCGCAGCACACCACAGCCGGATTTACGATTTACAAAGGTTCTGCAGATACTCAAGGAGCGTGTGGACCTTCGGAGCAGATTGGTCCGAGTGGTCTTAGTGGAGCTCTTGAAAATCTTGATAACGTTCACATGCTAAAGGTGAAAAAGCCGGAAAACCATTACCATACTGCTTCTACCAGGGAACAACAGGCTCAACACCAACAGCATCAAGCTACGATCCGCTTGAACAGTGAGGAAGATCCAAGATTGAGGGGTCGATTTCCTTTGAAAACTGTAGCACAACTAATTTTGAGGAGGTGTGCCACTGCAGGAATAGTGCCTCATGACCAAGTAGGTCCTGGTTCATTTACTACAGGACTAGTTGGAGATGTTGATGGAGGACAGGATGGTCCTGGCTCTCAGATGAATGTGGTAATGAATAGCAGCTGTACTTGATGCTGCCGTGGTGTATGCAGGTACAGTGGTTTTTTGTGCTCGTTCTTAGAACGACGGGCACGAAGAATGAAGCAGCTGTGGTCCTCTTCAAGCGCGGCGATTCTAGAGGAAGCAGCAGTGTGCCTGTTGTAGCTGAAAATTTTATTCGCTCGTTGGTAACAAGAGACAGCAGAGCTGAGTGAGAGACATTTTTTTTGTGGAGATCAAAATCCTCCGTGTGGTGCTGTCCGAGAAAGAGAGAGAGACTGAACCCATAAACGAGGAAGGCTTTCTCTCTTTTCATCAAAGAAGATCTTCCTATGAGGCATTTGCTGGATTTATTGTGTAGAAATAGAAAGCTATACCGAACTCATGATGAAGGTGCTACAGAGTAGTACTATACACGAAAGATCCATCTGCAACGAGTCATCATGATGCGGAGACTCTTCCTCCTCGTCTTCATATGGACAACATGCTTGTTTTTGCGTCCGGTAAACGCGCAATGGCAACTATCTGCCGAGGACCAAGCGGCATTAGAATCCGTATTTTCGATTAAGAGGCACGGCACTGTTGAGCAAAAACAAGGTTCTGACCAAAAAACAGGTGCTGAGGACCAAGGGAAGTCAGGATCTGCAAGACGCGCGCCATCAGTACAAAGTAGGACGGCTGCTGTTCAAGGAAAGAGAGGACAGCATGAAGAGAAACAAAATAATCATGCGCAACCCGCGTCGAAGACAATACAGCAAGGTGGACCTGCTAGTCCGTCTTCTGTGGTGCAAACGCCGCCACGACGAGTGGATGAAGATCGAAATTCTCGCCAACAGAGTGCAGACGTTGGACCCAGCAAGCACAGTCTTGAGTCGGAAGCTGCGCCAGCTTCTCATACTCAAGTAAAGAGTCGAATACCGGGTGCCGATACTCTACTTGGTGCTGATAGTGAAGTTAAGGGTAGGTTAAAGGTGCTTTTCTTACCGCTTTTTATGCTTCTCCTAAGGGAGAAAGGCATAAAAAGCGGGGTAAGCAAGCACCAAAAACCTACCTCTAATGAAGAATCACAAGGTGGACACAGCAGGGGTCGGCGTCGGCGAGAGCTAGGTTCTCCACGTGGACCTCCTACGCGAGATCATGACAACCTCAACTCTGCTGCATCTCAATCTAGGCAACATACCAGTTCTAGTACGGCGCCCAGTGGAAGAGAGAAGCAAGAGGACACCGTCAGAAGAGGTGTTAACGAAGGAGGAGTTGATGATCAAGTCGAACATCAAGAGCTAGGTTCTCCACCTGGCCTGAAATTTTCCTCTCAGGAAAATGCTGCTGTGCCGAGACTGAAAAGACAAGTCGACGACGTTTCCGAGGAGGAGTTGATGGCAGCGATGTTACGAGGTGATGGTGGTTCACTCTCTGTTTTTTCCACGACTAGTGGAAGCGGAAGTATGATGTCTTCCGGTTTAGAGTCCTCAGATGCAGTTGTAAGTGGAGCTGCACCTAGTAGTGGTCGCAACAAGCCTCCAACTGGGACGAAGGGCGCTGCACCTAGTAGTGGTCGCAAGAAGCCTCCAACTGGGACGAAGGCGCAACAAGCCTCCAACGATCGTCCTGATATTCGAATCGTCAAACAGGACGTCGAGGACAAAAGAAGTCCTGATATTCGAATTGCCAAACAGGACGTCGAGGACAAAAGAAGAACTAAAGCAGATCCAAGAAATAGTGTGATGAAACAGAGAAAAAGTGCCTTTATCCTTCGAAAGGTGAAGTGCGAGTTGTACGTGCAAGGGCTGCCCAGGGATCCGCGAATGATAGAGCTGCCAGTGGACTGCGATCAAGAAGACATTCAGAAAATCGGTGTTATGATTTCGGAGGTCGAAGGGATATTACAGAGTAGTTTATAGCACGCATGGTGCATGGAGTGCATGGAGTAGTGGCCTAATTATACCTCAGTGAGGGCCTAATACCTCAGTGAGTGTGAGCAGTAGTTATTTCATGAGCATACGGCTCATTATCATTAAAAATGGTCTCACACTCGTCACTATTTTTACCTTCTTGCCTTTAGTTTACTAGTCCCTTAGACAATCTTTATCTTCTTTCTTCCCTTCTATGTTTTGTTCTTCAAGAATTCAAGAGGAGCTATCGTGTTTGCATCCGGTGGGAAGAATTTGAGGTGCGGAAATCGCAGGAACGCACCGTAATGCTGGACCGACCGCGACCAGACAACATTGAGCGATACGACCCAATCTATTTTGGGGCTTGTGTTATGACGGGTATGTAAATACAAGAGCAAGAAAAACAGATAATACAAGATACAAGAACAAGTGAATACAAGACAAGAATTGATAAGTATACTTATTGATTTCCCACAGGATATATGAGGCGGGATACCATAAGTACAGCGGAGCGGGATGAGTGCAGGTGCATTCACTTTCACAACTTCTCAGCCCAGTATTCATACTCATTATGTCAATACTAGACATGCACAAGTACAACTGATGAAGGCTACGCTAAAGCTCCCACAGAAGTCGCGCGCTACCTGATGGTTCCGGATAAGCATGAAGGTAGGGGAATGAAGCACTATGAAATCGGCGACTTAGCTTTGGACCCTTTGCATGGTGTGTATTTGTACCTATCGGTAACGAATCTTCACATTATGGAAACGGATATTTGTTAGATGCTGGAGTTCGTGGATGATGCATGGCTCCTGTGGTTGATATTTATAATGCTGGTTGATGAAGCGGGTGTAGGGGGTAGGCATTAAAGTCGCATAAAGGGAAATTATAGAGGGCACAGACACCCGTCCAGTCGTTCCCCAACAACTACCTCCAATCGGTCCTCAGCAACACTCAACAACTACGTCTCGCCTCTAATTCCCTGGTTTACCGAGTAGCGATTCACGACAGCCCCGACCGTGGGTCGCTGTCTCGTTGGAAGGCCATTGGCGGCGGACCTGTACATATGTTGGATTTCAGCGGCTTCAACATGCCGAAAGGTCTCTGCGTGACGAAGGGATATGATGTACTCTGTGTTTAGATTCAGTGATGTTAGGTGCTGATTGAGTATATGCAGTTGCAGGATTGGCACTATGATCTTTCTCCATCACTCAGTTTGAAGTTTCGATTCTCTTCGGCATTTGTTCCTTGTCTTCTATTGTAGATCCTCCTCCGTTTTTTGGTTTTGGAAATTAGTTGCTTAGTTTCTAGCAACAGTCAAGCCAGGTACTCGTCGCTGACAGTGCGAACGATCGCGTCGTCTCCTGGTCCTATCAGAGCGCAAGACAACTCTCGACATCGCACGAAAAAGGGTCTTACACAGGAGTCCCCCGAGGTAAACTTGAAGCCGGTTTGCGAGGCTTTATGCTGCAGGAGCCAGTACAGTGCGCTTTGGTCCATAGTCGGTTAGACAACTCCTGGCGTCAGATGTACGTCGTGGAAAAGAATCGATATCTGCTACGCTACGACGGTCAATTGTCGAGTGTGAGGAGAAGTGGTAGTTCAGCAGAAGTGGTGGCAGAAGTTGTAGAAGGTCTCCACTCAGGAGGTGTTGTGAGTGAGAAGCAGGTACTAGACGGAGAGCATCGTGGGATGGTCCCTTACAACGCGGGCAATATGAACAAAGGCAACGCACAACAAGTAGATTTCCATCAGCACTACGACGTGACTCGCTTGATACCCACGATCATTTAAGGAGTGGAAGTTGACCACTATTTCAAATTTCGATCTATCAACTTTATTTTGTACTAGGAAAGTCATAGGAGGTATGCGACCCACTGATGACTAGGAACTAAAGAAACTAGGAAAGTTATATTATAAGTAGAAGATATGCGACCCACTACTAGTGGATATAGAGGTATAGAAGATATGCGACCCACTTCTAGATAAGGGTCAAACTCAGGAGTGTCAAGCTCAAGAGCTAAGGAAACTAGGAAAGTGATAGACAAGCGTGGTGATAGATTTGTCAACTTGCATCAACCTCTAAATCATCAGAGAAGCGCCAGGTCTGAGTATTGCGCTTTTGCAGTACTCAATAAAGCATGACAAGTTTGGTTTCACCGATTTGGAGGAGGACGCCGATCTAGACGTGGTCAAGTGCTTACGAGGTTTTACAGCCTCAAACTATCACTTGAGGATGGAGCAGAGTCAATTTGTAGGGAGGACAGGGGGCATTGATGGTGGTAGTCACAGGGATTATAGTCATAGTGATAGTGAAGAAGAGGTGGAGGGCTACAAAAATCCCAAACAACTACATCAAGCTAGACAGATGGGACGACCTCTAGCAAAAAATAAGGCCAAAGCCATAACTGACTCGCTGGTCCGTCAGTGTCTGGAAGTACGAGCTACAACGGGAGTTGGGGTGATCTATAGACAAAGTAATAGACTCTGGAATCCACAGAATGGTAGATATCTGACTATCCCCAACGATACACAGTTTTTTGCGATTTCTCCACGTGGTGAAGTCTTCCTGAATGCAAGGACGACCGTCTATAACCTCTTCACGGGAGTGCCTGAATTTCTTTCTTGAAAATGACCTTTTTGTCCTGGCTTAGCAGGCTTGGATTGTTGTATCGTTCTTGGCTAGTTGTATTTTTGGGCTTTTGAACAAGGAAGTGCAGCAAGAGCAACCCCTCACAGAGTACTTGTTTTTGTGAGTTGTAGGCGCAGGGCACGCTTCGGTGGGTGAAGGCGAGCGGACGCAGATAAAACGTTAACGTTTTTTTTTTCAGGACAACCAAGGGTCGGACACTGAGGAGAGAAATGTTGAGAGACGCTCTCAGGGTCTCGACTTGGGCTAGACAATGCTGCTTGCATTGTACCTACGGTTTTGTAAAAAGCAGCAGATCTGAAACCTCCTCTATACTTAGATTTTTTTCGAAAAACTGAAAGGCTAGAGTTTATAGTTGTATCATGAAAAACTAACAGGAATCGAAAAGAATACATGAAGAGTCGAAAAAGGCATCGACGCTAGGTCACAGACTCACCGCGTAATGTACTTATTAAAGAAAAAGAAAACGAACCAAAACGAACCCTTGAAAAAATCAGGAAACGAGCTTGCTCCACCTTATAGTGCGACTTGCACTAACAGACTAGGTGCATGTAGTGTCTAAACTAACACTGACTTGACTTACCTGATATCAATCACAAGAGAGCCGCAACTACCCTCGCTACCTATGGCGTAAAAGCTGCGGCTCGCTCGCGAGTACGCTTTACTTGCGACTAGTACCCCTTTGCGACCACACAGTACAACGCAGGAATCCGAACAAGCTCTCCATCCACGACTACTACGGGCAAAACCTGAAGCTCTCCATCCACGACTACGGGCAAAACCCGAAGCTCTCCATCCACGACTACGGGCAAAACCTGAAGGTCTCCATCTACAACGACTTCTATCAATACTTCGCGCACCAAGAAACTATCGATACTTTGTAAGCTAATATGGGCTGTTATCCCTTCCGCGCCAAGGTGGTGGACGCCGAGCTGCATAGCGCTTCGCCACGTCCGTTACTACTACATGGTGGTCAAGGGGGTTGTTCTGGGGAATTTATAATTATGGTCAATTTGAATTTGAATTTCACTTGTGCTTCATTCTTGTAGTTGTAGTTGTACTCTCTAACTGCGAAAGCAATTTGCACCACGGCAAAGATGACCTGAAGAAGCCAGATGATAAGGCCACCAAGCAGCGCCAGATCGAGGTCTGCCTACAGCATCAGCAGTTCTCCCTCCCACAATCTCCGCATCCTTCTTATGATCCTCCTATTCTTGGCACATTTGTTTTAGTTGCTCTTGCTTCTCCTTCGCCACCATCGTGGTGCTGGTCCTCATGCTTGGTATTAGAGGTCAGCAGTCATTGGTCACTGACTCTGAACGCACATCTCTCTACTTGTTTTCCCTCACTTTTCCCCTGTTCTCTCCTGGGGGCCCTCTTCGATTTCAGTGGCCAACCTCTATGACCAATGGAAGTTGCGCCTTCATGGTAGTTGAGCAAACGAAGCAGCTCTAGTGAGGTGAGCTCTAAGCTTGGTCACACGGACAGAGTGGGCATCATGCGTCGCAGCAGCAAGGGAATAGAGGAGCTTTGTTTATGATAAAAGGTCGTTGTGCACTGTGAAGTCTAAGATACCTATTAACCTAATAGGCACTGACTAGTTTCTTCATTTTTTCTCAGGGGCGTAATCGTAAATATTTGCCGGATGTTGACATCGGTGAAAGTGAAACAGCGACTTGGCTTACTCCGATGCTTGGAAGAGGAAGGAAGCAGATGTCTTCGAATTGTTTTGACGAGAACAAGTTGGTGATGATCGTGTGGACTCATCATGATGTGATGAATCAGATTCCCTCTTTCGGTAACCCGGCACAGCCCCGTAGGAGCTTTCTAACCTCTCCCCTCGTTCTGCCTCCTCGAATCCTTACGGTCCGTTGCAGCAGACGACTTCTACACATTATCCGGGCAGCGGTGCTGGTGCTACGAGCACTTCGACTACAGGGGTAGTGACGGACCCGCTTGGAGGCACAGTCGGAAGTTCTCTTAGGATAGGTTTTTGGTGTTTCTGTTACCCTTAGTTTTCTTGCCTCCCCTAAGGGGGAGAGGGGGAAATAAAACGGGAGATGCTGCTAACACCAAAGTCCTTCTACCTTTAATTCTCAACAACGTCAACAAGCAGATCTGCAGAGTAGGAATGATGCGACTACTTCTAATCAACATATGGATGATCATGTGATGTTGTTTCCAGTCATACGACCATCCTGGCACTCATGATCGGAAGGGGAAAAACTGCCAGGATGCTCTACCTCAGTAGATGGAAAAGACTACATCCATACAACAAAGAGGACACGGCGCACAACATGGCGGTGGTGGAGGTCCCAGTACGAAGGCGCATTCGCCGGGACCGCAACAGCATCTGGAAGTAGCCGAAGGTCCTGCTCGAGACGCATCAATAGCGAACGCCAAGAGTGAAATCGAATTGCCACCACCGCTCCATGCAGAAGTACATCAAATTCGCAATTCTGATGCAAAAATTCCAATTTAGTCATTCCATGGGGTCGTTGTCCTTGTGTTGATTGGATTACAACTCTTGTGGTACATAGAAGTACAACTAAGTAAGTACTCACCTAGTACCTACTGACCTACCTACTAGTAAGTAAGAAGTACTCACTACAAGTCAACTTCCCTAGTACTGCAGAAGTGCATACGAGTACCACAACTCCTCCAATAAACACCGACGCAGAATACGGATACGGTCACTGCAAGTGCCCCTTTGGTAGTGCTGGGAAGGTACGAAGTTGTCCCAGGACGAAAGGGATTGCTAGGCGAGGGTAGCTTTTCAAGTGTGACTATGGCCAAACTAAGTTAGTCCATCAACATCGGTATTCACTGTCACACGATTGCGAATGCTATTAACTAATTTGAATCCACCATCATTAAATGATTATCATCAACACCTACATGATCAATAGCGCATTGCTGATGTGGATTGACCCCTCCATTCTTATACATAATTGATAGGATGACCAGTCTATTATACTCAATTTCTTCATGCACTTAAATCAACCTCCTCTAATCCCAGAAGAGCAAAGGATCTAGCCGATCCTAGTGGAGCTGATGTGGCAGTGAAGATGTACAAGTCTACCTCTGGCCGCGATACACAGCAAGTTATCCTGAAAAAGTTCAAAAGACAAGTCGCGGTCATGAAGGTATTAAGTCATCCACGACAACTGAAAATGATGATACAGATATTATGATGTCAAACAATGTGAGGACATCTTCGAAACAAGAACGTCAAGTATACTATAAACGATAACAACATTAAGTATAGATGGGTAAGAAATTCGAAAACATCAATGACCAAGTACAAGAATGTCAAACTGCTTAATCTATCATACGCGTGCTCTGCTAAAACAAGACCACATCCGACTAGGACTTGCTGACTCCGGTAACACGAGCGCGAGAAACGGAGAGGTCAGGGCATACCTTAGCGCATGATGCGATCTTTAAGGTGGATCCGGCTAGGCTGTTTCTTCGTCTCATCGACTATTCTAAAGATGAGAATGGGGAACCAGGTACCATTGGGATTTTGATTTAGTTTGCAGACTGTTCGTTATACTCAACTCAAGAAGATGAGCATCCATATGGGGCACTGGAAACTTGTAGATTTTTTTTCTCTTCAGAGAGAGTCTTACGTTCTAGTATGTCCTACTATTCAACTCGGATTCTTATGATGAGCATCCAATTCTTATGTTCTGTATGAGCATCCAATCCAACTCATTCGTCTTTCCTTTGCTATCAGGTGCCGACCCAATGGATGGTGGTCAGATGGTAGTTGTCACGGAAATCGCCGACTTTAGTTTGAAGGATTACCTTGGCCAGCTGAACTCTAGTCCGAGCTCCAGAAACATCGAACAGCCTTATGCATGGTGGACAAATTTTCTATGTCAAATTTTGCATGATCCCAGAAAGAAATATAGAACTACATTATCGCTTCAAAGAAGAAGAACTACATTATCACTTCAACAACTCGAACTCTACACCGACCCTGTTCCTTCCTCTGTCATCTAATCTTCTTCGAAACAAGAAATCAAAGAGAGCACTAGTGGTACGTCAAAAGCAGACTCATATCCAATACCGCTTGAAACGGCCAGACAGATCGCGCATAATTTCATCCTTGCTTGCGCGGTTTTACACGCAAAAGGTCTGGTGCATCTAGATTTATGAGTCGTAGTTTGTGATTTAGCTGGTGCATCTAGAAGTTCTACTTAATTACTACTATTTGGTAGGATCTAGTAAGTTCTAGTAGATTTCTTAGCTACTTCTAGGTTCAATGACAATGGTACTCTTATATATGAACTCTTCTTGTAGTTTCTGTTTCTCTTAGCTTGACGTAATTGTCGTCCTAAATAAAACAAGCACAGGCACAAGCACAAGTTGCTGTAGTGAACAACCTACCACAAGCACAAGGACCGCTAAGAATCATCAAGCCAGAGAACATCATGAGCTGTGCAGGGAGTTGGAAGCTGATTGACGTGGATGGCTGCATCCCAATGGGCAGCGAGATCAGCATCAACGACAGTACTAATACTAGTCTAGTACTAGGAGGTGAGAATCCTTGATAGGGAAGATAGCACCTTCCATGATCGTGTCAGCAGCTTTATTCAAATATAGAAATGTATTTTCTCCAGTGATGAATTAATGTCTATCGTCCTACTTGTATGGTTTTGGTATTTGGTAACCTGAATTTGATCACAAGGATTCTCTTCTTGTTTTCCTTATGATCAAAATCAGGCTACCAAATACCAGGCCCACTCAATGCTCTGATATAGAAGCCCGCGAGTCCTCTTGTCGGCTGCTATATCATACTCTTCGACCCGACTTCACCCTTGAAGCATGGACAACAGGAAAACTTCAACTATTACGCCACTGAACGCCGAAACACGACTACCTTTTCTGCATATTAGTAATTGCTGTGGTTTTTTTTCTCCATGATCCTATTCAAATATCGAAATGTATTTTCTCCAGTGATGAATCAATGATCTACCCGTACTATTAGTTTTTTGTACTATTAGTTTTTTGTTCTCCAAGTGAACATGATCCTATTTGCACAACCTCCAGGTACCATCAGTTTTTCTCCGTGTTACTGCTCGCCAGAGTGGGCTCACTTTTTGATTGAGGACGTTGATTTCATGCGAGTGGCGGATCAATTGGACGTGTGGAGTGTCGGGATTAGCCTGTGTGAGTTGATCTTATGACCGTAAGGCTAATACTTACGACACTGGTGTGTGTGGTCTTTGCTAATTATTTCTCTCGTGATAGGCGTCGCTGAGATGCAACATGCATACCTTTTCTAGGTTAAAAACCAAAAATCAAACCATGGAGTGAGTCGTGTTCAAAAATACTCTGCTTCTATTTTTATATCCATGATGAATACTCTGTCTAATTCTCATGATGGATGCAGTTTTGAAGCCGAAATATGCATCGATTTTCCGCCAAACGGGGTCACATCGAAAAGCTGGCTTTCTTTTCTTAGAATGTTAAGGGTCGTGGTACGCAGTTTTCCTTTTCCATGATTAAAGAACACCACGCCAGATGTTAGATAAGAGTCTTTCACGAGTACAATTCAAGCTGTAACACCTCTTGACTAAGTAGGTACAACCATCATCCACATCCTCATCACCTGTTTTCTAAGAACAGCTCGCCAATAAGGAAGAGTCGTTAAACTTGGACCGAAAAATAGCCGACTTCGATAGTGGATTTGCGGACCTGGTTTTGAAGAGAATGCTGTTGAAAGATTATGCACTTCGGGGGTAGGTTTGACAGTAGCAGGGGATACGATCTAGAGTCTCATCATCAGAGTATGCACTTCGGGGTCTCCTCTGTTGTATCGATCTGCATCCGACGATCATCTTCATCGTGAGTTTACCCCTGTGCTTACTCGAAAACTGTTAATAAATTCAGGTCGTTGCTGACGTATCTCTAAAATCAGCCTAAAGCACGTTGGTCTCTAGCGGAGTGCCTGTCACATCCGTTTCTAGCAGATTGCTCCTCTTCGGGATCCGTCCTAAACGAAGGCGCACTGATCTCGAAGGTCAAGGCGACACGGCGAGAACGAATATTATGCTGGTGTCGTTAGACTTGGAGCATAGTTTCTTGTTCACAACGAACGACTACATAGTTTCTTCACAACGAACTTAAAGCATCGTTTCTTTCTGCACGTACTACAACGAACAACTAGATATGGAAATTCTAACTGGTCAAAACTCCGTCTCCACCCCCGTCTTACTCATTTCTTCATCTGAGGCATTTATTTGCTGTACGTCTTACTTTGCCACGCTCTAACACTAGAGGACACGACCAGGAACATTGCAGAGAAGCCTCCGCTCATCAAAGGGGTTCTCTTCAATTAAGGCTTGTAGTCATTATAATTCAAATTCATCAAGCAATGCAATCTATAACCCTAAAGCAATCGTTACTTCCTTATATATATGATATTGTTTTGAAGCGACGTTGCATGCAATCCCAATAGCAATACCAACTGCACCTTCCTCATATTGTTTTGAAGCTACACTGCATGCAATCCCGGCGATACCAATTGTAATTTCTCATGTTCCGACTGTCCAAGCTCTGTAATGCCATTCCAGTTCGCTATCGTACCTTCACCTTCTAACTCAAGCTGAACTCAGATGGGGATAGAACTGTGGCAGCTGACTGGCTCAGGCGAGATACGTGGATTGCGCATAATGGCAACCTGTGCTATTTCTCGCAGAAGAAGGCCAAACGTCTGGTACTCCTAGACGCAGCAACTATTGGGCGAGCAGAGATAACTTTACGACGCTAATAAACACACATCGAATAGAGAGTACAGAGCACCTAAGACGCAATAATTACTTCTTCTTGATGTTGGGTAAATCATCATCATCATCATCATCATCATCATCGTCACTACTAGAAAACGCAGCTTAAAAATATGAGAAGTTGAAGAATGATCTCCATCGTTGGCTCATCGTTAGCGATAACGATACTTGAAAAAAGACTTTTTGAAACGTTACATTTGCATACAGGATTATTTGGGAACTCATTTTCTTCGACACGCAAATCCTCTTCTTGCTGCATTTCGTATCAAAGACTAGAAGCTCATCTACGTCTAAGAATCCCAGTTCCAAACGGTACTTCTGAAGCGCAAGGCCAAGCGCAAGGTCGTAGTCCGAGTAGGACGTCGACCAGTGTAACGCCTTCACGAGCAGCAAATGTGGGGACTACATCTTAAGGCACGACTACCTAGGATCTCCTACATGTAGTGGGTCCTTCCTAGAAAGTGTCAAGCCCTTCCTACTTAAGGGTACTTCCTAGAAAGTGTCGTAGTGGGCATTTGAGGGGATTTTGTCTTCATCTTGTGGCGACGAGTGACAAGGACTTCATAGATCTAGACTATTAAGTCTAAGTGGGACCACTAACTTCATAGTCCTACTTATAGCAAGCTGCCGAAATGAATGCAACCATATAACAGGAGTGATTTTGGCTTTGTGTAATTTCGTTCTTGTTGGTCTCTGTACTAGACCAAGGGATCATCTAGGATTTTTTTCAGCTTACAGGGTCGGTTTCTTGGGCAACATTCAGAGCTGCTGTTCCATGTTCGTTCTTCTAAGAATCACAGGACTTGTTGTCCACAACCTGCGGAACGGCAGTGGTGAGCCTTCCGAGTTCAACCCAAGAAGCCAGAAATTGCGCGTTACCTTGGGTTTTTCAGTTATGCTGGAGTAGCACTAGTCCTAGAACGAAGTTGTCCTGGAAGTTCTGCTAGATGTCCTGAAGTCGCGTACGCGTTTCTAAGTTCTATGTACTGTAGAAATTGTCCTTGGAATTTGGGTTTATCAATCATGATATGTAGAACTATTGGCCCTAGATGTTCTTGTCCTGCTCCTGGAGGCCACTTGTCCTGGAAGCCAGACGTTTCTCAGTACTAGCTCGTGGAATGGAGTTGTCTCTTTTTTACCCGACAAACTACCTTCTAGAATAATTTTAGCATTAGAATACTCTTGAGAATAAGATAAAAATCGTTAGTTGATGACCACTGTTAACTTGTTGTTGATGAACATCAACTAGATTTGATCCGTAGTTTCTAATTCTAGTACGGATCGCACTTGCGGAAGGTGATGGCGCAGAAGAGGACCTACAGATGTATGCATGCGAATCCGAAGAGAGCAGAAAAGGATGGCTCAAAGTGTACTTACTGTCACTTCACGTAAAGTCAGACATCTATACCAGAGCAGTTTATAGATATAGCACGCATGGAGAGCATGGAGATGGACGAGCGCAGATCCGTAAGGGACGCAAGAAGCGCTCCCTTTAGCTCCATGCAACTCCATACGATTCAAGCACTCCATGCCATGCGAGCCGCCAGATCTTATTTATCGTTCTGCTATATTATATCGAGGGCAGAAGATGAATAAACAAATGGCTGGCGCAAAGTGCTACACTTATCATTTCCAATGAATCTAGTACTACGACTAGTACATCATGTACTTACAACTACGCCTACGCGAACCTCATTCGATTTATTTCAAGTGTACAAGTTAGAAGTTACTTGCTTCTCTGTGCTAGCTCTGAATCTGTTTCGTCTTGCTGGTAGTTTAGAAAGGCTACCTGAGACGCTATGATGATGGTGACGTACTAGCTCACTTTCTTCATTGTACCTCAACTACGAGCTCACATTCATTCTTGTTCATTGTAAGTACCTCGACTACTAGTAGCTCGTCACACTCCTCGCACAGCTTCCGTCAAGTGCAAGACCGAGCTTTTGAGCATTTGGACACCCGTGTCATGGTGTCGCAGGGGTTGATACAGGATTTTCGGAATTTCAAGATTCAGATTCGGAACCGCCGTGGCAAAATCGACCCAGCGAATGAAACCTTTCATTAAGAATAGTACAATGAAGCCTTTCATTAAGAATGGACTAATACTAAACGTTTCATTTTTGAGAATAGGAGAATAGGCTACTAAAACTCCTTCTTGCCTTAGATAGCCTTTTGGATTCTTTTGCTGCAAATGAAACTTTTCACTAAGAGCAGTATGTGTAGGATGGGCTATTAATACTACTATATACTACTTCTTCTACTACTTACTAGATAGCGACTACTCTCTAGATAGCGTAGAGATGATACGGTTAGATGAAGGACTAATCAGCTGATCCTTTACGCGCCTTCTTGTCGGCACCGTGCGTGTAGACCTAGCAAAGGTGCCCTATCCTATCCTTATCCGATCTTATCCTTTATATGTGTCTAAGTTCCATCTGTGTTTCGCCGAGAGTTGTGGAAATTAAACCAAGGCGGTGATATCCAGAACCCTGACGATTGGCTCCGACGTGAAATGTGGCTGGCGAAAAATGGAGCTTTTTGCTATTTTTCGAAGAAGGAGAACAAAGAGCTCCAGTACTACACCAACGAGGACATAAAATCTGTCGTCTGCCAGGAGGTATTAAGTCGACTCTATCTCTATTTTGACATACTTTGAGTACACTGGAAGTAAGATGGTTTGTATGCAATGAGGAACTCTGAATGTTTTTTTTGATTTCGAGGATTGCCATGACGTGAATGTTGCTCGTGATCATGATTCATCTGTAATCTAGGTAGTAGTTACGGCTCTGCCTTCTACGTCTACCATAATTATTATGCTGAACCTTATATATTATAAGCTTCATGATTCATCAACATCTGTAATATTATAATGAAGACCGCCAGTTTATCTAATTTGATACTAAAGAACATAATGATTCTTGATCGTGCCTAATATTGTCCATCTGTAGGCGTATGCTATTGCAGGTTCCCTACCCTAGCGAGAGTTGTCGAGCGCATACTTTCACGATGACATTAAGACCAGCAGATGGCCTTGAATTTGCGCCTGGCGTTTTCGCTGCCGACTCCTCAGAAATCATGAAAACTTAAGGCTAAAATACAAGCCCCTTATATGAGGACCCCCCTAACTATGGCAGTCTGCACAGATCTTAGTGGGACATTTCTTGTATTGTATTGCATGGAAGTCTTGCTGCAAGGGTTACCCTTTGTTTACAGGAGGTACTTAAATTGTTTTTGGCTCTTCAGCAGCCAGGTATGTCCGTGGATCAACCCGATGCAGCCGAACCTTACGCTAATTTATTTCTGAAGGAATATTTTAGAAGAACGAAATCAGACTGCTGAAACTGTTTTGTCCAGCCATTAGGCTAGTAGAACTAAATCGGGCACCATGATGATGACAGACCTAAAAATCTTAGACTGTAAGATGAATCTTACATGAATAATCTTACTTGATCCTAGGATGGATGTGTGTGACTTCGTAGACCTCCCAGTCTAAAAAACGTTTCTGGGCTGCGTGAGGAAGTTTCAGGATAAGGTGAAAAAAAGGGAAATGGAGAAGATCCGAAAGGCAGCTGCTGGGGAACCGCTACCAGTAGCCTCAGCATGAGACGAAAAGAAAAAGGTGGGCGAATACAGGACGTGGACGCACAGCAAGTGGGCGAATGAAGAAAGTGAACGAAAATAAAAAAAGTGGCTGGACGTGAGATTTTCATCATTGGAAGTTGCACGTGAGATTTTCATAATGGGGAGTGGGCAAGAAATATTTACTAGAACTAGATGAGTGTGGTCCTTGGTTGATTTTCTTCTTTTCTAGTCAGGGAAGTGGCTGCACGTGAGATTCTATGCATCCTCAAGGTGTGGTGAAGCCGTCTGAACCATGATGTACTTACGATTTACTACTTTCGTTCTTTTGCATCCTCGTTCGATCATTTCAGTTGCAGTTCTTGAATTACTAGGAACAGCAAATACAATCAAAAAACAACAATAGCATTATAGAGATGATACTAGGTAGGTAGTTAGTTGTGAAAATTGTACTTAATTGATGCGGTAAGTTTTTTTTTCTCCTAAACAATTCCGATACTAGGATAGTGTAAAAACACGGATGCGACGGGAGCGTCGCGCGCGGTAGCCTAAGAATGAGAATACTTCTTGTAGTGGGTGTTTGATCTCTCCAAATTCAGTACGCTGCCAAGTTCTGCTAGTTCGTTGAGCTTTTTCGTCCTAGTTGGACTTTGATGAAGCTTTTTCTTTATTACTCCGTCCAGTAATACGTAGTCTTTTAACATTTATTGAAAAAAGACGTTTCTAAGATTCTAAGGCCATCAAGATTATTACTCCAGTACTACGTTTGCGTAGTCGTCAAGAATGATGTTGTAGAATTAGTTGCGCTGTGTCTTTTTTTGCTTACTCACTGCATGAATGACTGAATGAGTCAGTAGCTGAGTCATTTCTTAGTTTCTTACAGATAGAGAGTATGATTTTAATATTGTTGCGTTCTCTGCTTACGCTTACTCAGTATGTGTAAGGAGGTCTCAAATCTTAGTTTCTTTTTAGTATAATGAACTCATGTAGTTACCCTTACTCAGTCTCAGTAGGTGTCTTAAACTTAATACCGCTTAGAAGTCATAAAAGTCAGCAGTATTTTTTCGGAATTTTTTCCTAGTTGTTCTACAGTACAAAGAGTAGTAGTCCCTCATTATCACATCTGAACAGTAGGTACAAAGAGTAGTAGTGGTCGCTCATTAGCATTTCCCCATCGTATATTTACAGTGCAAGATGAACCATTTCCCCATTGTATGTCTACAGTTTTAGAGTACAAACAGTGGTCCCATCTGAAAACGACTTAGATTTTTTGCTGTATAGTAGGACCACTGAAAGGACGTATGTTGTAGTAGGATCGAAAGGACGTATGTTGTAGTAGGATCGAAAGGACGTATGTTGTAGTAGGATCGAAAGGACGTATGTTGTAGTGGTATTGCTTTTTTTTCAAATTTAAAGAAGGATAGAACGGTCTTCGTGGATGATCGAGCCGTCAGTTCATCACCATATCATATGAACTGTCTCTAGCGTAACGATTAAGAAGAAGATCATCTACTTCCTTTTAGATTTTTTGATAACTACTAATTAAGATTATAGGACATGTCTGCTAGGCAATCCAGTAGACCCACACCGAACCTAACCTGTATAGTTTTTTCTTTCCAATGTAGGCACGACTGCTGTGACACGGCCACGGGAGCCTCAAAGACGAGGGCCGCAGACGTCGTCGACAGAATGGGGCAATTTTCTTTCCACTAAAGCACCCAAGATGATGCTCGATGCTGTGGTGTACAACGAGATCGCCTCTGCGGAACGCATGCGTCGTGATTTTTGACTATAATTGACTATTTCTACGTTCCACTTTTGAAGAACATCATGATGCTACTAGATTCTTTGATGAGCAAATTTTTCCTTTTCTAAGTGACTGCCACTTCGTTTATTTGTGTACTTACTATCGCTATCGGGTGTCGTGTGTGCGCAACATATGTGGACCTGTTTTTGTCTATTACAGAACAATAGCTGAACTCTTTCTTCCTCTTCTATGGCCTCGAACGCTCACCCCCTCATAGGTGAGACAACTGCTATCCTATCCTATGTGAGATGAATGACGAGATCCTTCTCCAACAGCTGTAGTACGTTTTTAAGGGGACGAAAAGGGTAGCTGTGATGGTCTGCATAGAGGGAAAAAACGCCATCCATTCTTCCGCCATCGGATAGTGCGGACATGATTGTGCGGACAAAATTGAGCCCTCTTCACCGCTACCACAAATTATGGGCACACTGTCTAACAGGACTACACCTGCCACGACTTGTCTGAACAAATGTCAAATGTTTTTTCTTGGGAATTTCGTTTTTGTTTTGGAAAATCTTGTCATGGACCATGTTGTGCAAGAGTAAGACCTGTGCGCGAAATCAAATATTGATGCTTATATTTTTGCTTAGCTTGTAGTTGTCATAAAGAGTGCGAGAGCTTTCTCGAGAGAAGAAAGAGAGTGAATTTTTTTGGAAGCTTCTAATCATCTGCCTTTTTGAAGTGCTTACATTTACAAGACCTTTGCTCCTACTAGAATACTACGAGAAGACCCATGAAGATCCTACTAGAGTACTACGAGCAGGATAAGTTGTAGAGCCGTCCGACTAAAAAATCGGCGTTGGTGAGAAGAACTGACAGTTTCTTGATGAACTACAAGTGATGAGTGATCATATGTCTCTAGTACTCCGACAACTACGTACAACAGACAACTACTGCTCTCTTGATTGAACTTCTTGATGAGCAAAGTTGGTGATCTGGCCCTCCACTCACTTGCTATTGATTTTTGTTGATTGTCTAGATTTTTTATAGAAGTAGTGAAAAGTAACTGAAATTTGTTGCTACTCGCTTCACGATAGAAGTAGTTGAATATATAGTTACAGTGGATGGCTCTACGACAGGCTCTCTTTGAAGCTAGACAGCGGCAGGAGCAAGAGCGGCAAGAGCAAGAGCTACGGGAGCAAAGCCTGCAGAGAGAGGAAAGTTATGGCTAGTTTTTCACTATCCCATGTTGGACTTCTTGAATGAAAACTGAGTGAAAAACTAGCGTTAAGAAAGAGCCGACGAAACCGAGCGCCTTGGGGGGCGTTGTTTACGCCTCCTCACCACGGTATTATTATTTTTTTTTTCCAGCGTTGTTTTGTTTTAAATTTTATCAACCGGTGATGATTGAAATTAATTGCCGACAGATGCTCTCTTGTGGCACTTCGCAAACCGGATTTTTTCTTTTTCATATACTGTCATCACTGCTCTGGTGGTTACTACTGTCCCACATTGTTCCACTACGTTCTTACCCATCATCCCTCTATGATCAGTTAACCACTCAATCACTTAGCCAAAATCAACACTCAATCACTTGAATAGCCAAAATGAATGAATCAACTACTTAGCCAAAATCAAGACTCAATCACTTGAATAGCCAAAATGAATGAAGGATTCACACTGAAAATTTGCCACAGATGCTCTGTTGTGGCGGTCGGGAAAAAATGTCCGTGGAACCTAAGACGCTATTGCAAGATACAAGCTCCAGTAGTAACCAGAAAAAGACTGGAGCAGGTCAGAAAGCGGCCGCGCCAGGTCACAAATTATGATTTGAAGGTCATTCAGATTCTGTCTCTACGGGTGCTAGGAAAGGCATGACTATCAGGGGCATACTACCCATGACATAGGAGGTCATGATACTATGTATTCTTTTCAATGATATGAGGACTTCAAACATCATAGTAGATGGTGCTTTTCCTTCGACTCTGTAGTATTACCTTCAATAATATCAAGCCACGATACGGTCTAGAATCTGACTTACAAGTTTTGTAATCTCATACTGATACTCACTTGGCAAGTTAGATCTCACTTCATATTTCTTGGTTCTCGGTCGTTACGATGTGGTGGAAGGAAAAGCTGGCGTCTTGGGCGAGGGCTCCTTCAGTTATGAGGAAGTATTTTTCAGTGAGTAAAGGTACTATGATAGGTGGTACAACACAACGAACATTATTAAATTACATATTTACCAAACCAGGATTACTGATTTGTCATACTTGCTGGATTAGTGCTAGTTTGTAGAAGACGCAGGACGTTTGCGTAGCTAACTGATACCGTATTTCACTCGCTACGATTTTCACCATCTGTAAGAACATAAGTAAAGCAGCCGGTCAGCTTTCCCTCTATTCTTAGGTTTATCCCTTCTTTCTAACTCTGCGTTGTCCAGAAGGCTGTGTGTCGACAGACGGGGAAAGCGGTGGCGGTGAAAACCTACAAGCTCACCGATGGGAAGTATGATTATGCGAACGTCTTGTAGTTGCTATCACAGACTCCGAGGATACAGTAAAAAATGTAAAAAATTATACTAGCGAAAAATGTAAAAAATGATTGTCTTTTTTTTGTTATCACTATTGCTACGTATTATACTTCTCTCCGTTGATTGTCGTAAAGCATGAAAGCAACATGAACTTTTTTGTCGTAGAGCACATAACCAACGACACCAGGTGGACCAGCACGACCATATTAACTTTAACCGGCGACAGGAGCACGACCTCCACATTTTAAGATATTTCTAATTTCACAAGGATGACTGGGAGAGCTGCTTGCTGAAATTCAAGCGGCAGATTCAAGTCATGGGCATGCTGATGGAGCCCGTGAATACGAAAGCGCAACTGATTCATCCTTGTTTGCTGAAAATCGATCCCCGAAAATGCTTCATTTTATGGAGAAGTAAGTGAGCAGAAATAAATAAGGTGCTTACAACTTGACAACTTCGTTGGGTGTAGACTTTGAAGACTTTCATAGCGGCTTGCCGGTTACTCGTCCACTGATTAGATGTTGCCTGCGTGTAGAGGACCGTAGGATACCAAAAACGGTATCATCTAAAATGAACAGTATTTTCATACATAGGTCGAATTCTTCCAGTAGCACAAAATCTTACTCTAAGGAACGAGCTTTTGGACTATAGCAAGGATGCAAAAGGCAACCCTGGCCCAGATCCGACAGATGGGAAGCTCTTAAGGCGTAGAAGAAGCTTTTTACTTGTTTTTGTACAACTTCTTCAATATTTATACTGCTTGGGTAGAAGATTTTTGTACAACTTCTTATTCTTGGGTAGATTTTTTCACGTTGCCGCGTCTGCTGTTTTTTCACTTTGCGTTTTTTCGACTTTTTGCTAGGGTCGTTTCTTGCGACTAGCTTTCCTCTGAGGATTATCTGGATTCGATACTCTACCAGGTAGTACTACTCTAGGTAGCACCTTTCTGGCGAATCTATCAAAGTCTATAATTAAACCTCTTTTCTAGGCACAGAAAGAATGAAAGTCAATGGACGATCATCTTTCCATAAATAAATGCACATAAGGTACTAGGTTATATATAATGCACTCCACCTTCGCTAATCCTATATGTAGTGACAGAAGTTGCGGATTACTCCTTGAAGGACTACTTGGGCCAAGCAAGCGAGGAACGAAAAGACTTGGGTCCGGAAACCGTGCGACAAATTGCGAGATCGTTCTTATGTCCTTTGTACTATAAGTACTTTGATGATGAAAATAGTTATAACTAATTGCCTGTTCATGTTGTCGTACTATTGCTTTTCTTGATGTTGTACAATATTGAGTTTCAGCCGTGGCCGTGCAATGCTTGCCGCTGATATTGATTTCACGTTATCCATTCGGCAATTCATATCCTCCTCTTTGGTTGTCTATGCCTTTGTTCCGTCTCTATCAGAGGCATATTGCATTTTTTGAAATTTATCGCCCTTCCCTTTCATTTCCCGTTGTATCGATGGCGATGCTGCATGTGAAGGGCCTAGCGCACTTGGACATGAAGCCAGAAAACATCATGCGTGCAGGCGCAACGTGGAAAGTGATAGATGTAGACGGGTGTACACCTTTGGGCAAGGCCATATCTTAAGGCTAGCACTTCACTATCCTATGTGGACAAAGTTTCCCTCCTTTGATTTCTTAAAGGGGAACAAAAATCAAGGGGAAAATAACGGAACCAACTCACTCAGCAACTCACTCAGATTTTAGCAGGGAGAGTGAAATACCGATCTTCTTTAAATATCGATCAACGACAGCAGTATCTCCTTCTCGCCCTGTTACTGTGCCCCGGAGTGGGCCCACTTTCTTATCGAAGATGGGGATTTTTTGAAGGTACTTCTGAACTCTGAAGTCGTCTTTTTATCTTTTATCATCCACATTGATCATTTACTTTTACATCTTCTACTCTTTGGAGAACTCTCATGTCCAGATTCTGGACATGAGAGTTCTCCTATTTGAAGATTTGGATCAATCTGTTCGATGATGTACTATACTAGGGACCTTTTTTTGAATTGATTCTTGATCAACTACAACAGGTCGGCCACCAGCTTGATGTTTGGAGTGTTGGGATCAGTCTATGCGAACTGATCGCATTGGATGCGGTCCTAAAGCCAAAATACGTTTCGATTTATATTATGGCCACCGACGGTGATGACAATTTATAAAATGTTAGTTCCAGAATGTTAATGACCGAGGAGGTGGACTATTATAACCTCACATCATGCTGGGTCCAGGGATGAAAATGAGGAAAACCACTTTGGTATGACTCAGGCATGATATTAAGCATAGACAGGAGACAAGGGCATGAAATAGAGATGACTCCAAATAAGTAGAGCAAGTGACTCCACATTATTGAGAAAAACTCTACCTCTAGTGTCTAGTACTACTGCCTCCCCACTAGTAGATCAAAATCAAAATCATCTAAGTATCGAAGCGCTGGCAGCCATCGAAAAGCGGGGTTTCTCTTTCTTGAGTGGCTGGCGAATCCGAAGGAGCAATTAGTGATGGACGAAAAGGTAGGAAACTTCGACCCAGATTTCAAGAACATGGTTCTAGATCGAATGCTGGTAAAGGAGGCGACGCAAAGGATCTCCCTATCAGAAGTGCTAGATTGCCGTTACATTTATGATTTATATCTTCTGCAAGGTATGTAGCTTAGTTTATTTGGTTTATTTGGGCCAGCGCTTCTCGGCCATGCTAGTGGTTTGAGATCATGATTTGTCACTTGGGGTAATTGTAGTAAGTGCTAGCGTTGACTTCCAGTAGAAGGTTGTGTTCTTTGTGAATCCCAGAAGCCAGAGCGAAAAAAAGAAAGAGCATTTCCAATTTATCAGAGCTGCCATGCCAGTGGAGTATTTATTGCATGCCATTGGAGGTTCTTGTGATTGTGTTCTTTGTGAATGTCATTCGTTACATGTAATCGTAGGGTTTTTTCGCAACCTACTGTACTATGATCCGCTTTCCCAATCCAAATCTCCCTTGTTCTTACTCTCCAGCGACGCTTAAAGCACTAAGTAAAGCAACCGGTTCGTTTTCGTCTCTATACTCTAGGTCTATCCCTTCATGCAATACTATGTTCTTATCCGCCCAACCCTCACCCTCTAACATCCCAAAGACTGCATAGTTCCTGGATTGGATACGAATACGAAGGGCACTGAGGACGCGGAGAAGGACGAAAAGATCAAGAAACATCGACGCGAACGGGGACTGGAAGAGGTGACAGACAAACCTCCATTGATCAAGGTTATGGAATATCCGATTTATATTTTACTCGGTTGATTTCAATTTTTTGGGGAGAAGTCACAGACATGGAAATCTCCATTGATCAAATTGATTATGCATAGCTATGTTGTATAACTTTGCACGATGGAAAACACATCCTACTACACAGTGGCGAGTTCAGTATGTGCAATGAATTGATTGATGCTACTAGCTCCACCAGTGCGTTACTACTGCCTCTAAGACAAGCGTTCTTTACAAGTTGAACAGCGATGGAGAAAAATCAAACCCGGAACACTGGCTACGCAGGGACATGTGGCTGGCGCATAATGGAAACCTCTGCTATTACAGTCAGAAAAAGAACAAGGTACTGCTCATTATTTTTGAGAAGAAGTACTTAGTTAGACATACTATAGTATACAATGCGGACACAACTACAGTCGAGCAAGGGGTTTATGTCCAGCGACGCTTAAAGCACTAAAGTCTAAAGCAGCCGGCTAGTTTTCCCTCTATTCTTAGGCTTAAATCCCTTCAAATCAAGTAAGTAACTATATTCTTGAAGACTGACAAGCGTTGCTTTATATGGTCCTCGCCAGAAAAACAAGAAGAACAGTTTGTTCCTGCTGTGTAGACTTTTACTGAAGAAATCTCCACCTTATGCTTCTCTTCATCTCTTCTCTTCAGCGTCTTGTATTGTTGGATTTGAAGCATTTGGCATTAGCGAAACTATCAAAAGTGGAGGGCGCCTGTGCGCACGATCATGTTTTTTGCGTGGATTTTGTGGAGGACGAGGATGCCATGGATGATGATGCTAAGGTATAATAGGAACATAGGTCTGATGATCATCATGCTAAGGTACAAGGCATCGATTGATGCTTAGGTATAGAAACATAGGTGATGATGCTAAGGTATTATCGGGGATAACGATGATGGTGCTAAGGCATAGGTGTCTGCACAGGGATAGATATTGGACGATTTCCAGTTTCAATGATTGTCGTGTGTACTCACAACTCCATCGCACAACTCCATCGCACACAACACCCACCTCACAAACACAATCTTCAGGCCCTCCAAGACACAGTGCACGAGTTGCAGTACTATGCCGCAGAGAGTGCGGGTGAGTTGGAGAAGTGGCTTTCTATGCTGAATAAGGTCGTGGAACAACCAGACAAGTACGCCAACTTGGACACGAAGATGCTGGTATTTTTGCTTCTGTTCTGTCTTTTTTCAGTTTCAGACACACAGTCACACTCTAACTCTAACAATCTTTCGGTCCTCAAAATCACGCTAAGGCCCCCTTTCACTTCGCCCTTCGGATCAACACAACCCTCGTTGGGATACAACGCAATGAGTGTAAAGAAACTCATGCTCTTTTTCCTTGCTGCCCTTCTCCCACGGCCGGTTTTTCCATTCTCTCTCTACCTCCATCCATCAACCTACTAGGTGTCTGCTGGTTTGATTCAAGACTTTAGGGATTACAAGATGCTCATCCGCAACCGACGCGAAAAGATCGATCGAAGTAGTCATCAGTACCAACCTGTCTTCGAGAAGGAATTGTGGAAGCTTAATAGCGATGGTACAACTAGTATGGATATGGAGTACTAGTAGTAGTAGTACTTACAGCTTCGTCCTATGACAGGAGAGCAATTGTGGACGATTCCGAATAGTGATGGTGCTAACTACTACGGAGCAAGTACTTAGCTTCATATTACAGAACTGAATTCAGAGTCGTGCTCGTGATGGTACAGGTAATATCGTACTACGACGACTAAATTCCTATTTCAAATTTCTTACCTGCTTTGTCGAAGTTGCAATCCAAAATGAATTATCAGTTCTTGATCCATGTGTTCATCTGGACGACTTTTCATCTAATACACTAACCAGGTGATCCACTGCATGAGGATGATTGGACATTCCGCAACATGTGGCTGGCAAAGAACGGAGCTTTTTGCTACTTCTCAAAAAAGGAGAACAAAGAGTTGATGTTTAAGGCTGTAACTCATGCCATAGTGCCTATAATATGAAGGAGGACTGTAACATGAAGACTAATAATTAGGACTAGCATGCCTTGATATCAGTTTTGGATCAACATGAAGGAGTACTACGACTAGCATGCCTTTGATATACTTAGTGCTTAACTGGACATTAATTTCAATGCACGTACAAGAATCTAGAAAATTTCGTCTTTCTTCTCTTTGTATGAGGAGTAATGCCGTTCTAACCCGCACTACCGCCCGGACGACATCAGGCATGTGCGATACCGAAAGTTGCACTACCCAACCGAAAGCTGCCGACCATTCAGTTTTGAACTGACGTTGATTATGATGAAGTGGAAAGTCCATCAGCTTTGCTCGTCTAGTAGATCAGCGTGAGTTTTGAACAAAGAAGCAGCGTGAGTACTTTTTCATATTGCTTCATGGCCCTCGTCAATGTATCGCCTTAATCGAAGAACATCATCATGATAGTGATACTGAATTGCCTCGAAGTCTTCACTTGCGTTCTTTGAATTAGGTGTCGTGGGCACTTATTTAAGCCATGGAAACTTGTCACAATAAATTCATAGAAACTTGGATATTCTGTCGTCTTCTTTGAGGGCGCAGCGCATCGCATAGTCTAGGAGCTGGTATGCTAGCCAGTGGTCTGCACTTGCGTTCTTTGAATTAGGTGTGAGCACTTATTTAAGACATGGAAACTTGTCACAATCTTCATAGAAACTTGGACAAAATCTATCATTGTGTGTGTCTGTGTGTGTGTGTGTGTGTGTGTTGCCAAATAACGTTTCTAACCTTCGACCAAGCGAGGGCATGGAATATGCTCCAGGAGTATTTGCGGCTGGTGACGAAGGCGTGATGATGATAATCCTCGGATGCATTGAGAAGTATCAGAAAATCAAGCGAAACCAAAGCAGTAGTGGAACGAGCAGTTAGAAGATTCTGCTGGTTCATCTAGTAGCCACTGAATTCTGCTAGTAGCCACTGAATTCTGCTGATTTATCTAGTGGACCCACACCTGAAACCAAAGCAGTAGTGGAGCGAGCAGTTAGAAGATATTGTATGTATCGCAAGTAATTTCTAACCATTGATCAATCATAGACTTATCGATCAAGCAGTCAGGTGAGGGTATCGTAATGACGTCATCGATCCGGTGCTTCAAGCACAGGGCTGAGGCAGGATCTATTCTAATTCTAATTCTAATCATTGATCAATCATAGACTTATCGATAAAGCAGTCAGATGAGCATATCGCAGAGACATCAGCACTCTAGAAAGAAACCACTCATCTAATACGTTTAACAGTACGAGGACAAGATGAAACAAGAACCGGCGGAAAACTGCAAGTTTAAACTGACATGAGTGCACCTCCATTCTTATGACATAGTACAACAGTAGGGTTTTGATTAAGGTTATCGTTATATTAGAGTTAGATAAGTATTGGCAATCTGCTTCATCGTGCTCCTTCATCTTCTGCTATACTGAGTCGTGGTCACGTAGTTGTTAGCTCTAATATTTTTTGCACGGCCAACATTTATCCAGCATTCCCCAAACTAACAAAGGGGGATCGATAGTAGAGTACTCAGGTTACAAGTTCTTAGTTGATGAGGTGCGCATGCATGGAAAACGACAGTAATCCCGTAGATCCTGGATTCTTCTGCAGCAGTCCCTTTTTCTAAAGCAAAGTATTGTCCGAAAGGTTCTTTGTCAGCAAGCAATGTGTAATTTTTGTGCTAGTAGCACCTAGTAAGTTGTGCAAAATGACGACCTCACGTGCCCTTCACGTTGTTCCATTGTAGGAGTAGTTTGATGTTGCAATCATTTTCCTAACCGTCTCTCGTTAAACTCGCATATTCACTGAGGACACGTTTCAGAATATTGATTCGACTTCTGGAGCCCTGGCCGCTGCCTGTCGTAAGCCAGAAATCTCTTAATCTTAATTAACACTACTTTGAAAGCAACTTATTGTTCACTATGATTACTATTATTTACACGACTGATCATTAGGAGGACAGAGCTGTGGCACTGAAATCGGTAGAAGAACAGACGGACGAAATGTCATTGCATGTCGATCACACGCCTGATACTTGTAGCACTAGGTCGTGGCCCATCTTCTACATGTCCTTCAGTCCAGTGTTCAATACGCACGCAATGACAATGAGATCTGACATCATGACTGCACAAGTAGAAAGATCAGGTTCCGGCGAATCCACGACGGATCGGAGACCATGACTGCACAAGTAGAAAGATCAGGTTCCGATGAAGAACAAGGGTCTTCACTGAAAAGTCAAAACTGATCAAGTTCCGATGAAGAACAAGGGTCGTCACTGAAAAGTAAGCAGGACGAGATCCTTACCGAGTTGGCATGGATCCTCCCTCATAAGAGCAAGATCTTCACTGATAAGAACAAGATCTCCTTCTTTGATAAGAGTAAACAAAAAAGAAAGATTTGTGTACTTAGACGCTAATTCTTCTTCAAAGTAATCTTGTTGTTTTAGCTGCATTTTTATCCTCCCTTCATGGAGCTGCGTTCATCTTCCCTCTGATGTTCAACTGTGAGCATGATAGTCAATATCTCCTTCTTACTCACTACTTCTCAACAACAACAGGTTTCCTATTTGTTTCATCTCTTTAGGAAGTAACTGTAACAACATCAACTACAAGTAGAACGTTAACGTTAGAGCAACACTCCTAATTGATAATTCTATCGTCTGAACTACTCTTGCTTCCACCTTCCACCTACTTAATATTTGCATCATCTACCACCACCACAACTACTGTTTGCATCACATCAATATCAATTTTTTGAGGTTTTCTTTTGAGGTTTTGGCTTTAATATAATTTCAACAGCAACAGCTTGAGTGAAGAGAAGAGTAGCTGCTTGAAAAAGAGAGGAGTTCTGTCCAAAAACGACCTCTGGTGCATCTTCTGCAACTTTTTGAGAGTGTGTTTCAGCTTCACATTATCTTCTGGCTCTGCATCACATTAAATTTCGCAACCCTCGTCGTCCTACAACTGACAGCCTTCATCCCACATAAATACACACTTTCGAGGTTGTCTTTTTTCTTTACCTTGCTTTTTTGTGTTTTGAAAATCAATCAAAACCCCTTGTAAGTACCCTTATTCGATTAATCTACGGACTTGATATTGCAACTATCGAAAACTGAAAATAAGCGAGTTACTGACTGAAATAAGACTTGAGGTAGCTTTTAAAGGCTACTCTGTGTTTTTCAGTATCTCGGTTATTCTCGGTTGTTACTTGCTTATTTTAGTTTTTCGTATACTCAAATCTGACATTCTATTTCTAATTAGGAAAGATCTAACTCGTCTCTCACTTTCTACTACAAGTGACTAAACACGTCGTGCAAACAAGATATGCAATTTGCGTTTTTCTACCACAAGAACTTGCTAAACACCTATACAAACAATACGATTTAAGTAGTTGGATGAATTCTAATAGCAATAAGAATACTCGGACTTGCAATAGAAATTAGTTATAGTGTCTAGTAATTTAGATATAGACCACACAAGAAAATGATGTCGAGAGGAAAAGCACGCCGTTCTTTTTATAGAGCATCTTTGCTGCTCGCAACCGCCAGCCAGCAGGTTCTTGGAGTCAAACTTCTGAGTGCAGCTCCTGCTCTTCCAGAACCAGATGGACCGCCTCCACTTCCACCCCCTCTGCATGATCCACCTGCACCTGCCGCGGGGTCTGCAGCACCCCCTCTGCATGGTGCGCCACCTGCTGCCGCGGCTCCAATATCTGCAATGTCTGGCGGCCTGTCTACCGCGGATGTTGTTACCTATGAGACCCGAGCTAAGATGTCGATGTCCGGTGGCAAAGAGAAGCCGATGCATTTCTTGAGTGATGTCCTGCTTGGTGGTGTTTTCGTGGACACAGAAACATTGTTCGCACGTGGTGGACCTCGTGGTGACACTCCCGTTATCCAGATTGGTGCTCTTGTGGCCGACAAAAATACGCCAGGTCTGCGACTGGTGGAGAAGGAAGAACGCATTGATGGGCTCACGCAAAAAGCTACTGCCGCAGAAGGACTTTTCAAGCCTATGGACGTACTAGCTGAGGGCGGATCAGCTCACGTCGATGTTACTGAAGAAGTTGCATCATCCTGCCAAGACGTAGGGGAAACCGCTGGGAAAACTGCTAGGGATGTAGATTCTGCATCTCCAGCGGCGGCTGCGGCATCTGGTGCTGTCGATATGATGAAGGACGTGGATGCTGTACCAGGTGTAGGTGCTGCAGCACCCCCATCTACCTCATCAAGGAGGAGAACCTATCTGCCTTGGGAGAGAGAGTTCGACCTTCTAGTGGTGCCCACACCTAGAGGGACAGAATACCAGGTGGATATACGATTGTCGATAGCAGGACATCAATGCGTCAAAGAAAGGGATGCTATTATCCTAGGAGGTGCAACACTCGGAGTCGGAGGAGGTGCTTCAAAAATCACAAAGAATTTATTCGGAGATGCGCATGCTGGGGGAGAGGGAAGCCCTCCAGCAGCTGCAAACCCGTTTACTGCACCATCTGGAACCGATCCCAGTGAAGCCAAAAGTCCACTGGAGTTGGTGCTAGAGAGAAGCAAGAGGGAGGAAGAAGAAAGAGAAAAACAAAGACGCGAGGAACTGGCAAAAGAAAAGGAGAAAGCGAGACTTGAAGGCATCATAAAGAGTAAAGCTTCAAGTGGAGACGCGAAGGCGACGGCAAAAAATGAGCTAAAGGACCTGAACAAAGCAGCAACAAGAGGTTACGAGCTGAAGGCGAAGCAGATGAAGGCGTCGATGAAGGCAAAGAAGGAGGCGGAAAAGGCAGCAAAAAAGAAGGAAGCGGAGATCGCTGCGAAGTCGAAAGCTCTGTGTAACGGTCACAATCTCTGTTTCGATGTGGAGGCACCTGGCTGCCGAGATCTGTGGTCGGCTCTTGACCGTGCAGGCGCCCTTTTCCTCGTTCGAGATGAACCTAATCTACTCAAAGCCTTAGAAAAAGTGATTTTGCAAAAAAAAAAGCTTGAGCTTGAGAAGACCGACGAGACTCCTTTCACCACGAGCAGGACTCCTTTCACGACTTACTACATCCCTGACGTGCCAAGCCTTCCGTCTTTACAGAGGGTCGACATAGTAGGCGTGATTCCTGGGGAGGTGGTTCCTGGGAAGGTGGGCACATCGCTCCACACATACGATGTTCGGCTTATTTTTATAGCTGAGGACGCAATAAATATGGTGGCTGGAGGAGGTTCTTCTAGAACAAGAAGTGGAGAGAGATTTACAAGAGCTGCTTATCCTGGTATAGAAGGTGGCGCAAGGTACCTTCCTCCAGACATTCGGACACACCTGCTACGGGAAGACTTTCCAATTCAGGACAAGCTGAAGACACTGCTAAAATTCGAAATTACGACGCTCTTGGAAGATCAGAGAGCAGAGGCTGAACTTGGTGGAGTGCAGAGTCCTGTTGGGCAGAAGCGGAAGTCCTTTGATGAAGACCCTTCATCTCCAGGAGCTCCAGGAGGTAAAAAATTCAAATTTCGGGAGAACAAAAAGAACCTCGAAAACTTTATAAATGCTTCTCCACGGACACCGCGGCCGGTAGACGATGCTCCCAGCACGCCGAAAGCTGGGGGCGCTCAAAAACTAGGACGCTCCCAAGGAGGTTCTACTGATCTAGGAAGGTTCGCATCACGGCTGATGCAGAGAACAAGAGGATCGACTACACCGCGCAGAGGTGGAGAACTACGAGCCTCGTCAAGAACATTAAGCGGAGAAGAACATCCACGACCGCTTCAGACTCCGACGCGGACGAAGCGTGAACGCAGCGAAGATGACAACCTACTTGATCGGTCTGCAAAGTCCGGCAAGAGATCCACAGGAATGTCCACAGGGCGGTCGAAGACGCCTCTAACTGGTGGCCGCTTTTCTCGGAGTAGTCGTTTGCGCAGAGGACCCAGGTCTGCTTTCAGTCAGGACTTGGAGATCGATTCTATGGCAAAGAAGGAAGTTCTTGAAAAGGCAATGGCAACAATGCACAGTACCTACCAAAACAGTGTCGGGAGTCTAAGAAACATCTGGGGCTTAGAGGTCTATACGCGCGAACAAGTTGCAGAGATGAGGCGCATCCTCACTCACAAACTAACAAACGGACCTGCTGCTAAGGTGATGAACTCTGTTGAAACTGGAGCCAAGATGACTTCCGCTCATCTTAGTGTAGCGGAAATGGAAGCGATTGTAGCGGATCCATTGCGGGAGAAGGAAATTGCGAAGCGGATGTACGTGAGCAAGCTAGCATGGGAAGGTGCGTTTGCCCAAACGCATTTGGAGGAACAAAATGATGCCCTTCAAAGAATTTTTTCTAAGACACAAGGTAAACAAGCGCCTCTGCGAGAGAGACTAGCCTTCAAAGCGGCAGCTGCAAAAGCGGCAGCTGCAAAAGCGGCAGCTGCTGCTTCTAGCACTAGCGTTGGAACTACTGGTGCACTCGCTGGCAGCGTTGAAGGAGGATCTGAAGGAAGCGGTGGAAGTCCTGCAGCTGGAGTTGTCGGCTCTTCGGGAGGTGCTTCTGGGGGAACAGGAGGAGCAATAGGAGGAATGAATGTGGTTAAAGAGCTGTTTGGCGAAGATTATATTTCAGGAGACGAAGGAGAAGGAGATGCTGCTCTACAACTTGGAGCTGAGTCCGCTGCTTCTAAAGCAGCAGGTGCACCAGCATTCTCGGCTGCCGTTCCTGGTCCTGCCGCAAGCAAAGCAGAGCTCAAAAAGCCGATCCAGGAGTCTCGGCAATTGGTAAAGCCGCCATTGCGTAAGTTTGGAACCACGACGTCTACGTCAGGAGACGAGCCTGAACATCCTCAGAATTTCTACATCCTATCGGAGTTGTACCGCTACCAGAACGAGTTCAAAAAGCGGTTTGGCTACGCTCCTATGATTCCCGAAGAGCACGCCGCTAGGTATTTCACAGCATGGCTCCTACACGTTAGGGATTTCGTCTTTGAGCCTTTTGACGAAGGGACCTTGCAAAGAGTGCAGAGAGTTGTGACATCTACTTCACAGCTAGATGAAGATGCGGACGCGGTTGCGGACGAATCACCTTCTGTGGGAGATGAGGATGTTGAGACACCTGTAGGTGGAGCTATGGAGGGAGGAGCACGTAGTAGAGTACACGGTGCAGAAGACGGTGCAGGTGCTACTAGTAAAAGAGGTCGTGACCTGGTGCTCAACCTATACGCGCATAACGGCCGCTCTTTTGATTACCCAATTGTCAGAGCACTCGTTGACAGGCATGTGATGGAAGCAAAGGCTCCTCGTCTTGTCGCTACCTCTGAGGAGGGTGCAGAGAGAGCATTGGGGAAAGCTAAGACCGCAGCGGAGACGAAAGGTGCACCTGCAGAGAAATTCACTTTTCCTGTCGCCAACAGTCGCTTCCAACCGGCCTACACCTTGGAAGATGCGAAGCAGATTGGTCTTGTTGCTCCTTGTCCTTCCGCATTCACGGTTCTTGACGCGGACCCACAGAACGCTGCAGGAGAACATGCTTTCGCCGACGCCAAATATGAACGAAAAGAGTATCCTGTCTATGCCATAGCGAACAAGAAAAATGGACTACCTCCTGCTGGAAAACGCCAAGAAAAGCCGAAACGTGTGCAAGAACTTTTTGTTGCCAGACCTCGGTCCTCCACCGCAGGAGAGGCACTACCACAGCCCTCTTCGGCAAAGTCCGAAGAACCACAACTACCAAGCCAAGAGAAGCTCATTGAGTGCGGTCTCCGCGACACTCTCGACATCTTCAGAGCCAAGCTAGCTTCCGCTTTCAATGGTGAATTTCGCTTAGGTCTCCGCAAACCAAATGTCTTGCCGGTTTTGGGTTCGAGCATGAAAAAATTGAGGAAGCAATACGATATTTTGAGACAAAGGGTGTTGGAAGATCAGGATCTACTGCACAAAAATCCCTTGTTCGTAAAAACCGCAGCTATGAATTTCAGAGAGAAAACTTGGGCTCAACTTGGGCTCTCTGAGAAAACGAAAGACCAAAAAACGAAAGACGAAGTATTAGAAGACACGATGGACGATTTCGACAGCTTTTTCTCGAAGATGAAGAAATATTCTTCATCCGGGAGTAAGACAAGAGTGCATGCTGGAGATGATGAAGTAGAAGCAGCTGACGTTGATGGCACGGAGCGCAAATATCCGAAATGGCTTTCCGGCATTCGTTTCTTACCTGAGGAGGAGTACAAAAAACTCACACCGACTGTCCGATTGGATGTGGGCATGGACGACTGCGTTCCCTACACCCCTGTGCGGCAGAATGGTGAGCCTGAAATTGATCAGGATTTGATCAAGGAACAACAAGGATTGGTACAAGAAGTGGAAGTATTTGACCAGGCGATTCGTAAGAATTTGCTGGTGCTGAAGCATCAAAGTCGGGCTGGGCAGATGTCCTTCGCGGAGGGAGACTTTGTCAAAGCGTTCGGTGATCCACCAAACAGTGTGGAGTTCATCTGGCCCTATCAGCACACTGCTTTTGCGGACAGCTTAGCTCTGTCTCAGGTCTTCCAGCTGATGATCTTGCAGGGCAGAAAACCGAGACCGGGAAGTGGCGGGAAAAGACGAGGAGAGGTGGCAGGTGAAAGCTTAGGGTCTGATGGAGTTGGAGTGGAGCAGGAGGGAGCAACTGCTGCTTCTGGAAGTGCTGGGGCAGCGTCTTCTGGAAGTGCGGGGGCAGCGTCTTCTGGAAGTGCTGGGGCAGCGTCTTCTGGAAGTGCTGGGGCAGCGTCTTCTGGAAGCGTTTCTGTAGGAGCCTCAGCTAGTTTGAATTCTAGCATTGGGAGCGAAGACTTGAAAACAAAATTGGGTCCCGAAGGGCAGAGACTGTTCCACAGGCAGCTAACGGGAAATAATCTGTTTAAGCCTCCCGAATCGCTTGCACAAGCAAAAGAGAGGGAGGAGAAATGGCTCAAAAAACAGGTGACAAAAATGACTGATGAAGAGAAAGCGAAATTTCTAGCCACAGAAGCAGAGAAAAAGCGAACGGACCAGCTTAAAGTCAACGACGCTTTAAGGGCACAAATAGTCGCAAAATTGAGAAGCGACCTAGCCGACAAACTTTTCGAGGAGGCTATGAAAAAACTAAAGCCACTTCCATAATAGGTGTGAGTACCACCATAATACCCGGTATAGGAATGAATGCCACCATCTACTAGGTATTGGAGTAGCACCATAATAGGCGTGAGTACCACTATAAAAGGGATAAGAATTACAATTACTTACTCAAGAAGAACAAGAACAGCATACGCGTACCATAATAGGTACTTCTATCTAAATTAAGATTACTGAAGAACGACTACATTACAGGGAACGGCAATGTTGGCAGCTAGTGAAATGTTGGCGCAATAATGGTTTTCTTTGGTCCATCAACTTCAACATCCAGTTCATACAAGAATTGGAATTGCTAATTAAGATTGAAGAAGAAGAACAAAAACAACTACGACCAATGATCATGAACAGGTAAAAACATCGTGCAAGGACTATATTTATTCTTTGGGGGTGGATCTGTCATAGCTAGTTAGTGTTAGTCTCATTATTTCATCTTCAAGGGCGCGATAACGCGGAGCGGTCGACCGCTTCGTGTTGCACTACATCTGGACCACTTCAGGTTCGAGTGCACCATCTGGGACAACTAGGACAGCTCTCTATACCCTATGATTTACCCGAAATATGTTGATCAGCGAACAATTAACGAAAAACGTTTTTTTTTCGACACATCATTCACGACGAAAGCTGCATTGACTTAAATATTGGAGCTTTTTATGTTGTAAGTAATCAATCAATGATGTACAGACACATAGCTGTAGCAACTCGACCAAGAGGAGGTTCTCTACTACCAAAAACCTTTGCGAGGAGGAGACAAGGGAAGGGACATCTCCTCTTCCTATGCCCAGACTGTGTGCAGGTTCGTAGCGAATAGAGTGATAGAGGGGTTTATATATGCCCCGCCTGTCGCCGGTTTGCGAACTGGGTAAAGCTCAGGAAATTTTTTCAAGCTTATCGGCATTACAAAAAAAATGCAAGTCAAGCCAGGAAACTCTTCATCTAAATCTTAAGATCTCTGAAATTGAATAGCCATGAACTGCTCTTGTCGAGTACTTACTTCTTCTGCCATCTTCTATGGCTACCGTGGCAGCACTGTGGTGCTTCCATTTCCTGGCGTCTGGTGTTCTCTAAATGAAAGACTGTGACGAAATCGTCAAAAGAGGGATATGAAGAAGTCTTCACAAGAGAGCGAAGTCTACTTCACAAGACGAGGGAAACTCTAAGGGTCTCTTCGAACTATTAGGGTCTTCATCACGATTGAAAAGTAGACCCAGATAGACTATGATATGACTTCGATCAACATTGAACGAACGAGATGATCCGCTTGAGATGATCCCTATCAATTGACGAAGAACACTCCGTGAGCGAACGAGATGATCCGCTTCAGATGATCCATATCCACCATTGACGAGGGACACTCAGATCCTCATTTTAGATCACTCTTGAGATCCAATACTCCAATTCCGATGTAAAGAAAGTTCTCCTGATATCACAGATACTAAGAACGGTGAATTCGTACTCGGTCCTTGCCCATTTTCGCTTCCCTGTGCACGCTGAATTCATAGCATAGATTTTTTCGAATTCGTCATACTGATACTTTTTTAACACGTCTTGATTTTTGAACGGAGATTTTGGCTGCAGTAGGTCACAGCAACATAATAGTTTTTAGTCCCATCTGAGTCGGATCCAAGCATACGAACAGCAAGTCGGTTTTGAAAAGGGAATATTAAGTGCAACAATAAAACACTTCTACTTCAACTTCTCGCACTGTTGTAACTAACAGTTGTATTAAAGAACGCTAGCAAATAATTACGAGCCTTCTACTCCATCTTCATCAGCTCAACAAAGACTGATCGTGTAATTCGCTATCTCTCCTTGAAATCATTCCAGGTTTTGGCTATCCAACGTTTTGATAACAACAAAGACAACCTACGTTTTTGAATTCGGTTTCGTTTTTTGGCCCTTCTACTCCATCTTCATTACCCTAGCAAATAATTACGAACCTTCTACTCCCACATTATCATCTCAACACAGTAATTTCCACACCTACAACACCAGCACAACATAGATCCACATCCTCCATATATTTATTGATCCAAGAAGTCTGCTGGTTTATCTAGTGGACCCACACCTAACCTAACCTAAAACGTCTTATAATCTTCATCTACATCCCAGAAAAGAATGAAGCTTTCTTGTGGTCGAGGCCTTTCGCTTCTCCTGTTGGCCTCTGGGGCCACAGGATGTGAAGGAGTGGCTTTACGTACCCATGGGGCTTCTAAAGACCAGCAACATGATATTGAAAGAGGAGACGTTAGAGGCTGGCCCTCGACGACGGAGACGGAAAAGTCTACTCGTCGACCTAATCATGTCTATTCGAAACCAGGTGGTCGTTATGGTCCAATCACAGCGCTGCTCACTGCCTTGACATTGGGTCAAGCTGTCCAGGCCGACGATTCGGGGTACTTCTCTGATTTCCAGGAGAAGTATGGAGAACAAAAAGATGGGACAACTGGGAAATTTCCGAAAACTACAGCGGTTCTTGGACCTTCTGAAGGAAGAAATGGGAGTACGCCGGACCACGTTGATCCTGGCAGTACTGTGGATCTCAGCAACGTTCCTTGGATCTCTCAGTTTCGTGAACTTCTTAAGGAAGGATCTTCTCACGAGATCGAGGAGGATCATCAAGAGGGAGATGAGGACCACGACCAGTTTAGTAACGACGACATTGCTGATCTTTTTTCTGGTTCCTCCTTGGCTGCTGTGTGCGATAAGCGCAGACCTGATCACGACTACCCAGAGGTCCGAAGAGTCTGCACGAACTTTGATGAAGGTAAGTACGTCTTACCCAGAAGTGGAAGTAGTTGTTGTTGTTCTTCTTCTTCTTCTTCTTCTTCTTCTTCTTGTATATAACAGCGTTGATGACGACGTACGCCTATCATGCCTACGTTTCCCTGAAAAATTCGTACAGGAGTGCATAGATCGCTACGTCAAATATGCTGTAAATCACTCAGTCTTTTGAAGATCCATAACCTAACCTAACCAAGTTCTTCATGAAAACCGAAACCATGAAAAGGTTCCAAGTTAGACAAGAGCATCGTTTAGTCTACGTGCTAGTGCTATCGCTCGTGATAGACTAGTAGATGGGAACATTACACAAGTGAGTCAATTTAAATCCGCCTACTTCAAATGTTCAGGCCGCAACGCCGAGACTGACCCCTTGCTCGGTCGAGGCCAATGCTCATTCGGTGGCTATTTGCGTGCGATCCTGAGCAATTCCGAGAGCTTCCGAGTCGTGAAGAATAGCGAAGGCATCTTCGGCAACATCTTTGATGACGGAGAGGCAGGAGCAATGGAAGAAGGCAGAAACGACGTGATGCAGGAACTCTCCATGCGTCCGCTTGTGGGTGAAGCATTTGGTGGCGTGAACGCCAAGTGTCAGAATCGCATCATGCAATCGGGTGGACCCACCAGCCAAGTGTTTTTCAACGCAGATGAGCAGCGAGACTCTTTCAAAAAATTGCCTAGTGCTGTGAAGGACAAGATTGCGGACATGATTTCCGAGAAGAAATACTTTGCGGTCTTGCCCGACAACCTTCTCACTGACCAGCAATTGAAGCTTTTGCGTGAACGAGGCCTGAATTGGCCTTTGTGGTCGGATGTCTTTCGCACTACAGAGACAGTGGACGGACCGGATGGAAAAGAAGCCGTTAACATGGTAACGAGCACAGACCAAGTCACGCTCACAGTCCGCTTTCCGAAACAGATGTTTACCCCAAAGTTCATGGATACCGTACGACGCGTAGACCTATTGCCCAACGATCAGAAAAACCCCTACGGCTCTGACCCGTCGGGGGAAGATCTGCGAACTTTACTACGCAACGCTAGCGCAGAAACACCTGATCAACCCATGATCCGCAATGCCGATGACTTGTTGCGAAAACACGCTCCATCGGTTCCGGTCCACTGCAATCAAAACACCGGTTGCTTCATCGCTTCGCAGGGCGTGGGTCCGTCGCGTGTCGAAGGTGGAGTCGCGTCGAACTATGAATTACGGCTTCAACATTCTCCTAAAATCGTCCATCTTCTCCAGAAGCGTCTTAGCAGGCCTGTTCTTGTTCCATAATTAGGGGGGTGGAAACACAAACAGCCTCAAGATGAATTTGAATCTCAGGCTCCTAATTCATTCTCCTCTCAGGAAGATGGATTAGGCTGACTGCTGTCTCTAAATAAAGCTGACGATAGTCGGACCGGTGGTGGATGGCAGAAGGGGAATTTGCCTGGAGAGTCTTCCTCTGCAGAGGAAGTGGAATATATTTGGGGAGGTATCTCTGGTCGTGCCCACGGCAGCGCACCGGTTTCCCCCGACGAAGTGTTGGACTTACTGGGGAATGTTCGTGTCGTTAAGGTTACTGGGATTTATTATAAATCTTCCATTTATTTCAGAAGCATCTTGGTCCCGTTTTTAAAATAATAAATCGGGGTATCATGATGTGGCCCCCCAAGATGTAGTTTGCTGCCGAAGAATGGACACTTTCCTTAGAAGTTCTAATGTCGCAAAGGAAAATCTCATAGAGCAATACCTGGCTCCCGCAGCTATGATCAGTAGCACGTTTCAAGACTGGGCCAGTTCGAACGTGGACACTGAAGACGGAAAGAAGCGTCGGGAGGCATTGAGACCCTATTTTAGTCTGTATGCACCAGCTGCTGGCACAAGAACTTCAGAAGGAACATCAAGTGTCAACACAGGTGAAGATGCTCCTGACCAGTTCTTGTTGGAAAAGAACTCGTTGCATACAGTGAGTAGCGACAGCGTCATGAAGTTGTTGCAGCATTGGATGCAGACGAGCACTTTTCACGGTCCGATCACAGCAATGCTGGACAAGGTGCAAGAAGAAGGAAAGCTTGGTGCAGAACGAGTGGAACTCTTCAAAAAGTATATGCAAATGGATGGCAAGAAAGAGATGGCTGAAGACGCACAAGAGAGTGAAAGGGGGTTCCTTCGCGGATCTTCAGCTTCTGCAAAAGAGGACGTCGAAGCCGTTCATCTACCAGGTTGGTCTCTTCATAAAAGTAGTGATCCGCTCGCCAAGGCTGAAAATTGGGCGGAACTTTGGAATGTGTTTCTCGATAGTGGCTTCATCCAGAACACTCCGCGTCCGTTCGTTCCTCAAATTTCTTCTCGTTTGCTAGAGCCCAACGCCGATGAGCAAAGCGTTAACGATGGCACACCCCTAGAAGCCGTTCCGAACTTCAAATTCGAAATCATCGGAAAGGTCGACTTCAGCGTGGGCACCGGGTCTTATAACCAAAACCCTAGGCCCTTCAACGTTCTCGAGTCGACGGGTAACAAGGTAGGAGAGTACGATCCGCCGTCGATGCATAAGGGGTTGGCACAGGATATCGATGTGATGTGGACGCACCCGATCACGCAAAACCTGGGAGCCCAATTTTTTCCGCAGTGGATGCCCTTCCAGGTCCTCTTTGGGTACATGCAAGTACCGAATGCGACGCAAGACTGGAATAATACACCGGTAGTACTATCATACGGAGTTCATGTTAGAAATTTTGTTTTCAATTTTGATTGAGGAGGATCTGGTGTAGCCAACTCGCAAAATAGCCAACGAGTATTTTCAATTTTGATTTTCTAACTTCTTGTTGTAGATACCGAGTTCATGGAGAGCTTGAGTCCTGGGTAAGAAAGTAGCATTTTAATTTTAAATAGTATTAGTATGTGCTAGTTCCTTCGTCTAAAACAATACGTAACTTAGTGTTAGTTAAGTTCGCTGGTATTCTTGTTACACACCGTCGAATCCATTCATCAGTATTTCTATATAAAATCAGCCACTGAGAAGATGAAACCTTAGCCGTATATTACTAGCCAAAAAACTTCTTCTAGTACATAAATGACAAATGCAAATCTTCAACAACACCAGATCTACTTCTGCCACCAAATGAATATCAACTACAACAGTCTTTGCAGCAGCCTGGCGCTTGGCCTACGACGGAAGGGGAGTCGCAGTTTGACATCCAGACCGAGGAGAAGAAGGGCAGACTCGTGGTAGCTCACCTCTGCAGTTTAGGTGGCGATATGAACATCATCGATGCTCGCGCTTACGGGATTGCTTTACCATCATTTTGGACCGATCCAGAAACGGTGAGCCAATCTTTGTGGAACGACATCTTGCAGGCTAAAGACCCTAAGACCGGAACCGACTACGTCATTGGGTCTCACGATCATAAGATGGCTTTGTACGAAGGTTTTATCGGCAAATTCAGCGACTTTGCTGGTCCTACCAAAGGAGCGCCGATGTTTGAGGCTATGCGAAACTCACTATCTGAGGCACAAAGGAATGGAATCCATGAAATTTTTCTGCCTGGACACAGTCTCGGAGCAGCCCAAGCCTTATACACAGGAGTCTATCTAGCAACCCGCACACCAAAAGCGTTCACAAAATTGACGGGGATTGTTAAGGCCCATGATAAGTCGATTACTAGACTAGTTTTAGATTCGAGTACAACTATACATACTACTAGATATTTGTACCCATGATAAGTCATCTAAGTACTAGATATGATATTAGTTTGAGACTCCAGTTGTACTCCTTCGTAGAGTAGTCTATGCCTCAATGATGTTGTTCCTTTTTGTGCTTTGAAGATTCTGAGACCACTCTGACTCGTTTTATTTTTACGACGAACAGTGTATTGGAAAATATTCGTACATTTTTTTGATGTAAAAGAATTTCTCGTCCTGGTGACGTTGAGGCAACCACAACTATCACTTCTTGTAAAACGAAGGAAGATAAGTCATATACTCCTCTTGTTTGTTGTAAAAAGAATATAACTGCTTTGGTCTTCCTCGGTCCATCTCTTCGTATATTACTCCTCTTGTTGATGTAACAAGCCTAACAAGCGCTAATATTGAGTGCCTCGATGGGAAATTACCGAAGATAATTGTCTCCGTCGCTGGGTTACCCCACACAGGAAACGTGGAATGGAATCGCTTGGTGATGAACTTGATGAAGCACGAGAGCGTGAATATGCAGGTCCTCGTGGCGGAGAATCATCGGGACAAGATCGCGAATGGCGCTGCCTTTCTAGGCGCCGTGATGGACGAAATCGAGGAGAATGCACGTCTGGCGTATGTCTACTACCCACTTATACTCTCCGCGGCTTCCCAATTCTTGCAGTTCCTCTTGATCCTTGCACTCGGATTGCAAAAGCGTCGCACACCTCTGCTTGATGCACTTCTGAAACGCGTGTGGTGCGGACGGTCACTTTCAACTGCGGGTCAAAGAAGTACTCACGTCCACTGCGGGTCTGGTGCAGGACCTGCTGCAGCAGCTGCTCCAACCACCGATGCTTGTGCAGAAGGCGGTCTTGGATTTGGTGCTGATGTCCCAGGTGCGCCTGAAGGCACTATTAATGGACCTGAAGAAGGCAGAACTGCTCCTGAAAGAGATGCAAGAACTGATGGAGGTGATGATTGTGAGCTATGGGGAGTGATGGAGGACGCTTTTGACCAAGCGGTGCTGGATAAGCTATGCCGTTCCAGGTCGGCTAAAGCCAATGCTAAATACTGGCTTCGATACTTGATCAACGTGCGGCTGACTTATCCTCTGGCACCTTTCGCTGGGCTCAAAGCGTTGCTTGAGCATTATGGTTGTTCCTCACGAAGATGTGGTCCTCATCTCTGCAGGAGGAGTGCTTTATCTGCTTGTCGTCGTTGTGGAACAAGGTGCGCTCAGTCACAATCCTGTTGTTCTTGTGCGTGTCGTGGTCTGTCCAAGGGCGTGAAGAAAGTTTTAGGAACCATCCTCGCACCTCCGAACAACAAAGACCGATGGTTGTTTGCGTCCTTGCTTGAACGGTATACGTATGCTACTCTCGCTGGTGCCGCAGCGCTGCCGTTGTTAGGATCCATTCCAGCGAAGATTGGCCTTGGGTTAACTGCAGCAGCTGCTGGCCCTGCAGCTCGGTACCAAGTCGCCAGGCTTCTAAAATCTCTCATCAGGAGGGAGAGAAGTGGCACCGTGGCCCGTGCGTTTACCGCTCTTGAGGATCTTTTGGACAGAGCATCGAAGAAAACAGGCACGAGGAGCACGAAGAAAGGCACCGGCGAAGCAGAGAACGGTGACGACGAGGACACACGCCAAGGAGATGGTAATATACCTGCGGAGAGCAGCGTGAACGGCAACGGGAACAATGAGGATACACGACCTGCGGAGAGCAACGACGACAGTTTGGCAGTAGATTTGCTGCGCATCGCGTTTGAATTCGGAGATACAATTGACTCGGTGACTTACAAGCGCACCTCAACACTGCTTGGATCTCGTACTTGGTTCCTCTTCTGGGGTCTCGTCAGCCTATTCCACAAAGAAATTTGGGAGTTGAAGACGTTGCCCGATACGTATCGTGCGGATCTGCATGCCGAAATGGCCTTCGGCACTCCTGAAGAACGCGCTGCCGCCTTACATGCTTGGGTCACCAAGGATTTCGCAGTCGCTCAGACTACTGGCATGGGCCTCTTCTATGACGCGCCGGAAGCGGGCTTTCGAACCATTGATCCCAGACAGGTAGTAGAATCGCCCTCCTCGTTACACGAACTGATTCAGTTTCTCCTCAGGTGCTTCTGGGACCACTCAGCTTTTAGCTATCGGGAATCAATGAAGGCTCTCAACGCCTTGATGCAACAGACGCTGGACGAGCAGCAACCACAAGAAACAACGTTAAGACTGTCTTCCGGAAGATAGATAGATAGATAGATAGATAGATAGATAGAGAGATAGATAGATAGATAGATAGATAGATGTACCCACTCATGGGGTATAAGGGGGGAAATCAATCTCCCATTTACAGACTTATTTGAGAAGCATCTTCTTGTAGAACAAACCCGGGGTGTTGTAAGGGGGAAAGGAAACCAAGATGCTCTATGTATAATTTCAAAATGGGAGATTCCCGGAAGTAGCTCTAAACAAGATTACAACCTTAGATGTGGAAAATACCACAAAGGTAGCCAAAGAATACGTGGTGCGTGAAGTTCTAGGGGTTGGAGAAGCCGTTGAGGAGGCTGAACAACTTCTAGCTGTTGAAGCGGAAGCGGAAGGTGAAGCAGCATCTCCTGGTGGAGGAGGTAATCTAACTGTGGAAAAATTTGGTGACATAATGAGGAAGATTGAGCAGGACCCGGAAAAAAGGGCAAAACTGAACGAAATAATGCAGCAAGCAGATGATAGAGATGAAGCATCTGAAGAACGTGAGGGAGAAGACGGGGAAGATGAAGACGATAAGGAAGTCGAGCTTACCGTGGAAGAAAAAAAGAAAATTTTCGACGAAAACTACGAGAGACTGAAGCAAGATCCTAAGTTCAATAACTTTTTATCAATGTAGGAAGGTAATTATAAAGAATTTCTACTAGTAGAAGAAGATCAACGTAAACTAAAAGTGGACCGAGAAGAACCTCATGAATGCTTCATGATGACCTTCTTTGAATAGAGGAGCTGAATAGAGGGGCTAGCGAATCAATCCATAGTAGAGTAAGTAATTGCTTCATTTTTAGTACTGTCGAAGCATTTCGTTCTGATGACAGTTGTAAGTTGAGGAAAAGCACCCCTGTACTAGAATGCTTGAGTAGAAGAATACGTCGCGGCGAGCAGCTGATCGCTCTCGACCTCGAAAAGATGCCGTTGGCGCAAAAGCTGCGAAAGCCACGCCGTCTACACTTGCGTCCTAGATTGCAACATATGCCTTGCGCGTTTAATCGAATCCGACTGATAAGATTATCGTTCGGCATAGGATTCCTCGCCCCCTAGGGAAGACGTTGCATTCAAAAAATTAAGGTACTTAATACCGGGCCCTTTTTCGGAAGTGAAGTCTGGCATTAAAAGTCCCGTCGACAGTTTCGATTTTCGGAATACTGAACTGGGCATCATGCCATACCATGAGCAGCTACTATCATGAGTCAGAGTTGTTATAATTTCTTAGAAGGAGAGGGCGGAACAAAAACCTTTTCTGATGATGTTACGATCTCTCAACTTTGAGTAGCTAACTCTCATGATTGAAAAGATCCAGGCACTTGTGTGTTCTACCAGACGTTGATTCGGTGGAAACAAATGTGCGACGACCAGATGACATTCACGTTGCAGGACAGCAACTTGTATCTTGTTCATCTGTTGCGCCCCCTCAGCAGGTCCTCCTCAGTCGACATCAACATGCTTCGTTGCAACAGTTAGTACGACTGTCAGTCTTGTTAGCACAACAAAGCATCTGTTTTATTCAAAAGTTGCTTGACTGTCTCCGTCTCAGATTATCTTCTCAGGACAAGTGGTAAGATTACGAGCAGTACCAAATATATACCAGATGAACGAGAATCCAATATCGATCCAGTTGTTTCATCTTCTTCTTGTCATCTAGAACTTTATATTAGTACGTACACGACAAAGACATAGAAGACCACAAACGTTCGTTTTCGGAGCTGTGTAGAAAAAGATGTGTCCGTCACCTGCAGGAGGAGCGTCAATCCCTGGGTACAAACCGATCATGGGGGGACAGCAAATATTCTGTCATTATCGCATCGACCTAGCTTCTATTAAGGCAAAGGGGGAGATGAGATAGAGATGAAGCTTAGAGTAGAAGTAGATGTAGATCTTGACGTACTACTGGCGCATCTTCTACTAGTACTAATTGTCTCAAGTGGTCCAACTTTGTGTTTGTCAGAGAGAGATGAGAGAGAGTTAGTTTTTGCTTCGCATAATTTCGATCTAGCAGTCACCACTACAAGGTCATCATTATAAGAGTCCTGCTCCTTTTCAAGTAGTCATCCTCTAATACCAGTGCGCCGAGCACGTCCTCGACCAAGCCTTCATACTACACTCGAAGCGTGCCTTTGCTAGGAGAGCGGAACTTGCTAGGGACCTGGTCCTTTGGACAGTTGAAAAGGACGTTTGTAGCAGATGTGGGGAAGTTAAGGTTCTTGTTTCAGATTATTTGACTTGCTTTAAGGTAGATGCATAGGTGTACTAGTTACCCTTTCCTGTCGTGAAAAACACTTAGACTTTTTATTAATATTACTGACCTTTTCTGTCGGTGTCGTGAAAAAATATCGGCGAAAGTACACATTTAGGCATTATAGGGCAACTACTTACGTAAGAAAAGCACCCCTAAGAAGAGCTTATCCCCGCGACGTAGAAGCTGGAAACAAGAAATGGCGACTGACCACGCGACAAGGAGTCCATCTGCCAGACGCGGATCCACTAGCATTGCATGTTTTAGGTGGCGAGCATGAAGATTTCTTCCTGGTTCAAGTAGATGATAGTGCCGATGCTGGGAACGAAGATCTCGAAGGCCTCAGCAAAAGCGACCTAAACTACTACTACGCCCACGATCAAACTCAGACGCGAAGCGAAGCCCAGCAGCGACAAGCAATTGATGCTCCGCCAGTTCGGATGGGACATAATAAACGACAAAGCCCATTTGGCACCGACATCGAGAAGTACGAAACGCTTACCAGTTACTCGTTTTCTGTTATGGGGGAAGCAAGTTGTAAAACAAAGGCGTTAATACAACTAGTATCTGTTGATGTTGTTCAAAAACTGCCTTTACTTCTACATAGTTTGCTTTTCTCGCTTTTCTTAGTTCCCATCATCTTAACTCATACTAGCAAATCGATCTCAGAGATCCAGTTCCCAACCCGACCTCTAAAGACAACTACAACAGCACAACGGTGAAAGTGTTTATCCTGCTGCCTGGCATCGGAAAGATCCCTCCGGATCAGATCAAGTCTAACTTTGGAGAAAGGTACTTTCAATTAAATCCATGTTTTTCCTTCCTGTTCCCTAAATTTAATTTCCCTGTAAAAGTTTCTGTTTCTGTTTCCCTGTAAAAAATGTGAAAATAGTACAACAACAGGTCTTTCGAGGTCCTTGTCCACGGCTATAACAAGAAGAATTGGCGCTTGGGCTGTGCGAAGACGCATGCCTTGGTGATTCCAGATAAGTGTCGACATGTAATCCGGGACAACAAGATCACGCTTGTACTGCACAAGGCGACGGCGGGTGATATCTGGTTTGACCTGTTCAAGAAAAAAGCCATTGGGGATGAAGAAAAACCATGAGTTCATCTTCAAGTGGTTGTTCAATAAAGTGCATCGGTTGTAGACCTTGGATTTGTAGACCTTGGATTTGACATTTGTTGCTACCTGCTGTAACCGGAACCGAACAGCGTCCAGGCTGCATGCCAGGCTGCTACACCACCCCTCCACGCCAGTGCTCCACATCCCCTCCACGAGAAACAGAGGACTCAACACATTTTACGTTGATACTGACACTGATACTGGTGAACGAGTGGCCATCCTCGGATCGCTTCGTAAAAACAGCTTTTTTAAGCTTTTCTTCACATAGCAAGAACATAAGTATTCTTTCGTGTGATGATTTTTCAACTATGTATGTATCACAGCACTTCCGAAGAGCAGGAAGAATTTCATATCTGTGCCGATTGGTGTTCAGAATATTGACGCTCGGTAGGAGTAGACGTCGAGCCGTCATGATCTACTTCGGTAAAAAATCAGATTCAAATGCAACATCGGTCCTTGTACGATGAGCTCCTGTGTATTCATTGCTACTTCATCTAACACAGACACGACGACCTGTCTGTCGGTGTGTTATTGAATGATTTCATCTAACAGTAAAAAAAATGTCTGTTACCGAAAAAACACATCTGTCAAAACAGAAACTGCTTGAAGATCGCGGAAACGCTCCCCTCGCACCATTTTCCCTTTGTCTCTATGCATAAAAGTTGTCGCTAACGGCTTCATGTATCTTAATGTTTGTACCACATTTTATTCGAATACAAGAAAAATAAGGTTAGTAGCATCCACCTTCATGCTCACAACTAACTGAGCAATGGCAGTGTCCGGATCTAGAAAAAATGTTGTCATACGATATCTGGTGAAGGTTGTGCATCTAGAAGTTCTAGAAACAACATCGACAACATAATACTCTTTTTCATTCATCCTGCCGGTAGGTGCTGCATACCTATTTGGGATGCACAGAACAGATCTGCATAAGTACAAAACACTACCAAAATGTCAAACCACAAGGGCAAGGAGGCTCAGGTGGAGGAGGATGAAGTCCTTTTGCCGGGACAGATGCGCTGTAGCGCTGAAGTTCACAAAGGTGCGAGGGTCCAAGATCTCACTTCGACGGAGTTGAAACACTATGGCTTGTATTTCAGATTAAAAAAATTGAAGAAGATTTAATCCTGGTTCATCAGAAGTATGTGCAGCTGCGACCACTGCGCTCTTGCAAAGAAATCTATCTCATCTGGCGACCACTGCACTCGTTACTTACAAAGAAATCTATCTCATCTGTAGAAAAAATCTATCTCATCTGTAGCTGTACATCATTTACTGTTACAGTACTCTACCTACTTGTTAGTACTTACACAATACCAATACCAATAGATACTGTATGTCAATGTCCCTCAAGAACTGCACCCTCTCTAATCCATTGCAGGAACAGTGATTCAGGTGAACAAAGGCAGTGGCGAGGCTTTAGTAAGGTGGGATCCTGTAGTGAACGAAGAAGAGGTGGAAGAAGGTGTGAGTGCGGCTGCTATGCAGGCATTGAATTATGGGACAACTACATGTAGTAAGTTGTAGATACTTGGGATTTAGTAATGTAGTTGTAGTAGATACTTCTGTAGTAAGTAGACATATTAGTAAGTAGACATATTAGAAGATACTATGTACTACGTAGTAGATACACTACACAACTTCGGGACTTCTTGGATTTATTGTTGTACTTCCGTAGATTCTTTTCATTTGTACTTGTTCCTAGACCCACTCTAGGCGGCCTCTCTAATTCTGGGTCCGCGAGAACCTAAAAGCAGCTGCCGCTTTGGGTGTCGAATTGAAGGCTGCTCTTGATGGAGAAGGTGGCGGCCCCCTCTGGGGCGATGATGAAGCCGACAACAGAACCGAAACTTGGGCGAATATCGACCTTCTATTAAGGCTCATCTCACATCTGGGGAACAACTCATTTTCATACATACTACCTTCTATTAAGGCTCAGCTTCTGAAGGATATGATCTTTAGAAGTCCATCTTTTGAAGAAGTGCATCTTTTGAAGAAAGAACTGTAAAGAAGGATGGATATGGATTAAAAACTGTTCCTGAACCTCCTGGGTACGAGAACTTGGGTACTAGCTCTAATTCCAGAGCTGATCCCCGACTGGAACTTCGCAAAAAACGAAGTGCAGCAAGAAGCCCTTTACGACAAAGAGACAGACTATAAGACGATCAAGAAGGAACTGCTGTACGGCAAGGCCACAAATTTGATAGGAGAAACACTGATTCAGCCGTCAGTATTTACGGATATTCGTTCTGCCAACGCCAGATATGCTGGTGCGAAGTATGTCGGGACGGCGAAAAGAGGTATAATTACAACTATTTTTTCTACAGGAGATGAAGAAAGTTGTTCTTGTTTGTAATTCTATGAAGTTATGGTTACTGATCTGGGCAAAATTCCATTCCATTCCATGGTTATGCTATGAATGTCGCTTCATCTTCCTTGTTCGAAGGACATCCTACAAAAATACGAGTTTCTCTTGTGCCAATTGGTAGTACACGATAGAGGCTTAGCTTTAGATCCGTCCAGCTGCATCATTTTTCCTCGAGCAACGAACAAGCACCCTCATCATCGCAACAGAAATCACTGGACGTGCTAGCATTCCATCGGGGTCTATTCCTAGTGACCATTTGCCGCAGAACGTTCACGAATGGGGTCGTGACCAGAAGTTTTTCGGATCTGAGGAGTACCACAAACATGGTTTCCCGAAATCCGGGACCGCAGACTTCGAAATCCATCCTCAGACGCAGAAGTTGCACCATAAAGACTTCGATTGCATCGTGCACAATGACGATGGAGGGAGGAAGTTAAGACTTGATCTTTGTTGAGACTATAAGTTTTTGATCTTCTTTCATTTTCTCCTTCGTTTTCATCCTCCATTGGGTTGAGGGCGGTCACTTGCTAAACCAACTGCGCATATGGCCTTGGCCATAAGTGCATGATTGAGAAAGATCATCCTCTGATACAACCTAGATGACAAAATCAAACTACAATTCTCGTCTACTTCTTCCCCCACTCCTCGTCCCCTTTCGCTTCTAAGCAACGCTGGTCTCGCATCCTCTGACTCGGACGCCCATTCCGAGGACAGCATTCCTTCCAGTGACGTGTTGTCAGAAGCAGGACCTCACGTAGTGACTTACAGTGTCCGGCAAAAGGGGAGTAAGCTCACGTCCAATGCTGACAGTGCGCAACAATTATTAAGGCTCACGATAATTCATCGCCACTTTGGTTTTCCACTGCTTCCACGTTGGTTCTTGGAGCAACCTTCGTTCTTGGATCCTGACGAGATGAAAAATACGAAGGTTTTCAAATGAGATGAATTGTAGTGTTGAGCGCTAAACCAAGGTCCTCAGAGTACCAGTGGTGCTACAGGAACAGGTACGGGGGAAGACGAAGATGATGTATTTACTACTCATCAACACAAGATTCACAAGTCGAGGACCATGAAGTCGGTCTCTTTTGCGCCTACGCCTTGGCTGGAGCATGACGGCGATAAGGCGAAGTTGAGGAACGAGATTGACGCACCACGATCACCGGAGATGACCTTCAAAAGATTTCGATCGCAGTTGAACAATGACCCGATCATTGACACGAGGCTACACCACGCAATTTTAAAAGAAGCGCACGAAAACCGGTTGCTTCCTCGCGTTGGGTACTCAATTTACGGCTTCTTCCACAAGTGATCCAGCCTTTTTTTTCATTTTTTCAACGATCATCTTCGTTCCTGATCAGTCGTGGTTTTTTGTAGCTCTAAGGAGTGCGGATGCGACCGAAAGAGCGCGCTCGGACTGAAGAGCATATTGATGGGGACAACGACTTGGCTTCAGCGACCGTGACGAACCGGCATCCTGGCGGCGCATTGGATGTAGGCAGTGCGGCTGCACTAGGCACCATAGCTGGTCGTGGCGCGTTTGCGTCTCAGGAAGAGCAAGAGGCGAGAGCGGAGGCGCAGAAGATGATAGAGAACAAGCCTTTCGATTGGAATAGTGCGTTTTACGGGAAAAAATGGACGAAAACGATCGAAGAGGAGAAAGCGAAAGAGGCTGCGAAACAGAAAGTTATGTACTGACATAGAGATAATCATCGACTTCGCTCTAGTACGTACTCCTCGCAGTAGTTTATCATCTTCAGACTTTGATTCAAAGGAAAATTATCTTCGCTTGAGACCATTACCTTGGTAGCTTCGCCCTTCACGTTCTAATCCATCCGAAGAAGCGGCCAGGGTCTCTGCATCCGCACCCACGAAAGTTCCAGGAGGTGACAGGGCTAAGGGACCAAAGCTCGACGGGAAGACTCATGCACCTGCCGAACACATCGTTGAACAACTGCATGGCAGAGAAGTAAAGCACGAGACCCACTTCCAAGGTGTCTTGGCTTACTTAAAGAACAATGGCTTCAACGTACATCACGAGGGTCCTTTGCCAGATTCCTGTGCGGCGATAATAGCAGGAGGAGCGGACGTTAAGACTTTGAGGTTCTAGAAGTACTTTCTTACTTGTTGTTGCAGCAGCGTTGATTCGACTTTACCTACATGATCAGGAAGATAGATCGATCAATTCTATTCTCGTAAGTTTGAAACTCTAAACATAGAGCAAACGCTATGAATGATGATGGATCAGGGAATTCCGACGCAGCAGCAGCAGCAGCAGCCGAAAACGCAAAGACAGTGGAGCGTGGGTTGGGAAAGAAACCTGTGGGAATAGCAACAGCGGGAGCACAGGCCTTCGAGCGGCGACAGAAGTCTTTCTAAGGGAAATGATGCCTAGCTACATCAAACGTGATAGATCATGTTAGCGGTGCTGTCGAACATAATGTTTTCCATTGATATAGTCGAAGATTCCCCTTTTCATTGATATAGTCGATTCTACTGACTAAGGCTAATAGCATCCAACCTACTGTCCATTACAATGAGTCCTGATCTTGTGATTTTCATTTCCTTCAAGGACAATAGGACAAAAGGATTAGTAGTTTGTATCTTCTAGTCCCCGAACGTTGTGTCTTCTAATCCCCAAACGTATCGCTTCATCGTATCTTCTAATCCCCAAACGTTGTGTCTTCTAATCCCCAAACGTATCGCTTCATCGTATCTTCTAATCCCCAAACGACCGCGCCCGTGCGATTATGACTGCAGTCGCGCGTGGAGAGATCACGGAAGAGCAGAAGAAGGATGAACTTGAGAAATTGGCCATGGAACATGAAGACTTTGAGCCGAAATCGTATGTGAGAGTTCATCCTGACAGAACGGCATGGGACATGCATAAGGAGGCAGAGCAGAGTTTCGAAGCCTTTGCCCATATCGGACACGTGGTAACCGAAGACCAAGACTCGTCTTCTGTGGGGGATACAGAGACGTTTGATGAAACACAAACTGAAACTGTCTCTCCGGGAGAGCAGACCGACGACGCTCAAAATATAAATAACGCAAAGGAGCAGGAGTCTTTCGATCCCAGGAAATCGATTGGTGCTGCTGGTGGAGACGGGTCAGGAATAAACAACAATAGGCGGTCCTCTTCTAGGAAAAGTAGGAGTCCTCCGAAGGTGGAACGCGTAGTGCATGACGTCAGAATGGCTCGGGTGAAGAGGGTCATCGACTATCAAGGCCACGCAGACAACGACAATTGGCTTCCACCTGGACATAGATGGGAGCACAGCTTATGAAAGGATATTAGACTTGTTGATATGGTAGAATAGCGAAGGTGTTCGTCATAGCCAACTTAGGAGCGTTGCCCGTGCTGTCACCCATCTATCATCTGTCATCTGGAGGCCGCGATGTTGCTCGCTGGTTGCTCATTTCTGAAATTTTACTTTACCTTGCCCTCGCTATCTTAATCTTTCTTACTAGTGTAGTCGTCAAGCAATCCCAATCTCGATCTCCTCTAGTTCTCATCATCCTCGTCAATCCTGCGATATAATCTTTTCCTCTAAAACCCGCACTAGACAACCGTCTTTGGCGTCATTCTCCAGTGCAAGATCACCGGCCTCTAGTTGGTGCGCATTCGGGACCTCAGATTGGGGAAGCAGACTTCACAAAGAAATACGATAAAGTCGCCCAAGGCCATCACTCGTTTGCACCAGAGAATCACGTTGCGGCACCTCATGACTTAGGTGCCAACTGCTTTGGGCTGTTTTATAACGATTTCGATCAGGAACAAGGTCAAGCTCAAGGACAGTCACTATCGCGCCAGTCGCGACAGTCACAAGGAAGAGGAGTTAGTTTTTCTACTGGTACAACTAGTCCTTATGATCCTGACGACAACTATGACGCGATTCCAGAAGGAGGAAGCAATGAGGATCTCCTTGCCTCACTGCGAGATGATGACGATGAAGAAGAGGAGCTTAAAAAGCCCAAACTGGCTCACCCGGAAGTGAACATGGATCCAGTTATGCATATGCCGGTTGTGGTAAACGACGAGGGTGAGCACGTCCAACTACCCCTTTTTCACGGAGGCGACCAAAACCACGACGAAGTTCCTCCTCACTACACGACTTGCAGTGCACACCAGAAATTGCACAAAGGCCGTGTGCAAGCAGGAGACAACAAACAGCAGTTAGAAAAGGGGCAACTACACGCGCATTTACCTCCTGGCTCGCGCTGGGAGATGCGACCTCACGACGCAAGTCAAGTAGTCAACGAGTTTCGGCATATCCAAGATTTTTTGCAGTCTTGTCCTAGAACGGGTCAGCATTTCCGACACACCTGGGAAGAACTTCATGAGTCAAGAGATCGCGGAGCAGTCACGTCAAACATGAATTACGTCGGACGGTCAACATGCTGATGTCCCTACTAGTCCCTGTTGCTTTGACGAGGATATCTAGCTTTTGATTTTCCGTCTTAGATGAAGAGACAAGTTGTAGTCCATTTTTCTCTTGTTTATGTCACTACCGATGTCAACGCTCTCAGCTCTAATCTGGAAATGTAGAAGCGACCTCGGAAGTAAGGTCTGCAGAACACACCCGCGGGCCCATGCGGTGGCGATATGAGAGGAGGAGGAAAGAAAGGGCAGGAGAGGATAGGGTCAAAGGTACCGATTTGGCCGAAGTGGACGCCGCACGGACAGCCACAGATCATCGAGGCAGCGGCCTAAAGAATAGGTGGCTGCACCACATCCTCAAGGAGACGGAAAAGAGAGACCATTTACCTTTAGACGACGAGTTTGAGCCGACCATGGTCCCGGGACTGAATGTGGCGCACGAAACCCATATGGGCTCGGATGATGAGGAGTACGAGGAAATCGATCCGGAGAAGTTGCGGAGATTAAGGCCTCGTCACTTATATAATAGAGCAGTTTATAGCACGGATGGCGCATGGGACGAATGGCATGAATGGCACACCCCAACACGCCCCATATATTATGTAATTCATTTTTGAGTTGTTCATCTGTGACAGACTTGCTTTCAAGTAGAAAAAGGGACAGCACGACAGATGAGGGAAAAGCTGGATCATTGTAGTGAGTTCTAAGAAGAGCGCGAGAGGCCGCACTAGCAGCAGCTGAAGCGGAGAGAAAGAGACAGGAAGAAGAAGATGCAAAGCCAAAAACGGTAGCCTTCGATTTTGCTCTGAGTCAAGTGCGGTTACATCGCAGATACGGTGGCGACTCCTACGAACTGCTTGCTGGAGGCATCAAAAATATCGACATCAAAAAAATCGATGGATTCGCAGAAGATCCTAGTACAACGACAAACAAGTACAACAAGGATCCACATCTGAAACCTTCGGTTTTCAACGATCACTACCACGTCCAAGAGGAGTTGCGTGCGAGCACAGCAGGATCTGCGCACTCTCGTGTGTTTGAGTACAGACCTGGTCTGGATGATCCGAATGAAGCGAAACTCGAGAGTGATGAACACGTGCCTATCAGTCACGTAGATCCATTAGTGAAGAAGAGGTCCAAGCACGTGCTCTCAGTGGCTGAGGGAGGGAAGGTGAACGGCCTGAAACGTGGCGAGATGATGCACCATGAGGTGTTTGGGCCAGGTGTCGTCTTTTCGCACAGGACGGTGGAGAAGAGGATACCTATACCTAAGGGGGAAATCTTCCGAGAAGGAGAGGAAGGAAGTAGTACAGAAGAAGAAGAATTTTCTTTTATGGGGTCGTGGTTGAAGATGAATACTTGTTGTATTTGTATACTCACTATAGATACAACATTCATAGCTGCAACTGCTAGTCGTGCTGGAAAGAGTAGATGAGGTTCTTATTAGTTCATGGTCATAGAAGGCCCAAAGGCACATAGATACCCATTTCTTGTTCGGAAGTACTAGCTTTCTCAACATGACTCTGTGTACAACGGAGTGAACTGCTTAACCGCTCTTCTAATGATCCATCCGACGAAGTAGACGAAGAAGAGTCCGACGACGGTATAGCAACCAATAGGAGTGGCAGTCAGAAGGCACCAACATCTCGAAAGCAGGCCTCAGAGAGAGGCACTGCAGCTACCGACAATGGAAACGGGCCTCTTGACGGTGCAGGACAGGAACTACAGGATGGACGAGAAACCCAAGGAGAGGAAGGTAGATCTTCTGCATCATCGTCTAGTCGTGGCTCAACGTCTATGTCTTCGACGACGAAGAGAAACATGAAAAAAGCAGCGAAACTGGAAAAAGCGAAAAAGAAAAATATTATGGCAATTGCATCTGATTTTGAATTCTGTTTATGCTTCTTTCTCTGTAAATAGTTGCATTGAAGATTTGGATTTATTGGATTCACAAGAATCAGCAATGAAATTCTTGCTTTATTACGCTCTGAACGACGCCCCGCTTTGATTGGCGCTACAAAAATATGGTCTGATTAAGATGAACTAATTCTCGCTTCTGACTTCTTGGTTCACATTTTTTTCCCCCCGTCCCTCTCCCCCTTCTAAGGGTCCCAAAAAGCTCAAGTCCGTTGGCGAGATTGACCACACAGTCGTGGATCATCACATCTTGACCAAGCACGTTGTGCGACCAAAGCATGAGCACCGGCTACCGGTCCAAGTTTCCGAAGAGGAACTCCATGATGCGATGAATAGAACTCGAGAACAATTGAAGAAGCTCAAAGCAAAGGCAGCCGAGCAGGGTTCCCACGTCGATGAGGAGGACATCAGGTCGTTGACGGCGCGCGTAAATTCAGCAAGGATGGATCAACTGGTGGATAAGCTGTGTCCGGAGTTATGATATCATAGTTGAAATGCACGTAGACCTACTACCATTGCATCTACTTCTTTTTTCAGCAGATGATGTTGTACGTAGAATGCATGGTTGTACTACATGTTGACAGTTCATCTTGTATTCACTTTCAGTCTACTCAGTACTTCGAACAACAGATAAATTGCCCGTAAGTTACGTGAAGAGACTGATTACAGTAAGAAAGTGGAAGTTCATTTTTCGTTCTCCACTCGTCTTTCTTTCGTCCCTCTCCTCTCTCTAACACCACAACGCCCTCTCGGTGGCAAAAGGTACGATCCCAAGAGTGGCCGCCACCTTGCTTCCCTCGAGGACATCCATCCTGATGACTTTGATGATCCAGACTTCGACTTCCCATGGAAAATGGTCGATACCACTGAACTCCAAGAACGTGAGATGCCGATTTACAACATGCCTCTATCTACAACTAGTTCCGGAACAACGGGGATTGGAAATAACGCAGGAACAGAACAACAAGCCTCGAAAGATCAACCACCTCGCTCAGCGTTTGAGGAAGGTCTTATCGGCTTAGATGTATTGTTAAGGCTTCCTCTATTAATCCATCTCTATAGCTATCCCCAAGCATATGCACCCCAAAAATACAAGGGGAACACTCAGGCATATCCTTGTTGGATTAGGATTTCCACAGTGATGAATTGGGGAGAGGTCTAATATTGGCAAATCGAGAGGGGGAGCCCACGCCATTCTTCCAACTCTATGCAGAGGAGGATAAAAAGCCGAAGTGGAAAGCAGAGAGGGATGAGGATGATGCCCAACAACCTAGTGTCTGGGATAAAGTACATGACGGTTTGGGCATTCACTAGAAGTCATCGTAGGATCTTATAACTTCTAAGAAGGAACAAGGCATCAAGATCACATAGTAGAAATGAGACACAAAATGAATTATGCATCGTGTTGAAATCAAATAAAACTTGGAGAATAACGGTACCAGAGCAAAGTGACAAACAAAAAAGAGTGATATTTCATTAGCTAGTACCTCACTGCACAGGAAAACATCTTGCACAGTCTTAACATTCAACAAACATTTACTGAGACTTCGACTTACAATCATGCATAAGATCAGCACCCATGGATGATAGACTATATTGATCTTCTTTGTAACATCAACACGAACACCCATGGATGATAGATTATGATCTTCTTTGTGATTCATTGTGGCTTCGTTGCTATTCCTATGTTCTTGAACTTTTGAAACAAACTTGCCGCGTCGATGCATGAGCAAGGGTATTTCGTATTGACGATGTGTTGGGAGTTGCGATCATCAAGGTATAGGAGCGATGGAAAAATAGAAATTGAGAGTGATAAGAGCGACGTTCTTGACTACTTACTAGGAGGGGCATACTAAAACTTGGAATCTTCTGCATTTCGCACTTACGGAGAAGAAGACGAAAAGAAAAATGATCAACTTGTGTGAGTATTCATCGTGACGAGTATTGTAGGTAGGAGAGACACACGGAGCAGTACCCTTTTGGTAAGAGGAGCAGAACATGGTCGAATTATAAAAAAACGACTCGTTTCCGACCTCTACGAAGATGAGGCCCCCGTGGGCGGGGCTGCTCTTCACGGGCCTGCTCTGCAATGCAAGAGCAGCCCCAGCCAAGGGTGGAGCACAACCTTGGCGCAAATTGGGCTCTGCTGTGGACATCCTGCTATTGGAGGTAGACCCGAATAACGCAGTACAACTACAGAAGGTGAAGGGTTTAGGGTTTAGAGAGCTGCATAACCGAGGTCGAGGAGAACAAAGAGTGCGTCTTCTGATCAGTAACAGAAGAAGTGGCGCACAACTACAACAGAACAAGAACAAAGGTCAGAAAAACAAGGACTACATCAGGACGATTGCGAAACAAGAAGTCAAGGCTGCTCGCTCTGTGCACGACAAGAAAGAGGCGGGCCACGAGGTAGATGAAGTCGCCAAGATCGATGTGCCTACAGCTCATCCTGAAGATCTGATCTCCGAGTCTGATCTAGCACGCTTAGAAGACGATGGTGACGAAGCAGAAAACCGCTTAGTCCTGGATCTGCAGAAAAACGCCCAAGGATCGAAGGTAAGCGCAGAAGAAAGTGCGAATCTAGAGTTGGACACTCTGGATATGGAACTGCGGCAAGCACGCGATGGACGTGCGAAAGATCGGACTTCTCGGGGGGCTGGGAAGATTACGGGAAGTGATTGTTCACTATTGCAGTCAACAGTTGAAGATACATGCACATACTACGTACTTCAAGTCAAAACTCAAAAGGTTGTATCAACGTGTTTAATATGATCACTAATTTAAAAATATTCCAATAGCAGGACGACTCAAAGTCAAACAATACAACATCGTCGTAGTCGCTACTATCTTTGCGCAGACCACTAGCCTTCTCTAATCCTCAGCCAGAAAGCGCAGCAATCGACTTTTTCCAACAGAAGAGTATAGACCAAGCAACAGGTAAGAACATCTTCACTTCTCTATTCGGAGGTGATAGCAGTACTAGTACTTCGTCAGAATCTCGATCTACTGCATCCTCAAAGAAAACCACTCTTGCTGACGCCTTCTCCGCACTGGATGAAGCGGTAGTGATGGATGACCTGAATGCAGTAGTAGCAAAGGACAAAACAACTAGCTCGTCTATAGATGAAATCAAAGAAGCTCCTGGTCCTGATGTCGACGTTCGTCACGAAGAACCTAGAAGAACTGCAACAATGGAAAAGCATCAGAAAGCTCCTGTCGTAGCAGAAAGAGCCACAGCAGCTCTAGTTGTAAAAGCATCACAGGTCGTCCAGAAGGCGGGCAAAGCAGCTACAGGAGGAAAACAGATGAAGAAAAGAAATGTCGTACAAGAAGAAGAGCAACCTTCCTTGGTTTCCCTGTACAATCAACTTCCGATAGACGGGATGAACAAGGACGCTTTTTCTCCTCGTAACGACCAGGACATCTCTTTGAGCACGAGCCACGATCCTGCTGTTGAACAGCAACAGGTATTCGACTTCGTTTTACCCTATCCTCACTTCGCTGTCGAAAGGGTTCAAGATGCTGGAAAGAGCTACCTGCTCTTGGTCTCCATGAAGGACAACGTTTTGAAACAACAGGGTGTTCAGGATGTGGATCAGCTTAAGATCAAGGCGGTGAAAGTAGATGCAGTGCGTGAGGCTTTGACTGCTGCCACCAAGGCTTTGGCGCAGAAGAGTAAAAATGAACGAGCCGAAGTCGAAGTGACAACCACTACTAGCACCAGTGATGAAAGTTTCCTTTCACTTGTGCTTGGAGAAGAGAAGAGCAATGAAGGAGAGAACGTCGCCACTACTACTAGAAAGAAGAAGACGAGCAACGTCAAGAGAAAGGCTGAGAAAACTCATCTCATAACTCATCTCAGCAACAGCAAGAAGAAGACAAAGCCTGTAGTACCACCAGGAGAACAAGCCGCAGCCGCTGCGCCGCTCAGCTCCATCATTGATCAGTATTTCAAAGCTACTAGTACAGCTACAGCTTCTTCAGCAGGTACTTCTAGCACGTCTTCTTCTTCTACTTCGTCCACAGCTATTAGTAGTGACGCAAAAGGTAGTTCCACAGAAGATGAAGACAGCCAAATGGAGAGCAAGTTGTTCCACGAAGTAAGCGGCACGACTACGGCTCAGGGTGATGCGGCCATTGCAGCAGGAAATTTCGGCACAAAAACAGCCCTGGAGCGGGATGTAGAGGATTGGCTGGATGTACAGCCAGCTTCTACTTCCTCTAGTTGGAACACTAGAAGGACCACACCTTCTTCTGTTGCAGGTAACAGAAAGGCAGCATCTTCCAAGTTAGACAAGTGGAGCTCCTTGAAGGCAAAATTTGCAGCTGCAAAAGTGCAGCATGAAGATCAACAGGAAATAACAACTCAAGCACAGGTTCTTACGCCTTCAGCTGTGAAGAAGACTCGTCCAACTTCTACACGACCCAATACTACTACGAAGAAAAAGCCGGATCCTCTGAACACCTACTTTCTGAACAAGGACAAGAACCTGGCTGCAACTTCCGACGATGACTCTACATCCACAAGCGCATCCTCACATCAGAGTCACGAAGACAGTAACATGATTCGCGCTCAGATAGAGCAGGAACAAGGAATTCACTCTACGGCAGATGAGAAATTGCGTCAATATGAAAAACAGCAGCCTGTGCGGTCGACGGCTGCTTTCAGTTCTCGACGAGTGTATTTTTATTAAAGTTAATATAGAGATGGTTCTTGAGGTCTTCGTCTTTCTCTTTTTCTACTCAAGAGCATCGATTGTGAAAATTATGTCGTTGAATGGACTTCGTGGCATTTACTCACAATAAAATCGGAATTGCACTACTACAAAACACATAGATTCAAAAAATAGCCTACTCTCTACTCAGGTCACCGCTAGCCGCCGCGCACTACGCTGTTCCAGCCTCGGCCACGATGTCCCCTGCCAGCACTAGCGACCAAGAGCGACATGTTCCGATCTCACACTACGCACCGCTTCCTCGTCGCCCGCTGGTCAACGTGAAGCCATTGGAGGGCAAACAGAAAGAGAATCTAGACCACTTGTTCGAAACCGCGTCAGGGAAGGTGAGTACAACTACTGACGAGACGAAGTTGAAGGATCATGTCATACAGGAAGAGGATCAGGAAAGTGGAGGAGAGAGTGTCGTGAAGTCTGAATCGAAAAGCATTAACGGTGTTGCAGTTTCGAAATCAGCCAGCACAACTGTTGCTAGTACATCATCATCATCTGGAAGCGAGCAGGGAGATGAAGATGAGGACGCGACAAGTGCGATCTTACATCCAGTGGAGACTTTGGTGAAAAAAGTAGAGAAGGAAGAGAAAAAAGTAGTGAAAGTATCTGCTACGGCTGCCAAGACTTCCCCTACTCCCACTCCAGTGTCTAAGAAGACACCAGAAGAAGCGCCAAAGCAAGAACATCGTCACAGTCCTCAGGTGCAGATTCCCACGGAAGTGACAAAGAAAGCGACAGCTCCAGCTACTTCATCCAGTACTACTTCTCCTATAGTGCAACACCTGGAAGACAAAGACAAACTCCAAGCACAAGCACAGGTACTAGTTACGTCTCCACCAGCACCTACTTCTACAACTTCGACAAAAAGCTCATCTTCATCCTGGGATGGCATTTTGCAGAATGAGAAGACTGTTCAGAAAGAAGAAAGAGCGGAAAAAGCATCAGCTTCCCTGGACGCGGATGTTGTAGACAAGAGGTCTTCTTCTAGCTCTCCTCTGGGTATAATTCAGGCTGCAAAGACACGGAACTCAACAAACAAGCCAGACTTAGTACTCTTACACGCTGATGAGACTGGTAGAAGTAGTGGTACACGTGATACTTCTTCCACGAAAACGCAGACTAAAGGCGCCAAGATCGACCTTCAAGCAGATCTCAAGTTACTAGACGGTCTCAATGCGAAAAACGGGAATTATAGAGGAGCCAGTGTAGCCTACACTTCTAGTAGAAGAGCCAGCACACAGCTTGTGAAAACTTCTACGTCTTCCAGGACTAAAAGTAGAAGTACTGGTACTGGTACACAACTCTCCTCAAATTCCGCTTCCGCAACTCAACAAGCTCACGTCACACGCGGTCGTCTTTCACGTCTTGCGGAGTCACTGTTCGGCGATGAAGGTAAGCCTCAGCATGGCGCACTGGATGCCTGGCTCGCGCCTCCGAACTCGTCTGCACTTGATGCTAGTACTAAGGACAAGGAGCAACCAGCTTCGTCGAGTACCTCAAGTACTCCATCGAGTTCAAGCTCTGCTACTGCCGCGTCCTCTGCCGCATCATCTTCGCTTGCCGATGCGCGTCAGCAAATGGCATTGGCAGAAAGGGAGGCTCTTGGCGGAGAGAGCAGCAAGACAGTTGTGGCAGAGCATGAACTAGAAAGCTACCTGACGGAGGAGAATGGAAAGGACAGGGAGGAGAATGAGAACACGGCTAAAGGAACATCAGACCATCTTCATTCCTCTCGATCAAAACAAGAATCTCTCTTAGAATTAAGGCTCAACTTTCATTGGTCATAGAGGTTGGTCACTGAAATCGAAGAGGGCCCCCTTGAGAGAACAGGGGAAACCGAAGGGAAGAAGGGGAAAGCTCTGTAAGGGGCCTGGCCCCGTTCAGAGTCGGTGACCAATGACTGCTGACCTTTAATGGGAGAAGGACAAGAGCAGTCTTCGTCTGCATCTTCTGCAGATCAGTTTGAGAAGCTCGATGCTGATCGCATCTTCGATGCTGTTTCACGCGCACAACTCCTGAAGGATGACTCCAAGAAGGACTGGAATACTTCGTCTATGGTGAACAAGCAGAAACTAGTGCCAGTGGAAGAAAAGTCTGCAGTGGCAGACGCAGGTCGTGTGGCTTCATCGACAGAGAAAAAGGACTCTTCATGGCTAGATATCAAGCAGGCTTGGACCCCACCTGAGGAGAGGAAGGAAGAGCCACACAAGAATGTATACTTGAAATTTTTGCAAAACTAGGATGTGAAATCAACGTTCTTGTGCTTGTGTTGATGTTCGTTGTAGAAGGGGGGGGGTAAATGTGCTAAAGAACAAGTAGATGAGAAAGATTTGCAATTGCACAGAGATGTTGATGTACAGTGAAGATGAATTTTTCTTGTAGCGACAAGTAGTACAAGACCCCGACTTTGGCAGAAGATTTTTTTTCCAAAAAAACAGACCAGCGAGCAGAGATATTTTTTCGATTGAACAGTTACAGTTATCAAATTTAAGATACAGAAGATAGAAACTGCCACGGAAGCTGCTCAATCTTCTGTGCGAACAAGCGGCATTATTTCTCAGACAATCTTAGACCGAACTCAGTATTCCCACCATTGTGCTCCGCTATCCCACCGTTTTGCTCCGCTAGGACCAAGTTGCAGACATAAGATCTGTACTTCGTGTGATCGTGGGGCATTCTGGCGCAACATTTCGACCGAGAGATCCATCTTTGATCAAAAGGCAACGGCACTTCCTCCGTGATTTCGTTCTCAAGTTCTAGGTATCTTGATGCTGATACTGTTGCCCATACGCGTTATTTACTTTTACACAACTTGTTCCCTCTAAGAAAGCAAAGCATATAATCTTCTTGATGCTACAGAATTCCCAACATCCTTACAGCACACGACTCTTCTTTGTCTTCCCTAAATACTTATATGCAAATCGAGATCTACTTATTTTTTCCTTCATCTCAGTTATCTCTCAAGAATTTATCCAAATTACTTTTCCCTTCTCTCGTCCCTAAGACAACAACGAACTTGTTTCAACCCTAATAATAAAACCACCATGACTTGTTTCATCGCTGTTGGCCAGTGTGGCAATCAGATTTCTAGAGAGCTACGAGCAACAGCAAACTTGATCCAAGTCGACTCCGAGTCGAAGGTTGTCGATAAGAAGCGAGGAATCTACGAACAGTCTGGTCGTGGATCGAACTGGGCTCTGGGGTATAACGGATATCAAACATCACGCCGTGGCTCTCATCGGCATAGTTCACATGCCAGTCAACCTCTCCGGGAAGGCTCGAAACAAACCGCTTGGGACAGTGGTGGTGGCCACGGGCATGATCTGTACCTGGTACACCAAGTAAAAGCCCGATTAAGAAAGCTTTTCGAGCATGGTGGGGCAGACTATACAGATAGTGGTGGGGCATCATCTACTGTTGATCAACATAAAAATTATACCTCTGAAGAACAAGAGGAGCAGAGACGAGACAGACCCACAACCACAAGAAATGGAGGTGGAATAAAGCAGATAGTTCTACTCCATTCCGTTGCTGGTGGCACGGGCAGTGGTCTCGGTTCCCGTCTTTTAGAAGAGATAGCAGATTTGTACCCACGACACCGTCTGGCGTCAGCCGCTATCTTACCTCTTCGTTCTTGCGGAAGCGAAACGTGTTTACAGAGTTACAACGCCTGTCTTACTTAAGGCCACCGCTGATGCATCCTCAGCACTATCCTTGGCCCTTTTTCTACTTGAAAAAGAAGCCAGGGATACTCTCAGGGAAGCAAACGCGCTAGCTCTAATTTATAGCGGCATGGATGCAGGAGTTTTGTGACGCAAATCTGCTGTTCGAAAACGAGCATTTGCTGTTTGGAACGGCTGGCGGTAGCTCGACGTCTAGACGGAGCGGTGTCGTGGAGAGTTGTTATGATTTTTTATCGTCTCTACTTGCTTCATGTTCATTCTGATACTACTAGATGAGGTTTTTCCTGTCATCGGCATGTCACAAGATTTCAACATGATAAGCGCTTTCTCAACACCCACTCCCTGACTCCACGCAGCACCCTTGTCAGGCTATAATGTCAATCAAATTTCCGAACAACACCGGGCAAGCAGCTCAGGGAAGGCGAACAATGCGTTCAGCGAAGCAAACAGGCAGGTCGGAGAAGTGCTAAACTCCCTAGACTGGGATTCGCTTTTTACGCATGTGTGTCCCATGCGACAGCTTCATTTCGCGCAAGCTTACGCCTATTCGTTGCCGAAGTCCGGGTTCGTAAAGTTTATGGGGAAGACCGCAATTGCAATGTAAGTGCATGACCATGACCTACTTCTTGTTCTAGTTCTGCATCGAGTACATCAAGCTCTAAAGAATCAAATTTGACAAGCCGCGAACACGACGAGCATCTGCAGTTCCTCAGACGGCACGTTTTACCTTCAGCCTTGCCACAAACTCCAGGAGAAAATTCGAAGCGCGTATTGTTTGCTGCGCATGCAAGGACTAGAGGAATAAACGGTGGGATATCATTCCCGAGCAAGAACTGGATCCCAGGCTATGAAGCCGCAGAATGGAATCGACATTTCGCCTACCTGGTGGACCAAGGTCGCGAAATGAACGCTGACGTGGCTATGACGATAAATTGGAGTCGGAGTGGAGACTTGCTTTTAAGAAGATTGGAATTTTTTCGGTTTTTTTTTGGTTGTACTGTCCCTCCATATGTAGGATGTAGGATGGACTTGGATGGATCGGATGGACCTACCTAAATCCTCGGGTCCTACTCGCAATGCTTATCATAAGCGGAGCTGGGAAGTCCATCCGTTCCATCCGATCCATCCCATCCTGAATCCGGCGCCCCTTTAAATTGTTCTATTAAGTATTTAAAGATGCATCATGAAGATGATCATCCAGCACCGAGAAGTGGGGTAAAGCATTGATGTAGTTAGTATCATCCTTTTTTTAATCTTCCCCTTCAAAATAAAATCACCTCTACCTCCTCTAACATCATCCGCCTTCTTAACGAACGCCAGAAAGAAATACAGAGGGCGTTGTTTTCTGCACGCCTTGGAGAATCATGGTGTCTATTCACAGGATGTAGAAGCTGCATTAGACGTGGTAGACGCGGTAGTTTCGAAATATAGAGAGGGGTGAAGATTATTGGAGATTGGATCAAGATCAAAAGGCAATTACTAGAAATTCAACGCTCCTCATTTTACATGCAATTTTCCGTTTGCCCTTCACCTCACTATCATATCGCAACAGACTGGGTACTAGCCTGCTAATGCTGAATGCGTTTTGTGTCCGAAGCAGAGAGACAGCCCAATTCTACTACTTTCGTATCCAGAGAGCGTCAGCACGAATTTTGCCAAAATCTGAAAATGAAAGTTGTCATGAGAGAGCAAGAGGACTTACAAGGAAGAACGGCTGCGCAACCTTGACTCAAACGCAGAGCTTAAAAGTCTCGACTAGTTGGTCTGGGTAGAAGTTGCATGTGATGAAAAAAACGCATGTACAGTTTCGGCCGCGGTATGCACGCTCCTCTTCACGTGCGGTAGCAGATTGATGCAGAAATCTAATGGTCTGAAGCTCCTGCAACCGCTAGGCGAACCACGACCATGAACATGCGGCCACTAACTCCTACTTCCAGAGTCGCTCATCAGCTCCTCCTGGCCTGGAGCCTCTTGAGTCCTTTTTGCAAGGATGCGAATGCCCAAAATCCTGGAGCGACTCTCTCGGATCCCACCGATGGTGGTCGTATGGGTTGGCGGGAGACGCAGTATCCTGCCTGGGGCCAGCCAGAATACTACGAGCATCTAAAACTGAACTACAATTATGGGTACCGTCAACCCATCTTTTACACCATCTTTCAGCTAGAACATCTTTCTTGAAATAGGCTAAAAGATGTTCTAAAAGATGGGTTGTCGGTACCTCTAATACAAGTACCGAAATACGCAGATCGGGAATGACGTCAAAGCGATTTACTATGGTATGACGGGAGCAGATGACTAACGTGTGTTTAATTAGTTCGAAACAAGCATCCCGTTGTTCCAACTAGCAAGTAGACATGATTTTGATCAAATGTACAGATTATCGTACCTGCCTTTGAAGGTGAGACCTATGGGGCTGACAGGACGACGATAGCGCCGGCGCTTAGTTAGTTTCAGCAGTTAGCAGGACACTTTAGGTTACTTGTCGATAGTTACCCTTTTCTCTTCTATATCTTCCGCTGGTCTGTCTTTTTTCTAGTTAGGTCGGCTCCACCACAAATCAAATGTACAGATTATCGTACCTTTTTCCCCGGTCATTCCCCACCTTCATCCTCCTCACGGAGTTACGTGTGGATCCCTGTCGTCAGTTTCTACGTACAGGAGCAAAGGGAGAGATGTGCTGCAACGATATGAACGCCTTTGGCTGCCAGGATCATCCCAATGATATCGTGGTTAAGGCTACAACCCCCGCTAAAGTACTATCCTCAGCATCTTCGTTCCCTGGCTCTTTTTCTTCTCGAAAAAGAGCTTCTCCACATAGTAGCTTTTTAGAGAAGAGACCTCCAACTCCAGGGATAATGCTCTCAAGGAAGGTGCGAACGCTCTAACGTAGGTGGTGCAGATCTCCAGGTCGCTTACTTCCAGAACGCCCACATCCCTAGTTGTATGGCCACGGTGTTCGAGAAGGATCCAAATTGTGGTGCGAGTTTGGTTATGGTGGGAGACGATGGCTGTGTGATCGTAAGGTCCTCAGGGACGTATAAGGATGTAAGTAAGTATGTACGGTGTTTCACGTATTCGTATAGAATTCATATTCAATGAACAAAACCCCACGAGAACATACTCATATAGGTCGATTCATCACGGTGGAAAAAACCAACTGATGCAAGAATACCTCAGATTCTGACGTGTGCGATCCATCACCTTCCACCTCTTTACGCATCTATACATAGCACTACATCCAGACCCCCCGGCGTCCACTCCTCTAACTCCCAAATCCATCGAAAAGATCAAGTTTATCCAGTAATCGTCGACGTGAGGATAACCGACGATATGCCTAACGGATTCCAGACAACGTTTCTTGGGACTGCAAATCTCTGCGTCGGTGACTACGAACTATGGTTCGTAGTAAGGACTAGAGCTCTATGGTACTAAGGTCACAGTAGTTCACAAACTAAGGTCACAGTAGTTCACAAACTAAGGTCACTCCTTTTTTTACTGGCAGTGAGTCTCTTGTTTTACTCTAGAAGATCAACATTGCCCTTCATAACTCTTGTTTTACTCTAGAAGATCAACACTGCCCTTCATAACCCGGACCCTTCGTGGAAGCGCGAAAGGACTTTCGCGTACGATCACCCAGTTGCCGCGAACCTACACAAGATGACATTATTGCCCAGGAAGAAGAACAAGGCGATGGTATAGGAGTAATTGTTGGACGAATGCTAGGTCGGGGAGGAGAGAATAGTACGTCGGCGACAGGAGGAGGTTCAATTATGGAGAAAAAGTAAATTGTATCTATCGTTATACTAGTTCGTTCTTGTCGTTTGTTCTTCTCGTCCTTGTTGTCCTTCCGTCAGAATTAGGCTCTCTTGACACCTTAATTCATTTACAAGTCCCTACTCATAATAATTTCTGTGGTGTATAATCCTCATTGAATTGGCTACTCTGCTCTTCAACAGAAGGCACAGGATAGTTGAAAGGCCTCTATGGTGTCAGTATGACACATAAAAGAGGATCCATGAGGACATGACATGAAGATGATTGCATGAATTTATCATGTTGATCTTCATTGATACATCAGATTCTGAGAAGGACAAGGAACGATGCAACTTCTACAAGAAATCTGAACGTCCTTTTCTAACCAATCATCGTCTCGGAAAAAGAAACGGAGTAAGATTCCTGCGCATTTGTCCAAGGAAATTCGAGAGATGATCAAGGACGGCAACAGGCGAGCAAGGCTAAATAGGGAGAAGGGTTGGGTTTTTATGAGCAGAGGGTAATTTACCGTAAAGGTAAAATGTTTGTCCTTCTTCAAGTAACACAAGACTCAATGAATGATCGTCACGATGTAATCCAACTTTGTGGGCTGCAACAGACTTAGCATGATCTTTGGAACGATCTATTCTTTTTCTGTCTCTCTCTCTCCCTCTACCAATCCTTCCTTTCTTCCTTTCCCTCTACTCTCCCTCTACTCTCCCTCTGCTCTCCCTCTGCTCTCCCTCTGCTCTCCCTCTACTCTCCCTCTACTCTCCCTCTACTCTCCCTCTACTCTCCCTCTACTCTCCCTCTACTCTCCCTCTACTCTCCCTCTACTCTCCCTCTACTCTCCCTCTACTCTCCCTCTACTCTCCCTCTACTCTCCCTCTACTCTCCCTCTACTCTCCCTCTACTCTCTCCTTCATACCATTGAATTCCGCAGAGTGGCAAGAGCGTGAGGAGGACAACCGGCGAAGACTGCAAGAAGAGAAGCTCTTACGCAACGCTGCACATGGTCAGGAGTGGCAGAGACGTGTCCGTCAGAGGAAGCTGGCTGAAGCTTTCGCTGTGGAAAAAGGTTATGGAGAGGAGATTGACATAGACACAAGCATAGTAAATGTAGTTTTCACCTCTACAATTCTAGGCTTACCCCATGCAACAATATAAGTATGTAGAGAACAACATGAACAAACGGTATGAATATCATAGATACAGGATAAATTTAAATATCATAGATACACGGTACTATGAATATCATAGATACAACATACTCATAAATATTAACGACACATGAGCCTGTCGGCGAGAGTTTGTTCGAGGATACTCATAAATATTACCTTGGTAGTGGATCCTCGAACAAACTCTCGCCGACAGGGAGCATAGCTTGAGCCAGCACGAACGCGATTTGGGGAGCAAGATGAAGTCCTCGTCATCGGGCGCAGTATTTCGCGATCACGACTATGATGAAGAGGACAGCGAGGGAAGTGGCAGTGAAGATGGTGGTGAAATATAGTACTAGTGAGAAGAGATCTTGTGGAGAAGAGATCAGCTGTCGTGATCGGCTGTAGAGGAGACATAGTGAATGCTGGAGACGAGGACTTCTGCTGACTGAGGGGCTCTTTCTGCTATGCATACGTATTCTTGAAAAGGAGAACAACCGAGTGGTCGCTTGTCTGTTTTTGTTCTCTTCACATGAGTCAGGACTTACAAATATTGAATCCATGGATGGCTGGGATGAAAATGAAGAAGCGAGCGTCAACTCCTCCTTGGGAAGACGAAACACAACATTGCCTTATACGATTTTGTTGCTCTGTGGATGTGCTGGCGTTCGTCATGAAGAAGTGAACGTATTGCCGAGGATGAGATTCTTGAGAGAGGAATAGCGAAATGAGATCGGTTTTCCAGAAGATCACCGACGCTGTTACAAGAAAGATCATTTTGACGCTGAAGATGATCCTTAAAGTGACTATGCGTCTTCGTTTTGCTTCTGGTGCTTTGATCGAGGATATCGTGTTTGTGATAAAATCTATAGAAATTAGTTTCAATGTCGTGGTTTTATGGTAATGGGCGAGGAGGTCTCTCCACCAGGTGCAACAACTTATATATAAGGTGAGTGGAGAGTTTTTGGAAGTAACCTTTACCATCTTTCGTCTGATAGGATTTCTGAGAAGCTTCCGAAGATAGATTACTTCTGGAAGCCTTACCATGTTGTAAATTTGGTTGGCTCCAGAGAGTCCGCTGACGACGAAGATCAGCAAAGCTGTCATTTTCCTAGAAAAAGGACATCCATCGCCTGGTGCACGTCTAGTTCTACCTCGTCCACCTCGACAAAATGTTGCTCCTTCACCTTTTACAATTTTTTGCAGTTGATGCTGTCCGCGTCAAACAACTTCCACCTTCGATGGGTGTGAGTGACATTCCACCGATGACCGTCAACGACGTCGCTCCCGACGAAGTTTTCTCGGAAAACTATCCGAAAGACATCGAAGTGAAAGCCACGACTACTACTACAACAACAACTACTACTACGACGACGACGACCACTGTTGAAGAAGAAGCTCCAGAGTCCTCTAGTAAAAATACTGCTGAAAAGAAAGGTGATGGCGATAAAGCATCTTCGGATGAGAAGGAAGACGAAGCAGCTGAGGAAAATTATGACTTGTTTCTCTAATGTCTGAGAAAGGGAACAACTAGTACTAGAGGGGTATAGTAGATGATGATAGCCGGAGCGTGAACGTGATCACCTACTTATGAATAATCTTGATCTTAAGTGAACTCTCACTGTGTACCCATTTTTCTGAAAGCAAGTAAGTAGAAGTAGAAGTACTTATAACCTAATAAAATGTTGTTCTACTAACTTGTGTCTAACTTTCAGGCGAAGACGAATCTGCCACCAATGCCGAAGACGCTGAGACTGAGGCTCCGCCTCCCAGCGAAGAGGAGAAAAAGGCGGCTCAGGCAGAAAAACAGGCACAAGAAGAAGCTGAGAAGCAGCAGAAGGCAGAAGAGGAGGCTGCTGCGCAAGAGGCTGCCATAAAATTAGGGCTCAAAAATGTAGTAGTTCTAGTAATTCTATTCGAAAACTCAAAATAACCGAGTTACTGAATGAAATAAGGGAGGTAGCTTAACGTCAAGGCTACCTTTCCTTCTCATCAGTATCTCGGTTATTCTGCTCAGTTACTCGCTTATTTCAGTTTTTCGAGTAATTCATTTCTACAACAAAATGTTATTTATCGCCTAGTGTTTTCCACGACCACTCCACGACGTGGTGGATTGTTGGGCTCTAATAGAAGAAGCCCAAGCGAAGCAAATCAAAGAGCAGGAAAAGCAAAAAGCTGCAGCAGAGGCAAAAGCTGCAGAAGTGGCAGAAGAGATGCAAGAAGAAGCCGATAACGCAGCTGCAGAAGCCGAGAAAGAAGAGCAAAAAAATTATGAAATGGTCGGTTGCGTTTCTGATGCTACCTAAAAAACCCTAAGCTAGCCTTGACTAGTTGTAGTAAAGAGTAAGTAGTAAAATAGATTTTTCATCTTTTTACATCAAGATCAACGAGAAGTAGAACAATAAAGTGCAAACAACTAGACACATCACAGGAATTAAAACTTAGAAGATGATGACGAGAAGATCATGAGTCTTGTACTACAGCATCTTCATTGTTATTCTGTCCAACATCGGTCTACGAAATAGGCGACTACACCTTCATCCCCTCTCTTTCCGCCTTGCTCTAAGAAATAGAAGCCGCTGCAGACGCTCGCGACACAATCAACACCGCGTTGCAAGAGGAAGCGGCACTGCTTGCCGCCAAGAAGCAGGAGTCAGACGCCGCGAACATTGAGTTGGATGCTTTATGTTGAAGTGTCGATTCCATCGACGTAGTTTCCAGAAGTAGAAACTGACAGTGGTTGTATAATCTAGTATCGGATGAACAAGCACGCAGTCTAACTCTAATATAATAAAAATAAAATATGTTGTAAATAAAACGACCTGAGGTGGTCCACTCATTTTCTCCCTTGTTACTCAAGAACTTTCATCTCCCCTGAAGAAGCAAATTGCGGATTTGGAACCGCAAGTGGAGTCAGCTAAAACTGCTGTTGGCGAAGCTGACAAGGACAAGTCCATCAAGGCTGAGACAGTGGAAGCGGAGAAGGATGAACAAGCCAAAGAAGAGGCAGATATCAAGAAGGAAGAGGCGGAACTCGCCAAGGAAGAAGAGGAACTAGCTGCTTTGATGGAAGTATACTTATCTTGCAGCTGCTTTGACGGAAGTATAGTTCTTTTCACATGGAACAAGAAGGATGTTGACTACCAGATCGGTGAAATGATTTTGAAAATGAAGAAAATCCAAAATTTTTCTCTTAATGTTGAGAACAAGCGTGCACTTACATCTTGTTTCCTCTCACCAACATCGACCCACATCTTCTCTTCACCAACATCGATCATTTACATTTTCTGTTTTTTTACCCACGACTAAACTAAATGAATAATAAAGCAAATCGCCGTTGCGAAGCAAGAGTTAGAGACCGCCATTGCCGCACATGCGACTGCAGTGGGACATCATGCGGATTTGTCAACGCAATTGGCAGCTTTGAAAAAAAAGCTAGAGCAATTGCTCAAACTCAAGGCTGAGATCGAAAACGCGATCGCTGCTCATGAGAAACGTATGAAGGACCTAGCAGAAAGTGAGACTGAAGCGCAGAAAGCTCTGGAGGAGGTGAGAAGTTTGTGAATTTTTTCTGTTTTTTTTTACTGAACAAGCCGGCGTACAAACTATTTGTACTGAACTAACTAGGCTAGAAGATTCTAGCTACTATTTTTACTGTAGCTTGCTAGATTCTAGCTACTATTTAAATCAAAAACAAATCCTCCATTTTTTTACTGGGAGATTCAGTTTCAGCACCAGTAAAGTACTTTCTTTCTACTTATATTAACAGGAACAATTCCATTCTTCCTTCGAAAAATTTTTTAGGCAAGTGGGAAATAAAATCAATAGCATACTTTTCAGGCAATGGCGAAGGCCGCGAATTCAGAGCTGCAGGCAGCACAGAAAGCTACTGCCGCGAAGAAAGCCCAACCTCCGGTTAAGGTTTAATCATGTAATTCGTGCATTCTTTACAACTACAACGTGCCATTCATCTTTATTACAACTGTTGCCTTCTTGATAGAATAGAATAGGTGGATAAAAATAAACGTACCTACCTCCTGGAAGAGTGAGGGGGAGCCTAAGAAGAAGAGAGTTGCTTGCTTGAGCTCTAATCCGGGAATCAAGGTCTCAACACCTGTGATCGTCGCCTCTGCGGTCGCTGGCGTGGGAGCGGTTGGGGGCGCAGCCTATTTCTTCATGGGCGGCTTTGCATAGATTGATACTTGACTAAGTAAGTACATGTACTTCTTAACGGAACCGGAAGTAACTAGTAACTAGTTTTGATTGGAATGAGAAAGAGAATGGGAAAAATATTTCGAAGAACTTCTAGATTTGTAAATCAAATGCGGATAACGCTTGATACTGCTAGCACTCACATACATGGCACCTCCTATTCATCGAGTCTATTTTTTTTTCGTCCTCCTGCCTGGCTACATAGATCAAGTATGCAACTTGCTCCGCATAGTAATCGACTTCATAGCAATCATGATCTTGGATAGGCATGTACAAGTTTGTTGAACAGTGAAAAGATGCTAGAAGTGGGCATACTGCAAACACAACATACAAACATGCGAGACGAGGAATCGTTGTTTTTTCCCATAATCAAGTATCAACTAGAAAATGTTGTTGAATCTTTGTGCCGAATTAAGGTCACTGACACCTTATGCTTGTTTGCATACTCGAACTCGCTTCGATATTCTTCACGTCGATGTTCTCACCACAAAATCATCATTCTGGAGGAGCAGTCTTTCTTCAAGAACAAGAAGAGAGTGAGTGAAAATGAACATCGGACATAGGATCGAACATCGGACAACATGATCGGAATATCCACCTACTTACTTCTCCCTGCTGTAGTTCTTGCATGTCTGTTAGAGATAATAAATGTCGAGGATTGATAACTCACACGACACGAGAAAGAGCTACAATCATGTGAGAGCATGTTGAGAGAAACATCCTCCCCAATTCCCTTGCCCTTTCCACCACCACAGCCTCATTCCCTATTCTTTTTAGCCCTCTTGATGAATGAGTGACTCTACTTTGTCGATAGTGATTGATACACTTACATTACATGTACAGCAGGTGCGCCTTGCCTGCATTTTTGTCCTTGATTCCACGCTAACGAAACCAGGGAGTCAGTGGTAAATAGTTTCATGAAATGTAGACATTGATTCCTTCGTGGTCAACATTGATGTCCTGACATAGAAATAGACAAAGTTTTTAGTATGTCGTCAGTTGCACTTAGCATGTTGTTGTCCTTGCAATCTATCTAAATACTCGCTTCATCTAGTCTTGTGTTTAGCAGACAGTAGAACACAGAGATCGTTGTAGTAAGAAGTTCTTTATCTCCACGACAAGAGGACGCATGTTCAATATCTTCTAGACTTAGTCCTTATCAAAAATGTCATAGTTGTATGCCAATATCTTCGACGCACAATCGCACACACCAGTGCTGGAGAAGGTGAGACACAGACACAGTGCGAATTGGTAGTTGTGTCAACAGAGCTGAGTCCATTGGCATTACATTGTCTCATTGGCATTGCGTGTACAACCAGGGAAACTGAAAGCGTGGCGATCTCGTTCACCACGAGCTGAATTTTTTTCCTAGGAGAACAATCGAAAGGTGGAGCATCTTCAGCAACTGTTATTGGGAGCAAAAACGCACTGGCTTCAGCAACTACTTGTGTCTGTGCCGTCAAGAATCTTCAGTGAAACAACCAAACAGTACAACTAGTCGAAGTGCGCAGGATCATCCATTTCTACCTCTACGCGGCTTGAGACATACGTGTGGACATGTTCTTGCAGCTTTCTATAGCAGAAGTTACCCTTGAGCATATGAAATAAATCCGGAAGCCCACTTGTTGAATACTGAAAACGTTCTTCCTACGGCTACGCCAAGAACGCATCACACGAACAGGAGTGAGTTGTACTTGCGACATCTTGTTCCATCCTCTGCACATCACAAGCCGTTGTTGCAGAAATCCAACAAGAACTGCACGCAATCGGGAGAATCCTGCACTGTTGAAGCAGAACTCATCTCCTCTTGATCGTCTTCTTGCAAAAGGGCAAGAAGACGATCTAAAAAGATGGACGGTTCCACCAGACGAGGCCGCTCGAGCTCAAAAGCTCAAGCGAATCGCCTGCAAAAGGCGAACAAAGAGGAGAAGGACTTCAAGGATCAAACTACGAAGAAGAATCTGACGAATGTCCAAACAAAATTGTCCAGAAACATGAGCGAACTCCATGACGTACTCTTAATATTTATTAGAAGATGTTGACATCTTAATCTATATATAAGGGGGTTATCTACTTTTTTCTAGTTAGCGTTAGGTCGGCTCCGCCACATAAATTAGAAATCATCTTAATATAAGGGGGTTATCTACTACTTTTTTCTAGTTAGGTCGGCTCCGCCACATATATTTATTAGAAATCATCTTAATATAAGGTTAAGGGGGTCGTAGATTAGAGTTTGACTAAACACCGTCTAGTCCTTTCAACATAGTCTTAGTATTTTATTAATACCCCTTTTTTTTCTAGTTAGACCTCCACTAGATGAATCGTATTACCCGTTCTGCCAACTTCTCTCTCTTTCTCTCTCTCTTCTTTCAACCTTTCATCTGCAAACTCTCGCTCTCTTCTTCTTCTTCTTCTTCTTCTTCTTCTTCTTCTTCTTCTTCTTCTTCTTGGTACTCTTGTTTTCGGAACATCGACGTGAAGTTTTTCTCTACTCCTAAATGGTCTACTCCTAAATTTTCAGACAATATTGCCGATTATGATGCAGAATAAAGTGGCAGAGGAGAGAGGACGGTCCGGATCAATGAGCAGGTTATCCAGTAAAAGGAGGACAACTTTCGGTAGTGAAGAGGCAGAGATACAAGCGAAACGAATGGCTCAAGTATTAAAATTTGAGACTCTGGCTAAGATATTTGGGGAGAATGAGTATTCTAAATGATTGTACTCTCAGTAGTGGCTAAGTACCAGCATACTAGTCCGGTAGCTGTCTTGCCTGTGTCTTCAAGATGAAATGTAGTAACTAATGATCCTTCAATATCAAAAATTTTCATCAGACTTGTATCACTTACAGCAACTGGTGCTCTCACATGATCATCTACAACTACAGGGAAGTTTATTTGTTTTCGAACAACTACAAGGTAATGCTCAACGGAAAGGGGCAGCAAGGACAACTCCTAGCGGCTTTAAACGCGGATATAGTAGCGTCGAAAGCTGGAAATAAAGAACACCCTCTAGAGACCGCAGATCTTCGCGCTTTGATCAAAATCGACGACCGACTCGATATGTCGAAAATAGGTAGTGAAGATGCTTTAATATAACCTGATGCAACGAACTAACTAATTAAGCCATCTATAATACCCCGCGATTGGGTACACTACTACTACTAATATCCTGCTCCATCTTAGTTCTTCTCCCACCAATGAGCCACTTGCTACCACTCTACGTTTTTTTCTAGTTGTCCTACCACTCTCCTACCACTCAGGTGCCGCGAAGTATCGAGCAGTATCAGAGGAACAACTTCGAGAGGCGCAGTGGAGGAAGGAAGAGGAAGAACGAGTTAAGAAGGAGGAGGCGGAGCGAAAAGCCCGGAGACTCGAGGATGATGATCAGACGCCAAGCCCAATCAATCTTATGAAAGGATGAACTTTCTTAGACCTTAATAAAAAACTAATAGAGTTAAACTGAACCTGAAGCGTAGCTTTGAATAAAGGAAGAACTTTTTCGTCGCGGCCTTCTTGCTTTTCTGATGCATCCTAATTAAGTTGTGAACTCATACCTCATGCTAGGTAAATGAATGAATGAATGAAAGGATCATGATAATGGATGATATTTACTCCATCCTTACGACCCTGGAGGCTGCCCTTTTCCCCGTTAAAGTGTACTATAGCTGCAGGGGGGCCTCGGTGGTCTGGCTAGACGGAAAAACACAGGAATGATGATGATTACCTCTTCACTTCTTACCATGTCAACACCATAGAAGATATCACTACTTCGTATCTTCCCAAGCACCATTACACGACCAAAAAATCCACCACGACTAGGATACCAAAGTTTTCATACTGAAGGTGAGGACGCCACGAATGAGGCATGTGCGGAGCTATAGGTGTGCGACAGCCAGGGATCTCCACTTGCTCCGGAAGGAGAACGTTAGAGATCCGGAAAAAGAGAAGAAAAAGATGCAACACTTAATGAATTCTGGTGGAGTTTAGATGTGATGCTGGGATCTTTGTAGAGGAGATTTGATTCTCATCTGCCAAGAAAATGTTGGAGTTATGTTGATATGATTATAAGCATATCAATCTTGATGTTGTGAAGATGTCGACATTTATTTTTGAAAGTGATCATCTGAATGTCATCATCGCCGAAACAAGCTAGAACAAGTGTTATCTTCATCTACTGATCAATACCTATGATCACGTCATCAGCACCATGAACTAGAACTCCTATGTCTGTGTCCTCGTAGGAAAGCAGATATTGAAAAAGAGCAGAGCTTCAACTTCTCTGGAATACAACATCCATTCGACACTGGTAGTCGTCTAGTACATGGATGAAGACAACTGTAGTTCTACTTATTCTTATACCATCGCCATCAGGAAAATCGTCAGGGAAAGTACAGGCACCTCCTTGCTGAATAGATTCACACTATCACGCTTACTCTTATACCTTCTACAAGAACTACAAGTAGAACTACTGGTGATACCATAAACGCAAACAAGTCAGAGTCGTGGATCTTCAAACAAGTAATACAACACATCCATCTAGTCGATCTACCGCAAGAAGACATCGAATTCGAAAATGATGACCCCTCCTCCCTGCTCCAGCTCCACCCCTACTTCCACCTTCCCAGATTTTTGATATTGCAACTTCCTACAACGACCTCAATTTGTAAAGTCATCTCAACTGATCACCCGAGGACAAGTACAGGAGGACAATGTTGAACTAGGACATCGAGGGAGATCTCTTCAACTAGGACATCGAGGGAGATCTCTTCAACTAGGACACCTCGAGCGAATTTTGGTATCGTTGAGAAATGTGGTAGCAAATCAAAAAGTTGCTGTATAGTCCTCGTCACCAGCATCGCTACCGCTAGAAAAAGAAGAAGAAGCTCTTCCGAAGAAGGAGTTCGAGAAAAAAGGGCACAAAGCAATCGGAGAGATGAGTAGAGTCAATTGGAAATCTCGATGAGAGCGATGAAAATTTAAGAGACCTTGACTGTCCCTCTGAGAAGCAGTTTTTCGTGGCCCTTCTTTATAGAAATCTCGCAAGCGGTGGTTTGAAAACGCGATCGGTCGAAAATGATATTACAAGTTAGTATGGAAAGAACTGCTTCTGCTGCCACCACACACGACAATAAATCTCCTACTGCCACAACCTGGCATCCAATAAAGTCAAAAGAGGCCCCCATAGAAGAAGTCCTAACCCTAAGCCTCCTCCTTCAAATTCAAATTCAAATTATCAGAAATTATTGCCCTTCATCCACGACCATAGTAGTAGTACTAGCGACCATAGTACTAGAACAACAATAGTACGGAGGAGTCTCTAAAAAAAATGGACGTCACAAAGGAGAGGATCTACTGCGCTGAGCAGATCAAGGTGCCGGCAGAGCTACCGAACATTATGAAGGGTATTAAGAACTTGATCTTCTCCGTAACTATTTACTTCCTATCATGAACTTACTACTTACACAACATTTTTAGCATTACTTACATTCTTTAGGGATTATTTTATTACTCATAACCAGAGGATCCATTTCATCCTTGAAAACTTCCAGATTACACCAAGGAGTTGCTAAAAAACAACCCCGTTGAAGGGATGCAAGAGGGGGACGCGTCCAAACGCCTCATCTACGAATGGAGTCTCAAGTACGACTATGTTGCTACAATGTTTAATATGTTTGTTCCTATGTTGCTACAATGTTTATGTTTGTTCTAGTCTCGTTGTAGATGAACCTGCTACAACGAACATCATCTGCATCTTTATATCTAACATCTTTTCTATTTCTTTCAAGTTGTCTTTCTAATCTACTTACTTACATCTTAAAAGATTAGGCAAACAAATTCCAGATACTTCAAGAAAAAACTGGGAGAAAAACCTGTGGTTCCTTAGATGTGGAGACGAGGAAGAGGTGTGGAGACGAGGCGTCTCTCAGGAAGAAGGGTGGAGACGAGGTGGAGACGAGGAAGAGGTGGAGACGAGGAAGAGGTGGAGACGAGGAAGAGGTGGAGACGAGGAAGAGGTGGAGACGAGGAAGAACATCCCAGAGCATCGAGGCGTCTTTCAGGAAGAAGACGTTGAGGCGAATGCTCTGTGATCATGTCCAGCACTTGTTCGCATTTTGTCTGCGAGAGCTCTCAACCAAGAGGTAAGGAGATCAAGATTTATCAAGGATATCAAACAAGAAGATGAACTATTCTTGATGTTCAACAGGAATACGCAACAAGACAGAGTTGTATTATTCACGAACTACTCAAGAACAAGAATAACAAAGATTGAACTAGTACTCAAGAATAACACCACGTTGTTGATGAATGCGACCAATGATGATGAGCGACTCTGTTATTCTACCGACAGGTGAACCGCTCAGGCTGACAGCCACGCTTCAGATGAAAAGGATGACATCACTTGACAAGAATTGAGAAAAACAGTGATGAGAAAAATTCAAAAGCACTTCTGCGAGGTCTGTGGTGCTGAAGAGTCGTGAGTAGATGCACAGATCTGTCTTGAGTGAGCAGGGACTTGAGAAATCTGCATTAGAAGACTAGTTGTGACCCGATTGATGTCTGTTGTGAGACCTCCATATTTAAGCCTTGCATCTTCATGAATATCACAACTAATACTCAGACTAGTCATGCTGTTCCTTCTTGTTCTTATGTGCTTCAGTGCTTGCTTCGTCGTAGAAAAATACCTTCTCGACTTTCCAGGAATATACTGATACCGTACAACTTCTATGTATACTGATACGTGATAGCTGTACTACTATACTTAGAACAGATTCAAGCACTGAGCTCTCCGCTTCAGAGCTTGTTTAGGTCTCTGGTCTGTTTCATCTGCTTTGTATCTGTACTGGTCGTGGAGTGAAGTGGAAGATCTTCTTGTTTGAGTGGCTTGAAAGGCTGACGATCTGTTAATAACTTTCTGATTCGTTCGTTTGTTCGTTATAATATAAATATATCTTTCTGTTCGCTGAGTGAGTAGGTATTTGTCTGGAAACGAGATACTAAGTAATGGCTCTTGTGTTCATCTGCAGGCGATCTTATCTCTCGTTGATACTTTATTGAGGATTAAGTCGATGGATGTGGACTATACTTTGAGGACATGAAACACAACTTGCACCACCTCGCGCTAGGCAAGTTCATTCACTCACTCACTAGTTCTTGGATACAGAAAGATGAGCACTTCTGGAGAGTTGTAAATGACTGACGCGAGTAACGTAAATGACTGATATGAAGATGAATGCTGGAGGAACAGAGCAGAAGGCTCGAACATCATAAGCCCCCTCGCCTTTATTTCGATGGAAGAACCGATAAGACTCGAAGAACAGCATAAGCCTCTACGCCTCCAAAATCCCATGCATTAGTGCTTTTTAATGCTTTTTAGATCGATCATTATAGTAGAACTAGCGCAGGGGTGAGTAAGACTAAACTAAACGACCTACAGGCTAGCCCTCTCGTCATCATTATTTATTCGATGAAGCTGATTACATCCGAAGGACTGAATAATGTCTGAAGAAACATGGGATGAGTATTCAATCAGAGCCATGAGCATGCTTCGCGTATACAATGGTCTGTGGCTATGCTTGAGTACTATGCCTCTGTCCTTTATTGCTGGGCCAGTATGCTCGTCCTCGTTCGTGTGACGAGAGTATTGTTAGAGCAATGTCCAGGATATTCTTTATAATTACTTAGTCTTGTCTTCGTTGTATTACTTGTTTTATTTAGGACCACGCACTACGTGAGTAGATGTAGACCACTTGTTCTCAAGTTGTCATGGCGTCTTCTGCCCTCAGGTTCGTCTGTCGAAATAAAGCCTCTGTCTCGAGTTGGACTTGATGTTGACCTTGTCTCTGTCTTTCACGTCTTTGACTGTGTCTGTCCTACAGCGAGAGGACGAAGAGCTTTAAATTGTTGAGCGCCATAGTAATAGTATGATATCACCGCTATTTGGAACATGAGCTTTACCTTGTCCTTAAGCGCTATAAAAATACAGCTTATATCACTCCTATTTTGATTGTATACACAAAAAAGAGTGCTGTGACGAGATCCTGGACGAGGGCAGACAACAAGATGAGAGCAACGCACTCTGTTGGCCAGAATGGTAATGAGCTGATCAATATCGTGAAATGGCTCAAGGATCTCAAAAAAGAGGCGCGCCGAGATCAGGAGCCACAAGGTTACCAGGATCAAGATCACACCATTCGAACGGCCAACAGGTTCACACCATAGGGATCACCATAGGGGTGACCACTCTGGGACTGGAATACCATCGGGATCGAGGTCATCAAACTGAATAGACTTGCCTAGCGAAGGGGATACGGTTCCCGACTTGACTCCCCTGAGGGAGGGGCTAACTTCCTAGGGTTTTCAGTATTGTCACACACTCACAAACGCAACCCAATAGCACGAGCAGGAGCTTGCCCGAAAGGCTTTTCACACAAAAATCGAAGTTCTTGCTGCCAAGTCTCTTCTTCTTCTTGATAACTCCCTCCTATTGGTATTACTAGAATCAGTTGAGCCTTCAAGTCAAGCATCAGCCTTAACCTCAAACGATACAAAATCGCGCGTTTTTCATTTGTCAGAGAGCATTATTTTGCCTTACCCTTAGAACTGACTCGATAAAAGCAGTGTCAGGCGGAGTTCTTTATGCTTGTTAAAGTAAGCAGCTAATACTTCCAAGGCATCTAAACAGATCTGGAGGAAGGATTTTTCAACCCGAAGCTCTCTGTTTTGAAAACAGCCATATACTTACTTAGATATACAAGGACAACATCAGAAAAAATGAGTGTGGAGGCAGCGCCGCTTTTAGGAGCAAGTCGCGGCCGCGACGCAGAGGCTGCAGACGCGGACCAGGAGAATCATGGGAGACAGGGTGATGGAGGATGGTGGGCAGGGCGCCGCCCCTTGGTGGTCATTGGAATTTCTGCTGCCGCTGTAGTTCTGATTGTCGGCGGTCTTATTGCGTTTATTCTTGTGAAGAATAAGGACTCCTACGCCACGGCCACAGACGCACAGAATTAAGGCTTCCCTTAATCCATCTCTTAAGTATATAGGAATGACCCCTCAAACGTAAGTATGCGACCCAGAAATACGAGACGCATATGCTTGAGGGAATTCAACAGGGGTGAACTGGGGGAAGGTCTAACAGAAGCGGCGCAAGATGCAGCCAGATCCTTCGATAAAGGGAGATCACAACAAGAGGTACGTGACGGAAGGAGCGTTGCTGTGGCCATTGGAGTTGGACAGGGGCAGCGAGTATCGTGCAGGGTTTGGCATTCGCTTGGACGTTGGAAAAGGAGTACCGGAGGCGCAGGGCCTCCTCGTAAACATTGATACTGGTGGCGCCTCGACGACTTACTTTTCGACAAAGGGGAATGCATTTGCAAAATCCTCCACGTTGCTAGAAAAGGACCTCGGTCCCTACACGAAGAAGTACATTGGTGGGCAAGCGTCGGGGACCCTGATTCGTGAATCTTATGTCGCAATCCATGACCCCACTGCCCAGCAACTTCTGTTAAAAACGAAAGAGGAAAAGGCGATGACGCTGCTGCACGTTCCACGTGGTAACGCTGTCGCACCACACGGCTTGACGATGCCCATGGAAGGTAACATGGGGCTGAGTTTTGGCTATTCCGGGCACCCCAATTTGTATTTGCGGCATCACAACCCATGGTTTGATGCATTCAAAACCGATGCGCGGAACCGCCAGCTTGGTACGAATTACGCGTCCGTGTTCTCTTTTGACCTCACCCACGAAGACGGGCGGTGGCACGAGAGCCCGAAGATGGTGGTCAACGGGCTGCCGCATGGCGGGGAGCAAGGACTGCTGCGCTTCCCGCTGGCCACGGGAATACAAGTTCCAGAAGTCAAGGAGCTGCGTGACAAACTGGTAAGTCTGTTTGTAGATTACCTACACTTAAGGCTCAGTGCAATTCATTCCTACAAGTGGTCACTTCTCACTGTTTCCCTTGCCTTCTTGGGATACGGAAGAAATGAAGGAAAGAAGTGGATTGCTTGGAGCTCTAATACGCAAGAGGCATGAGGCGTTCAAGAAGGAGAGCCTTGACATCGTTTACCTGGTGGTCGTTACATCGCTTTCGCGCGGTACTTTTGAGAGGGAGTTTTTTCCCAGATTCCTGAAGGACCTGCCGCAGCTACAGCAGGAGGACCACACAAAGTACGGGTGGCCGGCGCTGCACAAGCTGATCGAGTTTCAGTCTTCTGTATGGCTTCTCGAGGTAACTCGCATCCGCGTCGGCGACTTGGTGATCTCTGCTACCGACGCAGCGAACGAGCTCAATTGCGGCTGGGACATCAAAACTTCACAGGAGTGCGAAAAGGAAGGGAAATTGATGGCGACCCCTTCCGGCCTTTACGACTGGGTCCAGGAAGATGGAGGCGCCCAAATAAGGCAAATTTCACAGCCCTCTCCCGCTCCTTCTATGGCCTCAACAACGGAACAGGACGCGCTGCCCGATATGAGGTACCACGTACAGCTAGATACTGGGTGTTCTCTGGTAACACTGGCGAAGCCGCTTCTAGAGATCTTTGAGCGCCAGTTCGTGAAGAACGGAAACGTGTGCAAGAATGGGCCCGTCGTTGGTTTCGAGCTCGTGAACTCGGTCAAACGTGGACCTGGAGACGACACCTCCGCGTCGTGGTACTTTCTCACACCGAAGGACTACTGCTACTGCGAAGGAGTGTTGAGTGTGAAGGGACGGCTCGCCAAGCATTGCTTCCAAGAAGAAACGCAGCCCAAGGACAGGACTGCCATGCTTGGCCTTCCGTTCTATCGGGCTTTTTACGTTGGACACGACTACCTCCGGCGAGAGGTGGTGCTGCCACGGCTTCGCTAATTATTAGAACTGGTTGTGAAAACTTGGGACACATGCACAATGCAACTGCCGAGGTGACGGAGGTGGTTGCTTGTGTGTGGAAGAGGAGGAGGAGACCGAGGTGGAAGGTGAAACTAATAACAAGCGAAACGCCTGACTTTGGAATAGATGACTGAGAGAAGTGAATATGTCATAAAGCAGCATTGTTAAAGAGTGTTAGGATCATACAAGGACTGATCATCTGTGTTGCATGCTTATTATGATGTGTTGTTACGTACTTTGATACGAATGAAGTCAAATTATCTTTATCATGGTCCGAAAAGTCAACAATCAGGGCTCAAGAAGGTAAGGCCGAAGTTTCGAAGGTTGTTACAAATATGCGCCACGGTTAAATACAGAAGTAAAGCTAAGCGAATAATTAAAAGAACAGCAAATGGTCAGTTAGTTATAACTATAAGAGGGCGCTTATGTTTTTGTTTATTTTCGTTGGCTTTTCAGTCGCTGCGCCGCGAAGTATCTTGAGACTTGCGTCGCGAAAGGTCACTCGATTGGAGTGCTTGCGGGATGTGTGGCGTTTGATCTCCCACGTCTGGGTCTGCCGTAGTGCATCAATTTGGGCCCGGCGCATTCTCCTCGTCCGCAGCCTGATCTCCCGCCGATTGTTATAGTTTCTTTATGATCGCACTAGTTTGCCACAGGCATGATATCTGAGGAGATCGCGAGCATAGCGAAGGGCTACGATATTAAAGAAGCAACTCCTGTGCGCCGTTGTGCCGCACCTGAAGATCCTGGCAAGTTCGGGCACTCATATGTGGGTCTGTGTTCCGACATTTTAGGTAGACTCTCCCGCCATGACACTTGACAAAAGGAGTGGGGCCATAGCATTTAAAAGCCTGACGGCAGGGCCGTTAGAGATGGGCACAAGAGACAGCGTAGGCGGGAGAAAGTGCCGCACTTCGAGACGTGTAAAGGAGAGCTGAACTTATTGCAATGTCTGACCGTAATACAGTGCGCGCTCCATCATTCGAGAGAGAGTAGAGCAGGCGCTTAAATTTGTATCTTCTTGAGAGGCTAGAAAACTTGAAAAACAGTGGCGCCGGTGCTGAGGCAACTAGAAGTCAGGCAAGACAAGTGCTTGGTTGAGCCATTCAATCTGAACGAAAATTCACGTGAAGGAGAGCCTTTGTTGGTTAAGAATGGCGAAAGTTAGGCTCAATGCTATTACCAGTACCACTTCTATTACGTCGAACAGTACTTCTTACAAATGCCTACGCATGGGTAGACCCCGACCTAACCTAACCTACAACCTTTGGCTGTCAACAATCACAACAGAGCTAGTAGAAGTAGCACGAAAGATAATATCTACAACATGATCTATGAAAATTTTGAGTTGTAAGTAAGAATACAAGATGTCGCCGACGACCAGAAGAAAGTCCTCTTGTACGAGGACGTCTCGAGGGCGCAAACTTTTACTGCCACTATGCATTGGTTGTGGAGAATCAGGAGTCATTCATGCGGAAGCGCTATCTTAAGGCTGTACTAGATAATTCATCTTGTTTGACTTTATTGAGGGCGCCTTTTCTGCAGCAAGCGAAAATAAGTTCATGTAGTTCATCTTTCTTGAGGGAAATCGGATTTGTCTGAAAGGTATAATGATGACCGACGAGTATCTCCTTAAGGGCGTGGGCGAGAAAGTTATAATGCGTATATATGTGATTGTGATTATAAGAGAGGTACAGGAGCGGACAGCTCTAATCGTCATCCCGTGAAAGTAGAACTAAGGGGATAGCAGCTTTGGATAGCAAGGTGATCAACCTTGTCTCCACGGATAGCAGAGTTTCGTCGAAGGTCGAAGGCATCAATGACGCAGTGGCAGATGTAGTGCAACCGGCAATAGACTTATGACCGCATCTACTTATGAATTGCATTTGCAATTGCTGTGAGAGTCTCTTTTTTAGAAGTAGAGCCAGCTCGACGGATCTCATCAGCAACACTACTGCCCAAGCAACACACACATGCCACCTCTTTATAGAAGAAGCAGAGCCAGCTTGGCGGTTCCTATCAACAACGCTGCTGCCCAAGCAACACTCACATCCCCACTCCCCATTGCAATATTTCGCTTGACCCCCGTGAATGGGTCAACTACCACAACTACCACTACTAATACTAGGTCTAGGTTAGGGCCGAATATTGCATCTAATCGATGCAGTCCAGCCAGCAGTTGATGCGATCAAACTGAAGAGAGCATTGACATTGTTTCTCTTTACTAGTACTAGGTCTTCCTCTTCACTATCCTTACTAGTACTGCAGAGAGTAAATACAAGTTGTACTTCTAGATTGGGTTTTTAACCACTACCTAGTACTGCCTCTACTAGAAGTACCCTTTTTAGTAGTGATAGTCTCTGACATCCCCCTGAAGACTCTTATCACGAAAAATGTGATGATCCTGCTCAGCACCAAAAAACTTCACTTCGTAGAGAGACTCTGTTATTCTACCGACAGGTGAACCGCTGACAACCGCGTTTCATATGAAAAGGATGACACCACCGACAATTGAGAAAAACAGTGATGAGAAAAATTCAAAAGTACTTCTGCGAGGTCTGTGGTGCTGAAGAGTCGTGAGTAGACTCACGGATCTGTCTAGAGTGAGCAGGGACTTGACAAATCTGCATTAGAAGACTAGTTGTGACCCGAGTGATGTCTGTTGTGAGACCTCCATACTTGTATCTTCATGAATATCACAACTAATACTCATTCTAGTCATGCTGTTCCTTCTTGTTCTTATGTGCTTCAGTGCTTGCTTCGTCGTAGAAAAATTCCTTTTCGACTTTCCAGTGATATACTGATAGGTGTACAACTTCTATACTGATACGTGATAGCTGTACTACTATGTATACTTAGATGAACAGATTCAAGCACTGAGCTCTCCGCTTCAGAGCTTGTTTGTCGAGGAGGTCTCTGGTCTTTGGAGGCCTCTGGTCTGTTTCATCTGCTTTGTATCTGTACTGGTCGTGGAGTGAAGTAGAACTTGTTTGAGTGGCTTGAAAGGCTGACGATCTGTTAATAACTTTCTGTTTCGTTCCTTTGTTCGTTAATAATAATATAACTCTGTGTTCGCTGAGTAGGTATTTGTCTGGAAACGAGATACTAAGTAGTGGCTCTTGTGTTCATCTGCAGGCGATCTTATCTCTCGTTGATTATACTTTGTTGAGGATTAAGTCGATGGATATGGACTATACTTTGAGGATTTTTCGTGCTGCGACATAAAACACAACTTGCACCACCTCGCGCTAGGCACATTCTTTCACTCACTCACTAGCTCTTGGATACAGAAAGATGAGCACTTCTGGAGAGTTGTAAATGATTGATGAGATTAGAGTAAATGACTGATATGAAGATGAATGCTGGAGGAACAGAGAAGAAGGCTCGAGCATCATAAGCCCCCTCGCCTTTATTTCGATGGAAGAACCGAGAAGACTCGAAGAACAGCATAAGCATCTACGCCTCCAAAATCCCATGTATTAGTGCTTTTTAATGCTTTTTAGATCGATCATTATACATAGTAGAACTAGTGCAGCAGGGGTGAGTAACGGTAAACTAAACGACCTACAGGCTAGCGCTAGCCCGCTCGTCATCATTATTTATTCGATGAAGCTGATTGCATCCGAGGGACTAGCTTCTGCTTCAAGAATCTACTGAATAATGTCTGAAGAAAAATGGGATGAGTATTCAATCAGAGCCAAGAGCATGCTTCACGTATACAATGGTCTGTTGCTATTCTTGAGTACTATGCCTCTGTCCTTTATTGCTGGGCCTGTATGCTCGTCCTCATCCGTGTGACGAGAGTATTGTTAGAGCAATGTCCAGGATATTCTTTGTAATTACTTAGTCTTGATGTCTTCGTTGTATTACTTTTATTTAGGACCACGCACTACGTGAGTAGACCACTTGTTCTCAAGTTGTCATGGCGTCTTCTGCCCTCAGGTTCGTCTGTCGAAATATAGCCTCTGTCTCGAGTTGGACTTGATGTTGACCTTGTCTCTGTCTTTCACGTCTTTGACTGTGTCTGTCTTATAGCGAGAGGACGAAGAGCTTTAACTTGTTGAGCGCCATAGTATGATATCGCCGCTATTTGGAATATGAGCTTTACCTTGTCCTCAAGCGCTATAATACAGCTTATCCTTATAAATATCACTCCTATAATTTCGATTGTATACACAAAAAAGAGTGCTGTGGCGAGATCCTGGACGAGGGCAGACAACAAGATGAGAGCAACGCACTCTGTTGGCCAGAATGGTAATGAGCTGATCAACAGCGTGAAACTGCTCAAGGATCTCAATCACGAGGCGCACCGAGATCAGGGGCCACAAGGTTCCCAGGATCAAGATCACGCCAATCGAAAGGCCAACAGGTTCAGACCATAGGGGTCACCATAAGGATGGCCACTATGGGAGTGGAATACTACCGGGATCGAGGTCACCAAACTGAATAGACTTGCCTAGCGAAGGGGATACGGTTCCCGACTTGACTCCCCTGAGGGAGGGGCTAAGTTCCTAGGGTTTTCAGTATTGTCACACACTCACAAACGCAACCCAATAGCACGAGCAGGAGCTTGCCCGAAAGGCTTTTCACTCAAAAATCGAAGTTCTTGCTGCCAAGTCTCTTCCTCTTCTTGATAACTCCCTCCTATTGGTATTACTAGAATCAGTTGAGTCTTCAAGTCAAGCATCAGCCTTAACCTCAAACGATACAACATCGCGCGTTTTTCATTTGTCAGAGAACATTATATTGTCTTATCCTTAGAATTGACTCGATAAAACTAAAAGCAGTGTCAGGCGGAGTTCTTTATGCTTGTTAAAGTAAGCAACTAATACTTCCAAGGCATCTAAACAGATCTGGAGGAAGGATTTTTCAACCCGAAGCTCTCTGTTTTGAAAACAGCCATATACTTACTTAGATATACAAGGACAACATCAGAAAAAATGAGTGTGGAGGCAGCGCCGCTTTTAGGAGCAAGTCGCGGCCGCGACGCAGAGGCTGCAGACGCGGACCAGGAGAATCATGGGAGACAGGGTGATGGAGGATGGTGGGCAGGGCGCCGCCCCTTGGTGGTCATTGGAATTTCTGCTGCCGCTGTAGTTCTGATTGTCGGCGGTCTTATTGCGTTTATTCTTGTGAAGAATAAGGACTCCTACGCCACGGCCACAGACGCACAGAATTAAGGCTTCCCTTAATCCATCTCTTAAGTATATAGGAATGACCCCTCAAACGTAAGTATGCGACCCAGAAATACGAGACGCATATGCTTGAGGGAATTCAACAGGGGTGAACTGGGGGAAGGTCTAACAGAAGCGGCGCAAGATGCAGCCAGATCCTTCGATAAAGGGAGATCACAACAAGAGGTACGTGACGGAAGGAGCGTTGCTGTGGCCATTGGAGTTGGACAGGGGCAGCGAGTATCGTGCAGGGTTTGGCATTCGCTTGGACGTTGGAAAAGGAGTACCGGAGGCGCAGGGCCTCCTCGTAAACATTGATACTGGTGGCGCCTCGACGACTTACTTTTCGACAAAGGGGAATGCATTTGCAAAATCCTCCACGTTGCTAGAAAAGGACCTCGGTCCCTACACGAAGAAGTACATTGGTGGGCAAGCGTCGGGGACCCTGATTCGTGAATCTTATGTCGCAATCCATGACCCCACTGCCCAGCAACTTCTGTTAAAAACGAAAGAGGAAAAGGCGATGACGCTGCTGCACGTTCCACGTGGTAACGCTGTCGCACCACACGGCTTGACGATGCCCATGGAAGGTAACATGGGGCTGAGTTTTGGCTATTCCGGGCACCCCAATTTGTATTTGCGGCATCACAACCCATGGTTTGATGCATTCAAAACCGATGCGCGGAACCGCCAGCTTGGTACGAATTACGCGTCCGTGTTCTCTTTTGACCTCACCCACGAAGACGGGCGGTGGCACGAGAGCCCGAAGATGGTGGTCAACGGGCTGCCGCATGGCGGGGAGCAAGGACTGCTGCGCTTCCCGCTGGCCACGGGAATACAAGTTCCAGAAGTCAAGGAGCTGCGTGACAAACTGGTAAGTCTGTTTGTAGATTACCTACACTTAAGGCTCAGTGCAATTCATTCCTACAAGTGGTCACTTCTCACTGTTTCCCTTGCCTTCTTGGGATACGGAAGAAATGAAGGAAAGAAGTGGATTGCTTGGAGCTCTAATACGCAAGAGGCATGAGGCGTTCAAGAAGGAGAGCCTTGACATCGTTTACCTGGTGGTCGTTACATCGCTTTCGCGCGGTACTTTTGAGAGGGAGTTTTTTCCCAGATTCCTGAAGGACCTGCCGCAGCTACAGCAGGAGGACCACACAAAGTACGGGTGGCCGGCGCTGCACAAGCTGATCGAGTTTCAGTCTTCTGTATGGCTTCTCGAGGTAACTCGCATCCGCGTCGGCGACTTGGTGATCTCTGCTACCGACGCAGCGAACGAGCTCAATTGCGGCTGGGACATCAAAACTTCACAGGAGTGCGAAAAGGAAGGGAAATTGATGGCGACCCCTTCCGGCCTTTACGACTGGGTCCAGGAAGATGGAGGCGCCCAAATAAGGCAAATTTCACAGCCCTCTCCCGCTCCTTCTATGGCCTCAACAACGGAACAGGACGCGCTGCCCGATATGAGGTACCACGTACAGCTAGATACTGGGTGTTCTCTGGTAACACTGGCGAAGCCGCTTCTAGAGATCTTTGAGCGCCAGTTCGTGAAGAACGGAAACGTGTGCAAGAATGGGCCCGTCGTTGGTTTCGAGCTCGTGAACTCGGTCAAACGTGGACCTGGAGACGACACCTCCGCGTCGTGGTACTTTCTCACACCGAAGGACTACTGCTACTGCGAAGGAGTGTTGAGTGTGAAGGGACGGCTCGCCAAGCATTGCTTCCAAGAAGAAACGCAGCCCAAGGACAGGACTGCCATGCTTGGCCTTCCGTTCTATCGGGCTTTTTACGTTGGACACGACTACCTCCGGCGAGAGGTGGTGCTGCCACGGCTTCGCTAATTATTAGAACTGGTTGTGAAAACTTGGGACACATGCACAATGCAACTGCCGAGGTGACGGAGGTGGTTGCTTGTGTGTGGAAGAGGAGGAGGAGACCGAGGTGGAAGGTGAAACTAATAACAAGCGAAACGCCTGACTTTGGAATAGATGACTGAGAGAAGTGAATATGTCATAAAGCAGCATTGTTAAAGAGTGTTAGGATCATACAAGGACTGATCATCTGTGTTGCATGCTTATTATGATGTGTTGTTACGTACTTTGATACGAATGAAGTCAAATTATCTTTATCATGGTCCGAAAAGTCAACAATCAGGGCTCAAGAAGGTAAGGCCGAAGTTTCGAAGGTTGTTACAAATATGCGCCACGGTTAAATACAGAAGTAAAGCTAAGCGAATAATTAAAAGAACAGCAAATGGTCAGTTAGTTATAACTATAAGAGGGCGCTTATGTTTTTGTTTATTTTCGTTGGCTTTTCAGTCGCTGCGCCGCGAAGTATCTTGAGACTTGCGTCGCGAAAGGTCACTCGATTGGAGTGCTTGCGGGATGTGTGGCGTTTGATCTCCCACGTCTGGGTCTGCCGTAGTGCATCAATTTGGGCCCGGCGCATTCTCCTCGTCCGCAGCCTGATCTCCCGCCGATTGTTATAGTTTCTTTATGATCGCACTAGTTTGCCACAGGCATGATATCTGAGGAGATCGCGAGCATAGCGAAGGGCTACGATATTAAAGAAGCAACTCCTGTGCGCCGTTGTGCCGCACCTGAAGATCCTGGCAAGTTCGGGCACTCATATGTGGGTCTGTGTTCCGACATTTTAGGTAGACTCTCCCGCCATGACACTTGACAAAAGGAGTGGGGCCATAGCATTTAAAAGCCTGACGGCAGGGCCGTTAGAGATGGGCACAAGAGACAGCGTAGGCGGGAGAAAGTGCCGCACTTCGAGACGTGTAAAGGAGAGCTGAACTTATTGCAATGTCTGACCGTAATACAGTGCGCGCTCCATCATTCGAGAGAGAGTAGAGCAGGCGCTTAAATTTGTATCTTCTTGAGAGGCTAGAAAACTTGAAAAACAGTGGCGCCGGTGCTGAGGCAACTAGAAGTCAGGCAAGACAAGTGCTTGGTTGAGCCATTCAATCTGAACGAAAATTCACGTGAAGGAGAGCCTTTGTTGGTTAAGAATGGCGAAAGTTAGGCTCAATGCTATTACCAGTACCACTTCTATTACGTCGAACAGTACTTCTTACAAATGCCTACGCATGGGTAGACCCCGACCTAACCTAACCTACAACCTTTGGCTGTCAACAATCACAACAGAGCTAGTAGAAGTAGCACGAAAGATAATATCTACAACATGATCTATGAAAATTTTGAGTTGTAAGTAAGAATACAAGATGTCGCCGACGACCAGAAGAAAGTCCTCTTGTACGAGGACGTCTCGAGGGCGCAAACTTTTACTGCCACTATGCATTGGTTGTGGAGAATCAGGAGTCATTCATGCGGAAGCGCTATCTTAAGGCTGTACTAGATAATTCATCTTGTTTGACTTTATTGAGGGCGCCTTTTCTGCAGCAAGCGAAAATAAGTTCATGTAGTTCATCTTTCTTGAGGGAAATCGGATTTGTCTGAAAGGTATAATGATGACCGACGAGTATCTCCTTAAGGGCGTGGGCGAGAAAGTTATAATGCGTATATATGTGATTGTGATTATAAGAGAGGTACAGGAGCGGACAGCTCTAATCGTCATCCCGTGAAAGTAGAACTAAGGGGATAGCAGCTTTGGATAGCAAGGTGATCAACCTTGTCTCCACGGATAGCAGAGTTTCGTCGAAGGTCGAAGGCATCAATGACGCAGTGGCAGATGTAGTGCAACCGGCAATAGATTTATGAGCGCATCTACTTATGAATTGCTCTGAAAGTCTCTTTTTTAGAAGTATGTAGAGCCAGCTCGGCGGATCTCATCAGCAACACTCCTGCCCAAGCAACACACACATGCCATCTCTTTATAGAAGAAGCAGAGCCAGCTTGGCGGTTCCTATCAACAACGCTGCTGCCCAAGCAACACTCACATCCCCACTCCCCATCGCAATATTTCGCTTGACCCCCGTGAATGGGTCAACTACTACAACTACCACTACTAATACGAGATTAGGGCCAAATATTGCCTCTAATCGATGCAGTCCAGCCAGCAGTTGATGCGATCAAACTTAAGAGGGCATTGACATTGTTTCTCTTTACTAGTACTAGGTCTCTCTCTTCACTATAATCCTTACTAGTAGTACGAAAAAAAAAATCTAATTTTCCGGGAATAGATGCGGCTGCTGACGCGATAGAACCGGTCGTCGATGCTGTAGAGCCGGTATACACGAAACACGTGAAGCCAATCCAAGATGTAGCTTTGGACATTACCAAGAAGTATTATGTCACATATTAACTCGTCTCATTGTGATTGATATTAATTGTTGTTCTCTCTAGAGAAGTGATTAGTGAAGTTCTTTTTTTGTCCAAGGTCTACCTGATTACGTATGTCAGAACAAGAAATATGTCAATGTCGTGGCCACCGGTTGTAGTAACACTTCACTATGAAGATCAAGAAAAAGTAAAAGAGTGTTTCTCTCTGTCATCTCTTCCTCCTGCTCTCTCTTCTACTCTTCCTCGTCTGCGCCCTCCATCGTCCCTCGTCTCTCTCTTTCGTTCGCTCTAACTGATTCTTTTTGTCATTTTTCATCCGCACATGCGTCATTCTTCGGTGCCAGTCCTAGGATCTATATACCAGAAGAACGGCATTCTTTATCCCAACTAGGTGGCAAAATACAAGATAGCAACTTATCCTCATGTTGCCAGGAAGACGTCATGATGATTATTCTATCTCAGACAGTTTTTTGTTTGTTGTAAAACGAATAGAAGTAGTACTTTGGTCTTCCTCGGACCTCGGTCCATCTCATCATCAAGTACATCTTGTTGCTAGTGGTCCTTTCTAACCACTTGGCAAGATAGCAACCGATCACGTGGTGAATGCTGCCGATGCGACAGGGAAACATATTTCAAGGCATGTGCGGCAAAGTTTCGCTACCGTTCACCAAGGTGCTGTTTCCGCAGTCACAGCGCTTAGCTTTATGGAGCTGTATTCAGTGTGTACTGACTGCTCTTAGTGAATTAGACTTCTTATTGATTACTTAGACCTATGTATAGAACAAATATTACACTTGTAGTTTCTAACATGCCATTAGGCGAAGGAGACGCGAGATTTGCTATTGCTAGCAGTGCATCTGGAGGCCAAGTTGTCTATGCTAGACTCGGATTAAAGGGCAACGGACCAGTGCGGCCTTTGATAGAGACGGGATTACAGACTCCAGGAGCCTTGGCAGTCGACACAACTCGAAAGCTTCTCTATTTATGTTGGATGGGCACTGTTATATTTATGTTTTGTTTCTTTGACGATGGAGATGTTGTCGATGTTGTACTAACTAGTTGATCATGAACAAGAGAAGTTTCTTAGTTGTATTCGTAAGATGCAGATGGTTGTAGTTGATGTAAGGGAACTTCCGTATCATGCCTGTCGAAGAGCGTTAATGTGGTCAGTAAATGATCTACTTATTCTGTTGACATAGACCCATTCTTCATAGCCAATTGCCGACGCCGGTGCGAAGAAGGTGTTTCGGTACGAGCTGAAGGTTGACGGGGAAAAGCTTGGCGCGATTCCCAAAGGCTTCGTAGCAGATGCAGTAGATGCTGTAGCGGTTACCGTAGACAGCAGCGGAGACATTTTTTTGGTGGATGGAGTCAACGTTATGAAGATCATTAAGTTATTAACTGTAGGAAAATATTAACGAAGGAATGTTTTCTTTAGTAATTTTGTCTGATGACTGTCAGACCACGTCTCTACGGTCATCATGAACGATGGCAACAGAGACAACAGCATGCAAGAAGTACTGTCGTACCTACTTGCGAGACGAGAGCTTGAGATCGTGACTCAGAATCACCTGATAGATTAACATCGATGAACTTGCAGTACTATTAAAGTTTACTGTAGTAAACATATGAGAAGTAGTTGAAGTTAGTTTACTAAACATGAAAATCTTCATAGCAAACAGAAGCTACTCGACCAGATGCATATATCTTCTAATTCCAGGAAAGTCCTTCGAGCAGACGAGCAGCATAAAACGGCACCAGCGGAACTATACGCTGTTGATACTTTGCCGGCTATTAGTGTTAAGGCGAAAATAGATTCTTATTGCTGCTCACCGATTCAGTATCCTCACTCCTGACGCTCACTACAACACCGTCTTTCGATCATCTTCTTCCCATTTAGGACTCCTCACTCACGCTGACCGTGCCTCCCTACTTTTACTCATGACCTCGTATCCGTACCCCTACTAGGCTACCCCTATTACGCTGCTTCTACTACGCTGTCCCTAGTATTACGCTGCTCCTATTACGCTGCCCCTACTACGCTAGTACCCCTAGTACTACGCTAGTACCCCTACTACCCCTACCTACTTTTTACTCTAATCCACGTGTGACGGGACTCTTCGCGGACAATTTTAGTTTGTACTGGGCCAACGGCAGCTCTGGCAAGAGTGTCGGCAGTGTGGTACGAGCACCGCAGAGACCGCCACTTTTCAAAAGGGATGGCTCGCAACCTCCTGGTGTTAAGGTCAACATCATGTAGTGTCCATCTTTCTCAGCATGATCTCGGTACCTTTTTGTTTCCCTTGTAGTCTTGTGTTCATGTTAACGGGGTCGAGATGAGGGGACCGAGATGAAGAAAAGCTGACTCTAATGGTGTCGGTGTCCTGACGAAAAAAGCAGACGCAGCTAGTGGTGTTTGTGCAGCAGGTATCTTGAGATATGAACCTGATGAGTTGAACTTCTTACTTGTACACTTTGTTGTAAGTAGATGATGAGACTTAGCAGAAGATGAAGGTAGAGGCTGCACTACCTGAAGATACAACTACCTGCCCCATCGTCGATTCTGCTATGATCTTCCTAGAAGTACTTACATGTTTATCATGATGAGTCATGTCGATGTGATCTTCCTAGGAGTACATGTTCTTTAGCATGAGTCATGTCTGATCGTAGAACAACTTCTGATAATCTTGAACTAGGTGGCGACGCTATATTCTTCACGTCTTCGACGGGTTCTCTTTTCCGTGGTGTCCGTGGGATGACAGAGACAGGAACCGTTTTAGAGCTAGACAGTGGCATGTCTTCGCCTTCACAGTGTGCATGTTATGTCTTATTGTTATTTAGTAACTATGTAGATGTACTCCTTGGACTTGTTCTTAAGTATTTAGTGACTAAGTAACTATGTACTCCTTGGAATGCAATTACAATGGAGGAACAATTGAAGATTCTTAGTTGTCTTGTTCTTATTTAGTAACTATGTAGATGTACTCCTTGGATGCCTTGGAATTATACGATGGAACAATTGAAGATTCATCTTAGTTAGACCTAAAAACAAGTTTACAACTGGTTAACTACCTCAAGTAGACGATATTGCTACAACTTCTTGATCATCAACGGGCAACTGGGGCACCACTTTCTGACGTTACTTCTTCAAGATACAGTTAGATTTGGGCACGACTACGTGGTCTTTAGTCCAGGGTCTTTTTTCCTTAGCTCCAATACTCGGAAAAAGGAACCTCAAGTCTTCTTGTAGTGGATCAAAGTGCGGTGTATCGATACGGAGGGATCCTGTCGGATCAGGTACCAAGCAAGTGGTCCATTGAGATTGATGACAATGTCGATTTAATCATGTACTTGATGACAATGTCGATTTAATCATGTACTTGATGACAATGTCGATTTGTTGCTCTACGAAATCATGTACTTCCAAGACAACTTCCACACTGTCGATTTACCAAAATAACAATCCACACTGGTGCCTGCAGAGAGATCAGCGATACAACAGCAGAGCATTATAAAAAGTGAACGAGTCAATCATCTCGGTTCAAATCGTTCATATATAGGCTCAAATCTTCACTTCTAATATCCCAGGTAAGTGGTCCATCAGCGTTGTCCAGTAAAGTGAAGATTTTCGACATAGCTGGCGGTTCCGGAGTCGCGTTTTTTTCACCGCCAGATCAGATGCGTGGATCTGGTATGGCGAATTCGGGAAGTTGGGTGCCAGATTTTTTCTTATGGTGGAAAGAGAGTTGTTGTTGTTGTTGTTGTTGTTGTTGTTGTTGTTGTTGTTGTAACTGATCGCTGCTGCAACTACTGTAAAGTGTCCTAAAAACTTGTGACTGAAGAAGAGTTGTTCTTTCCTCTTGTCTAATCTGAGCGCTGCTGTTCAGCTTCACGATGGTCGCGGCTCTCACCGCCATGGCAAAGTTCGTTGCCGTGAACAATTACAAATGAGTGCTCCTGCCAGGAGCCTCCTGGTTTGAGTACTGGGAGCAGGAGGTTCTTGCACCCACGACAGCAGTCCAAATTTACTAGACAGAATAAACAGCAAAAACACGCAAGAACTTCACTGGAAGACCACGAAGAAGAAAACTTAAGCAAGAGCACTCAAGAGCTTCTCACTCAAGAACTTTTGACAAATAACAGACAATCCTTATCCAAATCGACCTCATGGATGATCAAATTCTGAAAAACACAAAGGACATTCATGATTCTTGGTTGAGAAAATATTGATGAGAAGATTTTTCTATTCTTGAAGAAGAAACTGTATGTTATAGTGAGTACTACTAGGATGTTGTCATGTATCAACAAACGAAAACAGAAACCCGAAGAAGATTGGAATTTGATAGACTTCCAGCAAAACGAGAAAATGAATTGTGTTCGTCCGCGTCGAAGTTGAGTTGCCAAGACGGAGCTATCATTTTTTTTTATAAAGCTTCCTTGCTATAAAAAAAGATTAAGATTACTGTGATACTGAGATAGAGATTCATCCGGTGTCTTCAAGCAAGTATTGATATTTGACGTCACTGACGGCCGTTCTAGGCCACCCCTCCTCAGCAGTCTCTTCAGCCACTATTTTCATTTATGAGTTTTTCCCTTCACCCCGACCCCCCCGCTCAGCTCACTGACCCACATCCCATTTTTAGATCCATCCACTCCTTCGTCCCATGACCAATCATGTAATGAATTTGGTTATTTTCAACCCAGCAACTACATCAGCATATCCACAGCAAGAACCTTGTAGTGCTATAATGTAGTTTACTTCAAGATTCAAGCATGCAACTATGAATCTACAATGCGAGTATTCCCTACGCTTGCTAGACGAGAAGATGCCTCATCATCTAGAAGTAAGGACTAGTAAACGATGAATATGAAAATGAAGTTAACGAAGTTCGAGTTCGATGAATTAATAGAATTTTTAGAAAGATTGCGAAGAGGATCATGTGACATGCTGGTGATGCTGACTACCTGCTTAAATTAATTAGAATAGCCAAAGACATCAAGCATACGCAAGAAGAAAGAGGACACCATGCAATCTCACGCTCAAGTTCAGCCTAGCGCTGGCCCTGGCGCCGCAGGGATTGTAGTTGGACGACCCGTCGGGCAAATAGGACAAGGCGTAGATGCGCCATATGGAGAAGGAGCTACACTGGGAAGTCCGGTTAATGTATTTCTTCTGTACATTTCATCCAATTTTCAACACGACTTGGCCCGTTGAAAGAGCTACGCGTAGTACAACACTTGGCCCGTTGAAAGAGCTACGCGTAGTACAATTTACCAGGCAGTCACTTCGATTTCAGTAAGCAAAAATTAACATCATGTACAACCAACATAGTTACTCACCAGTAGAATTAGTTTCTATCCACCGATGTCTACGCTAACCATCTACCTCTTGTATCAACATCTTCACTTTATCTTTTAATACTTACAAGCTCCGATACCACTAACCTTCTCTGTCATCATCTTACATGCTTCTATAATCCTGAAAGAATCCTGAACAGGGCACCACGACACAGCAACATGCATCAGTTGCGCCAATGCAACCTCTTGCTGGTGGCGGTGGCGGCACCTTACCTGGACAGTATGGCTATGGCCGACCCTCAGGAGGCGGACCCAACAGAGTCATGATTATGCCAGCTTTTGTCGTGCTTGAAAAAAATGATAATTGATAAATAGATGGGAGATCGATGCGCATAGGCATACGCTTGGAGCTGAAAATCAAAATGGATAGAACCTTCCTTCGACTTCTTAGAAGTACTTATATACGACCAGTCATCTTTTGCTTTTCTTTCTCCACGTCTAATATCATGCTACAACAAGGTGGAGGGAGGCCGCCAGTAATGATGGTCATCGTGGATAGTGGGAATACGGAATATAGACCAGATCCAAGAATATTATGAAGAGGTTATTTTTTTTCATTTTTGTTCAATCTCTGACTTTCCAGCTACTTCCTAAGTAAATCATCTTCCTTCATCTTGAATCTTTCTTCTTCTTCTCTCTAAATCAAGGCGGCCCTTTTTCTGGTGGGCATATGATCAACGCAAGTGGGAACCTGGAGACCTTGGAAAATGTCTACCCTCCAACGCTTCTCGCTGTTGTAACGTGCTTCTGCTGTTTCTTTCCTGGTGGAATCTGTGCCTGCATTTCACTCTTAAAGTGTCAAGAGTTATGATTGGCGAATGAAGGAGAAGAATTTTGATATTCATTTTTTGTGAACCTGATTGATTGATTCACAGTGTGTGAAGATGATATTGACCTATCGTCAATCATGTACAATACTGGGCAAAAATGCTAATGGCAAGAACGATTTCCAGTCAACACGACTCCTAAATGCCTCTGCATGACTTAATACAGTATTTCATTTAAATTCATGCATTTCCTACGTCTCTTCTAATACCCGGTCATGCAGCAATAGCAAGACAAGACACTGAAGGAGCGAGGAGGGCAAAAGAAGACGCTATGCGATGGATTTACGCTTCCTGGATGGCCACTGTGTTCTTCATGATCTTCTACTCTTTTCGGTGAGCTGCAGAAGGAGCTACTCTTCTCCGACGACCAAGTGGAAGAAGAAGAACAGTATTGCAAGACCACTGCCAATAGAATCGAGTCGTGAGCTGAGTTGTACAACTACCACTAGAAGTTCTTGTACTACATCAGCGAGTACTAGTAAAGAGCAATATATTGCTTTAAACTTCTAGTAGTCCAAGCGAGTACTAGTAAAGAGCAATATATTGCTTGAAGGGATAAGCCTAAGGATAGAGGGAAAACGATCCGGCTGCTTTACTTTAGTGCTTCAAACTTCTAGTAGTCCAAGCGCAACCTGGATCGTGCGCGACTTCTGCTGCTCCTCTTGTCGCACCCCCTCGCCTATTACAGGCGCCATTTCTCTCGTCCTTGATGGAGGCACCAGGCTAGGCTACGAATCGTGGGTCGCCCTTCATGGCGACTACGCAGTCCACGGAACAAAGAAGGGGAACACTGGCGAGAATCAGCACACGGCACACGCAATCTGAAGAAGAAGAAATCCACTCCAATTCCGATGATATAATCGAGTTCTTCTATATTAAGTGGAACAAAAGTCATCCATTTCGAAATGTTCTTCTGAAGCGCATCGTTCTTTATGCAGCTTCGATGAGATCCAGATGCGGTCACCGTTGACTTCGCATTTGATTTTGTAGTACCATAATCGACTCGAGCAGGAGATTGATAGCTTGATCATGCATATCCTCCTATCTCGATGATCGTGCGCTCCCGCTCTGCTCCGTATCTGGAATGATATTTCTCTTCGTGGTGTTCGACTCGAACACAGAGGTGCTGTTTTTGGTTCTTTGAAAAGATTGTGCTGGGGTGGCTCGATGTGGTCGAAGGACGAAATTTCCTGTCATCGATCTACTACTTCGGTCTGTTGAAGAATTCGATTCTGAGCTTCCGGCGAAGATGAAATCTATGTCGGCATCGGAATCGGGGCAGCAGTAAGAGAAAGAGGCTCGCCATGATCTTCTTAATCGGTCCTGATCAAAGATGAGAAAAAAAGATGAAAATCTACTTCTACTCTTCAATCCACTTAGAAGATGCTTTTCTTGCTACGTGTCAAAAAGATGGTCTTACGCAAGAAATGCTTACAATAGAGTAAGGTAAATAACTCGCTTCGGGTTGCTCGGGTTGCTTTTGCTACTTGGCAAGAAAACCGTCGAACAGGAAGCTGATGAAGCGCATAGCAACTGGTCGGTTGGACATATCATGTGAACTGCAATTCTTGCGTTAGACCATCTAATAGTTTTCAAGAACAATTATTTATAAGATGGTCTTACGCAAGAAGTGCTTATAATTGTGCTTGAGTCCCTGTATTTCAATGCTGTTTCACTATTATGCTTCGTGTTTTCAATCTGACCAATAATTAGCTAGAATAGCTGACACCCGTAATTCAGCTGGGTATATGATCATCATCGTCATCACCTGAAGTTTTTCAATTCAGCGCAGATGTCGTCCTTCGTTCATGAGCATGACGTGATCATGATACTTTTGAATTTTTATTAATGATCTTCTTCAGTAACTCCTGAATGACTTTCAACATCAGTTAGACGAGTGTAGTAGTCACAGGATGGGCGGCAAGAATGACGCTGCTAAGGGTAAGGCTGCCGCGAAAAAGCAAGCGGGGAAGCCAAAGGTAGCGCCTGTTGCCAAGAAGGAAAGCAAGACGACGGCAAAAGCTGGAACCGGGTCGAAAGCGAACAATAAATCTTCTGCGTCCTCCAGTACTTCTAAGAATGCTAAACAAGCTGCTTCGACGACGCCCAGTAAAGGGACGACAGGTGGTACAGCACGTGGAAAGAAGACTCCTTCCCCGCCTACTGATCAAGTAGCTCCTACCAAGGATAAGAAGACATCTTCTTCAGCCTCAGCGGGACGGAACATCGATAAGGACAAAAATAAGGATAAGCAAATAGCAAGAAAAGCTACCACTTCTAGTAGTAAGGTTAAGGAAACCAAGAACAACAACAACAAAAAGGGAGCTGGAGGAGCTGGAGGATCGACCTTATCGTCTAGGAGTAATTCAAAAGCAGCATCTTCGTCTTCATCTGCCTCAGCTGATAAAAAAAAGAGTAGCACTAGCAAGAGCGTCGAAGAAGTAGAAGAAGATGTTGTTGTGGATGAGGATGAACCTGCATCTCTTGTTGAGAAAGATCCAACATCTTCCCAGCAGTCTCAACAGTCACAGCAGATCGTTGATTTGATCTCTTCTTCTGAAATACATGTAGATGAAATTAAGGCTACAAGAAATCCATCTTCACCGTCATCCTGGTCCCGTTTTTAAAGAGAAAAGGAGGCCCAAGATGTTACTGAAGATGGATTTCTCTTAGTCTTCTAAGGAAAGCGCCAAGAGCTCTTCATCTCCTGGCGAAGACTTTATCATCAGGGATCCGAACCATCCGGACTATGATCCTCAAGAAGACGACTCAGACTTTGCTCCAGCATCAGAATGCTCCGACTATTCGGGAGATGGTAGTGCTCCGGATATATCCGATAGAAGAATTCATAGGAGTAGGGTGCGGTCAAGAAGACCGCCAATAAGAAAACGAAAACCTCCTCATGGGGATGAAGAAACAGAGGAAGATGATGAGGAGGATGAGGATGAACAGGAGGGTGAGGATGAGGATGAACAGGAGCTGACATCTAGAAGTACAACTGGGAGGAAGAAAGCTGGTGCCGAAGCAGATGCAAAGGGAAATAGAAACCCAGCACAGGAGCTGCAAAGGGAAATAAAATCTAGTAGTGCTTCATCTTCGACATCTTCCATGAAAAAGACAACTTCCAAGAAGGATCATTCGTCACAACAGTTCTTCTCGAGTGCTAACCAAAAGAAAACGACCTCCTCGTCAGCACTCAAGAAGAAGCCACACTCAAGAACTGCTAGACAATTGTCCTCTAAGGACGATGATGATGAAGATGATGAGTCTCTCGGAGAAGATGATGACGAAGTGTCAGGCGAGGAAGATGAAGACGAAATGTCAGGCGAGGAGGATATGTCAGATTTGGTCCTTTCTGACGAATCAAACAGCATTGAGGCGGACGACGACGACGACATACTGGATTTAGAAGAGAAAGCGACCAAGGATGAAACACGAAAAAAAGGAGCTATAATAAGTAGTTCTAGAAGTTGTACAACATCGAAGATGAAGAAGGATCAAGGCGCGAATAAGAATACTAAATCTAGTACTTCGAACAAGTCCACCTCTAGGAAAACGACAGCTGCAAAGGATAGCAATTCAGCCTCAGCAACGAGTAGTCTTGTAGTGAATGAGGAAGATGATGACGAAGAAGCACCAGGAGCATCTACAAATGCTGTTAGCGACAAGAAGAACGGCACGACAACGACTTCTTCGAAGACTGCTTCTACTAGTGCCGCAGCAAAGTCGTCGGAGGACAAATCCAAGCCACGCAAGAACATCAACAAGCACGATATTAGCGATGTAAAAAGAGGACCTCAAAAACCTTCAACTTCCCACGAAGAACAAGAAGACGATGACGAAGATGCCCTTCCCATCACTAATCCGGTTGGTTCTCTGTACAAAGGACGTTTCAAGGTGAGGATAAAAGCGGACACGGGACAAAGATACTATTTCGATAAGGATGTCGGCAAAGGGCGGAAGTTTGTACATAAGGCGGTTCCACGCAGTGACTGGCATGTGGAAATACCATGTACTCCTTGGTGGCGCTTCGACAAAGCTGTGAGGAGGCAGAAGTTTACCTTTGACGAAGATTATGATGAGAAAAATCAAGATGATGATGTTGATCAGACTTCCCAGCAGGATAGTAAACGTGACCAGGTCCAGGGCAACAACAAGAGTGTCGTTCGCATCCTCGATGTTGGCGCTGCAGTAGAGGAGAAGTACGGGTCCTTTATCGTGGTGGCGGAGGTGACAGAAACCGATTCGGATCCTAGAGAGGAAGGTTTCTCTTCCGATGAGGAAGAGGAAGATTGGGATGCTCTGGAGAAAAAATGGGCTGAAGATGCTAAAAAAAAAGGGGAAGAGCTCACAGAAGAAAAAAAAAACGAACTTATGGCATTGATTTGGTCGTGATTGGGTGCATAGAGGACGACTTAGACCAGTCAGTCGATGTAAGTAGATGGAATGTTCAAATTTTTGTGCGGTGCGTTGAGCTTGAGGATTATTTTTAGCCTTAATTAATATAGATACATATAGAAGAAGAAAGATGAAGATCTGATGTCCTAGGGTAGAGTTTTTGCGGCTTTCTGATTTTCCACCTCGCTTATTCCCACGACCAACCCTTCCACAGCCTAACCATAATTCCCACGACCACCCCTTTGACAGCCTCCCTCACGACCTTTTCTAATCTGCTGAGAAAAAAACGAAAGCTCGAGGTGGCGAGAAAACGTAGGCTAAGACGTTTCGAGAATGCGCATAAGCGTGCTCCTATCGGTTCCCAGAGGTTGCAGAGCACATTGGCAAATCTAGAGAGGAAATTTGTAGAGCAAGGTGCTGTGACGAGAAATGCGGATATTACCAAGCCGGTAACTGCAAATAATAAGGGTCGCTTGCGCAATGAGATCGAGGATGGCAGTGAAGATTCCTCCTCTAACAGGCAAAAGAAACGTCGCCGGGGTCGTCGTCCACGAGATTACGGTGGGAATTTGGCCGGTCTTTCTAGCAGCTTTTACGATGCAGGAGATGGGTTTATTGACGACGCAGACATGGAATTTGCTGATGAAGAGGAAGCAGGCGGCCTGATCATCGACACCGACTGGGATCTAGCAACGTTAAACCCTGGTGCTAAGAGAAGGAAGAAGACACCTTTTTCTAGTGCTGCAGCTACGGGAGGAGTTGTTGGTGCTGCTGGAATGAACAGGAATTCTGTTCCTGGCACTGTTCATCAAGGTCAGGGTGAAAATGCGGATACAGGAGCATTTGGAGAAGGAGCTGTAGAAGGCGACAAAGGCGATATGAATGATGAAAACGCTCTAGCAACAGGAGCCGAACATCTTCAAGAGATTGCAGTAGACCCTGAGGAACTCGCGAGAAGGGAGATGCTAAAAAAAGAGCGCGAAGCGATGGAGAGACGACAGAGGATTGAATTTAGGAAATTCCGGATAGCTCTGCCTACAGACCCGCGTGATGACGATGACGATGCGTTTGGAGTAGGTGAAGGAGAGAAGAAAAATACTAGTGCTGCTGATGATGATTTTGGAGGTGCAAAAATAGTAAAAGGTAGTGTAGAAGCTGGAGATGAAGATGAGACAGCTCGACGAATGATACAACATGCAGATACGACTGGCGCTACCACGACGAGTACTTCCACCACTGCGACGGCAGGAACAACAACAGCAACCCCATCAGGCCAGACACCTCAAGAAATTTCCAAGAGCAAGATTCGGGAGATGCTACTCAGAGAACTGAAGCTGTTGCCTTGCGGCGTCAGCGATCCTGAGGAAGCTGCTGCTTTGATGCGCAACCCATCACCAGACTACAAATCACCTTCAGGATTGCGTGCTTTGCCATTTTTGAAAACGTGGTTAGAAACCGAGGTGCAAGCAAATCATTCGTGCCTTCCGACCTTCATTCGTAGAAACCTGCCACATCTGATACGAAGCAGTGCTGGAGTACAAGCACCAGGCTCTACTAATACACCTGATAGTAGAGCACCAGCTGTTTCATCTTCTTCCTCCTTTTCCTCTTCAACGTCTTCTTCTGCTTCATCAAACAAGATTCCCTCTTCTTCAGTGTACTTCAAATCGGCCTCGTTTGCGCCTCAATGGAGGTGGACGGTTTGTGTGAGAGAAGATCTAGTCACCAATTGGTGGGGATTTGAGGAAGATTTCGTTCAATTACCCTTTCCCGCTGTCAACGAGCGAGATGACGAGTATTGGGCTGACTTGGTCTATCGCTTGACCAGGCTATCGCACGCCGCGAGACCTATGCCCTGGCGAGAATTCTCGACGAAATGGATGCAGGCAGGGAAGGAATTCACGAAATTGGCGTCGAGGACGTTTAATCAAGCGCAAATCAGTCTGATAGAGAAGGAGCTGTCGAACGATGTGGTGTTGCTACAACTGCGGAGACTGTTTGAGGATCCGACAGGGAGAAGAATGATAGCGAGGGAGGAACAAGGTATTGATAGGCTATCAGATACGTTTCACCGAAGGCGCAAGATTTGCATGTCTTCCTAATTTACTTGTTGTGCTTGTCCCTCGATTTATATGCTCCTGCTCTATAGTCTAAGCCACACTCCTTCATCGCATCACATGCATCAACACTTCAAAATTTCCGTTTTCTTAAAATCACCTTCACAACCACAACTACAAGTCTACGCATCAGGTAATACCGGTTGGTCCTCCACATCTACCGCCAAAAGTGCTGCTAGCGACTTGATGGCGGAACAGCGTAGAGAGTATGAGGAGAGCATTCAGCAGGTTCTGCCGCTGTGTCGGGTCCTTCGGAAGTCCTTTTTTACGTTTCGGATGGGGCTTAGGATGCTGACGCATTGCAGAGACGGAAACTTGCCGAAGCGAGGTCGCAACTTGGGCTACAATCCAAAGCAGCTGAGGAGTATATTCGTGACCACACTCTACGGAGAGTATTTGAAGGAGTTTTTCTACAAGATTCAGACTTCTTCGACAACGCAAATACCCCCAGTCTGGATGAACATGGTATTGGATCACGGAGCAACGTGGCTCCGGAAAGCCAATACCACGACCATTGCCATGAGTAGTGATATGAAGATGAAAGGTAGTCTCGGTGTGGGTGGAGGTAGTACTATTGTCGTAGCTGCGTCATCGTCTACTACTTCAACTAGTCATCAGAACGAGATCCAGCAAGCTCTTGCGTACTTACAGCAGCATAACCTTCAACAAGGTGCTAGTGGTCCTGGAGGACAACAACAGGGTCCGCAAGGGAGTGGAGCCATCGCTATGGAGCCTCTAGACCCAGCCAAAGTACAACAATATCAGCAGCTTTTGCTGGATTCCTTTTGTCAAGACGACATTGTGGAATTCCGACCTTGTCTGCCTCTAGTGGGCAATTACATCATCGAAGCAACGAAGGCTAAGCGACATCACATGGCGAGACTAGAGGCGTTTGATCGAGAACAAGAAGCGAAACTCGAGAGAAAGTTTGAAGCCGATCTACAGGCTGCACGAAACCGAATGAAGGAGATTGGAGGTGGTAGTGCTGGCGCAGGTACTTCTGCTTCTGCAGGAGCTGCTGGAACCAGTATTAATACGAGTACAACAGGAGGCTCCGGTGGAAAGAAACTCCAAACAAGTGAACAAACAGAACAAACTGACGCCTGCTCAGGAGAAGGATCAAAGAATCCAGTTGCGAGACCTCCAAAAGCAAGGATGCCTGCTAAAGCCAAGATGCCGCCGCCAGTTAAAGCGCCGCTGAAAGAACAGAACTCCTCTGGTACTCCTTCTAGTGCGGCAACAGTAGCTGCAAATGCTAAAGCATCGACTTCTGCAGTAGTAGCTGGATCCGTAGGGCCTTCTTCAGTACTAGTAGTACCTGGATCTTCTGCTGCTACATCTTCAGGAACGAATAATATTACTGGTGCTAATATACCTCCACCACCGCCACCTATGCAGCTTTTAAACCCAGCAGCGTTCCAGCAGCAGCAATTGTTGTTTTTGCAGCAGCAACAACAGATAATGCTCTTGCAGCAACAGCAGCAACTTAGCTCTGGAGGATCGTTAATGGGTGGCTTGCCACCAGCTGGACTGCCGATCCCTGCTCCAGCTGGAATCTTACCTCCCCCAAATACTACAGTCTCCTCTTCTTCTGGGTCCTCGTCCACGACGACAATGCCAATTAATATACAATCTACTACAACTTCTGTCGCTGGTACAAGAACAGCGATGCCTGCTATATCATCATCTTCCACAGCAACTTCTTCCACCTGCTCTAGTATCACAACAATTCCTGGTCTTGGAGGTTCTAGTTCTACAGCTGGTCTACATCCCTCAACATCCTCCTCTTCTTCAACAAACCTTCCTCCGGCCCTCAATCCTAGTACAGCAATTTCACCTGCTTCGTCCTCTTCCAGAGGTTTACCCCAACAATTTGCGTCCTCACAGACGAACGAGGAGGGAAAGAAAGTGCATGGCAATGCTGGTAAAAAAAGGGGGCCGTACATAACGAATAAGAACCTTTCAAGCCAAGTGATGGAATTGCCGGTGGCGATCTATCTAGATTTCAAGCCTGAGATCCGAGGCCAGTTGCGAAGTGTTACCGACTTAGCCCGGCAAGAAGTGGTGGTGCGCTTCGAAAAGGACCATTTAGAGTCTTTCCAAAGCTTGGACAAGGCAGCACAAGCCGTATTCCACCGCATGACAGTGCAAGAACGGCAGAAACAGGAGATTACGTTAGACCAAGTACGGGATCGTTGCGGTGGCTGGCACTTCTGGCGCTATGACGCTAACGCGCTAAGTAACAATAAAAACACTCCAGGGGCACAACCACAGCCAGCACGTCTGCTTAGACTCGCCATGCACATCCTTGAAGCACGACGGGCTCAGTTGGCACACCCTTTTCTTCCTGCTGGCGGATCGTCCAAGGGGCTCACCGGTCCCAGACTAGACGTCTTTAGATTGCTCAAAGCACAACACCCGAAACAAAAATCCGAACAACAGCTGCTTGCGGATAAAATCACGTGGGAGAATAGTCAGACAAGGGGAGTATTTTCCACGCTCTAGTAATGCCAGTTGTATCATTAATATAAGTAACCAACGCGGTGATGAATATATTTATGGTACAAAAGGTTGATTTATCAAAAGGGGTGTGCCACTTTCTAGTAGAAGTTTCAGGAGGAAAGCAGAGGCGGAGGGCACAACCAGTAGTTTTTCATTGTTACTCACTTTCTGATGATTTTACACGACACTCACACTTTGATGTTACAAGTCAACAGAGCTTATTCCTTTGGGTTTCCTGCTTGAGCTAGAGTTAGTATAGAGTTTACTTATCAAATCTATCAAAAATCTGGTTAGCCTAGTCATCTAATCTGTACGACGATGACCTAGTCTTGCGGCCACTTTTGAACTTTTTCAAAACCTACGCAGAGCTAATATCTGGAGGCAATGTCCTCTTCAAAAATTCAAAAAAATGTCCTCCTTGCGCCTACCCGAAACACCTTAAGAAGAACGTTCCCGTATCTAATGAGTCCTTTCGTTGATTCCAAGACCAAAATTTGAAGGTCGTTACCAAATCATTGGGATTGTAAGAATCGTTTTACGATTTGAGAGACGTCCTCGTGCGTTATCTATGAAGAGGAAAGCATTGCTGTTGCGACACGACCAAAAAGGTGTTCGAAGTCAGAGTGGGACGCGTACTAGTGAGTTGAGAGCGAAACAAGAAAGGTGTGTGGAGCGATGGAGAAAACACACCAGGAAAATCGCACAGTTTCTATTCACTGAAATTGTTTTGACTATTTCTTGAGTTTTTTCCCTAGTAGCGAGTAAAAAAGAATGCGTCGTCCTCCACGCCTCTACGTCGCCAAAGCCGTTGTCTTTGTGGCCACAACTACGTCGTTCTCATCTTCCGCAGTTGTATATGCGACAAGTGTGAGCAGACAGCACCACCAGGCGGGAAAGACAGAAAATAAGGGTGCGAAAGGCCCACTATACGACCACATTTTGAGTGTGGCTACTCAAATCCAACATTCTGTTTATGATGGAATCGAGAGTTTGAAGGTACTGGAATCCTTCTTTATTTACTGTTCCTTTTCACTCTTGTAGTTCTGCAGCTGCATCTACTCTACTACGAAAGATTAAGATAAAGATTGTCTTTGGATACACATGCTTTCTTCTAGAGATAGAACCCCCTGAGGAAATGAGGATCAAGAAGCCAACGTGGAAGAAGATTTTCAGTAAAACACAAATATGAAAACTGTTTCAGGCTACCGCCACCCAAGCTGCAGCAAGCACGAGCAGTTCCTCCTCGTCTCCTGACCAGGACGCAAACAAGGGCACTGAAGATGTAGTCGTGCAAGAACAACAACAAGGAGAAGTCTCCACGAGGACACCTACCGCAGCACCAAAATCCACCAACAACAAAAACAACAAAAACAACAAAAACAACAAAAACAAAAACATCAACATTTCCGCCGCTGCATTCAACAAAGAAATTCTAGTATGAACAAACGGACACGCTTGTGGAGGAGGTCAAAATTTAGGGAAAATTAGGGGATATTATGGTTCCCTAATTTTCCCTAAAATTCGTATGTGGGTTTACGCGTGATGTCCGTTTCTTTGTTTCTAATTCTAGCCAAATTGGATCGCATTGAAAAAGCTGAGCAACGAGAGGAACTCGAATTGAGGATCCTTCAATCTGAAATCACCGGTCATGGTGGTAAGCTGATTGGAAAGGAGAGGAAGCGAGTAGTTGGTGGTCGTGACACGGGGAGGAGTAAGAAACAGGACAAAGGCCGACGTGAGCAGACGAGGAGGAGTACTAGAACAAGTACAACTGTAGGTGGAGGAGGTCGTGAAGGAAATGGCAGTAGTTCTACAACGGAGAAGGAGAACACGGAGAAAGATGTTGCGCAGCAACATCAACGTCGTGAAGGGGATGCTTCTTCTTCTTCCATGACTAAAAAAGAGTTGAGCAAAGTGGTGAAGAATGCAACTTCAACATCCACTTCTGTTGGCAACCGCTACGCCAGTGCTCGTTTTGTGATCCGACAGCGTCAGCGCGCGGAACGTGAGAAGGCAAGGAAAGAACGACTTTTGAAGAAGAAATCTGCGGGAACGGCATCAAAGTCGACAACTCAGTCAAAGAAACAAGAAGCGCAAGAAGATGAACCAGCACCTTCTCCTTCACCGAAGTCAAAGAAGCAAGAGGTCCTCCAGTCAAGACTTAGCTCCAGCACGACCAGTAGTGCTACCACCTCGGAGCAAAAGGACAAGCAGGTAGATAAGCATCAAGGAGGCGTCCTACGCGCAGTATCTTCGGCGAAGACGGACGATGGTAAGGGTGATGAAGAGCTTACTACAACGGTGGAAGAAAAACATACCAAGACTGCCGCTTCACCGACAACTCCAACACAGGAAACTCCCACCTCATCTACAACCAGCAGTGCTACTGCTTCTCCCCAGAAGGTGGATGAGAAACAAGATGCTGTGGTTCCTGTACAACTAGTTGTAGGCCATAGTAAAAGTAAAACTTCGACCTCATCATCAATCAGTGGCACAAGCGACTCTTCTACATCGTCCGACGTCGCCGATGATGACAGTGAAGAAGAGGACGATGAGGAAGGCTATGACGACGACGACGCAGGCGGTGCTGAAGACAAGGCTTCGCCTAAGCATCCACCAGGCAAGGCGTTCCCGAAGAACATAGCGAAGGAGGAAAATGCTGCTAGTTTGGTGTCAACGGTCGTGCGACAGCAGGAGAAGGAAGTGGTAGACAAGCAGGTAGAAGATGCTAAGAAGGAGAAAACCACTGCACCTGCTGTTACCTCACCTGTGTCCTCTGCTGCTCTTGTCACTTCAACGAAAGCGTCGACCAAGACGACTGAAAAAGCAGACTTGTCTAGTACGACTCAAGAACAAAAGCACAAGGCAGTTGAGATGAAAGTAGCTGAACATCAACCACTCTCAGGAGCTGCAGAACCCGCGAAAAAGACAGCACTAGCAGCTGTTGTCGATGAACACAAAAAGGCATCCTCGAGCAGTATTAGAAGCTCTTCTTCCAAGAGGAGCAAGAAGGTCGATCATTCCTTGTACGCAGACTACATGCGCGGTGCGGCGCCGTCAGCGCAGTATCGTCGCAAGCATCACATGATCAAGCGGACGCACGCGAAGATTATGAAATGATTTTTGATAGCCACCTAAGTACTTTTTGTAGTTCCTAGTAGATTCCGGTAGACTCAATTTAATCACAGGAAACTAGTACAGTTGATCATGCGCCGTAAGCCTATGATAATCTTCACCTACTTCCATAAATCTTAGAAGTAGCTGGAGTGCGAACCTCCCCAATCTTTAGCTTTTTATATGCGACAAGGTAGCGGTGCAGGTCGCTTTTCTGATGTCAGAAAACTCCTTTCATTCCCTACGATTCGCATGAAATCGTGACACCAGAGGAGATGGAAAAGTGGTTGCAAAATTACAGGGACTCTGCGGATGCTAGCACCAACCAAGAACTCGACAAGGAGTTTAAGGATAATGCAAGCGGAAGCGCTAGCAATGGCGGAAGCATGAACCTGGCAAGCGCTTTGGCAGGAATTAGGTGAAATGGTGGCGGTCTTCGTAGGAAAGTCCGTCATGACGGTAAATGGTCTGTATGGGAGTTGTTTTAGGTGGGTAGAAATTATAGCCAGAGAATTCCAGTTAGTACCAGTTACATGTGGATGTGTATAAAAGAACAAGTTCGATATGGTAGAATAAGTAGTTGAATGATCACTAGTCGACAATGGTTGATATTGCACAGAAGATGAAAGGTTTATGTTGCTGCAAAGATAGGTTTTCATGACAAGTACCTACTAGAGATCATGCGAGTAATATTCTAGAAGTGATTTCTTCGTATACAACATCGTTTTTTCCAATCCACCTAGACAAATCTGACCTGCATTGCACAGTGATGAAGGAAAAGAAAGTCCGTGAATGAGACGAGTCAGGCTCGCAAGTGGGATGTCCGTGTTCCTACCAAAATTTTTTTTGGTGAGCCTCTCGTGAAAGAGAATGAAATGTCAAACGTCCTATCCTGTTCGTAAAGAATAATTCATCCGAATGTTGCCACAAAAGCAAGAGATCTGTAGATGAAGATGGAGAACATTTCGGGTCATCATGTTCGATGTAGCGGCAGGTAATATGACAGATCTCGGCTGATGGTTCACTTTGTCGGGTTTTGTTGGTAGAGCATTGTAGCTTTATCATAGCAACGTCATGATAGAGGTACTGTAGCACTCATCATCACGCAAGAAGAATACAACATTCAAAATATGTCGTTTTTCGAGGGCGAAAACCTCCAAGTGGGGGAAAATTACCCAGCAAATGGGGGTGGACCAACTCCGCCTTCGGGAATTCCACCTAATCCTTTTGGTTTCAACATGCAATTGCCTTCTGCTTCGACGAGCAGTCCACCATCGCACAACTTCGTGGTGTCGGGCACAGGACCTGCATCGTCGTCGACTGCTAATATTTTTCCAAGCGGTGGAAATTACATCAATCAGCAGCATGTGAATGGGATGAATGCGTTTGAATATGCGACTGCAGGCCCTAGTACCGACGTCAACAATCCAGCCTTGTCGCAAATGTGGCCACACAGATTTGATAATGGGCAGCTTGAATCTGGAGGATTCGATGGGAATGCTGCTTCAGAACTTGGAGTTCCTCATGGAGGTCGGTCATTGCAAACCTGCAACTATAATGCCTTTAGCCAAAACCAGACGGGTCAGTGGTTCGACAGTGGGAACAATGGAAGTTGTGGATCGACTTTTTATCCCGGACCTAGAACAATGTCCACGGGGCATCGACCGGAACAAATGCAGCAGCAGCATAATGGTGCTGAGACCCCTAATTATACCTCTTTTGGAGGATTTGGCGCACCAGCAAATCCAAATCTGCAACAAATGAATCAATACGGACCAGGTGATGGAGGTGGTTTTAGTGCCTCGTCTTCGACGCAGCCAGGTCGTGGGTATAGAGACTTTTATTCAGGTGCCAAAAAAGGATCGTCATTTTCATCCTCACAGCCTTCTTCTGGGTGGCCCACATATAATCAGCAAGGTGGAAAAGACAGATCTAGAAAAGCCAAAGGAGGAAAACAAGCTCTCATGGGTTCTAATGGAATATCTGGACATAAGAACGGATATCATAGCGGTGGGGTGTCCGCTGATAGTATGGCAAAACATGGGTCGAATTCATTTGACTCCGGATTCCGCGGCAATGAGACTATGGGACTTGCAACGTCAACTCTGCCCAGCGGCCAGAAAAAGGGCGGAAAGAAAGGCAAAAGCGGCACCACATCCAAAGCGCAGAAGCAGCAGCAGCCCTCTTTGTCCAGTAAGCAGCATACCGGAACTGGAGAACCAAAGCCAGTATTGGAAACTCCAGGTAAAACTACAACAGCTCCTGGTGTTATAGAACCAAAGGAACCCAAGCCCAACAAGAGCAAAAAGAAGCGAAATAAACAAGGGAACAAAGTACTCGATGCTAAGCCCGGGCCCAAGCCTACAAAACCCGAAGTAGATCCTAGCCTTCCACGACCAACCCATCCCAACTCTGAGGTCCTTATCCCGACTGAACTGCAGCTAGCCCTCCAAGAACAGTGCCTGTATTGGCGCGTGCGACAGAGATTACTTAGAATGGCAGAACGCGAGAAAATGGCTGTAGCACTAGCGGACGACGACGAAGACGAACAAGGCACTCGAAGAACAAGCAAGCGTCGAGTCATTCCTCAAGAATATGAAACGCTTCTACGTCTAGGTAGAGAAGTTAGCCCAGAGGCACAGGAAATGGCTCTGCGGAAGATTGTCGCACTACTAATCATACGAATGGCAAAAGCTTCTGGTATTGAAAAAGTTGTAAGAAGACTTCAGGAGGAGAGGGAGCAGCTGATGGCTGCTCATGCTTCTAACGGTGCTGCGCAAGCAGATGATCCGAGGAGGGAAGTTTCTGCGATGAATGCTTCTGGAGAACAAGAAGGTGTTGATGTACCTCGTCTTACTGCGCAAGATGGAGAAGCCGGAACGCCTGAAGGAAAGACGGGCAATCCCCAGGACAGCGATGCGGCTCGGAAGGGTGTGGTAGAAAATTCGACTGTGGCCGTCAGCATGAAAAAATGGACGTCTCACGCCTCTAGAGCAATCGAACGCGTTCAGCTACGAGTGCTACTGCGTCTTCGAGAGCTGGTCGTGCACACGGCACTTCTAAATGTCGAAGTGTGCAGTGCTTGTCGAGTGCTTTTCATTGGTCACTTATATCGACCGACGTTGTTGAAGAAGATACTTGTTCTAGGTGGAGGTGAATCGAGTAGTGCCAGGAGTAGCGCAGAAGTGGATCAAGTAGAGAAAAGCGAGCAGCAGGAGAGAGAAGCTGTAGCGGGTCATGCTGAGAAAAGTCCTTCGCGACCTTTTCAACAAGAGCAGCCAAGAACCAAGCATTCACAACAAGGACAAACCTCGCAGCTTGTAGCTTCATCCCCGAGTTGTAAGATGAAGAGGACCCTAGTAGCAAAGGAGTCAGCATCACCAGAAAACCCATCAGACGGAGGAAGTTCTTCGTCTTCGGAAGATGACGATGACGGTTCATCTCGGTCTGGATCATCCTCTTCATCTTCATCAGGAGACGAACAAGGAGATGAAGGGGACTGTACATCGTCTGACGCGAGTTCATCGTCAATAAGCAGTGCAGAAATAGCTTTGAAAATACGGAAGCGAAAGTTGTTGTTGCTGAAGAGGAAGAGGGCTTTGGCTGACAAAAGTGCGAACCTTGGTTCTGTGGAAGAAAAGTTAGATGCGAAAGCGATGAATGGTGGTCAACCGAAAGCTCCTTCTGCTAAAGATGAAAAGTCATCCTCATCAAGCGAAGACTCAGAGTCATCTGATATTAGCCCATCAGAAGGGGATGACGGATCGGGGCCTTGTTCATCGTCCTCAACTTCCTCTTCTGGGTCAGGATCTTCCTCATCAGATGAAGACCTCCTCGTACGCAAACGGAAGCTGTTGCTTCTGAAAAGAAAACGGGAACTCATGCGAGCCAAAGAGCAGATGCGGAGTAAAGCTCCGGAAGCCGTACAGTGCGTGGTTGAGGCTTCTTCGTCAAGTACGAGAAAAAAGAAGGAGGACTACGCCACACCAGCAGAGAACAAGTTTGCGAATAAAACTACTGCTTCCTGCTCTCTCTCCAACATGGAGCCTGGACTCCAAACAACTCGAAAACAACGAAGAAAAAGGAAAAACAAGAAGAGAGGTGAAGAGCTGTACACCAAAAGTGCTCGCCAACGCGCTGACGATGAGAAAAATGCCAGAGAAGAAGCTGAACTGCGTGAGCTTCTTCATACTTTCATAGATGGTATGCCAGACGGGTACTTTAGAGAGTGGCTTGGCAGGCAATTGGGCAGTAGTTTTGTTGATGTAGAAATGGAAGCAGGGACGAGTAGAGCAGGGGTGCCTCCTGGTGAAACAGATGTTTCCTCGTGCGGTGAAGGAAAAGCTTTGCAGTCACCACGCAACAGCAACTCATTTTTGTCATTCACTTCACGAAGCTTTTTCCAGCAGGTCATGCTTCCTGCAGCAAGTGACGAACAAGAGTGGACTGCCAAAGAAAACATCTTGGAAGATGAGGCCAAGAACAGGAAGGATCTGCTTACTGCGACTTCTCAGGAAAACAAGGTCGAGCCTGATCAAGAATCAAAGACAAGCCAATTGCATCAACCTGTTGTCTTCAGCCCACACCTCGCTGTCCATGACGTCGTCTTCTACATGTTATACACGATTTTAGAGCGCGGCCGGTTCCGCCGCTTCACTCAGGGTCGCACATTTCCTGTCGCTGTGTTGTTGACACGACTGCTGATTCGGACCTGTTCTTCTGGTGAACAAGACTCTCAACCCCAATCTTCATCAACATCTTCAACATCAACCTTTTCCTCTTCCCTTCAAACTCTAGTCCTCATGAACGTTCAATTGACGGACAGTGTCGGCCGATGGTTGCGTGTACTAGCCATGGCTGTAAGGCCACAACAACAACTTTACGTTGGTGGAAAAGCTGCTCAGGAGGTGGATAAGATGATCACTACAGGAGCGAATGAACCGAGTCCGGCGAGAGATGGCAAGGCTGTTGAAGATGTCGTAGTTGTCGAACAGCAAAAACAAGCTTTGGGATTTTTGATACGGCCACAGAATCAGAAGACACTACAACTACCTCCAGAATCACAGAAGTTCATTAACGAACTGCGGACCAGTTTTGACAGATGCTTGGTCATTCTCTACCACGACTTACCTAAAATGTTTCAAGATGGAAACAGAGGTACCACTTCAACAACAGGTGCCACTAGTACTGCATCTTCTTTCGCACATAACAAGGACCTAGCGAAACTCCAGGCCTCCCTGAAAAGTGCAGTTGCCATAGAGGACTTTGTGAGAGCTGCGGAGTTGAAAACGAAAATCCTGGAGTTGAAGGAAAAATCGATGCAACTGGTGCAGAGACTTCAGCACTTGTTTGTGGACACTGAGGTGGAAAGTTTTTTACAGCGGGAAGCATTAGGATTCGACTCCTTCGGAAAACGCGCGAGAGTTCTGTTTGGTCTGTCAGAGGAGCACGAGCAACACCAACTGGAACACGATCAAGTAGATCCCTCTCCGGACGCCGTGCTATTAAGCTACTTTGCTGGGAACGACGCACACGCGGCCATGTCTCTACGGAAGCGCGTTTTAGACAAGATCCAGATGGATGCTGGGGGAAGTTCAGACTTCTTGAATTTCCTGCTCCAAAACCAAGTGACACTGCGGAAACGGAGCGAGGAGAGGCAGGCTCAAGTGTTTTCGGGTTTATTGGAATCTTCCGGTCGTCCCGGTGTGGTTACATCTTCAAAGACCACTGACGTAGGGCCAACAACTTCATTGAAGAAGGTATCAGGAGCTTCAACAGGAGTAGACAAGAATGTTTGCGTTCTCGGTGCAGAGGCAAGCAAGAAATGGTCAGAAGGCTACGCGCACACAATGACTCCAACGTCTTCCTCCACTCCCTTGAAGCTGTCTTTTTTTCTCCCAGCTCCGGGTGAAAGCTGGGAGTGGCGTGCCAACGCTTCCCATGTTGGACGTCGTGACGCTCTCGCTCGTATCGCGACCTCCGCCGCCTATCTCTCCTTTGGCATACCAAATCTCAACGTGGAAAGCGTCAGTTTCCTGTTTGAAGATGGCGCGGCCCTGAAATTCGACCCCAAAGAGCTGGTGAAAAAAGTTCCGATTCCCTCCGAAGCGAAAGTGATATCGTGGTTGGCGAAGGTGCCACGGTTGAATGACAAGAGCTTGGGGACGATGGTGAAGGAAGAGTTGGAAGGACGCAGCGGAAAGAAGGCGGCGTCTTCATCTTCCTCTACAACAGGTCGACGATGCTCTTCTTCCGTCGCCCTCTTCCTAGACGAGAACGCTCCGATGTTGAGCAGTGTACTACTTGCGAAACCTCAACAAGAGGAAGCAAGCGCTGCTTCCATGATGATCAACAACATCGATCATTGTTTCGTTTTTCTTGGAGCCGTGCGTGACATCACCAATGCAGAAAGAAAAGACTCAGAAAGAGCACTAGAAGAATGCGGTGTGCCTTGCTTGACTTGCAGTCTAGGTTCCCGTGCTGAGTTTACTTCGAAAATGATCGATCTGCTTCTCAGTTACACTGCCTATGGACAACTGCTAAAGAGAGCATTGGGGGAGATACTTTTGATGAATGCAGCTTATGGGGTAGATCAAGTCGCTGCAGACACTCAAGATCAACAAGGTGTTGCTAGGATCACGAAGAGAAAGCAGCGAATAAAATCCTATCGCGTGGCCGCAGCTTTGCTTGCTCGTCAGCAGAGTATACAGTATCAGGAGGAGATCAAGACGAGCATTACGGAGAGGCCTGAGACAAAGAGCAAGAAGGGTGCTAAAGGAAAAGCACAGGAGGCAGCTGTACCAGTTGTAGAACATCAAACGACAACGAAAACACCGACAACAGACGAAGCGCCACCTCTGAATATCGTTTTAGGGCTACTGGATCTACGCAAGGAGGATTGCATCTACCATATTCACAGGGCTTGCATCTCGCATCTCTGGAGATCTCATGGTGCCAATGAGAGGAACCGTCTGGCGTTCTTCAATAACAATGCCCACAATGCTGCGCTAGCTGCCGTGGAAACACAGGGAGGGGTAGCTGAAGCTGTTGCAGGAGGTCAAGGAGCTGTCCTCGTGTCCTCTTCTTCAACAGGGTCTTCTTCTAGCAGAGTCAGGTCTGATGGTGATCACTTTGCGATCGGCGCGAAGATAGTGACGAACATGAACAGACAGCACAAGGCTGCACCAACCGAAGCGAATATGTTCCAAATGCTGTATTGCGCAGCAAAGGATGGAAAACACGCAAGGTTTACAGAGAGGCTACAGAATCTGCTGTTGTTATGGAGGATCGTGAGTTTTTGTTGTACTTGTACTTCCAATAGAAAAATTTGAATTGCCCTTCTCGCTCATCTTCTTTGTGGATCAGTTTTTACTTCAGGCTGGAACTTCCTTCTAGAACAACTAGATGTAGATGAGAAGTTGTAAATTTACATGAAATTTTGAATCTAGAAGTACTTGCGATTGCGTTTCCATCGCCATCCGCATTCTCCATCTCCCAGGCATGAAATTTTGAATCTAGAAGTACTCGCGATTGCGATTCCATCCGCATTCTCCATCTTCCAGCATTCTCCCAGCCACCTACACCTTCCTTTAATAGGAAACAACATCGAGTCTCGTTTTCGCGCCAAGGGTTCCATTCCTCCGCTCGAGGTCGACGCTGGCTGGTTGGGCTTCACACTCAGCGACCTACTTTTACCTTCTGATGTGCTTGTGTTGGAGGTCGAAATTGGCGGAAGTACAAGTTTTAAGGGTAGGTTAAAGGTGCTTTTCTTACCCCTTTTTATGCCTCTCCTAAGGGAGAAAGGCATAACAAGCGGGGTAAGCGAGCACCAAAAACCTACCTCTAAAAGTTGTACCTCTCCGGTCTTGAATTGCGCAGATGCTCTTTGGTACGCAGAATCGGGCCTGAGGGTTGCGATAGGACAAGAAATGCGACGACAGGGGATCATGCGAGGGTGTGAAAATTCGCATATTCAAGATTCTGTTCTCGACGAACTGTTCGAAAGATGTGTTGCTACCTCAAGCGCGATCGAGGACACTGGTGGAAATAAACAAGGCAAGAACTCGTCAAAGGGGGCAGGCAAAAAATCCTCCTCAAAAAGCCAAAACAAAAATGGAAAGACTAGTACCTCTAGGAGCGCGAGGCGTTCACCTGCAGTACTAGCTGTAGCTGACGAATTGTGGCCGAGCATGCTGAACAACTCGCGTAGCCCTGTCAACTCCTCCAACTTCAGATCCATCACCATAATCCTGCAAACCGTGCAGAGCCGTGTAAGTTGGGCCGGGCGTTGTCATTTGCGCGTATCCTTGCCTTTAATGTCGCATCATGCCGCGATCGCCTTGTTGAACGCCTGGCATCAAGACGGTTTGCTATTGCCGAAAGTGCTTAGCATGTTGGAGTTGGAGATGACCTAGTGGTCCTCGTGAACACGGCCACGCTTACAATTAATGTTCTTGTGTAGCATACAAGTTGTAAATGTTCTTGATCATGAAGCTTTCTTTTTTACAAAAATTAATTTAATATCGAGCCCTTCCTCGGAAGAGAAGCTTGGCATTAAATAGGCCCGTCGACAGTTTCGGAATACTGATCTGGGCAACATTCCATTCCGCAAAAATTTAATGAACAAGAAACAAGGACTTCGAGTGCGCGTCCCTTTGATAAGATGCAGCACGACTCTTCTCATACACCACCTCTTTCGAACTGAATTTCGAAAAAACTGATGCCGATGTGTTCCGACTCGCACTCAGCTTAATTGATTGCATCTAGATTTCATTCACATCATAGCCATACTAGGGAACGCCGAGGAGTGAGCAGGAAGAAAGACACCATGCAGAACCATTGTGATGAACCTGATGTGAGAAATCATGATAGGATGATTCAAGTAGGAAAAGCATAGCGCTCGAGCGAGAGAAACTGAAACCCGAGAGCAACCTACTAGAAGTTTTTGAAAATTGAGATTTATTTCTTGATCTCTTTTTTTATTTTTTCAATACGCTTACCTACGAACAAGATTGTGTTTTTTTGCTGTCTTAAGTAGGCTCAAGATCGTAATCGGTCCTTCTTTCCATCATGCTTAGCAATTGGGGTAGTGACTCTACGTCAAGCACCACAATCTCTCGTAAGGGTCGTGGGGTTGTACCAACCAACAGCACGACTTTTAGTGGGTCTAGCTGTACTATCGTTTCAACAACATCTGGCAATAGTAGACAACAACCAAGTACTAGTCATCATGGTCATCAGGCGGCTGCTGTGGTGCTGATGTCCTCGTCCTCGTCGAGGTCTACTTCTGCGAAAACGTCGGGAATGAATGTTGTGGCAGTTGGCGGCTCGGCTACAGCATCTTCATCTGTGAGCACTTTCGTTGGAGGTGCTGGCGGACCCAACATCAGCAACAACATCAACACTTCCAACATCAACACTTCTCCCGCATATAACAACAAGATGAACAACATGCAAGTTGGAGGGGGATTGATGCAGCAGAGGTCTTCCTCTGTAAGGCAGTTGATTCAGCCAGAAGGTCTGTATTTGAGGTCGAATGCGATACGAACTGCAACGACTACAGGAGGAGGCTTACTGAACAAAGGTGGTAGTGGAGCTACTTCATCTACTAGGATAAACGCGGCAGGAGCAAAAGGAACCGGAACAGGTGGAGCACGTCTCCGCTCAGTGTCTCCCAGAGCTGTGAACAACAATGGCGGCCATCAAGGTTTGCAACAGCAACCTCGCAGCGCTTCTGCCTCAACAGCCACCAAAGCCTCTGCTTTGCTGTCTGCACGTGGTAATTTTCCAGCTTTCCGCACTCCAATGGCGCCAACAGCCACAACAACAGGAGCAGCTGCGAGGTCTTCTAACACCTCTTATAGGTTTGAGAACTGTCTACCCGAAACTGCGAGACGAAACTCGCAAAGTCGGATCCGAAATTCTTCGGCAGGTCGAGTGGGCAGTGCCGGTCGCGACAGCACGAGTAACTTTACGCCTAATGCGTCCTCTGTGATTCCGCCAGCAGCGGCTGTGGCGGCACCTGTGTACGAAGGCAGAATAACACGACAAAGCACGAATTTGCTGTTAAGGCCATGGAGGGAAGACTTTTGTGAGTGTAAATCGTAACGGCAACCAAGTAGATCTAGATTTATGATCACGTTCACGACAGCAAATGAAAATGATAATGATATTGGTACAGTGATTTTTTATGTATCTTCTACTTCTTGATCTTGCCTTGTTACTTACCTCATCTAAACAGCGGCAGAAGAACGACATTGAATCAGGTTCCTCCAGCTCAAGGCGACAAGAAGGATGAAGAGAAAATCGATGCTGCAAAGCGAGGCAGGGAAACGACGAATATCATGGCAACCGCCAGCACCGAGCAAACGGGACCATCTGCACCACCTGTACCTGCGAGATATCCTAGTCCTATGATCTCCAAGTTTTCTATCGTTGGAAATCAGGGCAGGAATCAATCCAATCATGAGGTGGATCAAGATTCTAGTACTTTGCATCTTCAGAGTACTAGTCCCCGAGGAGTGACAGCTGCAACGACAGCTGCCATGCCAGCACCTCCACAGCAACAGCACTCGATGCCTCCACGTTTATCTCAGTTCCAATTGGTTCCACGACCTTCGGTTACATCGCTTCATCAGAGTGGTAATATTATGGCACCACAAGAACATGGAGGACCGATCTTGGCACCACAATCGCAGCCCCATTTCACCACAACCACTACAACAAGTCAACCGGTACAACACCAGTCGTCACCGCCGTCAAGCAAAATTCAGCATGGAGGCCACAATCAATTTGGATACAACGTTACGGCTCGCAACTCCTTTTCAATCTGATTATACCTACTTACGCTTAGTTCTTACCATGTAAGTAAGAAGAGAGCAAGTCCAAGCAGGGTTAGGATTCTTTTGCGCGTCCTGTCAACAAGAATACTGAAACTACACATCAACCTCTTTTCCTCTAACATCTTCGACAACACGATAGAACGACAGCCTTGGTATCCTGGGGGACTCGATTCTACGTTGAATACGATCACGAACTCCATCATTCCTGCGTGTAGTAGTCCTGGCCTCATCATGGATAGTGCACGTCGCGGCTTAGGCGCCAGTGGCCTAGGTGCCAGTCCTTGGTCGATCAACGCGAGCAGCCCGAACGCAGGATCTGAGTCTGAGGGGGGGCTCTTATGGCTTGTTTAAGTATGTACTACTTGATTAGGTCCCTCCACAGTACTAGTGTCGTCTTCATAGTACTGTCTTCGACCGTAGTGCTAGTGACAACAATCAACATAATCTACTTCTGTAGTCCGTCCGAACGACCTCCGTGCTTTTCGAATTCTCTTTCATTAATCGCTTTATCTTCGATCTCCCACTGCTTCATACCCTGCTCCAGCAACGTCTCCCGGCGTCTACCCATCTTGGGCTCTCTACCCGCTTATGCAACCGATGGGAAGACTGACTGCAGGGACTATGGCCAGGATTGGCTTCGGGGCTAGCACGCGTAGTCCTAGAAACGTCAATAAAACAGGAGACAGCGCATCGGCTCTAGGCTTAAGTGGACCTGGAGTATTGAAAACTCCAGAACTGAACAAAGGAGGACAAGATCAAGAGAGTGGATTTTTGTTCGAAGCTGCATCTTCGAAGAATACTGACAATAAAGAGACGATCAATATAATTGGTGCTCGAGGAGGTGGAGGAGGGGCGAAGATGAGTAGGAACAAGATGGCTCCTGGCGTGAAGTCTTCTCCTACAAGGTCTACTACAAGTACTACGAAGATGCGACGAACAGAGGCGACAGGGAGTAGCCGTATTGCTGCTCGCAGAAACTCACGGGCAGCGGCAGCAGGGGCAAATGTAGTTACTGCTTCTTCTAACGGCCTTCAGGACACAACAACTAGCAATATTGTTGGACAACCTCTACTAGCATCTTCTGCCACAACTTCTACCACGACTTCTAAGAATCAACAGCATGTTCGCACAAAGAGTAAAACCTCTACTAGCAGCTCGGTAATGGGTGGGAGTGGTCGTCGTGGGCGTCAAACAGTGCAGGACTTGGGTCCTGGTGATGCGGTAGGGGTTATTTCTTCTACGCCGTCAAAACCTGGAATGAGTGATGCCCTGGACAACACGTGTCCCTCAGTTAGCGCCTACTCAGTCGGAGGGCGATCGGCAGGAACTTGTACAAGCGCGAGGAGTGTCAAACCGAAGTACTCGCCGAAAGAGCAGAGAGGCGGGGTTGTATTCAGACATTGACGAGATTGATATTTGATGTTCTTGAATGCATATGATTGACAGTAAGTAATTTTAATTTAGTTAAGTTCGCTGGTCTTCTTGTTAAACACCGTCTAATCGATCCATTCATCATCCATATTTGTTCTTGCATGTAGAGGACTACACAGTAGTTAATATACTGAAGAACTCGCCAAATGTTGTTGTAGAAGTAGTTGATGACCCTTTCGTGCTTTCGCTTCCTTCATGAACGGTCGTCACTTTTACGTATTCGCGAACTCAAAATAACCGAGTTACTGACTGAAATAAGGGAGGTAGCTCTGACAGGGCTACTCTACTTATTTTCAGTAGTTACTCGCTGAGGAAGCTCTGACAGGTCTACTCTACTTATTTTCAGTAGTTACTCGCTTATTTCAGTTTATCGAATACCCTCCTTCGCACAGGTCTTCCCATCTGGACAATCCGGACGCAGCCCTGCCGAAAGCAGCGTAGCCGGTAAGTCCTCGAGCGTCGGAGGCAGACGCGCTAGCGTCAATAAACTCGAGAACGACGCTCCAGATTCAAGCAAGATATCTTCCTTCAAGCCCTCGGCAACGATTCCTTCTTCAGCCATCAATCCGAAGATGATTTCTTCTAACTACCCTTTCCATCACCCGCAACAGCTACAGATGAACCAACCTTTTCTTCTTCAACAGCAGTTTAACCAACAACTACAGCCTGCTTCTTCACAACAATTACTACAAAAATCTTCCACTACACTTATCCAGGAACCACAAAAAAACCTACTTGATGAGCAACAAGCCACAAGGAAGCCTACAACAACCTCTACGAGCCAAAGAGCTCCGTCTTCTTCCCTCTACAGTAAAGCCGTACTAAGTACTCGCCGTAGAAGCCCCCTAATGCATCCACCTGAAGATTCTGTTTCGTATACTGAAGCGGCTTCGACGACAGTGGAACAAGATGGTAGTAGCAGAACGAACACCGTGATGTCCGGAAACTCTTACTCCGCATCGAATGTGATGTTGGGCAGTTTTGATGGTGTGTCTCCTTCTGAACAGCAGCTGGTGCCTGGTGTAGCAAATAAGGGCTTTATTACAACACAACAACAACAAGGACAACTACCTCTTTTGCAAGTTCAACTTCCGCATAATCCGATTGTTGCAGCAGGATGTCCACCCAGTGCTCTTGCAGCTCAATTTTCATCCTCAGGCCCTTACTCTGCATTGCTATCCTCCAACGGCTCCAACTACCCCAGGGCTTTTAACGCAAGCACAACAAAGTACAGCAGCAACTACAAAAATGATGACGAAGACAAGTCTCCTGGCGTAGCCGAAGATGAGCAGGAAGACGCTCCAATGCCGGAAGAACGCCCATCGCGGCGACTACTGATCGGGCCAAGGCTATCATCGAAAAATACGGCTGTTGAAGATCATGATCTCAGTGGACGAGGTAGTTGTGTGCCAGCGGCTGAAGATGTATTAAAACTACGAGTAGAAGACGAGCAAGAGGAGCAACATGCACATCACGTCGTTGATGCTGAAGAATCTTCACAGCATCTTCAACCTGGTCTTCAACCTGGGAGCAAAATGATAGTTAAGGCTTCCCCTAATCCATCTCCTCTATAAATACATAGGGATGCCTCAAACATATGCGCCCCAATACACTATAGGGATGCCTCAAACATATGCGCCCCAATACAAGGGTGCGTGGCACTGCAATACAAGGGAGATGGAGATACTGACGCATATGCTTGAGGGATTTCCACAGGGATGAATAGAAGGGGAGAGCTCCTCTAAGATAGGCCAACAGGCGAGTAGACAGTGGATTGTGCCATCTTATTCGCCATTGCAGTTACAGAATGTAAACCTGAGTCAAATGTTGCAGATGAACGAACAACAACAACTAGGAAAAGGAGCAGGAATCACGTGGGATAATATGCCTGCTTTTAGCAAGAACTTTTCTCAGCATCAGCCTGTGCCACCCGCTCAGAACCACGCGCCGTTTCAATTACAACAACAGGCAAATACGATGCCGATGAAGAAATTTCAACAACCACAAGGACAAGCAAAACCACAGCAACAACAGTTCCAGTTGCAGCCACAACCTCCGACCAAAAGTGTCGATTTGCCGCTGACCTCACGAGGATTGATGAGACTGGCCAACGCGAGTGCGTCTCCACCACCAGTTGCCTCTGCTCTTACAACTGGATTGAAACTAGCGCCAATGGTTGCGCCATCCGTTAATCCTAATCCTTCTCCGCCTCGTTTGCGTATGTCTCCACCGCCACGGGTCAATAACAATGCTACTGCTTCTTCTTCTTTCGATCAAAACAACATCAACAACAACAATGCCACTACTGCAGCTAGTATGTTCTGTTCCCCACCGCCCGAACACGCTGGTGATGACGTTTTAAGCGATATCATAAGCGGCCGTAACGTGATCCGACGAACCCCAAGTCCTAGAAAGTCCACTCGGAGCCGACCAGCACTCTGTGGTGGCGGTATGCATCCAGCAAGGATTGCGGCGACCCAAATCCGACCTCCACTCGTGAAAAACAATCACAGTACTACGAACTCTAGTAGCTCTACTACGGCAAAGTGTGATCCACCGTTGTTTGATAGGAAACAACTATCAGAGTTGGGAAATCATGACGCTGCTGAACAAGTGGTGCATCCAGATGAAGATCCCGATGTTGAATATGAAGTAGATCAGGATCAAGGAGTAGAACAACAACAGGAGATCGAGATGAATCAACAGAAGCAGAAGTTGTCGATGAAACAAGTTCAACCCGTTGTGGACGAAGAAGAGGAGAACTCCAACTCTTGTGGAGATGAACAGAGGTTCAGCCCTGAAGAAGGAGATGAAGATTTAGTAAACGAGCACCAAGGTCGGGGACGAAACTTTCACTCCTCTGCCTCTAGAACGCAGCTGGAAATGGTGAACGAGGAAGAACAAGAGTTCTACCAAGAACAAGACCCTAATCAACTTGGACAAGAAGAAGAAGGTCAAGATCAGGATCATGATCATGATCAACATGATCATGATCATGTTTTGGCTAAAAAATGTGATGAGGAAGTTGGAGAGGACAACCATGTTGGAGATGCAGAAGTAGAGGAAGCGAAACTAGATCCTCAAGAAGGCGATGAGCATTGGAGTCCTAAGACTCGGTGGAAGAAGGGAAAGAAAATTTTACGCCAAAAAACCCTACAGACTCCAGGTTGGTTGCAGCAGATGATCGGTGGTGGTGGGGGAGCACCTGGCGGTGAGACGGAAACTAGCAGTGCTGTAGGTGCTAATCCCAATTTGTCCATGATGTCAGCGCGTGGTACGGGTGGAGGCGTTATCGCTGGACCGCAAGCCTCAACGTTTGCTTTTGCTCCGTCTAATGCTGCGAGTATGTCTTCTTTGAGCGGTGTTAGTGGAGTCTTCAAGATGCCACCGCAGCTGCAACAACAAGCTGCACAAAAGATTGAGGCACTACAACAGGCTCAAGCACCTCCACTTCCACCTCCTCCGACTGCGACTTCTTCGTCCAGCAGCAAGAGTTTTGAACAACGACTGCTACCTGCTTTCCTCGATCTTCTAGTCGCTCAACATGAAAAAGTGAATGGAGGTCTTGCACATCCTCCGGGTCCGCCAGCTGGAGGAGCTTCAAGTAACTCGATAATGAGCAGCACTGCGAGTTTCGTTAGCACGCCTTCTCCGCAGAAAAGTGGAACTTTGAAGGAGGAAAAACACCTTTTCCGACAGTTACGCAAAGTTAGTTTAGCGTTGGAGAAAATGCCTCCGTTGTCAGAACTCGAGAACCAGTTACCAAAAATTGGTCTAGAAAAGCCGTTAGCAGAGATGTTGCGCGCAGGTTTGCCGGAATTTCAGGGCTTGGACTTCTCTCAACTCAAACGATCGTTGCCAAAACTGAAGAGTTTCTTACGGAGTAGGGGAGGTTCGGGAAGCAATCTCAATACTGCTGAGCGGTCGTGTCAGGGACGGACGGGTCCTCCAGGTCAACTAGTACAACAGAGTCAGATGACTAGCAAAAATCCAATGTTGAATAAGAAATCTCAAAACTTAGTAGTCTTTCCTAGTACTTCTCAGCGTGGTCAGCAAGAGCAGGAGAAAAAACATCCCGATCTTTTGTTCTTAGACCAACTTCAAGCGGAAAACCGTGAGTTGTGGACGAAATTGTCAGAACAGAAGGAGCAAATCATCCAATTGACGAAATTGTTTTCGGCTTTTGTGCACGAGGAAGCAACAGAATTAGCTGAACAAAGTCGGCTTTTGGATGAAGTAGAGCAAGAAAACACGGAACAAGGGCATCAAGGTGGAAACATGATTACTGGTTCTTACGTCAGGGAACAAGGAGGAAACACGACGTTGAGGCAAAATTACACCAAGATCAGCACTAACAAGGAAGTTGAGGAGGTGCTTACCCTAGGAGACCAACACGCTGACTCATCTGCCGGATGTGGTTCCGGAGGTGGATTCTCAACAGCCTCTACACAGCAGTCTCAGCATGAAATTGTGGGATCACGAAGTTGTTCCAAGCTGTCGAACATCAACAAGGGAGCGTCTCAGCTTAATCCCTTTCTGTCCGGAAGCGAGCGCTCGTTGTCGCCTGTTTCTCGGAGGAAGATTTTTGATCGGAGGTAAAACCTTTCGATGCCTGCCTAGGATCAACATCTGAAGAAGGTTACTCAAACCCTTTTTAGCCTTAGAGGAGCAGGAGACTTGTCAACTACACACACTTAAAAATCAGGAGCTATTTTCCCTCCAACTTCAACTCCATCTAGTATCAAATCAGGTTCCTCGTCCCCAACGAAGAAATCGATTTTTCCCAACTTCAACTCCACCTACTATCAAATCAGGTTCCTCGGCCCCAACGTCGAGATTTCTTCAGCCTCCTGTGATGGCGTTACCCGTGTCCGTGGTTGCCGAGGCTCTCTTGCAATTTCCCCTAAAGCTCTTTTCTCTAGGGAAGGCGCAACCTCCGGCGATGATCAGGAGGTGTTGTACTATTTTGAGGTCGAAATTCTTCGAATCACTCCCCTGGAAGGAGGTACTAATATTAACATCAGCAGTAGTGGTCGTGCTGCTGGGAGTGGCAAGGGGAATGCGATTACATCCCTAAGGAGGGGAAGTCATAGTACAACCAGTTGTAGTGCTGTAAGTACATCATGGGTTGGCGGTTTGGGTCTAGGTTTCACCAATTTTCTACCGGCCGTTGTACCAGAGAAAGCATGGCTGTTAAGTGACGCGGCGATCTATCCTTCTACAGCTACAGAAACTGGAGGTTTGGAGGATAATGAAAGTAGTCAAACAACGACGTCAGCTTCCTCAAGTAAATCGTCTTTGCTGAATGCAGTCAAAGGCTCCTCGTTGAGGCTAGCGACTCATGCGGAAACGACTATCAGCCGTGACTTGCAGCGTCTACGTACGCTAGCTGGTGCTGCTCAAAATTCATCCGCACATCAAGCAAGCACATCACCAAATACGTCCTCCTCATCTTCAAACAACGGAGGCAAGAAAATCGTGCTCCTCGGTGGTTATTGGGGACGCGTTTTTGCTAATGGGCAAGAACACGCAACCTGCTGGGGAACGGATGAGCTCAAAGTAGGGGATCGTGTTGGGGCAGGTTTGCGTTGTTCTAACAAGAAGACGGGAGTAGCTGTTCTCTCCTTCTTCGTGAACGGTCAACTGGTCTTATCGAGTGAAGTTTATGATCATGCAACCGCTTCCGCTATGGAGACACCTCCTAAAGCCTGCAAAAACCTCTCCTTCCCGAATGCGTCAGTCGCTGGCTACGGTGGAATGGTAGGCACCAAGCTCGAGACGATTCGTGAGGCCGCTTCGTCTCCAGAGGAGGATGAGAGAAGCACTGCGAAGGTAAAACAAAACAAGGAGGATATTACGGATGATCAACATCAACAATCTGACGTCGAAGGAGGAGGAGGAGCTACAACGGGTACAGGAGTACCATCTTCTGCAGGTACTACAAGTGCAAGAAGTAATACAACTACAGCATCAAGCGTCAAAAGTGGTCCGATCACCCTCCTCAATAACCCAGAGCAAACGCTGTACCCGGTCATCGATTGCTTCGGATGCACGGAGTCAGTCCGCTGGGTGCCTGATGCCAGTTTGCCTGCATGCCTTGTTAACTCGGATTTGAAAGCGTCGAATCTCAACCTCCAAATTGGTAGGACTGCTGGTAAAAGTAGTAGCAAGCACATGTCGATTGTTTTGGAACCTGAAGAGGGGGAACTGCTGTAAAAAGCATAAAATTGCTGCGGCAAGTGCATGTTGAACAATGAGGACCACTGAGGACTACCTAAATGAAATTCGAAATATCCTCCTTGATTTGAGTCGAAGTAGTTCTTTTCATCATGAGTAATGAACATGATTGAGTATGAAAAATAACTTCTTTTTGTATCTGTAGCTGTACATCTACAACATTTGAGACTTGTTGAACACGATCTATCAAAAGGACATGTTACTTTTAGTTATAAATACAGAAACTACAGGAATTGGAATAGAACATACAATTTTCAGTGAAAATCACTAAGATGAACACGATTTTGATGATTATCGAATCGAAAAAAGCTCGAGGCGATGATGCCCGACCTTCCGATATGGTGGCATCTCTAGGAAAGGCGTTCGAGGTTGTACTTGTAGTTTCCGTCCTCGGTTCTACTCGGTACGAGAGGACGCTTTTAAAGACTCGGTACCGCTTTCATGATCATCGGTTCTGGCGTTAGTACAACCAGCAACGTGATCTTCGGTTTCATCTTCATGATTCTCTTTTCGGTACCTGATGGTGATGTCTACTCCTCCACCTTTCGGATGACCACTCTTCCACGCGTAATTCTTGTCCTTTTTTCCATCTGGAGCACTTCTTCTTCTAGATGATATTACTTAGACGAACAAGAAGATGCCCCTGCTATCATCGTTCACCACAACATCATGGAACCTCGACACCGTGGGCAAGCTTCTGACGCAAATAAGCGACCACCTAGATGAATATTCTATGGAATCTCAACGCACACGCTGGACAAGACTTCGAGACGAATTGAAGGCGAAGACTGAAGGTGATGGTCGTGAAGGTGGGAGCTCGGGTCAAAGTTCATCAACATCCGATGGAGCAAGCTTGTCGTACGCGAGTATCTTGAAGAAAATAGGAGAAGGAGAAACTGCAGGGATTCTGCCGGACTCATTTTCTTCTACAGCTTCCGCAGAAACAAGTAGAACAACTACAATAAAGAGCAGTAAGAACCAAGATCCAGCCATCGCTATATTGCAAAGTCGTAGTGCAGCAGCAGCTTCACCTTTAGCTGTCCCTGACCGTGTGGAAGATAGACTGTCTGAAGATTTGCACCAACTCGGACAGGCGGCTTCTTCTGGATCGTTCTTGGCTTAGCTCAAGTAGTACAAGTTGTACTTACTCCTTAGTTGTACTAGTACAAGGTGTACCTCTACCTCTACGCCTTAATACTACTTAGTACTACAACAAGGTGTACTTCTACGCGGCCCCCTTATAATGTAGTAGTTGTAGTTATCCGCGACGATGATAGAAATCACTCCTTCAATCCTTGAAGCGGTTTTTGGCGTTTTTGCTTCCCCTGACGTGAAAAACAAGGCAGACGCTTTGAAGAAAATCACTGAACTACCTATTGCGGTTATTGGTCCTAGGGGATGGGGTGATGAGAAGGTCGTGGATGTTGTAGAAGAAGGGAGAGTCGGGACCACTCTAGGTCCAGTTGCAGGTGCACCAGAAGTTGTTGTAGACTCTGACGCTGTCGGACAAGAAGCACAAGGAGGGTCCTCGTCTGCAACTACTACGACTGGAGGAGCCGAAGCGACCACGACTGGAGGAGAGGAAGGAACAGATCCAGGTACTCCTTCTCCTTCAGACCAACAAGTACAGCAAGCAGACTCTATTTCTATACCACCATCAAGACCAACACCCGATGATCGAAGAACACCAGTTGTTGTAGACTCTGACGCTGCTGGACTTGATGATCGAACACCAGGTCCAGATCAACAAGAAACGCTGGTAAGAATAGATCACATCACGGAAAAGGAAGCGGATGCGCTTTTTGGAGGTGGTTTTAGTGCCTTCGAAAACGCATGTAGTGGAGGTCTTTTACCTCCCAAGCTGGACGTAGGAGGAGCACCTTCTGGGAAGATACTAGTAGAGTCCAAGAAATTTCCTTCCATCCTAGTTTTCGCAGATAAAAAACAAGCTGTCGACTCCAACTCCGCCAATTCCGGCTTTGGCTCGTCTGCTGGGTCTGCTGTTCAAGATCAATATGGTACTCAATCCCAGAAGGGTCCACAACATCTATCTGCCGGTTGTCAGCTACTAAAACGAGGTATGTGGGAGTATCTAAGACGCGCTTACGATAAAGACGGAGGTGGAGCAACTGGAGGAGCAAGTGCGTTTTCAGATGCAGCGCCGTCCAGTGTTGAGCCTTTCTTGCCCGATGTTAGCGCTGCTACAAATGTCGACGCAACCGGTGAGACAGCTGCTCCAGCTGCGACTCTACATGGTAAAAAGAATGGTGACCTCAGTCGTCTTTACAATCCCACAAATGACGATGCTGACGAGCACTATTATCGCCCACTCCGCATTCCTCGAGCATTCAATGACGTCTGTCAGCGGCAAGCAGAGCTCTTGCAGAAACGTTGCGAAATGGGATACAAAAAACGAGCGTTACAATTTGCAGCGGCTAAAGCGAAAGGTCGTGAAGATCATGGTGATCATGGTATTAAGCCTGAGAGTCACAATAATGGAGGTACATCAACAAGGAAACACGAAAGACATTTACCACCGAATGCCACTGTCGAAGAATGGAGAAAAGCTCATGGCATTCCTGAGAAGAGCAGCGTAGTCATACGGTGTATTCCTCTAGACAAATGGGATCCTAGTAAACCACAAATGATACAGACAATAGCGGAGTTGCCTGGGAAGCAGTTTCAAGTACCTGACAGTTCTTTTCGAGAGTTTTTGGGCAGATGATAGATTTATTTGTAGATGAAGCTCGCTGTTAAAGAGGTAGTTCAAGTTCTTTAGATCAAGATGGTCATACTAGAGTCGGAAGTCTTGACCATGTCACGCTAGTGTTCCTCGAGACTCTGTGAGTGCGAGACACGGACACCCGAGAGTACTATTCACGAGCTGCTAAGCTAGTGATGTTCATCTTCGGATGAGAGTGTTGAGGGTGAACATGGAAGTTAAGTACTCTGTGCTGTGAGAGTGCCCTAGCAAATTTATCGTCTTCTGCCTCTGAGATGAGTGAGAGAGCATAAAAATCGTCTTCTGCCTCTGAGATGAGTGAGAGAGCATAAAAATCAATCCTCGGTACAAGAACGGGGCACTCCTCGAGAAGGAGAGAGTCCTCTGTCCTGCGCTCTTTTGGTCTGTTCTCGAGGGATATTGAGTTGTTGCGAGTATTATTTTACTTAAGCAATTCTTCTCGGCCGGCGTCATTATCTCTGAGTCTCAATTGAACTTTCATGACTTGTGAAGCAATCAGGTGGTAAGAGCACAAGTGGCACGGGAATTGCTTCCCGTTGGGACCCCCATCCCCATATGACTGTATTTGAGGACCTTGGATCATTTTGGTAATTGAAACACTTGTTGTTCTGCATCTGAAATATATTCCGCCGTTTTTTTTATCATATTTGTAAAGCCTTTTGTTTCAAAATGTAACTCTGTTTGATCGATGTTACGCGACTCGATATTGATTATATTACTATAAAAACAACAAATATTAAAATCGCAAACAAACAATCTTCATCAAACAAACAAAAAAAAATCACGTCAAGATGAGCAGTCGTGCCAAGAAGTCCTCCTCCGGAAAATCAGCACCACCTACTCCGACGACAACCGCGCCAAAAAAGCCAGATCCACCTACACCAGCTGGTGACAAGTACGCCGATGACATCTCAAATGTCCCGCTACACTTAAGGTTTGCTTTCAATCCGGACTTGTACATCGCTGAGGACCTCTGCGGCTTCAATGAGATTGTGGTCGAGGAATACTGTGATGCATTTCAGTTGTCGGACCTATGCGGAGATGGATACGTCACTTACAAGTACTACAGCTTTTTTAACTTGTTCCTAGTATACTTAACTAATACTAAGCACAGCTTTTTTAACTTGTTGTTCCCAGTATAAAAACTCGAATTACAACTTCTTCTAGATGGTTTGTTGCATGTATACTACAACAGCACCTCAACTTTCATTGCTCATCACTTGCTCTCCCATGATCTTGTTCGAAACAGCGAAATTCCAGTCATCCTCATGCGCCTTGGCTGCTTCCCAAGATACAAATTGAACGAGCTTGCCAGTATTCAAGCGGGATTTCTTTCTGCACCGTATGTTTTTCGGAGATTAGAGTTCGTCATCAACGGGCTCGACCCACGGGGGACGAATATGTACGATTTTCAGTTTTTCCTCCGACTAATGAAGATCTGGGGAGATAACACGAAGATCTTGGGAGCTGACGAACTACTAGAAGCTTTTAGACTACTGGATTTGGATCGAACGGGGTTGATCAGTCCAGAAGAAATACGCCAAATCATGAGCATTTTTGGTACTAGTACTTTTGGCTACAACTTACTTTAAAATTTTTGAATTCAGAATGAATCGGGAGAAATGATCATGAGCGGCCCGTATTTTGGTATAAATTGCTAGTATTTCATTCGTCCTTGTAGATCGTTATAGTTCAACAGAGCGTCCGCAATAAACAAACAGGCGACAAGCTTTCCCCGGAAGAGGCAGAAGGCATGCTGGACATGGCGGACTTGGATGATAATGGCCAGGTAGACTACGAAGAGTTTGTCGCCATCAATCTTCAACAGACTATGCAGGGTGCGGGGAACAAGAAAAAAGTCCAGGATGCTCTAGAAAAATTAGAAAAGAGAAAAGCAGCAGCTCTAGCCGGAGAGCAAGCAGGTGGTGGAATGAAGGGAGACAATTTCCTAAGCGCCGGTGGAGACGATGATTTTCTAGGGGGTGGTGGAAATCCTAATAATCCTTTCTAATGATAAAAATGCTAGTACAACCGGCGAACTGACGTTGATATTGACGTAGAAGTAGTGAATTAGTGCTGGACTATGTATTGTACCAGAACTTTTTGTTTTTTTATCTTTTTCTTGAGAAAAAAAGACTGACGAGTGTACCTGTACGTAAGTACTTGAACAACAACGGATACGGAACATGCTAATGTTGGTCCTCTGTGGAGATTTACCATAGTTGTAGGAGAACTTTTTTTTGTACTAAGAGAAGAAGATGTAGTTGTAGCTACAATTTTTACACGATGCCATAACAAAAGCGAAGACACGACTATCAATGCACAACCTGCACATAACAATTGCCATACATGAGGACGTACTTAAGTACATAATTGTGCCACGAATCACGATGCCAGAGTCACATGATGAAGCTGTGGATGTACCCAGAAGAGGTGGGTGTACCCAGAGCACACAAGCTTATCCAATTAGGAAAATACTTTGGTTGAGCAGAAGGTCACGACAAGCAGCTCACCTAAAAACCCGCACATGTCCCAAGGATTATGCTGAATACGCGGTTGTAGCTCCCAACAGGAATAGAAGCATCATGCGAAAATGATGTAGTGGATATTCAAAAAGAACTATAAACAGACACAGACATCATCACAATAACAAAATACACAAAATAGTATCAAGGTCGTTACAGTGAAAAAAAAGAAAAAAAAACCAATTATACAAGAACATAGCTAAAAAAAAACTTGCAGAATACATCTAGATCTACTTCACTTGTTTCGGGACGAGTAGAGCTTGTTTATGAAGTAGGATAACTAGGAGAAATTCTTGCGATGGCGATACTTGACTTATCACTTGAGGTCCAGTATCGCTCTCATCTTTCGCTCTCTAGCTCTAGGTAGAAAAGATCATTCTTGTAAACAAGCGAGTATGCAAGATAGTGAAGAATCTACTGCGAATTGCGCGGCAGCTCCTGCTGCTCGTTCCTCAAATTGAAGTAGACGCGAACAACGGTCTGTGTAGACCTATCTATGTAGACCTATCTATGTAGAAGCATCTGAAAAAAGTTGTAGAGGTGTTTGCCACTGTCTATGTAGAAGCATCTGAACAAAGTTTGTAGTACTGTTGAGAAGAAGATAAACAACTTAACATGGAGTCAGTGTTCAAAAAATATGAATCAATGAGGAGTTACCACTTTTGTTAGTGTTGTGAGATCGAAGAAGTAGAAGTAAATGGATCCTTCGACGTGGCCTTCAGAGTCAGGCTGAACGAGGATTGACTTTCAAGTAGTTGCCCCTCATAGTGAAAACTTCTTTTATTCCTGTTGGAGTCAAGTGCTCGCCGCTTCTAGTAACCTTAACTATTACATTATCATTGAGTAGACTCCTTGTGACATGTTCTTCTTTTTGTCCACCTAACTACTAAGTACATTTTTTATAATGCAGTTTTATTTGTAATAGTATTCATCTACTTCGAGGAAAGATGAAGTTGTACTAGTCCATTTTTACTAGTGACCACGTGTTGACCCTGCTTCAGAAGTTCTTCATTCGCTAAAGGAAGTTTGTGCTCGCTGAGCGCTATCATGTTGTTGTCAGATATATGCATCTTTTACAGCTGAGCACGACTATAATATTGATTCACTTGCATCATTAGGGCATGTTTGTTGACACGCACGAGTGCCAACGCTACAGACCGAACGAAGGTGGAGGTGTGCACTTTCAAAATGTATGGCAAGAACATCGATTGGTATTGGGTAACTACTTACGTGCTTTAGATCCACACACACACACACAGTTCTTGTACGTCGTAGTATGTGAAAACTCACATCGCTCCCGAGCGTAGAGCTGCGGCAGTCGTAGCTGTGGAGAGGACGGCAGATAGTACAAGGAGGTTCATGTACTCCACCCGTCGCCGGCAGGTACACCGGACAACACTGGGATCACCCTTTCGGCGTTCTTGGAATGCAAAAAAAAAAAACGGTGCCCTGTGGAGGCAAACTGATCGATTGACTGACCGACTGATGTGCTTCTTGACTGGAATACTCTGTGACGTAGAATCTCTCTGGTGTAGTACTTAGAATAGACAATAAACAGAGAGAGACATAAGCAGGAGGAGAGTTTGAGTTCGGCACGAAGAGCAAAGGCATTAAGAGATATGTGTCAAGGAGTGATCATCTAGAGCGACGGACTGCGCTATTGCTCATTAATGCACCCTTTATTTTTAACGACGTCCTTCTAAATGTTAGAAAAAAACTACCTCGAAAAATTTTTTCAGCCATTTGTGCTCAGAGAGATAGGTTTTTACTTTACACCAAATCAGATGTCGATTTCCTCGATGCTTGAAGCGTTCGCTCGTTGCGAAATATCCCCAGGTGTCGCGAGCAGAAGGCAGCTCGGCCTACCACATCAGGGCAGAAATATCCCCAGGTGTCACGAGGAGTCGTTATTGTTTGTCCATTATTGGGCATCAGTGGATAAGCAGGATCTTATCCTTGAGGATCAAGATGCAACTACTTCTGCGCTCCATAGTGGAATGCAAAAATTTCGAGATGCCGGACTGGCGATTGTAGTTACTAGTCGTGCAGACGGTACTGGAGAGGAGGGCCACGTTCTTGACTGTGGCAAGCTGCGTCAGGTATTTTTAAAGACTTTCTTTATTTGGCTAAGAAACAAAGTTGTAATGTCTAGGAGTATTCGAATTTGATGAACATTGTCTAAAGTTGTAATATCCATGCGTATTCGAATTTGATGAATGTTGTCTCGCTCTCGTTTTAAGATATCCACCACACTCCAACCGACGGCAACCACGATGATTACAACACGACTCACTCCGACTACCACTTCTAGATCATCACCCATCAAATCATGGCCACCACCAACCACCACCAGATCGTCACTCGAATCATGGCGGAAGATGGTGCTATGAATCAAGAGTTTTGGACCAGTGTTGCGAACGCGATACCTCAGCAAGTGGAGAATATCACCTTGAAGGAGTTCTCGGATGCCTTGCACCAGTGGTTGTTGCAGGATCAAATGTTAGAAGATGATAGAGAACCAAGAAATGGTGAAGACGCGGCTACAAGAACGGCTCAACCAGTAGCAGGAACTGATACTGAAGACGAGCTGCTTCTTCAACACAATGGCCAATTATGCCTCCGATTGCCTGAGGGAGACGGTGTTTCCTTGGCTGCGCAACTGCTGTTTCTAGCAGATAATTTCCACAAGGGAGGTGCTTCATCATGCTCATCAGGGCCAAGAGCTGAAACAAGGCGCCTAGCTGAAACACCTCTGGTACATCAACGGCAGCAAGAAGTAGAAGTCGTGCCTTCTCTCTTACGTCGTCTTGCTCAACGTGCAGAGAAGGAGGAAATTTCCTGGAAGGAAAAACTCGATGACCGAGAAAGGCAGGTCGCGCATTGGCGCCGACGTGCGGAGAGTCTCATTGCTGATCTAGAAGATGCTGAGATGAGGCATGAGAAAGCAATGCATGCCCAAGCGAGCAGCATCAGAAGGTATTGTAATATTAAGCCGGATGAGGGGCAAGGGACTGCTCAAGATACCAATCGCATGTCGACAAGAGCGAGCCGCGAAGGCGATGAACGACCTGGAATGGTATTCTCATTCTGTTTAAGTCCACTAGTCAGAAGATTTTCCAACAAGAACAACTAGAAGTAAAATTTTATCAGGACCTGCAACAAGTCCACTAGTAAGATTTTCCAACAAGAATAACTAAGTCACAACGACATGCAACAAGTCCACTAGTAAGATTTTCCAACAAGAACAACTCGTTTTTAAGACCTCATTTAATCCCGCCATTTGCAAATGCAGGAGCAGGACGATACCGATCCAGCCCGGTCGAATAAGAAAACTGCGTCGAATGCTACTATCCGCGCTTTGGAGCAACGTCTAGCGAGAGCAGAAACCCAAATCCTCGAAAAAGGCCGTTTAATCGCCGCCCTTCGAACAGCACGTGCTGAATTACTTGACGCTAGGCTAGCTTTCGAAGACGAGAATAGAAGAACTTGCAGTTCATCTTCTACTAGTACCAGTAGGAAAGGGACGCGAAGGAGAAGATCAGCAGCACACGACCAGGACTTTTCTCACAAAGGTCAAGACGAGAGAACTGGACATACATCAGATTTAGAGCAACAAGAACTACAGGAGCAATATCTTTTGGACAACGAGGAACAAGGCGATCTTGACCCTTTTATCGCCGTCGCGGAAGAAGGTCGGTCGAAACGTGAAGCAGACTTCTATCGGAAACAAGCAAAGGTAATGGAAAAACATGCGAGGGAAATCGAACAAAGGCTAGAAGTACTTCTAGTTCAACATGATCATGAGCCTCTTCGTGATCATGGTACTAGCTTTCCAGGAAGTACTGCAGCTGCACAAGCAGAAGCGCAACGAGGAGCGGTGGATGCATTCGTTGACGAGTTACAACTAGCTGTTAGTCCCGGCGTAGGACGAGACCCACTTGTTGGAGGAACGCAAACTTATTTAACTTCTTCAACAACAACTACTAGTTGTACCAGGCAGCGGCCTGAAAAAACATCGGCTTTCACAGAAATGAGTGGAATGTTTCAACAACTCCTTGCCGAGATCCAGACTCTTGAGTCGCAGAAAGCTGATTGTGAATTGGAAATACGACGATTAGAAGATAGGAAAGTTGCTAGACTTCAACAAGAAGGTAACCGTAGCTGTGAAGATGATACGGGCATGCTGGGTGCTTCCTCTTCCAATCTCTCTGGGTCGAGGAGTAGCTATGTCTCTGGGTCGCAACACGCCACTTCTGGAGCTGCTGACGAAAAGCGAAACAGCGGAACTTCCAAAACTAATGATGCTGCATCATCATCAACATCATCTCCTTCCAAGAAAAATAATATGTCTGGTGACGAACAAAACAAGACTATAGATTTCGAAGATTTTCTATTGCATAGTGTGGACAGAGTAGATGAGGCGGAAACGCTAAAACAGGTTCAATTATATCTGAGTTCAAAGCACGATAAAGATAGAAAAAGTAGTAGTAGAATAAAACGTAAGAAGACTCACACGTGGTCCTCTTATGAAGATGAACAGACAGCTGCAACCGGAACCGCATCAAGAACAAAGTCTCATTATAGACAACCTAAAGAACGTGAGCATCTCTCTGATCATGCCGGGCTACAATATCAAAATGTAGATCATGATAGAAGCAGAGTGGAGCTTGATACACGGGAGCATACCAGAAGAAATAAGAAAACAAACCATACTAGAACAAGAGGAACACGCAGAACACCAATTGACCTGCCGCCGGCAGAGCAGCTTGTGCCTCCTGGCAGTGGCTGTGCTACACAGTAACACTAGGAGCATGTTCATTATCATTTTGGACCTACTCACCGTAGCGTGGTAGCAGGAAAACACAGGCGTTCGTCTGTTCTGTGGGAGGACCGTTAACAACAGCTCTCCTTGTTAGGACTTAGTAGTAGGCGTTTTGGTTTTCTAGCGTCACCGACATTACATTATTAGATTAGATTTCAATGTATTGTAAATTTTGGTTTTGCCTGTGAATAGTCTGGTCTCCAAAGCCACATCATCCAACCTGATGAAGATGATGAACTTTTTCAACAAGATGCTCGTTCTTTTCCTCTTGCTGCCTGTGGTGACCGTCCTCTTGCTGCCTGTCACCGGCGTCGCAGCACTGAAAGCCCCGAGCTGCACAAAACAGCGGTTTTTCCTCGGTGGTTTTCGTCAAGATGGACACAAGAAGTTGGTAAAGACACCTGCCTATGGAGGAAGTGGAACTAATCTAGCTGGACTTGCACAAGATATCTCATCTTGTTCGGCTAGTGGCGATGTAGTTGCAGGAGAAGCGACGCGTGCCTTTGCTACATTGGCTGCGATGCCTGGGGAGAAGAAAAGAGCAACACAGGCCACTAAAAAAGGGTTGTACCGCACACCGTCAAGCTCGGGTGGTCTCTCTGCGCAGGTGGATACTACTAGCCCTGATGTTGAAGATGCGATTGCGATGAATGGGTCGCCTCTGTTACATCAAGGTCTTCCACAACAGACTGATGTAACTGGTGCTACAACTACATCCTCTCAGGTGGACGACGGTACAACAAGTGCCCCCTCACCTTCAACAAATTCAAACCAGAGCTCTCCTTCTAGCACGTCGAGGACCAGGAACAAGAAGAACAAAGAGAGCTCTTCATCGACTCCTAGCACATCGATATCGCGAGAAAAAACGTTATCATTATCGTTTTTTTGAATTTTTGAGAAAAGCACGACGTGGAGCACTGCGATCCTGGGGCTTTCCGCCTTGCGATGGGCAAGCCGGCCCTCCCTCCACGAGGTGCCGCAGCAGACGCTGCGCTCCTCCTCCCATTGACGCGGCCCTTCAGTCATGGCTGGGCATGATGGTACCGCTAAGCTCTGAGGCCGCGGCCTCCGCTTACGCACGCCCATGGGGCAGTATCGTGGCCCGGCCCTGCAAACTTATCCGCAAAAGTAGCCCACCGTGGGCACCAAGCTCAGCGCACTCGGAAAGCAGCCCCCCTGGCAATCGTTGGGGTGATTCCTGGGGGCAAGCAATATGAAACGCCGAGCCGATCGAGGGGAAGCCGCGACGCCACTTCGCTCAAGATCCAAGAAGGCGAGCAGCCGATCGAGAGCCGCAGACGCGCGAGCGGCTGAAGGGGTCAGTTGGAGGGGGTGTTCGAGGGGGGTCCTTGTTTTCAGGGGCCCCATTTGATAAGGCTTCTGGCGCCCGACAGATAGGTGATAACGCTTCTGGCGCCCGACGCTCTTCGCCGAAGCCCAAAAACACACGCTAAATTTTCAGAACCTCGAGGGGCAAGCGGATGACAGGTGGGCGCCTTTTCTGCTTGCTCGTTCTCGTTTTTTTGGCGAGTGTTTGGAGGGGTCGATGGAGGGGGGCGGCGGACCACCTCCGGCCCGGCTAGAGGACCAGAGCGGCCACAGCAGGAAGGGGGCGCCGAGTCGCTAGAGGTCGGAGAAGGTGGGGCGCCAGAGGTGGCGGAGCGGCCGCAAGCAGCAGGGCTGCGGGCCATCCCCTGACACTCGGGCCCCAGATTCGCGAGGGGACAGGGAAACAAGCTACACGCATGCGCGTCTGCCATTGCTGGAAGCGCCTCCCGGAGAGCGCAGCACCACCCAGCAGCCAGAGCAGGACAGCAGCGCGCGCGGCGCCGCTGGTTTGTTGTCTCAGTCATGGGAAGCGCAGCCCACCCACAGACGCGCCAAGAGGAAGCGGCGAATGCTGGCGCCCCTCCATTCTTATGTCCACGCGCACAGCGTCCCACCAATGCTTGGAATTTGCTACCCCAATCTGAAAAAATCAAAAAAACGATAATGATAACACTTTTTCCTGCGATAATCGAGGACCAGGAACAAGAAGAACAAACATCAGCAACATGGAGAAGATTTACCATTATGGCAAGTGCCTGAGTTGAATGACGAGGGGCTAGAAATCTTCAGCGGCTTCTCTGAGGATCACCTTCCCGCATACTTGCAGGTTGATACTTCTGAAGATGCTCGTGTATCAGAAAAAGACTTATTGAAGTTTCTGTGGGAACAGTCTCTAGAGGAGGTTGATGTCGGACAGAATCAGAAGTCAGGACGACTGGGAGAAGAAGTCTCGTCTACGGCTGGTTGTAGTTCATCTAGGTCTGCTCCTCCAGGTGGACGACAAGGGGACGATACAAGGACAAGAAGGAGACTCTCCTTTGACTTCGCCGATGACCGAGGGCTTGACACCAACCGCAAGTGGAGTCCAGGACGGAACATTTGTTCTGAGTGTAGTAGGATCTCGCAGACTCCTGCAATCAAGGCGCACTATGCCAAGATCAAAGGACCAGGAAGTTATACTTAAGGGTAGGCTAAAGGTGCTTTTGTTACCCCCGTTTGTTCTTATGGCTCTAAACAAAGGGGGACAGCCATAACAAGCGGGAGAAACGAACACCAAAAGCCCACCGCTAATATAGGGCGCCAACTTTGTTTGGCGGGTTGTTTGGAGATGGCGGCGGAAAGCAGCAAGCTGGTTTGGAGGTGGCTGAGGATAAAAAGTCAACGACAGGAGCTTTACAACGAGTCCCCACCTCCAGGATGCAGGAGATCGCAGCTTCTTTTGAGGCTGATAGTCCAGCAAGGAAGGCGAGATTGCTTGAAGCAGCTGCGCGACTAGGGTCGCATGAATTAGTGCAGCAATGCCATAGCTATTTCCCTAACATCGAGGTGAGGAGACAACATCAAGCAGATGTCGAATTAGAGTTCTGTCCATGGCAGAACATCTTCCTGAAGGAGGATTTCGATCGAATTGACGAAGACATCGGGCACGCACAGTGGAGCAGGGAGAAGAGGAGAAAAGAACGTGCTGCTTTGGTGTCGAGAGGTGGCGCTAGTGGGAGTAGAAGAAGTGGAAGCTTGATGACCAGTGCATGTGCAACTACTGCTAGTGCGCGAATAAACGAGAAGATCATGAGAAACGCTGACTCCAAGAACAACTCCAATTCTGCTGAAAAGGTCGATTCCTCCGAGCTATCTTGTTCCGCAGATACTTCTAAGAAAATGGAGCAGGACGATCCTGTCATCCGTACTCGTCGTCTCGCACGCAAATTGTTTCGCCAAAATTGGGTAGCACGTGGAAGACCCATAGTGAATAAGAAGAATGCTGCGACTACGAAAACGAAAGAGCAGTCGCAAGCATTATTCATGAAGAATGAACCACCTACGGCTACGAAAGAGTCTTCTCAAGCAAGAACTGCAGATGAAAATGTTGTTGAACGGGAAAGAGCTATACTAGTTTCGTCAGGGAAAGATCAGGAAGACGAGGTTGTAGATGCCACAGCTAGAACGAAGCTCTTCACCGATGAGATAGAGGGATTGCCACCAGGAGCGCTTAGGGTACAAGCTGTGTCAGGGCTACTGCATGGTAGTGGTCGTGTTGATGGAAAGTTCAGGCGTACTGTTTCCGCAGATGGATGTGATGAAAGTGCAATCCAAAATCTGCTCTCGGCGTTGAAAATTAGCGAAGCGTCTAGTTCTACCTCCGACGAGAGGGCATCGAGTGCACCACCATGCTTGTTGCGCAAGAATAAGGAAATTGCGACACAAAAATTTGTACCAGAGGAGGAACATCATCTAACACTTACTACAACAACCGGAGATGAGTGCGATCCGGGTTCTCACTCAGCTATGATACAGAAGCATCCAACTCTAGCACCTAACACAACAAGTGAGGGACCTGAGCACGGGCACTCATCTTCATCTTCTTCGACTGTACTTGCGCCAGCGAGTGAATCGCGACATACTCATGAAGATAGCGCCTCCAGAAGTATGGACATCATGGGTCCACATGTTAAGTCGCTTCCTTCAATACCTGCAGCGCCTTCAAGCACAACACCAGCTTCTCCTAAACGACCGCTCACCATACGTCCCACCAGAGCTAGGCATTACACTTCTTCCTGTGATCACTGGGGTAGGGTGGCGGACTCCATGTTGAATGTCTCCGATGCGTCAAAGTCGAGTACTACAGCACCAGCAGGTGCATTGAATGATCTCAATGGATCTTCCACGCCTGCTACAACTCCACTGTCGACTAACAGTTCAGCATCTTCCTCGTGGATGTCATTCTTCACCGCCAGACTATCCGCTCTAGGATCCGAGATGTTGCTTAAGTTAAGGGTAGGTAGTTAAAGGTGCGTTTTTTACCCCCGTCTGCTGAATTTCGTTATGGCGTGGTCTCAATAGTTTACCCAACGCCGATGTAGCGGCCAGCTGTTTTTAAAGGTGCTTCTGTTACCGTTTGTTATGGCTCTTTCTAAACAAAGGGGGACGGCCATAACAAACCACGGGATAAACGAACACCAAAAACCTACCTCGTCTAATTAAGATGTTTTCGCAGCTGTCTTGTTGTGGCCGCTCTTGTTGCGCTGGAGGTCCATTAGCGATAAGAGACGGCGTAGGGGAAGATTGCAGCACTGTAATAGTAACCTGTGGAGAGGTTTTTACAGGATCATTAGCCGATGCCGGACGAACAAATGGGAGTAAAACTTCGAATGCGAATCAGACGCGAGCACAAATTCGCGAAATCACAAGAACTTGCCATAGGAACACCTCTTCAGGTGCTACTACAACAGGGGAATCACTACCACCGTCAAAAGAAACGTGTCGTGCAGAACAAGCTGAAGTGGTCGATCCTTTAGATCTAGCCGAGGACAAGGAACTGACCAACTTGATTGGTCTTTTGAACGCTGCCTTTCCTAGAATTGTAGAAAGCCGGGAATCTTCTTTCGATGCAGCGTTTGAGGGCAGAGGGGCGGATGGTGCGTGTCGTCTTGTGAGTAGAAGTTCTTCTTCATCAACATCTGCTAGAAGTACTTCTGCCTCAAATAAAATAAGTAGAACTTCCACCACAAGAAGGAAGAGCAAGGAGGAGGAGATACAACTAGGTGATGAAAAACACTTACCGGAATTACTCCTAGATTGCAAGGGACGCAAGACTAGTCCCACCGGCGCCAACCTCCCACCAGGTAGTTCTCAGCCTTCACTTTCCGAAGTCGACTCCTTCACGTTCGAGGAAGCTGCGCTTCTACTTTCTCGTGTACACAAACTAGTTGATGAAGATGATGGGACAGTAACGAACGCAGAGGACGATGATCAATTACAGGAGAACTCTGAGATACAACAGGTGATCAAGCGGTTCTTCCGCTTCCAATGGTTTGCTGATGTTGGGCGGGCTATGCGAGCGTTGAGGAAATATCGTGAGCAGACTGATTGCTTGAGGCATTTGATCGAGGTCGAGGAGGTAGATGAAGTAGGATTATGGGTGTAGGGAATTCATCTCCCAAGTCATCTGGAAGAAGAAAACGAGAAGAAAATGGAGAACCAGACGACTCCTGAGATAGATTCCCTATACCTCTAATAGGAGTAGAAGAGCAAGCTTTAGACGTGAAGGATGCGGCGTCTGCATCAGTGTCTCCCACGTTACCAGAATATCCTTCAGTAGAGTCCGTCGAAACCACACCCCCTTCAAGAAAGCCAGCCTTTTCATCACGACAAACAGCTGCATCTTCCTTGGCTTTGTCTAGAGGACAGGACTTGTTGGCGAGGTCTCGCTCCTCAGATATGCAGCATACTGACAGGTCCTCCTGCGATGGGCTCGGAACTACAATTACGAGCAGTGGGAGCAAGCTCGAGGATGAACGACAACGACAGCAGACACCTAGAAGTTGTTCAAGAACTACATCAACAGGAAGACTAAAAACTCAGCAAGCGCAACAGCAACCCACCTTTGCCGACGATGTCCTCTTGGCACTTTCGAATCTAGACACCGAAGATTTTCGACGAGCTGCGGTGTTGTTGAGTCAATACCGTGAGCAACACCCGGACTACAGCAATGGTTTTGTTCGGTGTCGGTACACTGCCAGCCTCAATGCTGGATTGAGTAGCTCAAGGAAACTGCTGTTGGAAATGCGCTTAAGGCTGATTCTCGTCACCTTTAGATTAGGACAGTGACAGTCTGGCTTCGACAGACAAGACAGTTTTTTACAAATTCATCCTGCTATTTCTAGTTCTGTGTAAAGTACATGAAGATCATGAAGCAATAAACACCCTTCTCAAGCTCTAACCTCTTCCCAAGACAAGCTTTTCCCGGACACACATATGCGGGAGCTCCGAATCGCACTAGATATAGCGCGAGTGCGAAAAGGCAGACAGGTCCTCGAAGATCAGTTGATATCGAGAGAGGCTAGTAGAAAGCGCGTAGAGGAACGTGTCAAGAAACAAGATAGCTTGGCAGAAAGAGCTGCGACCTTCCTCGTAGATGGTGTGATGAAAGAGGAAGTAGGAGTAGACGCTGAAAAACAAGTGGGCAAAAATGACTCAGAACATCTTCAAGAACAGCAACAAGAAAATGAAAAGCAACGTCGTGAACAAAAGCAGGATAATTTGAATCTTGAAGGTGGTTTTTTAGCGTCTTGTTCATCTTCCTCAGGCTCACCTGCCTCTCCCCTACCTACAAACCAAGAAGACCACTATGGCAAAGAGCACAGTCAACCCAGTAAACCCCGTCGACCATCGAGTTTCACAGCACAGGACTTCGTGTCAATAACTCCAGCAGCCCATGAAAAAATCGTGTCGCGGCCGCCGCGTCCTGGTTGCTTTCTAACCAACGATGAAGTTGGAGGTGGAGCAGCCAAAGGGAGGATCTTTGAAAGCGGAGGTGGTTCTTCTGGTCGACAACAAGGATGCGAGGCAACAACAACTGCTGGAGAAGATGCTGTAATCTCTATCTCGCCAGGATCTTCTAGAGAGGACAAAAATACTTGGTCTTCGTGGTGGTTCGGCCAACCGCAGAGACAAAGACATGCTCAGATAATCGACAACATCAGCAACCATCATGAACATCAGCCTCCACGACATGCAGCAACCCCGATGACAATGGATGACTGGCCGGAAGACCTGATGGTCCCCTACGAACAATTGTACTTTTACTATCTGCCGAGGAGAGAAGCAGGACACTTCTACCAGAGCTGCATCACTTCTCAGACTGCTGAGATTTCAAAGCTGTTGGCGGAACAATGCAATCAGCGGGCGACCTAATATTAGTGGATGATGATTTATTATGGTCGAAGTTGATGCGGCTATCACTATCTCTACCAACTACCTTTTTACTTTTTGAGAATATATCAACAGTACCACTAGTACCTACTAACTTTTTATTGGTATTTTGTCATTGGGTCACACACATCATACTCCTTACCAGTTGCCGGATGAGTAGCTGCAGCTATGTATCCACATGTCGCACTCCTACATTTTTCTAGACGGCTAGGTTTGCTTTACAAATTTTCCTGCAACATCTTCCATGTATTGACGGACACCTATAATTTTTGTACTGCAAACAAGACGATGAAGTACATACTTTAGAAGATTCTGCAAAAACATAGGGCACGATGCGTGCGTAGTATTACTCTATCTCTACAACTGAGGTATTTTTTCATAGATAATTCCCTCTAAAGGACCTAGGATAAGATTAAAGATATCTGCGTGAGACCCGCGATGACGATTGTCCTCAATATGAATATCGCAACTTGCATCATGATCAAATTGCTGCGAAAAGAGTGTGGCTCTACCTGAGTGTATGTCGTAATAGTGATAGAATCGATCCTGAAGCTGAAACCGCCCGTAAGCGAGGGTATTGAATCATGATCGACGGTCGGTGAAAGGAAGAGCGTGGAAGACTTTCATCGTAGAAGCTACTTACAACACAACATCTGTTTCCAATCTCCCCAGTCTGTCGTGGTAAACAGGGTCAGCAGGAGTCGCCGGTAGAATCGTCTGGATCTGTCTAGCTCTAGTAGCAATCTAGTAATTGCTGCCGGACGAGTCGGTCTTGTTATCTTCAGATCTGTGTCCTCATATCGGTCTCAGCACTGACCATAGCATCGCTCCCGTTCGTGGTCTCGATCATATTTCACAACTTACAGCCCTTAGCTTGCCTCACATCCTTAATGACCCTTAGCTTGCCTCATATCTCGCCATCGGGATAGAACAAGAACGATTATAATTCTAGTGATGACTACTAGAAGCCCTCTCGTCACCAAATTCTTACAGAAAAGGGCGAAAAAAAGTACAGACCAGAACAAGAGCCTCAAAGTAAGACTACAAGATGTGGCACGATCGTGCGCTTGCGCAGGACCCTGTCCGTTATACAGCGGCCACGATGGAGATGATGCGGTTGGAAGATGTGCCAACCCTCCGCTGTGCTGTGAATTACGCTTGCGATCACAGCTATGGTGCCGAGGGATTTCTTTATGTGTGCTAATTTCAAGATTTTTGGTACTCGTTCGATGTTCATAGGAGCAGTTGGTAAGTCCCTCACCGCATGTTCTTTCCATCAGTTACTCCTGTTTCAGATAATATTGCTCGGGAACAAGTATATGATCCTACTCATAATTTTTTTTCAAATGTTGACCTGAGCCTCCCCTTCAAGTTCAAAGATCAGGGACTTCTACGGACAACTCTCTAACTCCATATACAAATGTTGCTCCTCGACCTCCTCGACGTCGATCACCAGGTCACCTCGCAAACGCAGTTTCGGCTACGTATTTCGCGAACAAGGAATGGATCTCTAAAGACCAAGCGAAAGCTGCTTTCATACAGGAACAGTCCGAGAAAAATCCTGAGCTGCAAAGACAAAAACTCTTGAGAAGGGCAGAGAAGAATTTGGCGCCGCCGTATTCAAGGATGCTATATTAATTTTGGAGGTAGATGAGGAGGTAGATGAATGATGGGAACTCAAACTCAAAGAGTAGCAAAAATAACAAAATAGTACCTCGCTCATAGAGTTTAGGGTAAAGATGAAGAACCTTGCTCATAGAGTTTATGGTAAAGAAGAACTTCTACATGCTCAAGCGTATCTATAATATTATAAGCATTAAACAGATACGCTTGGGACGGGAAGGGTACTTTCTATGGGCATAAGGAGACGTCCTGTTTCGGCTATGTTACGGCTAAAGGGAGACATCGTGCAGATTTGACAGGTACGAACTTGACACACGACTGGCAAACAGAAGTTCATGTGTTCACAGAAGATATTGATTATACTGTAGAACAACTTGTTTATATTCGCTTTGAATGTTGTACTAGACTAGTATGGATATGGAATCTAGTGCTACTTACTAAATAGATACTTACAACAAATCCAACTTTGCAAACGAATTTTAAAAGAAAAATTCACAACTCATACATGATTATATGCTTAATGTCCACAAGCACAACCACACCATAGGCATCGACGTTGAAGATTCCCACTGTATATTTCATGTCCACCACAACCACATCATAGGTATCGACGTTGAAGATTCCCACCCAGTTTTTCGTTCAATCGGTCCTGGTCGGCGGCGCCTCCTCAACGACGAGTATGCACGTCGTTACAAGCCGCTTCCTCACGATGGCTCTTACTCGCCCCGAAATTTCAAGAAGTCCGACAATAACCCTCGAACGGCACTGTACAAGGGAGATAGAGATGGAGCAGACAAGATTGGGCACATAGAGACTTCACCTACGAAGCGTGGACTTGGCGAACATGCAGACGATTTGGTTGCTGTCGGAGGAATTGAATTTATTGCGAGGTGGGCGAGTATGTTGTACTCGCCATGATTACCAATGATGTTGACATAGTTTCATGTACTTCTAGCTGCAAGAAGGATCGTCTAAATCTAATGAGTCTTCTATACATAGTTCTACTATCGGACAGGAACACTGTATAATCTTCTCCTCGTTTAGGTGAAGATCTACTTTTTAGCACATGTTGCTGACCTCTAGAAGTAAGTGCCTTTTTCTCCCGCCGTCTAACTCTAAGCACAACCGGTTCCGACGCAGCGCAGCAAACTGATGCAGCAGTGCACCTGATGCGCCCTGCTTCAGCCGCTACTTCTACAACGTCTTCCCGCTATCCTAGACTAGACAATCTACTAGACAAGATTGGTGGCGACACGACCTCAGCTGCCGTAAGGCGGGAACAGGTCGGCGGTTCTTGCTCTAGTTCATGCTCTTCAGCATCGAGTTTCATATCTTCAGTCCTCCTGTCTACTGGTGTACAGAAGAAGATCAGGATTGCCAGGCCTAAAAGTGCTGGACCAACAACTAGGGTGAGGAGTAGACCTAAGTTGACTACAGTGCTTGAGGACGGAAGCAAGAAAGACATCAACAAACCGGAGAAGAACAAGATCAGAATAGAACATCCGTTCGAGACAGGAATAGAACATCAAGAACAGAATCAGAATCCAAACATCGGCCCGGGACCACCTGGCGTTAATACCACTGCAGCAGCGTCAGCGCCTAAAAATAAAAGTACAACAGAAACAAATACCACAAACCAAGCTGTTGGACACGTCGAACAGGTGGAGAAGGCCAAGTATAATAAATAAGACCTCGCCTTCAAAAAAGAGGAGGAATAACAGCCGTCCTCGAAGTGCGGCAGCCTCGTGTAGCAGTTCTGGTCTAATAGCACAAGAGGACATCGACAGGACCGCGAAAGCGATAGTAGCACGCGTTAGAGCACTTTCAAGGAGCGGCTCATCGGCAACGTCTAGTTGCGGGAGAACGAGTACTAACTTTATCTGACTATATTTTATTTTCGAAAAATTAAACGAAGAACAAGGAAGAAGAAATTTTTTGATTTCATTCAAGTGACTTTATTTTGGTGCTGTGGTTGTAAAAGGTGGGAGGACGTCGATTCGTCCCATACTTATGAACATTTTTGATTTCCAATGACTGATAAAAATGACAAACAAATTGAAAACCTCTTTCCTTCTGAGGTAGCGTGCCCGCCACGGGCACGGGAAAGCGTCGAAAGGAAGAGGCCTGAAACACGCATAAGCCCAGGACTATCAAGCAGTTAAAAACTCTTCGCAGCGAATAACATATGTTATATAAGAATTTTGCATAGCAAGGTCGATCGACTGCACTAAGATAAAACGGCTTCGATTCAACATGTCATAGCCATTTCACAAAAAGCAAGTATGATCATTGTGCTACCAGTATTTCTTCGTCCTGTCATTTCCGGGAAAAACGTTAGCAGTTTTAAGCATTTCACAGAAAAAAGCATTTCCTTCACGACGTGTTCGATAAAGTTGAAACTTCCAAAGTCAAAAGAATCCATCTCTTCTATTCTAAGTATATTAATGTCACTCACCTGGTGTCTCCTCATGATACCCATCCTCCATGCTGAAATAAGAGAACTACTTTCTTAGAAGATCAACAACTGCTCGACAAGAACTATTAGCTGAGAACAACGCTTGGCCTTTCTTCATGTTCAACATTGTTGACTCATACGATTCCATTTACAAATAATGTGCCTTCAAATAATTCAAATTCAAACTCTCACTCATTCATGTTGATGTTGATGTAACTAAAGACCTCCACCTCTCTGTCCTCCCTCTAATTCATGTACAGTATATGTTGATATCCTACAAGTACAATCTCAATCTCTATTGCTCTGATAAATATCTGTCATTCCGTAATACAAGTTCATCGTAAGAGCAAGTTCTTCAAGTTGACGGAGTTCTTCAAGTTGACCTAAGAAATTGTTCATGACGTATTTTATTCCAGAAAGAATTGCCCTCCTCAAACTGAACGAATTGCTCTTCTCAAACTGATCGAAGGACGAAATTTCCTGTCAGTATCATCGATCTACTTACGACTTCGGTCTGAATTCGATTCTGAGCTTCCGGCGAAGATGAAATAGATGTCGGCAACATCGGAATCGGGGCAGCAGTAAGAGAACGAGGCTCATCGCCATGATCTTTTTCATCGGTCCTGGTCAAAGATCCTGATCAAAGATGACAATACAAAATAAAGATCTCTCTACAAGATGCACAACTAGTGCTCGATGATCCAAAATGGTTGTGTTGGTGGTAAAGACTTATAAGAGATCCAAGAAGACAAAGACAACGCATTTTTCCAAGACCATCAAAACCAATGCATGAGATCCAAGACCACTGCATGACGAAAAAAGATCAGAGGTGCACTGGCTAGGATGACATGCTGAGTCTACATTTTTTGGATTGGATTTATTGATGGTTATTGTTGTGTATGACTTCTTTCGAAACACCATCTCGCAGCTTTGGACTACTTTTTAAGATTGAAAAGAAAATCGACAAGAAACGGGAAACGCTTAGGCTCTGAGACCATAAAGAAAAACAAAAAGAAAAATACGAACAACCATCCAATCTAAGAATAAATAGCCCATCATACTTGATAGTAAATCAATAAAATTGAACTTTTATCAAATTCATTCCCGAAGTACTTAGAGCAAGAAGATCTTCTTTCCCAATTCCCCTATAACATTCTAGCACCTTGAAGAACAAGATGACGCGCAAGATGTCGTGGCCTCTTCAACGCGTTGGGTTGCACAAACGCGCAGGAATGTGTGCAAATCGCAGTAAGAGAAGCACTAGAGGCACTCGTGGCCGCTCTTCTCCAGAGGCACCCTCCACTTGCAGAGCTCCTATGTTGGGCATTAAGGCTCATCTATGGTTCCACTTGTTGCTCAGTCCACTTTCCGCACATGTCGCGCACAGCGTACGTCTGCAGTCTAGTTCGCCCAGTGCAGGATCATCTGCTGCTCCGCGTCAGTCTAGTGGTAGTGCGTCGGATGCAGGATCTTTCGCTGCAGCTGGTGGTAGTGGTGGTGGTGCTGATAGTTCCGCGGAATGGAGATGCAGTTACCTGGCTGGAGAAGTTCGGTTCAAGTTGATTAAGGCTTGCTCGCGTAGTATTTAATCTCTCTACTATTTAACAGAAGTAATGTAAGACGTTGATCCTAAGGTTGTAGGATGCCCTGGGGGACGGAGGAGAGGTCTAGCCTCGAATCTTAGTTCTTGCTCGCCAAAAACTCTGACTACTGAACTCACAGGATCGTATTCGTAGGGACCGTTGGGCGTCGACTTGGCTAGTGAAGATGAGTCCTCTTAATTGACAGACGTTGCTGAGTGGCCATTGTTCTACGGAATAGTGCAGTCGCTTATCAATCTGTCTTTTCAAGACGTGAAATCGTTGCCTACTATAACATGAGAAGTTGTCTGATAGTCTTACTACGTTCTCGTCTGGGTGCCATTGCGTGCATTAGTCACAGGCCAGGCATCCGAAGCCTTACCATAAACAAGTTGTCGACGTAGAAGAAGAACAGCGCCAAGATGAGTCCCAGCTTTGCTTTTACATTTCTTGCTTTGGATCTTTCGAGTCAATTCCAACTGCGAATATTTAAATTGCCTTATGATTAACTTTACTACTGGCGCGATTGCCTTTGCCACTACTACAACTACAGCTACAACGAACTATGTACTACTCTAATTTCGGAGCTCCTTTTGAAGAGGTAACGGTGAGAGCCTTTGCCGAGGCACTGGCTGCGCAGCTGAGCCCCCCTAAAAGTGCGGACTCGCTTAGACTTCACCTTTCCCTTTCTCGTAACGCTGTTCCCTCGTCATCGACGTTGACGTTGTATCCAATCCTTGACGAGGACGCGGGGAAAAAGGTTTTCGATCAGTGGAGAACGCTTCAAGATGCGGCCGCTGCCCAGGGAAAATCATTTACAACTACATGCAGCTTTTCAGTCATCGCCGAAGCGGCGGTGCAAGCAATCCGCAAATTCAAGACGAGCAGGCCCTGGAGCATGCACCGGTTGAGTTTGGTACACCCAGCTATTAAGCAGATTAACGGCGAAAAGCCGCTCCTCTTGGAGATAGTGCAGGGTATCCCGGGTGGGCTTAAGTTTGTGGAAGAGGATCTGAAAGACGACCCTGAGTTCGTTCTTAAGGCGGTCGCAATATCCGACCACAACTCAAACCTTCAGTATGCGAGTGAACGGTTGAGAAATAGCCGCAGTGTTGTTCGTATGGCAGTCGCAAGGGACGGCGAGGCCCTTCAGTATACGAGTAACGAGATGAAAAACGACCGCGATGTCGTGCTCGCGGCGGTCGAGAAAAGTGGGTGGGCTCTCCAATATGCGAGTAATGAGATGCAAAATTGCCGCGATGTCGTTCTCGCGGCGGTCAAGGAATGTGCACCGGCTCTCCAATATGCGAGTAATGAGATGAAAAATAGGCGCGATGTCGTTCTCGCCGCGGTCAAGGAAAATGGCTGGGCTCTCGAACATGCGAGTAATGAGATGCAAAATTGCCGCGATGTCGTTCTCGCGGCGGTCAAGGAATATGGCTGGGCTCTCGAATATGCGAGTAACGAGATGAAAAACGACCGCGATGTCGTGCTCGCGGCGGTCGAGAAAAGTGGGGGGGCTCTCCGATATGCGAGTAATGAGATGAAAAATTGCCGCGATGTCGTTCTCGCCGCGGTCAAGCAAAATCATAAGCGAAGTGTAGCGGCAGCTGGATTTTAGTACCAGCGAGAAAAATAAAACGTGAAGCTACGAGCGATTGAGCGAGTCTTGAGAGGAGAGAAAAGAGCACCAAAAAGGGCACGGGGACTAGAGACCCACTTTAGGAGTTACAGTCTCACTTTACTCCTATCTCTTATTTTTGTCTAGGTGAGTTGTAGCGCCGCCTCCCACCCGAGCGCCTTACTTGAGGCAGTTATTTCATTTTTCCTGCATGTCTGGTCTTACTCCCAGATGGCCCATTGCTGATGCTTCATTTCAAATCGTTACACTCTCTTCAATGATTTAGCATCCGTCGTTTACGACCAGTTGGACGACACTTGGCCTCTGGCAGAAGAGCTCGTTTATAGTTCCAGCTCTGGAGTTCTCAGGTGCTATCCATCTGCGCCGAGATCACGTCATCGCGGGACAGGGCGTTCAAGTTCCCAAAATAAGTTATTTATTTGTTTGCGAGATAGTACTAAAATCATGTGGGGGCTCTCAAATATGCGAGTGATGAGGTGAAAAAGTCCATGTACTTCTCTTAGTTCGTAGGTTCGGGCCCCGTCCCCGATTCAGGGCACGTAAATAAATGTTGGTGGACTTGTAGACAAGCAGGCAACAAAGAAAAAATCTCCAATATGTCGCGGGACAGGGCGTTCAAGTTCCCAAAATAAGTTATTTATTTGTTTGCGAGATAGTACTAAAATCATGTGGGGGCTCTCAAATATGCGAGTGATGAGGTGAAAAAGTCCATGTACTTCTCTTAGTTCGTAGGTTCGGGCCCCGTCCCCGATTCAGGGCACGTAAATAAATGTTGGTGGACTTGTAGACAAGCAGGCAACAAAGAAAAAATCTCCAATATGCGAGTGGTGATAACAAATATGGCAACAATTTCGTTCTCGTGGCGGTCAAGGAAAATGTTATGAATGCTGGTGGACTTGTAGACAAGTTCAAGTAGACAACAACAAAAAATTTCCAATATGCGAGTGACGAGATGAGAAGTGACCGCGATGGTGTTCACGCCGCGGTCAAGCAAAATGTGGCGGCTCTCGATACCTCACCAATGGGTACACTACCACTACTACTTGAATAGGTGGGGTTTAAACTTCGAGCTTCTCTTCTTGGAGTTCTTTTACGGTTTTACAATGACTGACGCGACGAGGGGGGCGAACACGACTACTTCCTCTCATCCTGCTGGGTATCTTCTCGATATCGTGATCGTGTTCATGATTTCCTACTCTCGTTTCCTCAACCGTACAAGTCGTGAATCTGTTGGTAATTTCTCCTCTCGACCACCCACGTGTTTGGAACTAAGAGGAGGTCGGATCCACGAAGGAATGTCAATCACTTGACACCAGAACACCAGTTGACGATCTAATCCGTCCTAATGAAGGGAACAATAAATTAACAAGAATAGGAAATTTCATTTTGATCATGAAGTTGAAGAAACAACTCCTGGTCGAATCAAATTTCTGAGACGCTCTGCATATGTGCATAGAGGAGAAAACTCTACTTCCAGAACACTTTTAATCGTATTTCTCTGTGATTGTTTGAGTTCTCTCTGGCGAAGTGGTTCTAGGGAAATAAGAAATAGAAAAACATGCACAATACTAGAATTAGAGATGCTATACCCTGTGATTGGGTACATCAATCAATCAATGTTCCAGATTGACGACGTGGCTCCTGTTGACTGCATGCTGATCCTCAGTCGAAGCCGAGCATGAACTAGATCGAAGATTTTGAATCAATTGGTAACTTCGAGCACTGATCCACATTGACTAAAAACGCCTTGCTTCACGAATCACGAGCAGGAAAAACCGGGAGTCTTCATGTCCTATAAATATTGATTCAGTACGATATGAACGATATTATTGAAGGTTGTTAGAGTTGTTACCCTCTCCAGTTTCGATAACAAGTTTTACCCTCTCCAGTTTCTTACCAGGAGAAACTGGATTAGTCGATAACAAGTTTCACCCCCTCCAGTTGTACCAGGAGAAGTTGTATATGAACCGAAAAAAAGTAATTCAGCTTACAGCACTGTTTCTTGAGAATACAAGATCAAAAAAAAAATGGTGCATTTGTACTCGTTGACGTTGCAGAAAAGCACTGCGATTACGCATGCTATTTATGGGAATTTTTCTGCTGCTAAATCTCAGGAGATTATTGTGTCGAGAGGTAAGATCCTAGAACTTTTGCGGCCAGACGAACAAGGAAAATGCGTCTCGGTGTACTCGCAGGAAATTTTCGTTATGAACAGGAGTGAATGGCTCTGGTATTTGGTAACCTGATTTTGATCATAAGGAAAACAATTTGAAGTACTAGCATTAGTCGCAGTCTGCCACATTGGATGGTAGATCCCAACCTAACCTAACCTATTTAATACCTGAACAATGATGAATATTCACTAATACCAGGTATTAGTGAATATTCATCATTGTTCAACACCAGACAACAAGGACTGGTGTAGCTCGATGATTGATGCTTAACAAGAACCAGTTGTATGATGATTGAGCATGTATTGTTTATTGATTAAGTATATCAGTTTCAGTTAATATGTTATTAAATCTATTGACAGGTCGCGTATACATCCTCGCCCTCGGAGTCAAGCCAGGTGCCGGGGGGCTTTGATGTGCAGGATTCACAACCGAACCGAACCTGACAACTCTATTAGATACTTAAACTTGTCCAACAAGAAAAGGAAAACTACCCCCCTCCCCCTTCCCCATGATAATATTATAATGAACATCTTCCCTCTAATCCTTGCATCGTCCGATCGTTGATGCCTTTCCGTTTGATGGGCGCAACGAGAGATTACATCCTGGTCGGAAGCGACTCTGGTCGAATCATAGTGCTGGAATTTGACACTGCGAAGAATTGTTTTAACCAAGTCCACAAAGAAACGTTCGGCAAGTCTGGATGTCGACGAACGGTGCCAGGACAGTATCTCGCTGTGGATCCGAAGGGGAGGGCATGCATGATTGGTAAAAATTCTTGTGATGTATCTTTTTGAAGAAGGGGAGGGCATGCATGATTGGTAAAAATTAAAATTCTTTTGATGTACTTATCATGTTTTTGAAGAATAAAAAGATCATGTTGAAAGTTTTCGAAGAATAAAAAGATGTTGAAATAACTTCTTGTTGCTCCTAAGCGGCCACATTCTTAGCGACAAGAATCATCATCGATTACAATTCGGCAACATCGTCCCACTCCATTGCAACAGGCGCTCTGGAACGTCAGAAGTTCTGTTACATCATGAACAAGGATTCCAGCGCCAGGCTCACCATCTCTTCTCCCCTAGAAGCCCACAAAGACAACACCATCTGCTACCACATGGTTGGCCTCGACGTCGGCTTCGAACACCCTCAATTTGCATGTCTCGAAATTTCTACTGAGAAAATAGACGAGGATCCGGAAGCAGAGATGCCTCAGAAAACTTTGACGTTTTACGAACTGGATTTGGGATTGAACCACGTCCTGCGAAAGCACTGTGACGTTGTGGACAACACCGCACATTGCTTGATCCCAGTGCCAGGAGGCTTGAGCGAGGGACCGGGTGGAGTCTTAGTGTGCTGTGAGAACTTCATCACATATAAGAAGCAGGGACATCCGGATGTAAGCTGCGCGATTCCTGTGCGGTTGGAGATGGCTAGGGTACTGCTACTGATTTGAATTTGAATTTGGATTTGATGTTGTAAACTTAAAAATAGAAGAACAATAGAGCTGAAGTTCGATCATGATCAAATGAAAACGAAAAGAAGTTGCTCGTCACTACCACCAAAAATTTCGATCTAATCACCGAGGACCTCCTCAACAATTATATTATAAAACCAATAAAAATAATTATTATCTTTATGATCTTTCTTCACAACTCCCAGTCCCACTTCTCTCTCTCTCTCTCAACACACGACTCTATATTTTGCAACAGGACAAAGGGTTGATGATTATTTCGTACGCGATGCATAAGCTGAGGGAGTTTTTCTTTTTTCTGCTGCAATCCGAGTACGGCGATTTGTACAAAGTCACTTTGACATCCGACGAAGAGCTGGTCCACGAGATCCAGTGCAAATATTTCGACACTATCCCTCCTACCACCTCTATCTGCGTGCTGAAAACTGGTTTCTTGTTCGCGGCTTCGGAATTCGGCAACCATGCTTTGTACCAGTTCCAAGGTATCGGGATAGACGATGACATGCAGTGTACCTCTTCCCATCCGCACAAGGCACAAGCCCTAGTGGCGTTCAAGCCGCGAGCACTGAAGAATTTGGTGTTGTATGACGACATCCCGTCCTTGTCGCCCATTGTGGACATGAAAATTTTGGACGCAGCGGCGGAAGGCCAGTCGCAGATCTACACGTTGTGTGGACGCGGACCTCGGAGTAGTCTGCGTGTCTTGCGGCACGGTCTCGGCATCACGGAAATGGCGGTCTCTGACCTCCCTGGTCGTCCTTACGCGGTGTGGTCCGTGAAAAAAGCCATGAACGCCCGTTTCCACCAATACATCATTGTGTCGTTTATTGATGTCACTCTGGTGCTCAGTATCGGCGATACAGTGGAGGAAGTGTTGGATTCCGGTTTCCTGGCGACGGCGCCAAGTTTGCTGATCGCTTTGATGAGTGACGACTCGCATGTGCAGGTCCATCCAACAGGTATTCGTCACTTGCTGCCGAGAAAGACCAACGAATGGAAAGTTCCAGGACAGAAGAGGATCACTACGGCAGCGGCGAATGAAAGACAGGTACTACGTCAGATGAAGTAGATGCGTAGAAGCTTCTCGTCGTCGTCTCGACGCTTTCTTTATCTTTACAGAGACCACTGATTCTTCCCATTTTCACTCATGATATGAGTTTTGCACAGAAGAAGATAAAAATTGATGTAATTTTATTTCTACTAGGAACATCAGATGTTCAACATCTTTTGAATCTTTACCTCCTCCACGACAAGAACATCCTGCATCCACCTACTACATCTAAATTAGGTCGTAATCGCCCTTGCTGGTGGAGAAATTCTCTACTTTGAGATCGACGAAAACCACACGCTGAACGAAGTCGCAAAAAGAGAGATGAATTATGAAGTGGTTTCCCTTTCCGTCCAACCGGTCCCGGCTGGCCGCACCCGAGCCAACTTCATCGCCGTTGGTGGCGTCGACAACTCAGTGCGAATTTTATCCTTGGACAAGGAACGACCTTTGAAGCAGTTGAGTGCGCAGGCTCTGTCGCATCAACCGGAGTCCGTCTGCTTGATCGAGATGAAGTCGACGACCGATCGCGAAGCCGTCGGAAATTCCGCCAACGCCGCTGACGGAGGTTTCAAAAACCTGTATCTGAACATTGGCCTTTCAGCTGGCATCATGATTCGCTGCGTGGTCGATTCCATCACCGGAACTTTGTCCGATCAACGAAGTCGTTTCCTCGGACATAAGAAGGTCAAATTGCACCGAGTGGAAGTGAACAACGGGGAGAGCGCAATGCTGGCGCTCTCGCAGAGACCATGGCTCACCTACAACTTTCAGGGGAGATTTCACTGCACACCGATGTGCTACGAGAGCTTGGAATACGCGTGCACATTGCAATCAGAACAGTGTCAAGAAGGCTTCGTGGCGATTAGCGGGAACTCATTACGTACTTCTTCTTACCTACTCTCATTGTGAGGATGTGCTGAGAGAGTGTGTTGACGCAGCTTAAGAAGATGAAGATACTACAACAAGCACAGACTATCTTTCTAGCAAGATGAAAATGTTTCTCTTCTTTCTTAGATTATACAAGCACTTTTCCTACAGTAGACGACCTCCCTTACCCTCGTCTCCGCTACAACAACATATTTCTACCCTAATCTTGTTCCCTTTTCCGCTACATATATCTTAATCTTGTTCCCTTGTGGTATCTTCTCGTGCACGACACACCAGGTATCCTCGCCATCGAGCGTCTTGGGGAAGTTTTTCATCAGAGCGTGATGCCGCTCAGCTACACTCCACGAAGGATGGCTCCTCTTCCTCCACCAAGCATCAGCCCAGATCAGTTGTTAGAGGCGAATAACCAGAAGATTCACTTAGCCCTTCTCGAGAGTGACCACAACGCGTACAATGAGGAGACTAGAGCGGAGATTCGTGCGGCCTTGAAGAAGATCCAAGTTTCGCCAGAGGAAGAAGAAGACCTCAGTGAGGAGCAGATCGGAACGTTCAAGGCAGGCGAAGGCAAGTGGGGCAGCTGCATCCGCATCGTGGACCCGACGCAATTGGCCACAGTGTGCAAAGTGAACCTTGACATCGACGAATGCGCTGTGTCGACGACTGTCTGTTACTTCACGCAATTGCCGCGACAGCCGTGTTTGGTCGTGGCGACGGCCCACAACATGACTCTGATCCCGAAAAAAGCGCAGAGAACAGCGATCAAAACCTTCATGTACGACGAGAACTACCAGTTGCAAGTGATCCACAGCACCGCGACGCCAGACATCGTCCAATGCTTGTTTCCATTTGAAGGACGACTTCTGGCAGGAGTAGGAAAGTACCTCGTCATTTACGAGTTGGGAAAGAGGAAGTTGTTGAAGAAGTGCGAATACAAGAACTTGCCGGAGCAGATCAGCTGGATCCACGTCAAGAACGACCGGATCTACTGTTGTGACGTCAGGGAAAGCTTCCACGTCTTGAAATACAACAGGGAAGACAATGCATTGTTTGTGGTGTGCGATGATGTGGCACCTAGGTACTTTTTATGTCTTTGGCTTTGTTTGTCTTTGTGTAGGTGTACTTATAATATAACTTTGTGTATGTGTCTTCAAGAACATCTATGTAAGAGCATTAAGTTATTTGCTGTGAACAAGGTTCCCGCATCCTCCAGATGATCTCGTGGAAGAAATTCACCTGTTCCAACGATCCAAGAACAACTCTATAACTTTTCAAAACATACCAACTACAGGTACATGATGACCGCCTCCGTGATCGATTACCGAACTATGTTGGGCAGTGACAAGTTTGACAACCTCTTTATGGCACGAGTACCAGAGCACTGTGCCAACGATGAGCAAGTCGACGTAACCGGTATGCGACTGAAGTCCGACACCGCTTACATCCTCAACCAGACGCCGAAACTCGAACACGTGATGCAGTTCCACGTGGGCGAAACCGTTACTGCCTTGGAGAAGACGCCAATCGCTCTTGGTGGCTCGGATTGCGTCATCTATTCGACCATTACCGGTGGTATTGGCGCGTTGTACCCGATTCCGACTACGGAGGACATCGAATGTCTGCAGCACTTGGAAGCGGCCATGCGTACGGAAAAGCCACCACTCAGTGGTCGCGAGCATATGGCGTTCCGAAGTAGTTTCTACCCAGTACAAAACTGCATAGACGGCGACTTATTGGAGCACTTCAGTCTGTTGAACCAGAAAGAACAAATAGCAGTAGCCAGTAGAGTAGACAAGACGCCAGCAGAGATTCTCAAAAAGTTGGAGGACATCAGGAATCGAATCTTGTAGAAGAACATGGTCTTCGCGTGTGGCGAAAAGTTGAAAAAAAGTCTAGAGTTTTTAGATTTACTTCTTCTCGTAGATACCTTCCCCACATTGTTAACTATCTTCTCGTGAAGGTGCATATGAAGGTGAACATGAACGAGATGAAAACTACTGTCCGTATACGTACCTTTTTGCGCATGATACATCTTGTTTTGGACAAAGATTTTTTCTTGCATCTTCACCCGAACGATCGTGGTGGTGCAAGTCTAAGAAATATCGCGAAAAACTCAATGAGATCATTTATGATCACCGCATGATGGGGCTGTAGATTCTACCATAAAATGCTCCTAAGTAGTTATTTCACAAGATTATAAACAAGGTCATATAATCTTCATATTACCTTCCCCCTAAAACTCGTAGATGACGCTTTTTTTCCCCTAAAACTCGTATTTTTATTCCCCAAACATGATGAAGTAGACACTGATGTAGACACTGTGTCGCTGCTATCCCTCTGCTCTTCTAGGTGGAGGCGCGTGAAGCTTAAGATTCGAGGTGTTCTCATTTATGCAAACTGAACATAAAGTTTAGAAAAAGAAGAACACAATAAGAAAAATTCCAAAAAATAGATTTTACACATGTAGTGTGGTTCGGTCTGGTGCGTTTGTTAGTATCGATGTTGGGCAAAAATTCAGGTGGAGAATGTTGCAAATGAAGGCCACTTTCTGTTGTTACGGGAGTTGATCAGCAGGAGCAAAGAGAGCAGTGTTAACGTTAAGTAGCTTGGGCTTCTTGTTGGCACAAGCTGATCTGTTTCGGTTTCATCGATTCCCATTTGAGCTGCTTAGCCGAGAAGTCATGAGCCCGATCCCCTTTCCCTCTCCCGCAAATCAAATAGAAAGCATCTTCAACCTCAACACAAACAAAGAAGAAGGTGAAAAATGTTGCTTGAGTTACCTAAATTATAATTTTCTTCCAAAACTGAAATATTTTTTCATGATGATACATCTTCTTGCAAATTAAGAGAGTTGTACCTCAACTAGAACTAACCAACACAGCAGTCTTGTTCGACTTTCAGTATCAACATCTACTTCTTGTGGGGTAGACTCACTACTTCTGTCGTCTTCATAGTAGTTTCGGGCTCGGCATCTTTATCGAGCATGGACCCAGCAGGACAGCCTGTCGGCATGATGCCGATGCAGCCCGGCCCAGTCATCATGGCTCCTGGACAAGGTGAGTAAGTTTATTAAATCTTCGTTGGTCTTCTTGGTTCAACGCTATCTGTTCTTGAGATTTTTCCTCCACCCCGTAAATACAGACCTCCTATTTTTCAGTCGACGAGACAAACAGAAGTAGTAGTATTTTTGAAATATACTAACTATAACAGGTGGTCCAATGGTCGGGCAACCTGTAATGGGTGCACCTATAGGAGGACAGGCACCTATGATGATGGGTGGAGCAGGTGCTCCTATGGGAGAGGCAAAAGTTGAATGTTAAGGCTAGACACTCTCACTCACTACTTGCTGTATGTATCTAATTAGAAATACAGTGCATACCCGTCTAAGGACTGGGTATATCATCATCGTCATCATCTGGGGTGTTAGGATAATAAATCCTCAGTGACATCAGGTTGATTCTTTGATTTCTTATAAAGGGGAAAGTACAAGACCAAGAGAGCAAAAGTGTTGTACTCAACCACGGACTATCGTGAATGTCTACGTTAAGAATGGCAGAAGCCCAGAGTCTGTGCTGAATGCGACTATGACTGTTGTCTAGCACTATGCTGTCCCTGCATAAGCGCGAAACAAATCATGTTATGGAAGACTCTGGGTCGTTTACTTGTGCGTTGTGGTTGATATTCAATCACATGTCAACATGTACACCATTAACTACTACTAAGTAGAAAGAAAATCACTCGAACTTGATCATCGTCAATCTATCAACATGTACACCATTAACTACTACTAAGTGGAAAATCACTCGAACTTGATCATCGTCAATCTCTTCAAACCTCATCGCCATCGTCATTGAGGCATTAAGACAAAGATGCTCAGCTTCAGAAGAGTAGCAGCAGTCTAATAACCGGAAAAATAGCGATGCCTGTAGGAGCTTGGTTCAATCTGATTGCGGCTATCGTTATCTTCCGATCGGTGACAGATGCCGTTGGCAGAGTCGTATTTCGATTTTGTAAGTACTAGAAAATATTGAAACACCTACTTGATGTAATTCATGATGTTGATCATCAACTGTTGATAAACAACATAAGTATTAACACTTCCCAACCCCCGCGCAGTTCGAGAACAACGAAGATTTGTGGTGGGTAAACACGATTATGCGAGCTTTGAATTTTTTTGCCGGTATCGCGTTTGGCGTCTGCATGATGAGCTGGAAGAACAAACTCGGTCAGCACATGAACGTCAGCAGAGACGGCGTAAACCCATGTGAAGAATTCTGCTGCATGTGGTGCTGCTCCTGCTACGCAATAACGGCTGTGGGGAGGACGGCGGATGACTATTATGGCACATGATCATGTTCAGCATTGAATTGGGGAAGCTCGGTACTGAGTGCCAGTAGATAAGTCCCACATGCACATAAAGAGTAGATAAGTCCCACATGATAAAGACTTAGAAGATAGCATGACAAGCTCACAAGGAAGATCAGTACGGAGTGCCAGTAGATAAGTTCCACATGCGCATAAAGAGTAGATAAGTCCCACATATAGACTTAGAAGATAGTCAGTAAGTGGCAGTCGACAGGAGTACGATCGATCAGTACTCGTGAAAAGTCGATCTTTATTTAAGATCAGTACCTATCTTAGTCATACATTAAGAATAAGTGGCAGTGAGTGTGAGTCAGGTTATTTAGAGTCTTTTTTTATGAACTACTGAGTGGAGGAGGACTCTGACTCAGTACCAGCAGATAAAGATAAGTCCCACATAAAAAAGACTTCTACTTCTCCTTGTACTAACTCCGTACCAGTAGATATGTCCCACGTAAAAAAGACTTCTACTTCTATTTGCACTACACCCTCTTCTTGCACGTTAGTACTTTCCCTCCACCTCTCTTAGAAGAAAAATTGAATTCTAAGACCCCGCACGCTTCGCTCGTCCAGCAGGAGGCATGATGATGGCGCCCGCTGGAGGCATGCAACCTGTAATGATGTTAAGGTTACAAGAAATCCATCCCCCCAGCATCGACCTTGGTCCCGTTTGTAAATGGAAAATAGAGGGGACCCAAGAAAGACGCTGCCTGATTATACAAGGCGGATTTCTCTTAGTTCTAATGATGATGCCTGCGGGTGGCATGCAGCCTGTAGGAATGCAGCCTGTAGGAATGCAGCCCGTACAACATCCGGTGATGATGCAACCTGTGACTACACCAGGATACGAGGGTCAGAATACCACTTATTCGCAGGTGAACTAGACAGCGAAAGTAGGAGTGCGTGTGCGGGAGCACTAGTGGTAGTGGTGTACGAGTACTAGAAGAAGAAGATGATGATCTTCGAACACAAAAATGGCACTATTCATCCTGTTTATGTTCCTGTTCAGGCGTGAATAAAAACACTAGTAGGTACAATCTAGAAAAACAAGCTTTAGCAGTACCTACAAGTAGAACAAGACGAAGCATCAGTCTCTACAAATCGTCTAGGCGATGTATAATAGCACTACCACACCCTTAGATGAGATCTACTTGCACAGCTAGAAACATGCAACGTTTTGCTGTGCTTCATCGCGTTATGATCCTGAACAACAAGGATTCGTAGTTTAGACACCAAGAACATTTACTAAATGACATTTATGCAGCTAATGCTCCACTCAAGAACTGATACCCCTCACAACTAGTACAGCGACCATCCTTATGCTGTAAATGTAACCCTAGTACTAGTAGAAGATTCAAAACAAGCAATGACTTTACACTCGGTGGAAGACGCAGCTTATGCAGCGGTCGTTTTATCGTAAAATGCTTATCTTTGTTCCAGAACCCCAAGAAGAACGGGAAAGCGCCGTGACCGAATGTTTTTTTTGCCGCCATCGATCATAGAGGCTTGTTTTTTCAGTGGCCGGTGTCTAAAAATGTTGAATATCATGATGTTGCATTTCAATTTCGTTTGCGTTCTTTTGCGGGAAGGCGGTCTTGTGCAATTGTTTGTACAAGCGTTAGCTCGGAATGAAAGATTGTCGTTGGGCAATCGAGTCTCGTTCGCTATCCACCCATTCTCGTGTTTCCCGCGAGGTCGTTGTACCCATGCTCGAACATGACCATGATGGGTCAAGATTTAAGGTGTCTTGCAGATAACGGTAAGATTAAGAATGAAAGCGTAAACGCGATTGACTTCGAAAAGATGATTATAGAAACGTAGTCTCCAAGTCAGACCAGTCAAGTCAGACTTCGATCCTGGCGGGGCTTGTCGCTGCCTGCCTGGGTGGCGGGCGTGTCTTACTTGCTGTGGCCGGGGCTCGGCTGATGAGGGGTAGCCGTAGCGCGTCCGACTTTGGAGATTTTTGTGCGCTGGAACGGGGGCCCGTTTAGCTTGGTGGGCCGTCGGGCCTCGGGGTCGCTGCGCTCTGCGTCTACTACAGGTGTAACTAGCCCATTTGCCTCAGTCTCCCTTACTAAAGATTTTCCGCTGAAAATGCATGCTTTTCCCAAAGTCATGGATGATAGATTATAGAAACGTAGTCTCCGAGTCAGACCACGCAAGTCAGACTTCGATCCTGGTAGTCTGAATCGTATCTCTACCATCATGGATCCAGCGGTTCAAGGAGGACAGCCTCTAGGCATGATGCCACTACAGCCGGGCACAGTGATCATGGCTCCTGGACAAGGTAGACGCGCTTTGTAGAAGTGCTTTCTAGAAGATTCCCAACATTATTTACATAAATGTGACTTTCTTTTGGTTTGCATGTTTAAAAAGCATTTAGATTTAAGTTGATCTTGATGAAAACTACCACGTCGTCCCTGGAAAATAGTACTTACAAACAAACTGCTACAGCTCTAACTCATCTACTAGAAGTAGTTATATATTTGTTAAAAGACCCTAAATAAACTTTTTCCGCAAATCTTCTTAAAGATGAATTACGTGTCAACTGCTCTTCTATCTTCATCAGAGAATTGGATCTTCATACAGGTCCAATGGTCGGCCAGCCCGTCTTAGGCGCACCATTACCGGGACAAGGCGCTCCGATGATGATGGGCGGTGGCATTCCAATGGCTTCATCACCAAAATTGGAGTGGCATAGGCCCAGAGTCTGCGCCGAATGCGATTCGGAGTGTTGCACAGCATGTTGGTGCCCATGCATAAGTGCGAAACAGATAATGTTATGAATTCTTCTGAAAATGAAAAGACTAGAAGTTGCAGTAGATGGTGCATTTGGTTTACTTCTGTTTGTTTTTTAATTGTTGTAGATATCATATCCATCTTCCTAAAAACGATCCTCCTCCACTTCATCTAATACTTGGAACCGCGGTGATGCCACAGGGCGCTTGGCCGATGATGATAGGCATCATTGTCTTCGTTCAGTACGTGAGTGACGGAACTGGGAGAGTGGTATTGAAGAATAATCATTGTCCTGAATCGAGGACTCCTACTTGATGTGAGGACTGGTCTATGCATAAGCCATCCTGTTGATGAAGAATCCTTCTTTCACATCCATGAAATGAATGCAACGCGTGGTCTTCAACCATTCTGAAAAACATCATCTCCACCCACAAGCACAAGGAACCTTCTCGACCTCTCCCATTACTACAACAGACTAGGTCCGTCCATTCAAATTCACTCCTTCAGACTGAGAACGATCCCGATTTGAGGATAGTGACTTCGATTTGCCAAATCATCAATTTTCTAGCTGGCTTAACGTGCGCCGCCTGTCTAATGAGCTGGAAAGCAAAAGTAGGCCAGCATATGAACGTCAACAGAGACGGCCAAAACCCATGCGAAGACTTTTGCTGCATGTGGTGCTGCTCATGCTACGCAATAACCGCAGTGGGTAGGACGGCGGATGACTATTATGGCAGATGGTCATGTGCAGCATGACAAGCTCATGACTTGTTCATATACTTCCTTGTTCTATCAGGTAGTTTCTCAGACTCTCCTCTACAGCTAGACTTGGAATCGCTTCCAGACTTCCTGTTCCTTGCTAATTAATCTAGTATTAAAAAGTACTTGTACCGCACGATTGAATACAGGTAGTACTTATACACTACTACTGCTACTACTACTTGCTCAATGATCTACTTACAGTTCTTCATAGACATAGGGGAGAGACGATAGGGTCACGCGCGACAATAATAATAATAATAATAATAATAATAATAACTCCCCGGGCCCGGGTGCCCCGGGAGACGTTAAGGAAGGGAAAGGGATACTTTAGGGACGTGGGCAGGGGTGAATGGTTTCACAAGGTGAAACGGGCGCCCGAAGGGCGCGCACTCCCCTCCGCGCTGCGGCAAAGGGGAGCGGGAGCGCGCAGGCTTTAACAAGAGCCAAGAGGCGCCGGCGGGCAGTGAAGCGCGCACCACCGCGGGCACCATTTTCAACGCGTTGGCCATAGCTGGCGCGGGTGTTCGCGGTTTTTTTCTTCTCTTTTGTCTCTTCGTCCCGTTCGTGGCCATGGGTC